GAGCCATGTCTGCACTGGACCTTGTCCCTGGGGCGACCCCTCATGGGAATGGGAGTTGTGGCAAGGATGAAAGTGGAAGGTCGAAAGAAAGTGCTATCCACTCTATCGACATGTTGCTTTCGAGGTCACTTTTGCTTTTTCGAGTGACTATTGACGGGGACTGTTTATCGTCAAGGGATGGCTGAACTTGACCGTCATTGATTCGTTGGTCATATTTCCCAGGTGGCAGGATTTTTGCAGCGATCTTCACTTTGCTCCACGAAAAAGGTCTACTCAATGAGATTTGTTTCCTTTTTCTCAGTCCGCCTGTTGAGTCAACGGTCCATTTGCAGACTGAGAATCACTTGTCGGGATCAAGAAAGCTGGGACAACCTGCTGGCGGATGCTCCAACAGAGAGACCCACTCGCGACACCCGTGTAAACAGGGATCCATGAACGAACTATCATAATCGAACCTTGTTCGGGGGTTCCCATCGGCGGGAACCTTCATCACGCCATTCTTCAAGTTAACTCGAGCAAAAGGGTTTGCCGCCTCAGAGGGATTGTGGGGGAAGATTGTTCGAGCACAGGAGAGACGTGATCTACCCTTGATGATCGGCGTTCTTAAGTTTTCAAATAATTCTCACAACATGGAGGCTCATCCTGATTTCTTGGGTCTCGCTTGAGATTTAGGGTTCCGTCGGCTTGCCTTCCCCATACTCTTTCGGAATCAAATGGCGTGATATAGTCGGCAGACTTGCAAGCATGTGAGACGGCAATTGAAGCCGGTTTTCCAACGGTGAGGATCAAAAGTGGTACCATCTAGCGAGCGGAGATATTGTGGGTAGATTCTCCAGATTGCCGTTGTAGGTCGAAATGACCCGCGGTGTTGATCTCCGGGAACCGATGGGACTGAATATCCATGGATATCACTAGAGAGTATTCGGGTTGGAGGCTAGTAGCATACAGAACGCATCTCGCGGGTACTAGCGTCAACGAAGACAATAGTGCTTCCTATGGAATTGATGCAAAAGCAAAGACCACGCACGAGAGCAGCATGTTATTCTCGCATTCTATTAACCTTAAATCGGTGTAGACCTTCCTACAAATTCGCCCTCTGCCCGGTCTAGCGATTATACGTTCTACCTTGCTGGACTGGAAAGAGCAGGTTGTTCTTCTGGTCCCTCAGAAAACGGGTGCTCGGATTGGCTACTGTCAATCTGTCATAGTAACTGGACAACTTACATGAACAGACATATCCTCAATCAGCCCTTCAGAATGTGATATTCGGAAGGAAGTTCCAATCTGTGTTAGTGCAATCATTAGGCGGTTAAGGCAGGTGGAGCATCAGTCAAACTTACCGAGTACATACACGTTCACTCTCCGAAGTCCAAAGTCATATACAATGTATCAATTCTGCAAAAATTACTGTACCAAGAGAACCTCTGTACAGTCGGGGCTAAGTCATCTTGTCCAGCACCAATTTGGAGAACATGGATGGATCATGCCAGTCACAACGGACGAGACCCTCCAGTTGAATCCCAAACTTTCCGACGCGCCCCGTCTCACGAGAAAGTCGAAGAGTCTGTCACATTTCTCCTCTTTCCATGCAATAGTAGTACCTCCGAACCTCTACCGGACATTCAAACGCAGTGATAGCGACGAATATCGTGGCGCGTCAAGTGGAGTTTATGTGGAGTCAAGTCCCGAGTCGGGTTGGAAGAGTATCGGCGATTCGGCAGTTCACCCAATTCAAGTTGATCGTGACTTCTTCCCACTGCCACCTCACCGGGGAGCTCAGGTTTCTACGATTACGGGGTACACTTCCACCTGCAGAGGAGGGGAATGCGACTTTGGTTGAAAGGTGGATCCCCGGTTGATAAGACATGGCACGTCGGCGGAAGTTGCCCGTCATGGACACAAAGTGATGGAAGTCGCGACTTTTCCAAAGGTACTAGTAGGTGGAATGTAGTATGTATCATCTACTGGCGTGGGACATCTTTTTGACAATGTACCGATTATCTCGGGGGGAGAGGAAGCTAAGGAGTACGGACAGAGCGAAGCCCACAGTATAGTTATACTGGTATAGTAGTGAAGCCTTAGCCCGGTGCTCGTGGTACTGTACCTATTACACTTAGTAATGGATATCAGGCCTGGCATTTCGTGCGTAGATATGTTCAAGACCTCGTGATATTCTGATTTGGAGGTATAGGACTCCCGTTAACCAAATCATCAATCAATCAAGACCCAAGCGGACCTTTTGTGAAAGACCACATCATTTCACACATTTCAGACGTCTGCAAGTACAAGTACAAGTATGCGCGTCTTGCTCGGCAAGTTGGACCCAGTTATTTGAAGGTCCCTCTACACCCAAGTTTTCCTCAACAAGGATGAGAATAAGCAACCATCAAGCACTGAACTGGGTTAGTCATGACACACTCGCGCTCCCTTTTGAAATCGCCTTAGTGCCTGACGAAGGAAGGGTTTCCCTCCAGCGATGCCCGCCATGAACGGTCGCCAAGCGTGTTCATCTTCATGCTCACAGCTTACCTCTGCAATATTATCATTTCGGGGACCTACTATCTCAAACCAATCACAAATGCATCTCGATCGATCTCATGCCCATCACATGCATTCAGGCTGGAGATAGCAGTAACTATCAAGTGCAGAGAGTGTCCCGAGTGCATCACAAGAGGCCTAGGCCAGGTTGTCACGAGTCGAGTCGGCTCGACACTTGTCTGGCGAGTCCAGCCAACGCCGATCTTTGGCCTGGCCGAGAAGCCATGCTACGGGCCTGAGAATCAGGGCCGTGCATTGAAGTCCAACGAGAACCAGGTCTGGTTTGGTGTAGTAGTGTTAAGTCCTAATGGCGAAGTGCATTAGTTAGTGTGTAAATCCATCCCTGCATCAAGCAGAAACACTCCAAAGCCAACACTAAGCCTGGCGGAAATCGGGTCGGCTCCTTACCCCGCATTTCCACAGCCGAGATGGACGGGTGATGCAATCGTCTTCCTGGCCATGTGGCTTCAAAAGGTACGTCGCAGCAAGACTCGGCATGACAGCTGACAGAAGACGTCAAAGTCGGAACTTCTAACATGGTAACGAGCAAGATTGGCCAAGAACGTCTCCTCGTTCGTGAATGGCCGAGTCGAGCCACAGTACATATCACGGCCGGTGCGTCATACTCCTGTGACCTGACCGTCTCTGACATCAACGCGAGGACGACACGCGAGATAGCAGCTCATCTGGTGTATGATGTCACTGACTCAAGCTCCGGTCTGTTGTTCCTGGTTCAGAAGTCAATACTTGCTTTGGAGAGTTTTGGTGGTTCTTTTTTCTCATCCAACCTGTTGACCTGTCTCAAAGTTCTTACCTCTCGAGCGTCGTATCCCCCGCTTTACTCTGGAAAGTATGGGGCCTGGACATCCTGATTGCGTGAGTCCAGATGCTTGAAGCTCCCACGCGATCCATTTTGCAACTGAATCAGCCCCAAGAAAAAGTGTCGAGCTTGCCTCTCGAGCAGGGAAGTCAAGGCTGGCTTAGTCCTCGCGTGAAAGATCACGGCCTTACGTCAAGGTACCATGTGTCGATGTAAAGAGCAACCAGACTTTGATGCTCTCGACATAGTCGGTCATCCCCGTTCTCACTCTGGAATCTGCGGTCACTACAAGATTCTTCAAGCTTGAGCAGCAACTTTGAGAACTTTCAAAGCGGTTCCGACGCAGTGGCGTACTGCTGATGTCAATAACGACAAGTGTTTAATGTGTATCATTTGATTCTGCCACCATCTATAGACCAGGCAGAACCTCCGGTGCCACCCACAGTAATCTCATTATCTCCGTGAGTTACTTCCGTTGTCACCTCTCCTTTATCAACAAGAAACAGTGATGTTCTTGATACACGACTGACTTTATTCACAGACAAGTAAGACCTTCAGGCTAATAGTTGCATCAAGTGTAAAAAGAGCCAGGGCAACGTCCTCCCTAATGAATAAAATGAAATCCACCAAGACGAAGACGTTCTTCCAAAGACAATGGTACTTCAAATATACCTTTCATCTGGATGTTGGCCGATGACTTGAGGACAGCCAACCGAAGGTCACAGTCTCATCGTAGATGACAGATTCTAATCCAAAGTAATTGGAATCGACGATAAGAATCGAACAGATCAGGGCTCGTCTGATTGATGCTTTGGAAATTTATCTACCTCGCGGATGTGTCCATCATTCTTAACTTTCTTGACTTCGGTCGAGACGCATCAAGTATGGTAGTGCATGGATGATCCGTGTTGGACTCTGTGAAGATTTCTTAACTCACTCATAGCAGGTATACCTTACTTGTTGTCATGTTATGCTCAAAGTCTCCTACATCTCAGGCATCACCTTATTTGCCTGGTACTTTTTGCAAGAATCAAAGCCCCACCGAGACCCAACCTACCTGATCACGAATCACGGCTACGTACACGGCTGGCTATCCAACCTATACCGCCGTATATTATGCTTACATTCTCGACTCCCATCTAGACGTAGGTTTGGAAGACGAGTTCATATAAGGCCTGACGACGTGCTGGCAATAGAGCTCAAAAAATGCATCTACGGAGAAGGAGCATGTTTTAGGTCCCTTGTTCAACCTAACAAGAGCCAAGTTTGACACCATCGCTTGCAACGAGCAAGAACCTATGAGGTAGAAGCGCTTCCGAAATAGTCGTCTGGTTTGGGGTCATATAATCCTGGATCAGCGAAACACATATGTTTCGAAAAATCTGACGAGTAAGGTTGCGATATGTCAAAAAAACCCTGGATTGGTGTCACGATCCTCAATCGCAATGTCTTCGAAATGAGAACGACTCTTAGTGATGATTCAAATGGTCATTAAGAAGGTATGATGACCAGCAGACAGACACGCAGCTGGATCATCTTGACAAAGTAAAGAGGTCGACGTCTAAAGGTTATGCATTCTAAGAAGAAGCCACAATATCTGGCAGGTTTCAGTCTCTCGGAGCGCAGGCTCTCATCTCTCGTCTTACCAACTCGTCAATCCTCGCTCACGATCAAATCCCCCTCGCAGTTGCTTCCCCGGTTTGAGCACTTTGCCTTGAAGTACTGTATACTTGATGATATTCTCGCACTCTTCTGGCCGCACCCGCGCAAGCCAGATGCCCTGTGTCGCTCCCTCCTGGTCCCGAGCGCTCTCTGCGTCGTCCCGCTTGTACCACTCGAAATCGCGACGTCGATAGACAATCACGTTGGCCGAGTACTTGTGACCGCCGACGTGACTGATGAAATAGACAGCCACACCGCCAGGCCGTGTATCGTCCATATCTCGGTATAAGCCTAGGGGACGAAGATGACGCTCAAATTCTTTTCGCAAAAGAGGTGCGGATTGTCCACAGCGGGCATCGCGGGTTCGTTGAGAGCAGAGTAGAATGACGGCCGCATGTGGGCACGGATGGGATCGAAGGGGAGTTGAGATGGACGTGTTCGCTGGAGATGGAGAAGAAGATGATGGTCTCTCTTCCTGGTGATTTGCTTCGCTGGATGTGGTGGGCACGGCGCCGAGCGGCGTTGTTGTCGTCGGGGACTTGTTGACAAAGTGCTCGATCAAGTCCGGGACCAGCTGTGGGGTAACTTGCTCGACGACAGTGAAACTCGGCAGCAGGAGAACATTCGTGGGCTGTGTGCCTTTTTCGTGCATGTGATATTCGTCGGGGACGGGCATATTTGATGCTGAGATTTTCAAATTCTACAAGCAAGAATCGAGAAGAGTTCGGTCAGCGTGAGACTTCTTGAGAGACTAATTCAGGCCACTACTGAACGACGGCAACCAGTCTACGAAAATTCGAAAGTGTCTTACCCCATTGCTTGGTTGTAGCCCGCCCTTCTCGATAGCCTCCATGACGCTGCCAGACTCATCGGCCACGTCGCGCACCCAATCTGATTTGCCCGTAGCAACCAGCAAATGAGTTGCCCATCCCTTGACGTGTCCGTACAGCTCATCTTTTTGGTCGACGTCGAATTTGGCGGGGTATTTGACGGTACAGCTTGCGCAATCGTGTAAACAATCTTCGCCATCGACAGCGGGATCAGGTTTGTCGAATAGCTTGTCAGCTTCCGAGATCGATTTGAATCCCTTTTGGGATAGCGCATTATCTCCGATCACATCAGTTTCCGCGTCGGTCCTCGACGAGGCCAGAGAGACGTTGGATGAGCCAAAAAGCGAAGAGGCACCTCGGCGGAAGAGCTCCATGATTGACGTCAAGATCGAAGACAATCAAAGGAGTGATGTATGGATCTATGGTGAATGGATATACCCTGAGAGGGGGGAGAGCAAAAACAAGGAGAATGAAAGACCAAGATCAATCGTGACGAAATCTCAGGGTGATACGAATTCCTCACAATCCAGATGTCTTACGTGGAGCCGAACGCGTGTGCAACTGATCTTATCAATCATGGATCCTGCGGGAGTCGTGCCAAGAAAAATCTGGGAATGTCAGACTCGGAATTGTTCCCGCCCTCGGGAAGTGGACCGGCATCTGGTCGAGTTTAGATCGAGAGTAAAGCAGTACATCAGGGGATGAGTGCTGACAGCTGACAGCTGAGTGATGAATTCAGATGTGGCAGGATTGAGAGCTTTTAGGCCCTCGTACCTTATATCAGAGGTTCTCACTTTTGCTTAAGACTCGTTCATATGTGGATGTGACTGAAATCTCCGCGTATAGATCGGCGAATGGAACTTGCGATGGCCCGTATGCATTACATCAGCCGGAGAAAGAAGATTGAATGCGATTATTTTCCAGATCAACTCCGACGAGGCTTCACCTCAGTGCCAGTAGAACAATCTTGATTATTCGATAGACACCTAGTCCCTCTTCTCGAGGCAAAGCTTCCACTGGGCCTCTGACCGGACATGCCGAATCTGGGGCTAAGATGAGTGCTTCCCACGAAGAACAGGGTCAAATATCTACCACTGTATTTATTGCTTATTTTTAGTAGACGTTGGCCCACTACTTGTAGTGTTCAACCTTCACCTCGCATGAGTTTCCCTTTCACAAGCCACAGCATGTCTGCTATAAGTCACGTGCTGCTTGGGACAACAGGCGAAGCACAGCATCCCGACGCTAGGCTAGTCATTTACACTCCACATCAATTCAAGATTGATAATTCTGGTATGGCACCAGCTTGCTCTGGGAAGCGAAAAACAGTAGGGATAGATTAAACATCACCTGAACTGGGCTCCGTCCACATCTTTTTCAAATCATGAACAATCCAAGCCAATCGCAATGGACTCCAGATCAGATTGTTTGACTGCATATTGTGCAACAGCCGATAGATCGGCGATGATCAACAGCCATTCAGGAACCATACCGTCACATGATCTCCACTTCTCCGAACCACAAGACACTAAATCTCCGGCCAGTCGCATCATGCTCCAAAAAAAGGGGGGGGGAGAGATTATCAAAAGTCATGGACGAAAGCAAATCTCCAAGGGAGTCACAAGACTTGTACATTCTGGTGACAGGAGCAAATAGGTACGGAGCTGAAAAGTTCCTTCGACAAGTGACGAACATGCATCTGAACTAACCATTCTTTCCGCCTCCGCAGCGGTCTTGGCTTCTCGATATGCTGTCGCCTCGCCGATGAGTTCCTCTCATCCCACCATTACGATGACACATTGACGATCATATTCACCACGCGCAGTGCTCGCAAAGCCGAAGACACACGTCGTCGCCTTGAAAAGCACCTCCACTCCTCCGCAAAATCGACCCCCTCCGATCGCGCCCGCGTCAACTTCGTCTCCGAAAGCGTTGACCTGGGCGACCTCCCCTCGACACGCGCGCTCTCCCGCCGCCTGTGTCAACATTACCCCAAACTCGATGCAGTGATTCTGAATGCTGGCATCGGCGGCTGGTCCGGGATCAACTGGTTCGAGGCCATCTGGGGAATCTGTACCGATCTCGTGCACCAGGTGACATGGCCGTCTTACAAGCTGGCGCCCGTGGGGGTCTTGACTAGTCGACAGACGCAACGGGAGGAGGAGCCTGCTCTGGGGGCGGTGTTCTGCGCGAATGTCTTTGGTCACTATATGCTGGCGCACAATGTGGCGCCGCTTTTGAAGAAGGCGAAATCGCCAAATGGGCCTGGTCGCGTTATTTGGGTGTCGAGTATCGAGGCGACGATCAAGGCCTTTGATATTAATGACATTCAAGGCTTGCAGACCAAGGTACCCTATGAATCCTCCAAGGCTTTGACCGATATTCTGGCCTTGACATCAGACCTGCCAAGTACCGCTCCTTGGTCTGTCGAGGGGTTCTTCGGAACCCCCTCCAAGGAAGATCGTGGACCGGACGAATCATCCACAGAAGTCACACCAGAGATGCATGTCTGCCACCCCGGAATATGCGCAACCTCCATCATCCCTCTCCCTCTCCCGCTGGTCTGGGCCATGGTCGCCTCGTGTTGGATAGCGCGTATCCTCGGCTCTCCATGGCACGCAATATCCACATACGTAGCAGCCTGGGCCCCGGTCTTCCTGGCGTTATCTTCACAGGGAGCTCTTGAAGCGGCCGAATCCCCGTATCGCCAATCAGGCGGGGGCCGGGTCAAATGGGGCTCATCCACCAACCGTCTTGGTGCGGAACGCGTGAGCAGCACCGAAGTCGAGGGTTGGGGATACGGTGGTGTCGTGGGCCGGCCGGTGGTTGAGAGCGATCGTCTGCGTCGCCGAAAGCGCGGTGCGGTCGATTTGACCCGGGAAGAGAAGGAGAACTTTGAGGAATTGGGTCGTGCGTGCTGGAAGCAGATGGAGCAGTTGCGTATCAAATGGGAGGGGATTCTGGATCAAGCTGAGCAACGACAGAGCTCGTCCGTTGACAAGCCTACAGGTCTGTGACTCAAGTGAAATGTAAACATGCTTCCTAATCAGGCTTCATCATATCTTGTATTTTTAATCCGACGGAAATCGTCAATCATCATCTCCAATCAACCGAGTCGATTGATCTGCTCTACCATTAACTTACTGAAAGTCGTTTCCAATGCCTGTATGTACTATGTAGTTTACTGCGCAGTGACCTATTTACACCGGCAAGACGTGGTCCACATCCATCATCATTAAATAGAAAATAAGATTTTTTTTAATCTGCGCCCGAATGTCTTTCCGATAAGGGAACCAAGATCAAATGAGCTCAATCGAGAGAAGGGGTTCCGGGGAGGGGGAAAAAATAGAAATAAATAAGGGACATCTGCCATCGTGGAATCGAAGAAATGATATAGGCTCTGACGCGAAGGCCGGAGGGCGGAGAAAGGAGCAAAATGGTCACGCACGGACAACTGGGGCGATATCTGATATCGCCCCACGAGCCTGGACATGGCAACGGGTTTTAATTGTCAACCAGGATGACACAGAATAAGTAATAGTTGACAAGGACTGCTTCCACAACAGCCAGAGCAAATCACGCAGAAAACGACTCCGGATCCATGCATCAAGACAAAGACGAAAGGTATTTGGAAATCAGGGGGAGATCGAGAAGGAGAGAAAATAAGAAGGGTGGTGAAGTAGTGGGTGGGCGTGTCGACGTGAAGCTAGGGTTAAGGGAGTAGTAGATTACATGATGATCGCAGGAACTAAAGAAGGTGAGGAAAAAGGGGGTACTCGTTAGTGTATGGGTTCTTTCTTGAAGTGCAAAAGTCTGCAAAATGGGGATCACTTACCATCAATGTTCTGCTTGATGCTCTTGTGCGGCAGGATTGAGCCACCGTTGACGTAGACCTCATCGGCAATGGTCACATCGTCACCGAGAACGGTCACGTTCTCGAGACGCGCCCAGCGACCAACAGAGCTGTTCCATCCGACAATGGTGGACTTGATCCACGCGTGATCCTTGATCTTGCTGTTCTCCATCACCACGCAACGTTGGAGACGGACACCATCGCCAATCACGACGTTGGGGCCAATGACCACGTTCGGACCGATGCGGCAGTTGTTTCCAATCTTGGCCGAGGGGTCGACCATGACGTTGCCGCCGTAGACAAAGGGTTCCGAGTTGGCGGCCAGCTTCTTGGAATTCCGCTTGGCCAGGGAGGAGAGGTAGAGACAGGTGCCGGTGAGGAAATCCTTGGGCTGACCGACATCCATCCAGAAGCCCTCGAGGTCGAAGGAGTGGAGTTGACCATCCTTGCAGATGGCGGGGAAGGTTTCCTGCTCAATGGAGGTGGGGCGCAACTCGATGCGTTTCAACACGCTGGGGTTCATGATGTAGATACCGGCATTGATGCGGTTGCCGACGAACTCGACGGGCTTTTCGACGAAGCGGTCGATGCGCGACGGATGGTTGGGCTTGTGCACGACGACACCGTACTTGGAGGGCTCGTCCACCTTGGTGACGACGATGGTTCCCTCCTCGCCGTGGGAGCGGTGGAATTCGGCGAGCTCCTTGAAGGGGTAGTCGCAGATCACATCGGAGTTCAGCACAAAGAAAGGTGTGTCGTCCTTGCCGAGGATCTTTTCGGCGAGTTTCAGGGGACCAGCGGTGCCCAGGGGTTCGGACTCGACCGAGAACTCAATGTTGACACCGTACTGCTCCTCGTACTTCTTGAGCGCCGAGACCATGACATCGGGCCGGTAGTTGACGGCCAGGACAATGTCGGTGACACCGGCAGCAGCCAAGCTCTCGACTTGGTGCAGGATCATGGGTCGGTTGCCGAATTCCACCAGCGGCTTGGGGAGAGTGAGCGTCTACCAGAAGGTCCTTCGTGTCAGTCATTGTATCCCCGACATTGAGTTGCTGACCATTGCCAGAGCCCGAGCCCGAGCCCGACGACGGCGCAAAACGAGCTGCTCAACACGACTTGCACAACACGCCCTGCACAACACGACGCTCGGGCCGATTGCACTTACCAGAGGACGCAGACGGGTGCCGAAGCCACCGACGAGAATGAGAGCTACAATGAACAGTCAATGGACATTCAGACAGCTCGATGATGCGCCAAGCACAATCTAATTCATCTTCAGGAGGGTTCCCCTATTGTGACATACCCTTCATGATGGAAGTGGGGGGTGGAGAGCAGCGATGAGCGGAGAGAACGAGACGATAGGAGTTGAAGGACAATCAACACAGAGAGAGACGTAAAGCTCTTTGGTTTTGTTGTTGTTTTTTTCCCAAGCTGTCGAAGAGAATTGAAGGCTTGCACGCAAGGAAGCACTGACCTCGAGACGAGAGGGTTTGACGGAAGATTTAGTCTTTGATTAAAGGAACAGCTGGCTGAATTGGGGGGGGGGGGGGGGGGGGACATGGGCGGAGGGGGAGAAACGGTCCCTTTATTTTTATTGGGAACGGGCAGAATTGGGTGGGGCACGTGAATGGACCGGGTGATTCGCGGCCAGGCCCACGGGCACGTTTGCGGCGAACAGAAACAAGACGGAAAAAAAGGGGGAGATGGTTAGTCACTTCTGAATTCACTGCTCAGTACACTCACTGGTACGAACTCAATAGGATTTACTGTTTAGTATTTTTAGTATTTTTAGTATTTTTACTATTTTTACTATTTACCAGATAGTTCGTAGTGAGTAGGTACAACTTCCTATTCCTTGGTATGTCCTCATTCAGGCAAATGGTTAGTATTGCTACCAAGTAGTAGTGAGTAGTGACTATGAGTGACCAAGTCGAGGAGCTTGAACCAGGGTTTGGGTCCTTGGTGTACGTTCAACATTGCAAGGGTTCTGTATATGGTTACACTACTAATCATTGTATGCTTCTGAGACATGTGTAAACCACCGATTGTTGGTGAGCCAGCGCTCTCTTCGTTACAGAGATGCCAGTAAAGGTAGCTCAGTAGGTAGTTGAGAACTGGCGACTACTGCAGTAGAGATCTTGTCTGCGCTCATTCTCGCCTGACGTGGTTGCAATGAAGAGAGTCCATCGTACACACTACACAAAAGCTGTAGAGTACGCTACAGCACAGGGGCAACTTCTTGTGTCGAAACGGTCGATCAGAAATCCACCATGTGACTCTGCAATCCCGTACCGCTGGTATGATGATTGCCATTCCGCAGCATCTACACGATCGATACCCATCGACCCATTGATCACGATAAACAGAGGAGTCGGCTAACTCGCCTTGGCTACCAGCTGGCAGCTGCCAGCTGCCAGCTGGTAGTCGTTTACTCGTTATTTGTTAGTCCTTACCAGCTAGTAGCACCTCGCACTCACTGGCAAGTCCATCCATGGCAAGCTTCAACAGTGCCAGACAAGTCGCAATTGGTGTCTCGCATTGGGCAAGCCCCCATCTCCATCCAACCCTCGATCGGGCCAATCCTCGATCCCAGTGCCTCCCCATGCCGTCCATCGATGTTCGACTCGGGACCACCGACAGGACTTCCCCGCGAGCTAAACATCAACAGCCCTCCAGTGGCCCGTTGCTCCGTTGCTGGATGTGCGGCCCTCGAAAGGCTTCCCGGTCGGACCAAGTGGGTAAGCCGGGGGTCAGACGATGTCGCCTCTTCCATCCTCAAACAGGGTGGCGGACTGACCTCCGCGCGTGAGCGAATGGGCGCCTGTCAGTGGTCTGCAGCGCAGAGGGTGAGTGGTGAATGGATCAATGGGCCAGGGCAGATCCAGTAATCCAGTAATCCAGTAGTAGTTGGGAGTTGGGAGTTGGGACGCTTTGGTGATACTCAAGTGTGACGCTCGAATTACATCGGCTCGCTGGACTCGATCTGGACCCGGTTGCGGTTACCTCCTGGAATTGGCAGGTGATCCATTGAGTAAGGAACAAACCTGCCCAATATTGGATCTTACCTCAGACTTGACCAGCAATCGAGTGAGAGAATCCTTGTCTCAGCATGAAAGGAGACTCTTTCGAGTCGAGTCCATGCTCACATGACAGGAAGCGGATGCAGTGTGCCTGAGAGCGAATAGCCTCTTTTCATCGGATCGCCAGCGATTGCCCAATGTAAACAATAGACATGTAGAGCACCTTGTAGTCAACTATGATGGATATACTACTGGACCAGTGTAATACTACTCTTGAGAGGCCCCTCGGCTTCAAGATCATGCACCCCACAAATTGAAAGATGGCTGCTTGTGGAACTACATAAAGACAGCTGATGAAACCAACTACTACTCTCGTGCCCTCCTCTCTCTCTCTCTCTCTCTCTCTCTCTCTCTCTCTCTCTCTCTCCCTCTCTCTCTCTCTCTCTCAACCCAATCGAGTCTTTCTCATTGCGTGTCTGGGGGCAGTCGTAAAAAGCCACGTTGAATCCGAGACATTCCAGTGCAGCCACCGCCTTCGGAAACCGGCTCACCCACAAACTGGCGGATCCAGTGACGGACTCGGCTCACCTTGCGGAGGAGCGGGTCAACCTGGCAATGGGGAGGGGGATCGTGTTGCGAGAGTCGTGGGAGAAGCTGATCTGCGGTCACGATGCCCACCAGATCCGTCGCATCGACGGGCTGACGAGACAGCAGTTCAACTCGCGTCATCCCTCCGCGCAGACTTTGCCCGTAGACCTGCTCTCCGAAGGACCCCAATCCCACGTTGCGCAGCAGAACAATGTCGCGGGGACGAAGCATGGCCAGGGCCCGGCGGACGTGGTCAGCCTGTGGGGTGGCGCTGGAAGTCTTCAAGTGGGCAGTCGCGACGGTAAGCCAGAGGTTGACGCCAAATCCCGTCCGCGTCTCATCGCCGACAATCATCTCGACAATGTCCATGTCGGTTTGTCGTGGTCGCGTCACCACCCGCCGAGGTGAGTGAATGGCAATCACGCCCACCACGAGATTCACCGTCATGGTTCGGGGCATGATAGATTGCAGGTAGGTCGCGCTGGGCACATTCCTCAAGTCTCGGATGGGACCCGCAACCGGCAGTGGAGGATGAGGTTTCGCCTCTTTCTCTGCAACTCGGGGTGCAGTAACAATCGGATGGTCATCATCATCATCATCATCATCATCATCGAGGAGAGACTTGCTCTCCTGGGTGGACGAGTCTTCCATTTGAGAAATCGAAAACCCCGACGTTTCGTGCGTCACAAACGAGTGATCGAGAAATGCCGACAGGACGGAGTCATCTGCCAAGGAGCCATCTTCACCTTGAATGAGTTGATGAGTTCTGAGAAAGCTGGGATCCCCGGGGCCAGCACACACATCAATGTGGCTGATATGGAGCCCCGGTACTTGGCGAGCTTGTAGAAGCCTCCATCTCGCCTGTTGCTCGAGTTGCCCGGATTGTATGTCACTATGCGGGATGGTATCCGCAGTTTCGAATGGGGGAATGGGATCATGGAGAAGGGAATCACGCTCCCAGTCTAGATGACTGGATAAAGGTGCGCCCACCAGGTAGATGGTCTTCATGAGAAGCAGGTAAGGTAGCCTCTCGCGGCGTGCCTCACTATCTCTCAGTAGTGGCCAAGCGCCAAGTGAGGTTTGGCCAACAGGCCTGGATATTAGTAGTAGACTTGACCTCACCTAATCTCACATCAAAGCAGCATTAGTGCTGAGACCAGACAAGCCAAGCACGTACACATTGGACGATGCTTGATTTGTGGGAGTCGGTGAAAGTTTTGGAGAATAGTGAGGTATACGTCAGATAAGTGAGGTGCCTCATCCGAGCAGCTGTAGACGTCCAACCGAGCCTCAACCATGGGATGGACAATTGTGATTCGGAACCGACACCTGTTCCATGTTCCCAGACTGCCTACATAACTTTGGGCTTCAAGGCAAGACACTTCCCTTCCACCTTGGCCAAATCTGCGATACAAATGTATTGTCAAGCAACACAAATTTCCAACAAATACAACCTCACTCTAAAGCTCGTGAGCTTCATGGAGGATCACAGTTCATAATTCGTTCCATAGTCCAGGACTCCATAGTCATACTACCTCTGCCAGTTCTACATGATTCCCCCAACAGCCGCTCCACTTCACCAGGTGCACGTGATCTAGTGATTAGTCAAGCCGACACAAATCGGGTGGCGACCGATGCTCGCCGCGACCCCGGCGGAGCAAAAGCCATCGTCACTACCCATCACCTTCGATCAACATCTTGAGCGTTGGTCATGGCAATCGCGATCAAGCAGCATTGATTGTCGTATTTTCCCCGTTAGGTCGCCATCACACCAAGATCCTCTACAAGGGGCTGCATCGTCAATATTTCCCCGCGGCCAAGCGCCGTTACCAACGGACCAGCATGGCGTTCCAGGCCTCGATTTCGCGGCCGGTATGCTATGACTCCCTCCTGTGATTACCTGGAATACATCACTGACAACCGCATGTCATTACTTAGCATATGGTCGCACTCACATCAGATTTTTGGCCCACAATGTCGACTGTGATCGCTGGCTCCTTAAACCGAGCTGGCCGAGCATCGATGACGATGACCGGGATGCGCAACATCCGGCGACAATCTACGTTTGCTAAGAGGTCTCTAGCGGTAAGCCTTGTACAAAATACCTACATATTGGGACGAAATGGCGGGCTTCTATCATCCACAGCCTTTGATGAGTGTGTTGGTGCTTGGGGACCTGAGTATTATTCCTTTGACGGCGTTTCCAGACCGCTGACCGACCCTCTTCATCACCAGTCGCCGCGCTCGGTAACTTCGCTCTGGCATGGAAGTTAGTCGAGATCCCTTCTCCCCAAAATATCTTGCATCTGACTCACGCGCTTCGCTATAGACTCGTCGTCCCCATCCACCGCCTACCCCGTTTCGGTCTCTACACCTCGGTCTCTGTCAACATGGGCGACGAGGGGCCGCCTCAATGTGATTCGTGACTCTTCCAAACTTCTTCGGCTCACCGGAGTCCAGCAGCAAAGATTCTTGTTCGGCGGCCCTTCGCAGAGTATGCTAGCTCAGAAGGAGAAGACTGCAAACAACAACCCGAGTAGCGCGACTGCGCAGAATAACTTCTACCAGGCACTCCTCCGCGCAAACATGCCCGCATTCATTATTGAACGGTACCGCAGTGGCCAGTTTGCCAGCAATGCCGCATCTGAGGCGATATATACCAAGGCTTTGGAGCGGGCTGGCGAATCAGGTGCGCTGGGTGGTCAGGGACAGAATCTCAACTCGGATCAGCTCCAGGCTATCGGTCAGGCTGTCGCCGCTCGTTCTCATGGTGGCCAGATTGGCATGGCGAACAAGCCTAATGGAACCGGTGCAAAGGAAGCCCCTCTCTACGTTGTAGTCGAGGAGTCTCTTGGCAACACCGTGTTCCGCTGGGTCAAGTTCCTGCTCATCTTTGGTTTCTTTACTTATCTGTCTCTGGTCCTGGTCACTATCTTGGTTGAAACGACTGGCGTCTTGAAAAACATCCGTGGTCAACAGAATAACGAAGCTCAGCCCGAAAAGCAAACCGTGCGTTTCAGTGATGTCCACGGTTGCGATGAGGCCAAGGATGAATTGCAGGAGCTTGTCGAGTTCTTGCTGAACCCGGAACGCTTTTCATCACTCGGTGGAAAACTCCCTAAAGGTGTTCTCTTGGTCGGTCCTCCCGGTACTGGTAAGACTCTGTTAGCCCGCGCGGTCGCCGGCGAAGCAGGTGTCCCCTTTTTTTACATGTCCGGCTCCGAGTTCGATGAGGTCTATGTCGGTGTCGGTGCTAAGCGTGTTCGTGATCTATTCACACAAGCCCGCAGCAAGTCCCCGGCAATCATTTTTATCGACGAGTTAGACGCCATAGGTGCAAAGCGAAACGAGCGTGATGCGGCCTATGTCAAGCAAACGTTGAATCAGCTTTTGACTGAACTTGACGGATTTTCCCAAACGAGTGGTGTCATTATCATTGGCGCCACCAACTACCCACAGCTGCTCGACAAGGCTTTGACCCGACCCGGTCGTTTTGATCGCAAGGTTGTCGTTGGTCTTCCAGATGTTCGCGGGCGCATGGATATTCTGCGTCATCACATGAAGAATGTACAGATCAGCACTGATGTGGATGTTGCTGTCATTGCCCGCGGTACTCCTGGTTTCTCTGGTGCCGACCTCGAGAATTTGGTCAATCAAGCCGCAATTCATGCCAGTCGCGACCGCAAGCCCAAGGTTGGCCCCTTGGACTTTGACTGGGCCAAGGACAAGATCATGATGGGCGCCGAGGCTCGCAGCCGTATCATTCAGGACAAGGATAAGCTTCTGACTGCCTACCACGAGGCCGGTCACGCTCTGGTCGCATACTTTTCACGATCCGCTACGCCTCTGTACAAGATCACTATTGTCCCGCGTGGCATGGCCTTGGGTATTACCCACTTCCTGCCCGAGATGGACACTGTTTCCCGCAACTATACCGAGTATCTTTCCGATATTGATGTGGCCATGGGTGGCAAGGCTGCCGAGGAGTTGATCTTCGGAGCAGACAATGTCACCAGCGGTATTTCAGCAGTAGGTTCTATCCTTTCACCCTTTTTCCTTTTTTTTTCTCTTTATCTATGATATTACCATGATGATGATGATGATGATGATGATGACGATCATGATTTCTTGCTAATCACCCATGATACAGGATATTCAGCAAGCTACCGAAACAGCGTTCACCTTGGTCACTCGATTCGGTTATTCCAAGAAGCTTGGAAATGTCGACTTGTCAACCAACTACGATAGTCTGTCATCAGAAACTAAGCAGGAAATCGAGGGTGAAGTGCGACGTCTCGTTGAGGAAGCTCGTGAACGCGCCACCAAGATCTTGACGGAGAAGAGAGAACAACTTGAAATCCTTTCCAAGGCTCTGATCGAGTACGAGACCTTGACAAAGGAGGAAATGGAACAGGTGCTTCGAGGCGAAAAACTAGATAAGATGTCTAGTGCGCCAGAAGCCCCGATCAGAATACCCGACGCTTTGCAGGCTGCCGGACTCAACGCCCACGCCGCCGATGTATCTTCCGTGGCCTCGAAGTAAAAAGGTGGCCATTTCTTCTTTTTGATTTCTCGTCACCTTTTTTTACCTTATAGGGGATTTTCAGCGTCTTGAAATGATGGCTTTTTGCTCATCTCCTCTCCCTGTACCCTCCGCTTCGTGTACTGTTCCATTTACACTTTTCCTTCCTCAACCCGTCTCACCTAGCTTAGCCACAGTGTACTATCTCTGTTATGCATTCCCGGAACAATCGGGCGTCAATACTATTTATCATCATGCAATGCTTCGTTCTGCTCTCATGTCCCGCCTTTTCGTTCACTTCTCCCTATATCCCTAAATCCACGAGTCCGATATTGCTCCAACTTGATGTATTGTCCTGATGTACTTGAGATGACGAGTCTCCGAACTACCTCTGACAATCTCATCATATGAATGGACTATCCTTCTGTACTCTTCCAAGAAGAATATTGATTATTAATGTAGAAAGAAGGCTCCTGCAACAACCATCCATGTCACTGCTCAATGTATGGCGGATCACAAATACCACTCAGACTGAGAGCCCATGCATCCAGCACTATACCTTCCCTCAGAATACAACCTTGTCCTTTAAAGAATCTTTTGAAACCCCCCAAATTTTATCCATCGAACGGAACAACGGGCCCCGGGCACACACACCCTTGTCCAGGGCAGTCAGTGGCCATCGATACCTCGAACATGAGATGCGGCTGCAAATGTACCGAGGTAGGTGCAGCACCGCCACACGATAAGAGAGAGAGATGAGGTTGAGCTTGCTACCTACGGGGGAGACCCCGTTCTATCTGGACAGGCTTTGGAGTATGGACTGTGGCCCGGTGAGCGGCCGAATCGCATGCCATACGAACAATCAGCAGCAAAGGGAATGATTGACCTCTGTTGAGTCTGGGATTATGCTAGGACAATAAAGATGGGAGGACAAGTATGAAGCCCATCCTTCTACATAGGGACCTTGCTACGTTGTGGACGGCCGTCCGCCAAATTAACCTCTGCATGGATACTTGAATCACCGAGCAAATCCTCCGAGCTCTTGCCGAGATGGTTTCGGTGAGAGTCAAGTCAGACTGGACTTGGATATGGTAACGGACTACTGCGGGCGACTCACGACTCGAAGGAAGACTCTAGGGCAGCCCACTGCATTATTGGTTTGAGAGCACTAATAGAATGCGGTGAGTAGGGTACTGACGCTCGAAAGTTCAAGCATTAGTATAACAGTATACCTTACTTTGAGTGACTGACTACTGAGTTACCTAGGTAGTAGTGTATACTGTATACTGTATACTGTGCAGGGTCCGAATAAGCTACGAGCTAAAAGAGACTCTTCAGGTTACTATCCTTGAATCACCCACAGTCTCTGGACAATATTTATCATCACAATGGTGGTACTTGGAAGGTTGTCCTTTGCGCTTGCCTTCAAATTGTCCCGCCCTGTCTTTCTAGGCAAGATGCGGTACTGCAGGCGACAGGTGCACCCAGGAACGAGGGTATCGTGCTCCAAAACACTCATGCCGGAAGCCTAGAGCGCTGATGTCTTGTGATTTGTACTTTACTGTACCTGGAGTTATTGGGGACACGAGTCTAGGGTTAGTAGACTCTATGATTGTCCTACGGGCCTTTCGGCCGGTCTTGTTGCATGGTGTTTTAGAATCATCTTTCGTTGAACTCCATTTTAAAAGATCCCTCGTGATAGTACTGAAACTGTAATGCTAATCATTTTAGATTCGGCCCGCCACAAGACCTTATATCGTTGTATTCGTTGCCCAGCATACTTATCGGCCGCCGTAGACGTGGCCCTACAAACAGTACGTGGATCTTGTAGTGAATTCTTACTGCCCCGATGATTAGCCCAGTCACTGGCAGAATCCTGGGCCGCGACCAATATAAATCGTATGAGGACTGGTTCTTTCTAGGAATTGTACTATATGTCGTTCTCCTTGGACGCTCCGCTTCCCAGAGTCAATCGAGGGTTCAGCAAGGATTCTGCCCTAAGTAGCTAGTATCGAGTTATGTACTCAGTAGTCACTTACTAGTAACTACTAGTGAATCAGTAACTAGTACCTTAGATACCTAGGTAGTCAGTAAACTCAGTACAACTTACCTTATATACCAACTACAGAACTTGAATCTGACTACACGCTCATCCAAAGCATGACCCCCCTCAGTAATATCAGATCTCAAATCTCAAATCTCAAATCTCAAATCTCAAATCTCAAATCTCAAATCTCCAGTCCCCAAATCTGAGCTTCACCAAGACCAAGGGTCTGATCAGCATGACAACATTCGAACGAATTGTGGATTCCACGACACGTACGTGACAAGCAGAACCGGCTTGCGTGCGGACGATCACGAATCCTTATTTGTGGGTTGGCACTTGTCAGGTGTGGAAATGGAGAAGATATGAGATAAGAGTGGAGTTCTTGGGCGAGTGGGGATGGGGATGGGGAGAGGGACTCGGGCTTGCGGAGCCAGGGAAAGAAATTCGTCGTTTGAGAGAGCCTTGGGCGATGATGGCACGGCGATTGCCATGCTGTGTAGGCTGTAGAATGTTTTGTATCGTACAGAGTGGGAGCCGAAGCCTCATTCAAGCTTACATGGTTCGAGGGATGGGGTGTATTTTGGATCTTTTTTTTTGGGCCCATTGTCATATCACGGTATCAGAACATGCTACTATGTACACACCCCCAAACAATAACGAACGATGAGCATCTTCTTCCCTCTTCTGTTCCAGCACGTACGTCAAGAATTGATATTGCGAAGTACACGCAAATGAGGTAGTCTCGAACCACCCAAGCAGGAGAGGATGCAGTGAAATCAAAAAAAAAAAAAAGAAAGAAAACTCAAACGGGAAACGACAAGACCCGTGGCCCTTCAAGCTTCGTGGCTCATCATAAACAAACACAACCACTCATCACAGTCATGAAATAGACACCGACATCACAGCGGTCAAATAGTTGGACAGGAATAATGGACAAAGACCAGAACCCTCTGATAGATAGAGATAAACAAATGGGTGTGTATGTATTAAGAGGTCAAATGTCCCACGCACACCCTCGGGAACACTCGAGGAAATGCAACACCACAGAGAGACGAGTAGGGAGACGTGTAATGGAAGAATCGGGTGGAAGGCGCGCGCCAATATGAAGACATGTGGACAATGTCTGGTCTCTCTGTGGTAGAATGAACGCTGGAGAGAAAAAAAAAGTGATGCCTTGAGGCAAATAGTCGCCTTGAGTTGCCTCTCTCATTCGTGCCAACGGTGAGAGGAGCTACACCGCGGCGTGGGACGTGAAAAAGAGGCATCGGTAAGCCAGTGAAACGTGAGAATTGGGGATCACAAGGTGACCGCAGAGAAATGGCCTGCACATTTAGTCGACCTCGTCTTCCAAACTGGCGTTATCTCTCATCCAGCCACGGGACATTTCAACAGCCTTGGACCACCGCTTGTACATGCGAGTACTTTCCTTGACCGTGATCTGTGGCTCAAAGGTAGCCCGGTTGGCACGGTTCATGTGCTTGAGGTCGGAGAAATCTTTCCAGACACCAATCGCAAACGCGGCCGCGATGGCAGCACCGAGAGCAGTGGTTTCATGCATGGCGGGTCGCTCGACGGGAATTTGGATGATGTCGGCTTGAGTCTAAGTAGTCGTGGAACGCGGAATTAGCATTCAAATTGGGAAATCAAAACCACCATTCCAGGTGAATGGCAAGCAATATTCAACTCGATCATACCTGCATGCAAATATCAGAGTTACTCATGCCACCGTCGACAGCCAGCTCGGTCAACTTTTTGCCACTGTCCATCTCCATCGCATCGAGGATAGCCTTAGTTTGGAAACAAGCAGCCTCCATGGTCGCGCGGGCGATGTGACCTCGTTGTGTGTGGTGGGTAATGCCCCCTGTTAAGAAGAGAAAAGTCAGATCTCTGTCAAAGGAGAATGGGTGGGCGGAAAGTAGTAGAAGATCAGGCGCGGGGTATCTTACAAATAGTTCCTTGAGCATCATCAATCCAGTACGGGGCAAATAGACCACTGAACGCAGTAACAAAGACACAGCCGCCACTGTCTGGCACGGTCGCGGCCAGATCACTGACCTTGCGAGAGTCGCGGAAAAAGCCCATGTTGTTCATGAGGAAGGAGACACCGCTTCCTGCTACGGCCACACTACCTTCCAACGCATACACCGGTTTGCGATCCCGTCCTAATTGGAACCCCACCGTCCCCAAGAGACCGTGTTTGGAGATGACTGGCTTGTCACCCACGTTGTAGAGCAAGAAGCATCCTGTTCCATAGGTATTCTTGGCAGAGCCGGGGGTGAAAGCACAGTGGCCGACAAGGGCAGCGGCCTGGTCACCCAGACAGCTCGTGATCGGGGTTCCTTCCAGCGGACCCTCGTACATCTCGCCAAAGCCCTCCGGATCGGCCGATGGCAGGATCTCCGGAAGACGGAGTTTTGTGCGATCAATGTCAAAGAAATTGAGCAGGCGGTCATCGTATTGCAGGGTTTCGAGGTTCATGAACATGGTCCGTGAGGCATTGGTCACGTCGGTCACGAGACGCTTGTTACGGGGCCCGCCGTTGAGGTTGTAGATGAGCCACGAGTCGACTGTGCCGAAGGCGGCGCGACCCTCATCATATGCCGTGCGAACGTCGTGCAGATTATCCAGCATCCAGCGTAACGTCACCGACGAAGGGTAGGTGGAGAGGGGCAGACCGCAGATGTTGACCAGATCATCGGCGCCGGGTTTTTCTTTTAATTCTCGGACGAGATTCACTGTGCGTGTATCGGTCCAGGTGATGGCATTGTGAAGGGGCTCGCCTGTCTCCCAGTCCCAGACCAAGGCGGTCTCTCGCTGACTTGTGATGCCGATCGCTTCAATATCGGAGCGAGAGTGGCCGAGGGCCAAGAATGATTTCATCGCCTCCTCGATGCAAATGTACACCGATTCAACCAACTCATAGGGGTCCTGTTCATGCCATCTAAATAGACAAGAAGAAGTTGGTTAATGTCAGAAGCTCTGGGAATGGAGGGCTTTTTGCCTCTATTGATATGGTTGCTTCTGGCCGCTCTCGATCTTTCTCGCTGATTCCGTCTCTCTTGAATTGACAGTGATTTCCACAGAGAGCGACACTTGGAGTGCCAGGACTGAGCGTTGACTGAGTGCAATCTCATACCAGGAGGAGGCCGAGGTCGAAAGTGAGATTTGAGGAATGTAAATTGACGGGGCACTTACCCTGGATGTTCATGAATTTGACGGAATTCCGTCTGATACTTTGCGATTGGGACACCGGTGCAGTCAAAAATAATGAAACGAGTACTCGTTGTACCCTGATCGATTGTGCCGATGAAGCGCTCTTTCAAATCGGAGGGATGGTGTTCTTCATCCTGCAAAAGAGCACGGTCGCCATCATCGGTCTGGTGAGGTCGGACTTCGACCTCGAATTCAACATCGGTGGCGGGCTCAGAGTCCCCATCCACACTGTTCTCGTCCAGATCGAAAGGATTTCGCATGGTGATCAGACCGCACGTCGAGGAGGAGTGTGGGTTTGTGTGTGTGTGTGAGAGAGAGAGGATACTGAGGGAGAAATGGTCGAAGGACGCACAGCCGGGACCCAATGATACTAGGGAAAGGCGGAAGAAGAAGGGCACAGATGGAGAGATGGAGATAACGGGGACAGATGCAAGGTTTGGAGTAGGAAGAAAGAGTGAAGAGAGTAGAGGGAAGAGAGTAGAGGAGAGAGAGAAGAGGGAAGAGGGACCGGGAGAGCGAAAGTCGGAGAAAGTCAAGAGAGAGAGAGAGAGATAGCATGTACCCGCACCGAAAAAGAACTTCCGTCAGTCAGGCGGAGGGCCGAGGGGGAGGGGAGGGGAGAGGAGGGGGGGCAAAAGGCTGTAAGAGCGGGCACGTTAAAAAAATGTGGGGGAGGTCCAGGAAAATTCGAGGAAAGTATGACGATAGGCCGTGGATAAATGGGCCAGGTTGGCGCTGACTGGATTATGGATCTTGACCCGTGGGGAGCGGACCAGGCGAGGAGCACCGCCGACCAGCGAACGGACCGGCAAAGAGAGGCTATGATCAAATGGATGTGAGGAGGTTTCAAGGCGCAGGAACAGCAGAGTATAAATGCAAGACCGATCAATTGAATAGGAAGCCCACGGGGTCTCTGCCTGTTAAGGTTCAAGTCGTGCCGATGCGGATGCAGACAGGAGACCGAGCGAGAAGCGACGATACTGAGTCGTTATCGGAAGAGGAGGAGAGGAGGAGGAGGAGGAGGAGGGCTTGCAGCCGTGACTGGTCGCACTGGCGTTCTTGTTTCGGTGGGCCGCTAGTCCAGGCGAACAGCTTGCAGTGACACGGGGTAATAGAGACCTCGTGGATTTGAAAGGGGAGTTTGGAGGAGATCGAGGAGAATTATCTGGGGAAAGAGATAACTCTGTCAAGTCGAGTAGTCATGTATACTACTGTACAATATGGATAGTATACTGGGCACTTTGCAGGTGTGTACAGTTGTACCAAGGTTCCTTCTGCACCATGTGCACTGTGCAGTACCACAAAGGCGGCCGGGATACCTCCAGTTACGCTGATTATGGGCGGCAACTATTAGAAGTGGCAGCAGATTAGCAACCATAGAGGACTGACGATGGTACAGAAGGGGTCTTGTCCAGTGCCAGCAAGTTGCACCGAGTAGAGAAACCCAACCCGGTGACCGTTGACGGGGTCACGGGTGACACGGCGACTCAGAACAAGCAAGCAAGAACCCGCACAGAAACAGCCCGACGGACCGGTTCCTTCTGCGTGAGCCAGCGGAGGCACCAAAGAAGAAAAGTGGAGAGTGACGTACGAGGGGCGAGACTGGAGAGGGGCACAGCTGCCAGCCGGTTAGACTGATGTGAAACTTCGAGTTCAAGGTACCGGGATGGGCTCGACAGTCGATACACTCAAGACAGGGGTTCAAGGCTAAAGGATAGCTGAGAAGAGAATTCCTTCCTGGGACGTGGAGGGGAAGATTCTCCAGAATCAGTGATTCAATGACAAGATTCAACTGGAGGAGGTTTCAAGAACCAAAAAAAAAAAAGGGAATTGTTGGATCAGGTGACCGATCTCAGACAGGCACGTGTATGGAGGGATCGAAGTCCGTGTAGTACAATACCCGACGATCCTCTTGACTGGACCATGTGCGTCAGGGAAGACGACCGTCTACTTATCCAAACAGGTGGGGTGATCAGGGATGAAGATCAGAAAAGCTCAAGACGATAGTTTGATCTGTTTCACTCTCATATTCTGTGGATGTGTCTCCCTTATTGATCGCTTGACCTGCTACATTAGGAGGAATAAGAATATGGACTAATTAAGATGGTCTCTCAGTCATGACCGTTGCACTCAAGGGGCAGGCAGGCAGGTACCTTAGGGAGTAGGTACTAGGTACTAGGTACCACTTATTCGGTGTTCGCTCAGGGAAAGCTTGATATATGTAGCAGGACGACTACTGTAGTACTCTATACTATAAAGTATCAAGCTAATTAGGTACCTACAACTTGGTAAGTTATAACCACGTACTACGTAGGTTATTTAGTATGCGACTATGCTCCAGCTTCCCGAGAATCACCTCCAGTCTACACGGGGCCCCCGAAGGATTCGATACTCTCGAGTCTGAATAGAAATTGAGCCTCAGCAGCAGGAATGATGTACGTTAGAACTGGCAACAGTAGGAGCCTCGGAGGAGGTTTTGGGCAACAGTCACTTGACTGGGGGCATACTGTACAGGTCTTGTCATCGGGACTCGCGGCTGCAGGAGAGGCAAGTGCAGTTCGCAGGGGAACAAAAAAAAATAATCATACAGATAGCACATCTGCACAGAGTAGGCTCTGTCCCAGGTACCACATCCACAGCAGTACAGAACTACAGACTGTCAGATTCACAGTGTATCCCCTACTGGCACGCTTCTTGCAGGGACTGTGGTAATAGTACAGTTGTCGACACGAGTGGAACAAACAGTTCATCTCGAAGGATGCAGATGGTTCCTTCCAAAAGATGAACAGGGGACGCTCCCGGGCCTCTGCTGCCGATTCTCTCGTGTCATATGACCGATCAGACTCGGTTTAATCCTACATCATGCATGCTACATACAATCGTCTCGACTGTTTCCGTTCTACTATCGTACCTCAGGATCCCAAATGAGCACCACCAATCCTTCGTGTGATGTGCAAATTCCCTTTACCAAACTTCCGCTACTCCCTATCTTTCACCCCATGTAGTGAGGGCTTCCATTGTTCTTCCACCGTATTCTTCCTTCCCCTGCACCCGTTCCCGCTCCCACTCTCCCCGGGCGGAGTTTCTGAATTTCTATAGATAGTCCATGGCCCATCACCCCATTAAGGGTTAGACGCAACTTTCTTAAATCCAAGTCCACTTGCCAACTCGAGGCGGGCGCCGAGACCCATCGATCGAAGGGGCACATGACTGCCCTCAATTTTTCTCTTCCTCGAAGCCCCCACTCCATCCACCCCACGTTCTAGATCCTGTCCCGCTTTCCCGGCCTGTGGTCGGCTGGACTGTTACGAGTCTTTGGTCGGGAAGCTACTACTGTCGATCACAGTAGCTACTGCACGAATTTCCTGCGTGATGGATGATGGATGGCACCAAGAATGAGCGGAGCTAGGAGGAATTTTAGAGATGCCGTGTTCTTTCGGTTAGGTTTCGACACCACGCGCTTCACCATTGTACACATACTGCCCAAACTAGTAAGGCGGTGCAATCTTGGACTCTCACCATTCATGGAAAAACTAGGGCTGGTGATAGCCGGAAAAATTATTGCCATTCACTTGACCTCTCCTTAGGCACGGGAGAATCTCTCGTCGGCATCCACTACCTTAGTACCTACTGGGGTGCAGTGTGCACTGTCAAGGTCTTCAGCTTCACATTTGTACGAGAAAGACTTTTGGGTACCTTTTTCCAGGGCCTCGGCCTGCTCAGGATTCAATGAGGCGTGCACATCCATGGGACGGTGTTTAAAATACGGAGTTCCGAATCCTCAAAGATACTTTATGGAAGAAATCCCAGACCTCACAGATCCTGATGAATCGGACGAAGTTTAGATCGTGATACGCACTAGTTTAGAAATGTGGCCTTTGATGGGATGCGGCTACTGTAGGGGCAGCAGTATCGATGTGTGAGAGGGATGAGGAGTGAGATTGCTATGGGGGAGAGATTCTACCTAAGCTATTGACTGTGGTGAGTGGCAGAATCACATGTCATACGAACAGCCTTTATTCTTATACCGAGAGGTACATATATACGTGAACAATTGCGAACAATGCTAACAACCGATCAAGCTTCTGGAGACTCTAGTACCTCTTAATCACTTTGACAGACTACCTTAGTAGTAAGCCGGCTTTCCTTTCCGAAACAGCCTCATCGCCGTGTCCAAGTGTTGCCTGCAGCTGCACGTGAAACCCCCGTTGCGCAGCTGACGGACGATTCACCCTCTGGCAGAAAGGGACCAACTGGTACCTACTAAAGCTCTGAGAACAGGTAAGGTATTTGTAGGTGATCTACAAGAAGGAGAAGAGAAAGGTGAAACGCAACTTGATTGGTGTGAAGAAGATGGGAGGAAGAGAGGCTATCTAATGTGGGTTGTGGGTCCCTCGGTGGTGAGGCGGCAGAATCATCCAAACACAATTCAACGCAGATTTTCGTTTTCTTCAATGAATTAAACCATGTGGTTAGGTGCTTAGGTAGGTTCCAGTATTCAAAACTGCCCAGTTCGGTAGGAATTCACAGGATACTTGATTTGATATGAGCCCCCTCGTTCACCATCAAACGAAGAATGGCGGTGGGAGCTGGTGCCTCACTCGAGCAAACACTCATTCAAACCCAGTACATAGAAGAGACTATTATTCAATCTGAATGGCCCTCTTCATGCATTATGCACAATGACATGGTATCATTGTTTCAAAAGAAAGTTCATCTGACGCTGCCCAAACGCTCTCGACTCCTCGAGTCTCTGTCTGATTCCAGGTACCCTTACAGCGAATATGAAAAGAGGGATCGACGCTGGGCTTATCCAGTCAGGGACAAGATCATGTGTACTGGTCGATCCCGCGTAATGCGGCAAATCAATGGAAATGGAGTCATGTACGTAGGGCCATCAGCAAATTAATCACGGACGAATCTAATGATAATATATCGATAGTTGGTTGTGGACGATCCGGTGGGCCACTGGAACCCATTTCAAGCCCTCGCGCGTAGGTTCACGGGCAGTTCGCGCTCGTTATTACACATTTTCCGGCCAACATGGTCAACTCAATTCATGGAAAAAAGTTGGCACGTTACACTGGGCCTGGCATGCAGTCAACGGGCATAGTTATCGACACCGTGGAACAGCTATGTAGCTCCTAGAGAAAAGAAAGGATCAAAAAGCTCTGACAGGCAGAATGATGAGGTGGACCCTCGGGAAAAAAAAGTTCACTGAAATTTCTCGACAGACAAGGATTGCCATAGATCACATGGCACCTGCCTATGTATGTAGACATTATTCAAGGAGCACCATGCAGGTCTTCTGCACGCAGCGGAGATGCAGAAAGGGTCTCGCCCCTCGATGGGCCCTCCTCCGGCTTCGAGTGCGGTGCCGATTCCACATTCTGGAACGTGCCTTGCACGGGTACGCTTTGGATCCCGTTTCGCTTCACCTTCCCCTTTCGGCTTTGCATTTGTCCCAGGGACGACCATGCGGGAGCGACCGTGCTTTAATGCCGGTCTCCGGTGATCACTTGACGCCTGTACTTGGCGTCAATGACGCGGTCTGTCGAGGATGTGCGTCAGGACTATCGTTCTCATCTGCACCGCGTTGTTGCCGATCAGTGTTATTGTGGTATAATCAATTGTCTGCAAACGTCGAGGTCGGTGCTGCCGGAAATATTATTCTTCACTCTTACCATAATGTGTGGCACTGAGAACTTGGATTTTCTTCGCTAAAAGACTCGGTCGTACAGTCCTAGATCAATTCAGGTACCAACCTAGTATATCCGGTTCCAGGCACTCCATCCTCCGAACAAGGCACGTCCCCAGTGCATGTCTCTCTAATGGATGAGACAAAGAACGCTTACTATCTTTCCCATGATACAAGGTGACAGAGGTAAAGGTATGAAGGGGGGTTCTTTGCCCCAACAAAAAATCGCCCTCTTGACTTTTGTTTGACACGCTGGAGGCTTAACCTCAACGGTGTCAATCCCCGGATCCCGACCTAAGTGCAAGCCAGAGAACTTACGTATGGCATCTCCCAAATGTCTCGAGCCAATCACTCTCAAAGTTGGGCAACAAGCTTACTCGGGGTACCGATGACGAAAGTATATCGTAGTGCTGGCCCGACAGACTGGAAAGACGGTTTGGGTTGGCCCGAACCGAATGGTTCGTAGGAGTCATCAGCCTGAGGCGAGAAATAAAAAGATGAAAAATCCGCAAATGACGGTCACCGATTTCTGTGAGTTTGGGTGAAGTTCTCCCGCTCGGTACCTGGACATGAGATTCAGATCTAGTGGCTCGGAGACGAACTACTGAGGTGCCCGTCGAACGAACCCAGTCATAGTGAAAAGTCCACCTAGTAAGGTTGTGTGGTTGCAAAGAATGTTCCGCAAGTGTGCGTAGGCCAGAATTGGACTGATATCACACCACGTCGACTGACTAGATATTTGCGCCTGCTGAGTTGGAGCTGACTTCGTTTTGAAATCCAAACCTGCTGGACATCTCCATGGAATTGAGATCAAATGAATTAGGAACCTGGACTATCGGTGTCGATTGCTCAAAGCTCATGCATGCACCTGACAAACACTGGCTTGTCGTCTTAAGGTAAGGTAATTACTAATTACAATCTGTATCACATGTGATCCTCCCGGTAGCTACCTATCTAGGCAGACGGAACTCGCGTGGACAGAACCTCTTGACTGCAATCTCAATATCCCTTCCAACTACCCTCTCTTCGCTGCATCTACCTACTGTAGCCAAATTTCGTCAATTGGAACCACATTTGAATTTCGACGAATGCCTTACAGCAGATTGTTCTCTGTGAAACCTACAGCTGTAGGCTAGTTCTTACCTCTACATATTTTCCCACGGATCCCCTCGGTTGCAAAGCATCTCTTTATTTTCACCTTCCGGCCTCGTCGGAATAACAAAAGTATCGCAGCCAGCCGGCTAAAGAGACTCTAACCTTGATTTCTAGGGTGCTCATACAGTTCACCATTTGAGCATCTCAACTGTTCTAACTACCGAAAACTTCCCCGTCGTCTCTGTGAACTGGCTGTTCTAAGAAATCAAGTCCAAGTGAAGATGCGCGGGCTGTCATGGTGTCCTAACCGTAGGGATGGATGGCGCTTTCAGCCTTAATCCACCTGCAGTGATGGCTGCTCTATCAAGACGTCCCGTCTGGTTGGAAGTAACACTTGTCAAACATATGCGTATGGACTCTGGGCACCATGCCGGCCACTGCTCTTTGTTTCCAACGTCAACAGGATCCATCCATACGGCATCGATAGACAGCATCACATGGATGTCCCTTCCGGTGGCCTTCCTCGGACTCTGATTTTTACGGGTAACCCCGACGGTTGTGATCTCTCTGAAGCCGGGAAGACCTCGGTGAATCCGGTGGATCATTCCGAAATGAATCAAAAGTTTTTTGAGTCAGCAAAAACCTACCGGGTGAGGATGATTTCGATCACTGATACGGTCACCTACCATATTCGTCTGTTCAACGACAATGGAGGTTGATGACAGTTGTCCTGCAATAGCACGGCACCGTCTCTGCCAAAATGGAAGCCATCGTGAATCTAACCTTGGAAGGACTACGAGTAGCTACTGATTGATTGAGATACGGTTAGTTTAGATCAAGACCTGGCTTCAATTCGCGCCACGGCAGATCTCCGTTCTGGTGCCGGAAGTGCTTGTCTTGAACCTACATTTAAGAAAGAAAAGCAACATGTGCAAGAGCAGGTCTAACTGGATTTCGTTCCATGAACTGAATTGATAGGTATCTCCCGTCCCATTCCTATACCTAGGTGTGTTGGACAAGAAGCTCGCGATGATCTTGAAACAGACAAATACTTGGCATCATTCGATGAATAGTCGACGTGATTGATATCATTGCCGAGACTTTCGAACCGACTCGGTTTTCTCCAAGACGAGTGCCTACAGAATAGATGAGCCACGGCATTGGAAGCCTCGGAAAAGTACTCAATTTTCGAAAGCGAGGTTTCAGGGGTCATCGAAGATGGGAGTGGTGATGACCCCAAAATGGATTCCACCTTCTAACAGTTCCGGCATTATCGGGTCGATACCTCTTATGGATGTGAGCGTGGGAACTAGGGGCCTTCATTGGACGCGTTCCTGCCATTGCATACTACATGTATGTAGGTTATTCCCTAGCCGCTTCAGTGGGCATTGTTAGGGTTGTCCGAGGGAATGGATGGAGTCGAAGGGCTGCCTCTGTGGTGCCCTTGTACCGTCATGTCCTGGCCAGATTTCAATTCTTGGTACATGGGTGCGCGGCTACCTCTAGCTCGAGGTTCCCGGACGGGACATGTTGACGGGATGCGTCGGGGTTTCGGGAGTTATTGGAAGTAGGTACTTGTGTACTTGGCCATGAATCCATCAAGCCTGATGAGATTATTGAAGTGTACCTGGTATACATTGCATAAGCTGATGGATCCTTCATGGAGCAAGCAGGTCTGCGTAGGTTCCAGAATGAAGGTCCACACCAACAAGGGTGCATAGGTATACGGCAAGGGTACGTTTGGTAGCAAGAGGCAGCAGCTTCTCATGTGTTGCACCAGAAAACAATACTCAAAACAAAGGAGAATTCAGTATAGCTTTGGCCCTGATGCGTTCTGCGTATAATCTACAGGAAAATCACGGGGAATGCGAACAAGATACAACAATGGGTAGATCGGAGATTCTGATCATATCCCAATCAATACAAAAGGGGGTGAATGTGGTTTTGGTTTTCCGTCTCCAATGAGCTAGCACTTCGCCCTCAAGGTCGGCAATCGGTGATGATGCCTTTACTCATCGTCGCCAGCCAGCTCACCCTTACGGCGAGCCTCAGCCTCCTCCTTCTCCTTCTTCTGGAGGAACATCAAGGCATTGATCTTGTCCTTGATAGTGTGCTCAGAGACGATGTTCTGCTGGATCTGTTCACGGCCAATCAGGGTGGCGACAATGCTGGCACCGACAACGAAAGTCAGGACGAAGCGGTACATGCCGTACCAGTGAGGGGCACGGCCGGTAGCGGCAGCGCGAGCGTCGTTGTAGTAAAGGAAGGTGAAAGCCAAGAACTGGCTGATCAGAGCGTACTCAACGGGGAGCAGCAGAGTAGGCCAAGCGACAGCCGGGGCGATGACACCGGCAGCGTAACGGCGGTAGCCGAACTTGCCGCCATAACCAGCCCACTCAAGACCCCAGTGCACAGCACCAAGGAACGACAGAATCTTTGAAGGGCAAGTTGGCACCATAAGTCAGCATTCCCCATTGTCATGAGACGGTGCTTGCCATCCAATCATGGTCGACTCAAAAGGGAAGAACTTACGACGGCTCCGAAGCCAACCTGGATGGGCTCGATCATGTGGAGCATCAACTCGGCGCTCTGGCCAGAGAAGAGCAGACCCTCACCGAGATTGGCGGCGCGGTTGATCTCCCAGGAGAGGTAAACGGTCTGAAGCGAGGTCGCGAGGTAAGGCAGGACACCGGCCATGCCGAGCGCCATAGCCTCCTTGGGGACCTCCTTCAAGCTGAAGGTCTCGCCGATAACTTTCTGGAAGGGAGCCGCTGCGTTAGAACTCGCCCATTGCTCTGCTGCGTCTCAAGTTGAAGCAAGGAGAACAGGTGAACGTACAGCCTCAGCCTTCATACCAGCCATCATGTCAACGTCGTCATCGTCCTATCACCCCGCAATAAGGATGCATATTAGCCATTGGATGCTCTGACTTCCTCCAATTGATTCTTGAGTGTCGCCGTGTGACTTCTCACCTTGGCCGAGGAAGAAGCATGGCGGATGAGAGCGGTGGTGACGGGCTTGTGAATGGCGAGCGCAAAGTTGGGCTTAACAGCCGGGCGGACGGCACGAGCGGACGAGGTCAGCTGGGCCTTGAAGATAGGGTTGCCGAGCACCGATCGAGCTACGGACGCATTGGAGCTCGAGACAGCCCGGAGCACGGAGCGGGCAGCAGAGGCGCGGTACAGCATGGCGGAGAAAGATACTGCACGTTCAAGATCAGTTAGGTACGCAATCCTGCGGGAGCCAGCAGACCTCGGGTGTGGTAATGTGCAAGCACCAACCCAATTGGAGTAAGACTGACTAAAAGAAGAAGTTGTTGAGTGGAGATGGGGGGTATTCACCCGTGTAAAGACTCGAAGCGAGATTGATGAGGCCGTGCGGTGCCGGAACGAAGCTTTTCGAAGGATATCCCGAAATGAGGTGATCAAAAGGTGAGGTGTGGTTAGAAGGCGGGCCATAGCGACCGGAGATGCACTTGTGGCCTCAGGCCCCCAGCAGAAGCTAGAGAATGACTCGGGGACGGGAACGGTAAGCTTGTCCACGGCAGGCACGTGATGTCCATGGCCGCAAGTTCTGCAACCCTAGCGATCTGCTGGGAATGAGCCACTTCAAGCCACTCTTGAGCCACCCGGTCGTCGCTTGTACTGCTGAGGGGCCGACGTCACTCTGCGTCGCGAAGGTCCTGCTTTTTGGCGGTTTAGAGTCCAGCCGCCCGCAACACTGTTGCGGCCTCAAATGTTACCGAGTCAAGTCAGTATGTGAGTATACTACTGAAAGTAAACACGACTCGCTTTAGCTCTTTATTGTTTTGAAATGCTTGGTGTTTTCCTCGACTACAATGCTTAGAACTCAACCTTCAAGTTCCAATTTTGTGAATCTGTCTAGTCAAGAAGACTGGTCCTCTCCCTTGAAGAAAAGAGGCCACGGAATGCCTGCCCGTCTACTGCTGTAAATCGGATCATACCTTCAATCAACAATAGCGGGTGTTGTGTTTTCCCCCAGTTGATGCCGGTTGGAGTCTTGAGCAGGTCACGCCGGTCGGGGCCACCTCAGCCGCCCAAAGTCCAGCGGCCGGCGCAGCACTGCATGCGTAACCGGTTCGGTAAAACCAGCGACCAGCGATCTTTTAGTCTTACAGAATCTACGCAATTGGGCAGTCTGCACTCTGGCCCCCTCCCCTTTGGCTTGGCTCGATAAAACCAAAACTTGTTAACTCGTCGTTGCTTAGACAAATTTACAATCGTAAAGCTGTCATTTTCCTCCATTTACTGTGCTCGACGCTCTACCAAACTTCCGAGCCCCCCAATTACGAAGCCATCCCCGCCTTTTCTCGTCCCAGTGGTGCCTTAGTACACTTTGCCTGATTGTCGCGGGCAAGCCCATAGGATTTGAATGGGCTGAATACTGCATACAGTATACACAACTTGTCGGGCACCGAAGCAGTAAGTACACTTGCAGTCGCGCGTGGTCTGGCCTGTTCATCGCGAAGCATGCAAGCGCGACAGATCACCACCAGATGCTAACTTTTCTTGGGCGCTGCAGCAGTTGTTCCTCTCGCCGTTGATGACGAGCCCCACCGTTACCTTTCGTCGTCACTGATCTCGACAGTCCTGCCTTAACCAACCTGTGATCGGACCGTCGCCCGACACCCGACACCCGAAACGATGTTGGAGGGCCTGGTCGCGAACTTGCTCAACCGCTTTCTTGGCATTTACGTCAAGAATTTCGACGCGAAGCAGCTCAATATCGGTATCTGGTCCGGCGATGTCAAATTACGCAACCTCGAACTGCGCCGGGAGGCACTGGATCAGCTGCACCTGCCCTTGAATGTGGTCGAGGGTCATGTCGGCCAGCTCACCTTATCGATCCCATGGTCCAATCTCAGAGGCAAGCCTGTCAAGGTGGACATCGAGGATGTCTTCTTGCTGGCTGCGCCAAAGGAAGACGCGGAATACGATGCGGAAGAAGAGGACAAACGTGCACATGCGTTGAAGATGGACAAGGTGGAAAGCGCCGAGCTGATCCGTGAGCGCCACGAAGAAGGCATGAGTCAAGAAGAGCAGCGGCGGAATCAGAGCTTCACCCAGAGCATGGTCACGGCGGTTGTGGACAATTTGCAGATCTCGATCAAGAATGTTCATATTCGCTACGAGGATTCAATCGCCTCGCCTGGTCATCCCTTCGCGGTTGGCTTGACTCTGAAGGAGCTCAGCGCGGTCAGCACAGACTCAGACTGGCGACCGACCTTCATTCAATCGACCTCGGACACCACCCACAAGTTAGCTACACTCGGAGCCCTCTCTGTTTACTGGAATACGGATGCCACTCTGCTCGGTACTGGCCGTGGCTCTGATATTGGCGCCGATGCTCAAGGTATCGCTCATGAGGATTTGATTAACAAATTGCGCGACTCGATTGATAACGGTGATGGCAACCAATACATGCTTCGTCCAGTCAGTGGCCGCGCAGGCCTCGAACTGGACAAGTCTGGCAAACATGACCGCCCGGCTATGAAAGCCCGACTACTCTTTGACGAGCTTGGCTTTGTTCTGGACGACAACCAATATCGCGACGCGTTGATGCTTGTTGACCTTTTCCACTATTTCATTCGTCACCAAGAGTATAAGCGTTACCAGCCAAAGTCTTCCGTGAAGGAGGATCCTCGTGCTTGGCTCAAGTTTGCGGGAGAAGCCGTTCTCAGCAAGATTCACGATCGCAACCGAAGACGGAGTTGGGACTACATCAAGGAACGCAGAGACGATCGGATAACCTACATCAACCTTTTCAAGAAGAGGAAGCGCGAGGAGACACTCACCGCGGAAGAGACGAAAGAGCTCAACCGGATTGAGTACAAGCTCAGCTATGAAGACATTCGATTCTGGCGATCGCTAGCACGTAATCAGCTGCGCAAGGAGAAAGTGGGCGTCAAGAAACCCGCTCAACAACAGTCATGGTCACAATGGATCTGGGGAAGTAAGCCGGCTGAGTCCGAAGAGGTCGCCATGACGGAAGAACAGCGCCAAGAACTATACAACGCCATTGACTGGGACGAAAAAAGAGCACTCGCTGAGAGTGTCGATGTGCCCCGAGAATGGGTGAAACTTCAGATCAATTGGAGTCTTCGGGCAGGTAGCTTCACCTTGAAAAAAGATCCGCATGGCGCCAACAATGAGATAATGAAGCTCGTATTCGACAACTTCCGTGCTAAAGCACTGCAACGCCCGGACTCGTATTTGCTCGACCTCGATCTCGGGGGCCTAAAGATGTACGATGGAACCACACCAGGTACTCTTTATCCAAAGATTGTGAGGGTAAAGGATTCACTACCCGAGGACGACAAGGAGCGAAACTCGAACCCCGATGATGATGAGCTTGTTTCAGAGGCAGGTGCGAACGATTTCATGGACGAAGACAGTCTGTTCCACTTGCAGCTGGAGAAAAATCCATTGGACAGTGATGCAGATACTGCGGTCAAGGTCAAGCTCAAGAGTATCGAAGTCATCTACAACCCCCGATTCATCGTGGGTATCGTGAAGTTCTTCGAGCCTCCAGAGCGGCACATGGAATCCATCGGCGCGCTACTGGATACCGCAGGAGCTACAGTAGAAGGTCTTCGGCAGCAAACACGTGCTGGCTTGGAGTTTGCCCTGCAAGAGCACAAGAAGGTTGATGCCCAGTTCGACGTGCGCGCTCCGCTTATCATTGTGCCGGAAAGTATCACCCAGGAAAGCTCTCTATGTTTAATCATCGATGCCGGTCATGCAAGTGTGAACAGCGAGCTGGTCGATCGAAAAGCGATGAACGACTTGCAAAACAAACAAAAGCGTCAGTATGAAGAAGAGGACTACAAGCAGCTTGAGCATTTGTTGTACGACAGGTTCATCATCAAACTGGACTCCACCCAAGTCCTCATCGGACCAGGAATAGATGCCACGAAAGCACAGCTCACGAAGGGAGTAGAGTCAAAGAATTTCCATCTCATTGACCGCATCAATGTCGATTTTGTGCTGGAGATGTGCATCGTTCCGAAGGTGACTCAGCTCACCAGAACACGTATTTCAGGCCATCTGCCGGAACTCCATGCCTCCATGTCCGACACGAAATATAAGGGACTTATGAAGCTGATTGACATTGCTATTCCGCATTTCGAAGAACCCAAAAACGGTTCGTCCAAAGAAGAGGCAGCCTCCAAAAATTCTGCCATCACCACCAGAGCTAGATCAGCCTCCTTCCAGCCAACGCTTCAACGGGACCTTCCTGTCGTTGACGAAGACGAAGACTCAGATGCCGTTGATGAGAGCCAAACCATTCAAAAGAGCCTCGATTCAGATGTCAATATTCACCGTCGCGACTTCGAGTTCAAGTTTCATGTTGGGCGTCTTCGAGGATCGCTATTCCGCGCTGATCCTGAAGAATCACAAAAAGATAAACTACTAGTGGAGTTGGTTGCGGAAGGGTTCGAGCTCGACTTCTACATGCGACCATGTGACATGGTTGCGGACGTGATTTTGAAGTCTTTGAGCGTGGATGATCACATTGAGGAGAATCCGGTCCCTGAATTCAAACAAATCATCTCCTCCACGGGCTTCGACGCGGATGAAAACAATGACTTGTTCCACCTGAAGATGGTGCGAGTCAAGCCAGAATCTCCTGAGCTTGATGCTGTGTACGAGGGAGTGGCCATGAATCTAGAGATCTCTGTCTCAACAATCAATCTTGTCGTGACTAGGAAGACACTACTCACACTTCTTGATTTCATTCTGTTGACATTCACGAATCCACAGCAGGAAAACAGCCAGTCTCCTCAGACAGATGAGTTTGTGGAGCAGAGTCCTGGTATTGAGCAAGAAGTTCAGGAGGCTGGCAAGATTCGAATCAAGTCAAACCTCAAGAGCATCGCGTTGATCCTTAACAATGATGGTGTACGATTAGCGACTCTGAGTCTCAACACCGCCGACGTGGGCATATTCTTGGTCGGTCGCGCTATGAAGATTCAGTCGCGAATTGGAAGCTTGACTTTGGTTGACGACGTCAATCTTGGCGCACAACGAGATTCGGACCTTCGCCGCCTTCTGACAATTGAAGGCGACGATTTCGCAGATTTCAAATATGAGACGTTTGATCCCGACAGTGAATCACATCCTGGCTACGATTCCGAGGTCTACCTAAGGTCCGGATCCGTCAAGATCAACTTTATGGAAGAGCCCTATCGCAAGATCATTAACTTCCTGGTCAAGTTTGGAAAGATGCAGGCAATCTTTAATGCGGCGCGTCAAGCCGCAGCCAACCAGGCAACTCAGCTACAGGAAAGCCAGTCCCGCATGCGCGTGGATGTTGAAGTCAAGACTCCCATCCTGGTGTTCCCACGAGCTATGGCAGAAGACAGATCCACAGATAGCATCACCGCATACCTCGGAGAGATATACGCCAAGAATGAGTTTGTTCCGATGGATGATTCCAAAGACAGCCCTTCCGTCAATGTCATCTCTACGGGGGTACGCAACATTCGTCTTACGTCTCAACTACACTACGGCAACGGAAAGGTGGAAGAGCTCGACATGATTCAGAAAGTTAATCTCGATTTCAGTATTTGCTATCTTGAGCATCAAGCCAACAACCCTCGTCCTGACATGGAAGTAGAGGGATCTTTGTCGCCTATCAATCTTTGCATCTCGCAAAGTCAGCTGAAGTTCTTGCTGGAGTTGTCCAAATCTATTCCTGGGGCGTTTGCGACCGATAGTGAACAACAGGAGCTTGAAGCAATTGAATCCCTGCCAGATTCTTTGAAAGAGTCGAGAGAAGAGTCCACTTCATCGATTTCCTCGCCTGATTCGTCCGGTCCCGAGTCAGCGGTCAATACTGACGGGAGCAAGGAGACATGGGTGCGACTAGATATGATCTTCAAGGTGGACAGTGTTGGGTTGGAGCTCATCTTGGCCGATGACAACCAGCCTGTTGGCCGCCTGGAAGATGCAAGCCTTTCGAAGTTCTCTCTCAATGACACGAGAGTCAAGCTCCGTATGCTGACGGATGGCTCATTCGAGTCGGAGCTTCTCATACATTCTTTCTCGATCCGTGACAGTCGTCAACAAGACAAAAACAAGTTCCGCAATATCATGTCCTTGATCAATAATGACGTCCAACAACAATTCTTGGCAAGCCTGTCAATGTCCCCTGGCCCAGAAAGACATGTCACTGCCATTTTGACGATTGACAGTCCCCGAATAATGTTCGCTCTTGACTATCTCTCGGCCCTGCAATCTTTCAGTAACTCTGCATTTGCTTCAGAAAGCGCCGTTGAGGTTCTTGAAGAGGACACAGAGTCCGCTGAGGGATCAGACATTGACTCGGAGGTGGCCGTCTCCGCCAGCAAAGTGTCGGCAGAAGCTCCCACTGCCGATTCTCAAGTTGGGAATACGACTGTCTCTTTCAGACTTAATCTGGTGGATGCTCAGGTCATCATGGTGGCCAATCCTGCCATTGCCAATTCTGAAGCAATTGTGCTCGGGACAAAGCAGATTCTCGTTTCCCACCAGAATGTGTCGACTTTACAAGTACAAAAGGTAGGAATGTTCTTATGCCGTATGGACAAGTTTGAAAATAGTCGTCTTCGTATCCTCGACGATTTTACAGCTGAGGTCACCGTGGACAGCCGGACGCAAGAAAAGGGCTCTGCTTTGACTTCCATTGAAGCTCATATTGAGCCGCTCGTCCTTCGTCTGTCCTTGCGCGATATCCTCATGGCTCTTCAAATTGTCAACAAAGCCTCCGAAATGCGTGCTCAGGGCACTCAACAACTCGAAAATGACGAAGCGAAACGAATTGGCGACGGAAAAACAAGGGCTCGCTCAGTCAGCAAGGCTTCGTCCACAGTTGTCACACAGTCGCGTCGGCGTGCAAGTCAAACAACGAGTAAACCCGAGACTTGGGTCACTTCACAACGGTCTGCGGTCGTCAAGCGCGAAGAACTATCTGCAAAGATTGATGGTGTCAGAGTCATCCTGATCGGCGACTTGCATGATTTACCTCTTCTTGACTGGAGTGTCAAAAAGTTCACCGTCGATGTGAGTGATTGGTCTTCCACCCTCAATATTGACACCAACTTCGAAACTTTCATCAATGTCTACAACTTCTCCAAATCCGCCTGGGAGCCATTCATCGAGCCGTGGCACCTTGGCTTCCACGTGGCAAAGGAGGTCAATCCGGATGTCTTCTCCATAGACGCATTCTCACATAAGACCATGGAGCTTACTGTTACATCCGCGACAATTGCGCTTGCCTCAAAGTCTTTCCAATTCCTCAACACCGAAGAGGACGTGCTCTCCAAGCCACGAGGCGCAGACGCTCCTTACAGAATCCGAAACTACACTGGATTCGATCTGAGCGTTTGGGCTGATACGAATGCAGGAGACGAGGGCCCTGCCGCGAAACTCAGCGATGGAGAGGAGTATCCCTGGCGATTCGAGGAGTCTACCGCTGTACGTGAGACTTTGACACCGGAGGGCCATGGTGGGATTGTAGGAATCAAGCTGGAGGGAAGCGGGTTCGAAAGCATCAATCGCATTCCTGTTGCGCGCGAAGGCGAGACCATATATAGCCTGAAACCGAAACGTGACAACGTGCTCCACCGGCTCCTTGTCGAGGTCAGGCTTGGCGCAGACAACGTGAAATACATCACTTTCCGGTCACCCTTACTTGTCGAAAACAATACCCAGATTCCCGTCGAACTGGGAGTTTTCAGCCCGAACGACGGCCATCTTTTGAAAATTGAGAAGGTGTTGCCGGGTGATGCGCGTCCTGCACCTGTGGGCGCGGCGTACATGCATTCGCTAGTCATCAGACCTGACCAGGGCTTTGGCTATGACTGGTCAAACGAACAGCTTTTCTGGAAGGACTTATTGAAGAGGCCAACGAGAACCATTAAGTGTATCAGCGAGAGTGCCCAGCAATCTCCGCCTTTCTACTTCCAGGTCAATGCTTCCTATAACAAGAAGGACTCATTGACTAACTCCTACCCTTACATGCGAGTCCGAATCTTCGCCCCGGTCGAGATCCAGAATCTCCTTCCTTTCGATTTCAAGTATCGCATCTACGACAAGAACACCAAAAAGGACTGGACGAACTTTTTGAGGAAGGGAGGCGTTAGCCCTGTTCACGTTGTCGAACTGTCGCATTTGCTTCTGCTCAGCATCGACTTGGAAGATACAGTGTACAAGCAAAGCGAGTTCGCCATCGTCAATGGCAATTCTCAAGATTACCGCAGGGAGCACGTCCTCTCTTTGAAGGATGATCAAGGTCTTCAACTGAAGCTGAAGCTTCACTACTTCAACATACCTGATAGTGGTGGCGCGTTCAAGGTATCTGTGTACAGTCCTTACGTGATTCTCAACAAGACTGGACTTCCCATGGACATTCAGAGCAAGGCGTTCCTCCAATCTGCTCGCAACGCTGCCGGTCAGGGATTACGAGTGGATCCGCGAGATGAAGGACGTGCCTTGCCATACATGTACTCCTACAACAATGATGACCAGAAGAATCGGTCCATTCTCAAAGTTGGAGATTCTGGCTGGAGCAAGCCGCAGAGTTTCGAAGCAATCGGAAGCACCTTTGAAGTTGTTTTCCCTGACAGACAAGGAAGGTCCGAATTCCACTCTGGCTTTTCGGTCACTGAAGGCCAAGGAAAGTACAAATTGACCAAGGTTGTCACGGTCACTCCACGATTCATTCTAAAGAGCAAGCTCAACGAGGAATTGTTGGTCCGAGAGCCTGGCTCTTCGAATGTAATCCAAATTGGCAGCGGAGAGCTTGTGCCCTTGCACTTCCTTCGGCAAGTGGCCGAGAAGCAGCTGTGTCTTTGCTTCCCTGGTGTGAACAATCAGTGGTCGTCTCCCTTCAACATTGCGGACGTAGGTACGGTTCACGTGAAATTGGCCAAAGCGAACCAGCGCCAGAAGTTGATCAAGATCGATGTCATCATCGAAGATGCTACTATCTTCCTGCATCTCAGCGTTGAGACGCGAAATTGGCCGTACTCCATGCGCAATGAAAGTGACTTGGAGTTTATCTTCTTCCAAGCCAACCCCAATGCTGAAGATGATGAAGTCGATCGCTCGAGTGGATGGCGACCCATTCGCTATCGCTTGCCGCCTCGGAGTATCATGCCCTATGCCTGGGATTACCCGGCGACGAAGAACAAGTCCCTTGTTCTCACATGCCAGGGTAAAGAAAGACATATCAGAATCGCGGAGATCGGTAACCTGATTCCCATGCGGATCCCTCCATCAAGACCCGGCGAGTACCAGAAGATCATCGATATCAACATCGTGGCCCACGGACCTACTCAGACGTTAGTGCTGTCCAATTTCAAACCTTCAAAGAGTCTTTACAAGCAGCAGAAGGGGCAATCGTCCCAAAACAGTGTGACTGCCGGATTTGAAGTGAAGGAGACGAATTCGGACGTGACTTTCAAGGCTCAGCTCCGACTTGGGGGTATTGGCATCTCGTTGATCAACCAAAAGATGAAGGAATTGCTCTATATGACATTCCGAGAAATTGAGATCAAGTTCCGCGAATCGAGAGTCTATCAAACCCTCAACACATCCATCAAATGGATACAAATCGACAATCAACTGTATGGCGGCATCTTCCCAATGCTGTTGTATCCCAGTGTGGTTCCTAAGACTGGAAAGGAAATGGAGGCGCATCCGATCTTCCATGCGATGATCACCAGAGTCAAGGATGATTCGTATGGTGTTCTCTACATCAAGTACGCGACATTGTTGTTGCAACAGATGACACTTGAAGTCGATGAAGACTTCATCTATGCACTTCTCGATTTTGTCAAGATTCCCGGGGCTTCGTGGTCCGAGCCCCAAGAAGGGCAGTTATGTGACGAAGACTTCAACATCCCGGAACCCCAGCAGAACGATGCTAGCCGGGATGTCTATTTCGAACTACTCCACCTACAGCCCATGCAGCTGGATATCTCGTTCATGCGTACCGAACGCATCAACGTCGAAGATACGATGCAGCCCTCTAATCCTTTGATGTTCGTCGTCAATGTCATGACAATGTCCATGGGTAATGTGAATGATGCACCAGTCAGACTCAACGCGCTGATGCTTGAGAATGCCCGAGTCTCCTTTGGCAGACTAGTCAGCAATATTCAAGCACACTATACCCAAGAATTCGTTCGTCAAGTCCATGTCATCCTTGGATCGGCAGACATCATCGGAAATCCCGTTGGTCTTTTCAACAACATCAGTTCTGGTGTTGCGGACATTTTCTACGAACCATACCAAGGCTTGGTCATGACTGATCGACCTCAAGACTTGGGCTTCGGCATTGCCAAGGGAGCCACCAGCTTCGTGAAAAAATCCGTGTTTGGATTCTCAGACAGCATGGCAAAGTTCACGGGCAGCATGTCCAAGGGGCTCGCAGCGGCTACTTTGGATAAGGAATTCCAAGACCAGCGCCGCATGTCAAAATCGCGCAATCGTCCTAAGCATGCCCTCTATGGTATAACAGCTGGTGGCAATGCGTTCGCAACCAGCTTGGCCAGCGGGATTGGCGGTCTGGCCCGTCACCCACTGCAAGGCGCAGAGAAAGAAGGCGTTGCAGGTTTCATCAAGGGTGTCGGAAAGGGATTCTTGGGATTGGCGACCAAGCCCGCTATCGGTGCTTTCGATCTCGCATCTAATCTTGCCGAGGGCGTGCGTAACACGACCACTGTCTTTGACGCCGAGGGCCTCGATCGTGTTCGGTTGACTCGGTTCATTGGTACCGATGGTATTGTCCGTCCGTATTCTCAACGTGAAGCACTCGGTCAATTCTGGCTCAAGACCACCGACGACGGCAAGTACTTCAACGAAGATTACATTGCTCACTTGGAGCTTCCTGGCCGCGACATGTTGGTCCTGTTAACCTACGCACGGATCATGCTTGTGCGCACGAAGAAGCTCTACACGGAGTGGGATATCCGCCTGACGGATATCCAAACCATCTCCAAAGAACGCACTGGCATGAGTATCACGCTCAAGGGAGGTGCCAACGGGCCTTTTATTCCTGTCCAAGATGAAAGTTCCCGAAATTGGCTGTACAGACAGATTGCTATCGGTAAGCTTCCATGATCCTTCCGTTTTCCCAGGAGCATGCTTGATATCCAGTACCTAACACACGATCTTTTAGCGGTCAACGCCTTTAATGAAAAGTACAATCGAGGATAGACGGCCGAAGTCCATTTTTGACTATGATGTGATGACATGTTTTTCTTGTTTCTTTCATTCCACTTTTGTGTACGACCGCGAGCATTTCACAATAATGCATGCGGTTTCTGGCTCATGGTATCTGTAATTCTTGAAGACGCCTTCAGACCACCATGACTGCTCCTCTTAATTTAAGACTGCCGCCCGGTATACTGGTAATTTGATAATCCTTTCAATTGTGATTGTAATCTCCACCACTTGACGTGAAGAGCTCCCTGAGCAAGGGCGTATGCCCATAGACCATATGAGCCTCGAGTCCAACAGTAAATGTACTGCTGTCATTTTAGTGCTGTATGTTGTTTTCATTTCTGTCCCAGATGTAGCAGTTATAATCAATCCTACATCACCCACCATCTTACGATCAAGTACTCAGGGGCATCGGTCCCGTCCTCTCATATCAAGATAAAATCCACGCCGTTCCAGGGATAAGAAAACCCGGTCCTTTCTTTTCAAGATAGCCGGCATTCCTGACTTTCACGAGATTTCCGAGATTGTCAATTCTTTGAAAGAAGCAAGCTCTAGCTAATGTAACCGTTGCGGCATATCAGCAACTCACGACCTGACGAGCAACCAGACAGAAGCAAAACGAAGCAGTCAAGGCTGGACTAAGACAAAAAGGTTGAATCGAGATGGCAATGTAGAAAAGAAGGGTGACATGAGAGTAAAAAGAAGAATAACAGGCGCAAGGAGAAAAAAGTCTTGGTGATCAAAAAGATTATCGGCACCTCCCAACGCCCATGAAAATGGTCCGTTTTATATAGACAAGGGTATGAATAGTAGATACATGAAATGTAAATGAAAGGACACTTGAAATCCACATCAAGTGAGCAAAAAGAAAGAAAAAAATAGAAAAGAATAAAAGGCGAAGGAGAAAGAGAGGGTCAAGGCACTGCCTTGTCGGGACCAAATCGGTACTCGGTATTTTTGATGGTGTGGAGGAACATGGATGGGAAGCAGTGACGTCCATATTGGGCTTCAGAAGCCTAATATTCAAGAACATTGTGATCAGTAGGAGCATTATGCGAAATTGTAATGGCTGCACCATATTGTAAGTGCGGAGCCGGCCTTTAGTCACATACCTTAGTGCTGCCCTTGTTCTCCGTCGTTTTATATCCAAGCCATCGTCGATACAGGTCCTCGGCGGTGAATGTTGTGAACATGTAGGAGAGTCGGTACATGATATGATCATAGAGGTGATCCCAGTTCCAAATGCTGTCGTGGCCACCGTTGACATTCTCCGGCGTACCGCGGTTGTAGATCTGAGCAAGCTCCTGCGGTGTCCACTGACCATCGGCATAGATGGGGTGCGGAACATGAACAGCCTTCAGGCCATGGAACAGGCACCACGAAACACCGGACATTTCAGAAGCGAGTCCAAGTCCCCGGGTTGCCTGGGCCTGGTGCATGAGACCAAGCAGGCGCTTTGAGTATCGGCCCATCGTGATGACTGCCGCGCGACGCGGAGTTTCCAGCCCATTTTTGAAGTTCCAGATCTTGTCGGGGAAAGTCCAGGTCGTTTCCTTGGGATTGAAGACGGGAAGGAAGGTGATCATGTCCGCTTCTTCGCCAACACCCCAGTTAAAGTTATCCTCGTCGGGGGACTGGGTTGGGGGCTGAGGGCCCAAGGGTCGAATTCCCGTCCCCAAAACAGGACCCCAAATTGTCCTATCGGACAGACCCTGCAGGCTGTGATTCGTCATCTCCATGAACTCTTCCCATGGGCCATGGGCTCCGGGTGTGTAAAAGTACGCGTTTCGCTCCCAGAGATATTTGCGCGGCTGTTCACGCGCAAAGGAAATCGCCTTGTCTAAGAAGTGGTAAATATTGCCGGTGTGACGGCCATCCATCTCGAATTGCCAATAGTAATCGAATTGGGGATACAGCTGAGCAAAGATCTGGATGGGCTGATGATGTTGGAGAACCGGGCTAGAGAATGAAGTGTCAGCAAGGGACTGCCTGCTAGATCGCGATCGATCCAATCGCACTTGGCGAATCAGTCAGAGGGAGTCGGGAGGTCAATTTCTTACGTGTGCTCTTCAATCTTGGGGTACCAAGCCTCCAACAGCTTGGTGTTGAAGAACAAAGCCATGTTGCGGAACTCTGGTGGGATCGTTTGCCGCAGTTCGTGAACGGTCTGGGGGTCGGAGAAGAGCGGTAGTGCGTCGTCCTTGACGTGCACCAACAGGAACACTTCGTACTCGCCGCCCGAATGCAAACTTAATTCCATGATCATAGCTCGCAGGTACTCCCGATGATTTGGAGTCCAGAGCATACTGTGCCACGAGCGAATCAGAATGGCTGAGCGAGCGCGATACTGCTTCATGCCGGTGTTTGTGGCTTCCTCGCGCTCAGCTTGAGGATGGGAAGGCTTGAATTCGAAGGCTAACGGGCCCCGCGCAGACGGGGTTTCGGTATCACGAGGCTTGAATCGATCGGCATTGCGCTCGTAACACTGAGTCTGGAGCGCATTCCAATCTACACTGTCCCAGTGCACAGGCTCCGGCCGCAGGAAACCTGGAACCTCGTCGTCGTTGTCCGCACCGTAGCCATAGGCACCGAAGCGGCTGAAGCGATCCGTACAGACATCACCATCCAGCCCCATTGCCTCATGCGAACCGAACTTCGGGTCGGGGAAAGAGATCTGATTGCCCTTGTAGACCAGCATCATGTCCTCCATGCGAGTGCGATCCAGATCACGACCTCGAGGACCCTCACATGGCTTGAATTGACCATGATATTTGTTCCTCCACGCCTTGCTGTTGTACTCCGGATAGGGATCGTAGATGACCGGTTGAGGGTGTCTACCCTCTGAGGATTGAGAGCTCGTCAAGGTTCGCGTGCCGCCCAAGTAGAAATTCTCATCTCTATTGATAAGAAATTTGTATGGTCAGTTGGCCGTAAAGCTGCATGCTGCTTCTACAAGGAGAAATGCCGTTGTACACACCTGACATTGTGGGTATTTCCCATATCGTCAGCTCCGACGTCCTGCACCGACGCTGCACTGTCGCTCGGTAACCGATGAGTTGGCTGCTGTCGATAATCACCTGGACGAAGAACAGGTGGGTGGGAGAGACTGTCCCATCCTGGTGTGAAAGCGGAATGCCCGCTAAGCCGGGAGACGGACTCGATGAGAGCAAACAGACCAGCTACTACGATGACAATGCGCAGCCATCCCGTTGGACGAGAGGTCATAAATGCTCTGGGTCGCAGAGCCGTCATGCCCTTCTGTTGCAGATTGAGAATTTGGTCCATTGGAAGCAAACTTGCAGCAGAACCCGGCGACATCGCGATCTATCTCATAGTCTGCGGCCGAGGGTGTTCCAGCTGGGCTCGCCGTGGTAAGCGTCAAAGTCCCAAGTTGACGCGGTCACGTAACACGTTGGAGAGCTCAAGCAGGGAGAAAACAAGAGCTGGTGAGGGGAATGAGCACGAGGCAGTGATGTGGGAGACTAGATTCAGGGGAGTGTACAATCCCCAAGAAGAATAAGAACAAACCCCAAAAGAGAAAAGTAGAAAAAAACGGAAATACTCAAAAATAATCACGACCGATAAAGTCGGGGTCCAGTAGTACGCACCAGTCGTAGTAGTAGTAATGCTGTGGTCATCCCGCCAGAGAGCCTCTGACAGCCCTGAAAATCGCTTCTATCTCATCGCTACCTTTGGCTACATTGTGGATGGAGATTGTCCAGCCTGGGAACTTCATCGCCCCAGTCCACATTGTCTCAATCCCCTGTAACTTATGGCCCAGTCTCCTTCAGCCACGATGCGAAGGTGTATCGCGCGTGGGATGTCTTCGCCAGTGATTGATCCCGAGAAAGTGAGTCGGCCCCATCGCCAGTGATGAAAGAGGAAAGGCGTGATACATGGGACTGTGGAAAAAGAGCCGATCCCACCTGAAGAGGTTATTGGGTGCAGGTGGACCGTGGGCCTTCAGCCGTCAGCACCAGACAATCTGCAATTTGCAATGGGAGGGGGCCCCTCAGCCCCTGAGCTGTCGGTCGAATCGAGATGAGCAGAATCCTGGCCACTTCTTCGCTGCGCTCTCTCCTTCTTCTCTTGGCAGTGCGTGAGTCCGAGGCTGTCGCGTTTGATGTTCGACAAAGCTTAGCGGTTGGGAGTCGCGAGACTGCTCATCTGTCCTTGTGCTTGTGGCGAGCATCATTGGTGTGATCGGCTATGGATAAGGGCTCGGGTAGCCACTTGGAAAACGGATATGGTGGCCTATGAGAAGCCCATGGAAGAGGGGCACAGAACACCACTCAGTGTTCTCAGTGTGCCGTGAGATGGATAATATTAGGGCGACAGGGGCACAGACACGATTAGCGTCCGGAAAGGCCCGTGGGAGGCAACTCAGAGCGTTGTAACGTGCTGGACCCTTTTTGAGTTTGGAGCAGCGTGGGTCGTCGCGGCGGGGGGGCTCAATTCGATCCGCTTTGCTCAGCACCCACACAGTACGGAAGAATGGTTGAATGACTGACTGAGGAGCATCAATTTTTTGGTCGTTTGTGAGACTGAGTGGTGCATTATGGATATGGCCAACTGGCCACAGCTCCTTGAAAGTCGAAAAGGACCTTTGTCCATTGATCGCAAGATCGTAGCATGTACACTTGTATACTAGAAAAGCCTGTGAGGGATTTCAAGGGCAGGCTTATGCGTCCATCGCGAGCGAGCTTTGGAGACATATCGACCGGCTCATCAGATCAGCCAGCTCAAAGCCTCTTCCGTGTGGCGGACAGCTCCAGACCGGGGTTCTATGAAATGCTGCGCCCGGCCAATGAGTTTGAAACGCGAGTAAATGAAGACAGCATCTATGCCGGGTGACGCGAATAGCGCGGTGTCTTACACACAACTGCAGCACTTGATTCAGCGATGTTGTTTCCTTGGAAGGGCAGACCACACGTGGACTGTCAGAATGGATGTTTGATAGAAAAGTTGATGATCACCAAAGATGGACGACGGCGCGATTGAAGTAATAGTCGATGGACCTCCACTTTGGTCGCGGTCACCTGTCACTGAGCACGTGAGTGCACTCTGCCTGGCCCAGATTGATGGAAAATCGGTTTTTCGGCATAAGAATGTCAGTGCTCGAGTATAGACTACTACACACATCAGCGCGTTGCATATCCTCTAGCTACCTTTTGGCCAACATGGTACGGGGCTGGTGGCCCGTGTGCCTCATACGCCTTTTGCTCTCCCTGACGAATATTGTGGCATGCGGAAATGATTAAATGCGAAAATCTACATTGAACTGAGAGAATAAAATCTATTGGTCTTGTGCCTGTTTAGGTATAGATATACACAAGAGGACTCACACTGCCCAAGCTCTTGGCATATGAGGATGCTTATTATCGAGGAGCTCCACCTGTCAAATAGCATCCTACTGACAAAAGACAAAGGTGTTTTGAATCAGACAAAAAAGTCATGAACATAGACTACAGTCCAAACCAAAAAACAGCAGTGGACTTAGGCGAAGTAGCTTTTCCATAGCACACCCGAAAGGTCTTCAAGCTGATCCGAAGTGAATGCCTGCAAAGGGGGTGTTAGTAAAGGAAAAAAAAACAAAAATCTTGAACTAACACTGGGAAGAGATGTGCAGCAAGACTGAATGAATGCAAGGTAATCTTTTGACTACGTACCTTTGCATCGATATGCCACGTATCCTGGCGAGTCTTCTTGAATTCGCTGATGATCGACTTGACACTGGATCCAACGACCCCTGGATCACTTGCGGCACGGATACTCAGTGTGGTCAACGCCTCTGGCATCCAGCGAGGTGGAGGGCTGTTGTAGGGAAATGCCTGGATCAATGCACCGAGGCCAAGTACTGCTCCATGGCGAACAATGACGAGTCGGTTGTGTTCAGGCGTGGGAGTCGAGGTGCCAGACGACACAGCGGATATGACACCGGACCGCAGGTTGCGTGGTTTCTTGGGCAGGGGGTTATCGGCGAGCAACTTGGTGAAGCGCCCTTGGAATCGGTGCACCATTGCATCTCGGAGGTAGACAGGAGAGCAACGAACCATTCCCGATAGTGTAGCCGAGGCGCCAACACGAACTTCATGCTGGGGATCCTCAAGCATAGAGGCAATGCACTCGAAGAGCTTGTCACGATCAGCCGAGTCCAGCAAGAACAATCGGCGGAAATAGATGATTTGAATATTGATCATCACGCGCAAACGCTGGTGCCACGAGGGCGAGGTCTGGCCGATCCGAATGAGGGACTGAATGAAGCCTGAATCTTTTTCCGCGGGATAAGGGATGTTGGGGAGATGGCGGAAAACGTGGTATGCCAAAGATTGAAGCTCAGGGTCTTCCTTCACATCCATCATGTGCAAAAGCTGAGCCGTAAACACGTCGGGGAAGAAAGGTACAAGTTGAGTACACTCGTGAGAGGATAATGTGGAGTCAAGCCAAAGCAACACGGTCTTGCTTCCCGATGTGTACGACGACGGAGTCTGTTGGCCGGGTGTTCGGATGTGTCGCCATTTTTCAATCTGGTCAAAGACGCCGCGCAGCATCTGGGAGAATTCCTCAGAAGGCGAGTAAGGATACGTACCGACAGAGGATGCCGCATTTTGGTCTTCCAGCAGATGCTTCAGATCCGGGTACGACTCATGATATCTTGTGCGATAGATGGTCGCAAGGGTTTGACCCATAGCTTCTCGCACGCCCTTATAAGGGTGATCCAGATGGGCAAGGAAATCTTGAACAATGGGCTTCTCGAGTTGGAAATGCCATCCAGCATCAATAATGCACTGGTGGAGCAGGTTGATTTTTGAACTCTCCTTGAAGGCTGCATTGGTCGACATGTCCAGGCGGAAGCTGGCAAGCCAATCGACCAAAGGCCAGGCACGACGAGGGTCGCGGCATTGCAAAATCATATGAAGGAATGTTGTCCAATAACCAGAATTTTCCGGTGTGAGACCATCTGTGAAGATTTGACGCACAATCGGGAATGCATATTCCCAGACGAGCGTGCGATTCTCCACGCTAGTATCCGTGACGGAACTGATCAAAGCCCCAAGAATCTCGGCCGTCGCTCGGTGTTGATGTTTGTCACTTCCGTCCTCAAACACTTCTTTTACCTCTTCCTGAATGTCCTGGAACGAGGCAGCGGTAAGACCATCCCGCAACATCAGCTCAAAGGCATAAAGAAGCATCATGGCACAAGACATGCGGAACTTATCCGCCGACGGATCCCGTGGTTCTTGTTTGAGATACGCGAAGAACTTGGAGAACCATTCACGTGTGAACAACTTGCCCATCTGGGTCCGCACATTCCACTCGACCTCATCATACTCAATGTCGCGGCCGATATTGGACTTGTATGCAGGCATTGTCTTGCCCCACACCAACCAACCCGGGAAATCATGGTCAACATAGTACTCAGCCTCTGGCTTGGCAAATCCCGCAAGGTAATCTTCGGTCCACTTTTCCTCGTGCGGACGAGTAGCTACCTTGATCTTGGAGGGGAAACGCTGGTGGCCGAGAATATAATTCTTGTATTCGTGCGAACAGATTGCTCGAACATCAACCATCGTGAAGAGCGCAATAAGGGCTTGAGAGTACATGCCTCGAAGGCCAGGGTGGTCATCAATCGAGCCGAGGGTGACAAGCTCAATTAGATTGTTACTCGCGATGTAGTCGAATCGAAGCCCCATAGTAATAACAATTGTCGCAGCGCGGCTGGCGATCTTCCAATGAGAGACTCGTGCCAAATTGACCAGCTCCTCGGCCAAGTCAGCCTTCTTCTTCTCAATGACGACGCGCTTATTTGCGATTGCCTGGCGTTTCTGCTCAATGGCCTCGTGGAAATCATCACTTGGAGCAATTGCTTCAACGATATTCTTGTCCAAGATTGCCATGCGTTCCATTGCGCGGCCGTAGTCCATGACTTGGAACACAGCACTGGAGCAGATTTTCTGCACAGAAGGCTTGTCCACAGCGCTGGCATCAATGAAGGTTCGGATCAATGCGGGCGTGTACTTCCAGTTTCGGCCAACTGTCTTCGCAACGCTGCTCAGGAGCAAAGAGAAGAGCGCACCTTTGATTCGCGCGTGGTCATTTTCCTTCACTCCCTTTTGCAGTGCCTTGAGCAGGGGCGGGATGATCAGTGTTCTTGCACCCCAGACCGATTTCAACGCCGATTCACCCGCATTCTGAGCATTCCTCCGAGTCTCTGTGTAGACAGAAACGCAGGACTCGGCAAGGTCATACAGCAAGATCTCGTCAAGCTTGGACCGAGCTCGAGGGGCGGCGTTGTGTCGTAAACGCTGCAAGTGGTAGACGTTCGCTCTACGCACGAGGAGAGCTCGAGGGTAGTCTTTGCGTACACCACTCATCTTGTACGGGTGCACGTCAGCTGCCAATAGGCGTGTGACTCGATCAAGAACATGGGCCGAGCGCTCGATACCCACGTCAACAAACCATGAGCGGTAAGCCGAGTACAGCGCACCAAAGCATGGGACGTCGTCTTCCTGTTTGTCGCTCAAAAATCGGTGGACCTCATGCAGCACGTATCCTGCGCGCTCGCGAATCTCGTGAATCGTGGTGTAGAGACCATCTCCTTCTTCAAGTGGGTATCCTGTTGGATATGTGAAATTTTCTTTGATCGCAGACTCGTCTGAGGTATCCAGCAATGCATCGGAATCCCCATCCGGTCCCTCGTCCATGCCTTGATTCTCAGAACCAGATGATTGATCTTCGGGCGAGTTTTTGACAGTATTGCTTGTAGCCTTGGAGTCAAACAGCACGGATATTCCAGACAAGAGCAGCCGAAGCAGGACAAGATTTCGGGTGACTTCATCAGACCAATCTTTCCCACTTCCGTCCCGCTTGACGCTCGATGTCTCATTCGTCAGCCCTGATAAGTGCTTCAGAGCTGATTCGGCTTGGTTCTTAAATACTTCCACAGCAAATTCAAGCTCTGGACGCTTGGGGACATGCCACTTGATGTTCAATTTGTTCACATCAGCTTTGTAGTTCCAATGTGTTGGCTGTATTCCATCCTGAACGTCAGAATTCTCGTAAAGAGCGTAGTCGCTGGTGTACGTGCCCGTAAGGTTGAGCAAAAGGTGATGTATAAAGTTGGAAATGTGCACGGTAGGAATCCCGCGGCATTTCTGCTGCATGTACACTGCAATATCGAAAAGCTCTTGGCGATGAGCAAGCACAGCATCGCCCACATGAACCACGCACATGCTTAGCATGCTGACATTCCATACAAGACCGCGATCACGAGGTAAAACATCTGTACCCGTCGTCCTTGTTGAGCCAGCGCCGTTCTCTTCAATCTCCGTACGGATCGCTTGGATAAGATTCGGAATAAACCGTTTCAGAGCTTTCTCCGGATGCACCTTGCATAGAGCGTTACAAATGAATGCCATCGCATCTCGAGCTTGATGAATCACATGGTTCGAAACGAAATCGGCGATTTTGGACAACGCAATGTCGTAGTACTCAGGTGATAACGAAGCTAGCAAGGGCATGAACGTTGCTGGAAGTGTGTTCACAATATTCTCTTCCGGTGATCCGTTACGCACCCTTGTGACGTCGGGCAGGTTTTCAAGCAAAGTGAATACCCGGCCAAGGAACGAGATGGTAAAATCACCAAAGCCGCATGTTGATGAGCGCAGTATCATTTCTTCAGTCTCATCATCCAATTCGGTGTCATAATCCATCTGAAGATCAGCACCTTGTTCTTCCATCCTCTCCATCTCTCCTGTAACCCACTGCAAGGCCAGCATGTTGCAATTGACGTCTTCTCTACCCTGAGTCAGATCGACCATGGGGATATTATAGCATGCTGACTGAATAAAGGATAGCGCGTGAAGGGATTTATCCAAGTCGTTGGCGTCAATCCCTGGCAAAGCTAGTCCCATAAGTGTGGTCATGTGGCATCGATAACCTCTTGTGCGTGTGATCACTCGTGAGAGCACTTGCATTGCACGTAGGGAAGAAGTCGTTCGATGGACTTCGACTAATCCTTGCAGAGAAGGATATATTCTCTGCAAAGCTCCGGGTAGAATGAGATGTGGCTCCAGGTAAGCCAACCCTTGTAAGGTTGACAAGGAGAATGTCATTGCTGTGCTACTCTTTGCATAAATGCCCATAAAGATGACGTCTCTGAGGCACAAGACGAAGCGACGCTTCAATGCCTCGTTAAGTTTCCGCTCGGCAGGTATCTCCATCTCACCACTGTGCTCACGATTCCATCTCATGACAAAAAAATCAGTGAGATAGTAGACAAGCTGAGAAAGGGTCTTCGTCCAGCCACCGGAGTTCGAGGGATGGAAGAATGTCTCCACAGCTTGAATCAATCCCTCGAGTTGTGACAGAATCGAGTTCTCAGACTCCAAACAGGCTGGGGAGAGCGACAGGACTATCCAGCGGGCAATGTGATGGGCCACAGGATGCTTGCGAGTGTCGCGGTCGAGCATGATGCCCAAACCAGATGAAATGTCCACGAGTGCACTGTATGGCGAGGTAGATTGCCCGACTGGGATTTCTAGGAGACGCAAGATTGCTGTGAAAATAAGCGACGATTGTTCCTTGGTGAATATACCATGCTCAGAAAATGGGATATGTGCCGCAGAAAGCGAGTCCCGTGCGAGGCGGGACAGATAATCGAGATAAGTGGTGTCAAAGGTCTTTGAGCGGCCAACAAGCGACCATAGGTGAAATTGTGTCGGTAGATATTTCTGTGGTAGAAGATCTGCTCTATCGGCAGGGGGAGGTAAAGTCGGCAGCATCAGATTGATTAAGCCTGCTACAACGAAAGCCCCTTCTGAGAAAGACGTCGTGTAATGCGGAAGGAATTCCTCAAGCATCGCCGGTATCTCGCAGGGATCGAAGAACAATTGTGAGAAGGCGCACATTTTCGTCAGCGTTTTGACATTGCGTTTGAGATTTGTTGAGTGAACGAGACCCGACTCCGTTGGAAGCACAAAGGCCTTTAGTTCCTTGTAAAGAGGCTTCCAATCAAGAATCAGATCCTTGACAGGGCGGAGATAGTGCTTGCGCCTATATACATATATATATATATATATTGCGTCAGTACTTCCATCCTTTACCTTCCTCGAGCAGCTACAGATTCCTGCTCGCCGTCTCGACGGAAGGTCCATCGTAGGCATCTCCGAGGTCAGGGCGGAGGGTCCAACTCACTTTGTTAGCAGCATGAACATGCTAGCGAAGCGTTCCGCCACGTTGGGATCAATCCCCGGGGCCAGCGCCAGCTCATAATAAAGCCTGACCAGATTGATTCTCTCCTTCCGGGTCGGATCGAATTTCAGAGATAGCCATCCCCGAAGCTCACGCGTCCAATGCACAGCACCAGGGCTGAAGTCACCTGCCTCCACGGAAATATAGAGGTGATTCAGGATCTCGTGTAATGTCCGATTCCTCTCAGGTTCGTCTTCGAGCTGGTATGGTAGGTATTTGAAATAAGGGTATGTTCGGGGGCGCACCCGAGCTTTGGGCTCGCCGTCCCCATTCATGACTGCAGGCTCACCACCAGGCGACGTAGCACGGGAGATTTCTTGCGTATGGGAAAAATTGTCGGAGGTCAAGATCACTTTGGAGGTTGGGTGCTCCATTCTCGTGCGGAGGACTCCCAGGGAGAAGGAGGGGGTGCTTGTGTGGCGACGGACCGAGATTGGGGGAGATCAAACGTCGACAAAAGTCGCTGGAAGCAGGACGTCAGATCGGGGTCTAAGAGACTGAGAGCTTGTCTTCAGTTTGTCAGCAGCCAATCACCAGCTAGAAGAGGGTTGGGAGTGTTCCTTACCCCAGTACTATCCGCGTTGTAAGCCACAAATCTCTAGGACCTGAAAGACGATACAGAGCTATAGCGTTGCCTTGTTGGATCTTGGAGCCGGAAATGAGAGCTGAAGCACGGGCGGGTTCGCATGAGGGTCTTGGCTGTTGGGGGCAGGCGGAGGAGCTTCGATGGAAACTGGAAGGGAATTTGGTCGTGGTGGTGCCAGTGGTGGTTTGCTGCTGTAATTTGCCAAGTTTTTAAAATTAGTCATCAAGGTCTTCAGAGGTCTGTAAAGCAATGCGTCAAGGTAGAAGCTTGGATGATAGAGCAGGTTGAAGCCCAAAACGAGAGCTCGGAGTGCTTGTGTCCTCATTCATGCGCGATACAGTAGTGAGGTTCCCGCTGCATCGAGTTTGGATGACATAATTTGTTGTAAGAGCCCTCCGGCAGCTTCCCGCTTGGTGCACCTGAACATCGTTCTGGAGAGTACGGGGCCACGGAAGCCCAGCCACTTTCTGGTTCAGTTTGCGGCTAGTCTGACCCAGTGACGACTCCAGTATAGAGTCCTGGATGGCAGTCCTCGGTACTTCAGAGAGTAAAGTCACGGCCACTTACTTTGCTTTTCTTTCAAGGGAGGATCCTAACGTGAGCGTGTGAGAAAGATCAATCTAGTTGCTGGTCCTTCATATTGTTCAAAGTCCCTCGAGTTTATCGGGGTAAGTTACAGAGGGTGGTCAACAATGTCTTAAAGTACTCCAGTCAGTCCCAGGCAGACAAACTTACGCGCAAGCGGCATAGCCGCCCGCCTTCATGCGAAAGCGCAAGTTCCGTCACATTGCTAGTAAGTATTGTTTTTTGACTTTCAAAGGTCTCGAAATCACATTTTGACTGTGCATAACTGTATATCTATTTTGCCATCTCGACTCGTGACCGTCAAGTGTGACAAGCTCTGACTCGAATCTATGCGGGTGGTAGGAAAGACCCAAAAAGAACGGCCTGAATGAGCGCGTAGGCCACCATAGCCTGCGCGGCCCTCGGTAGTCCTCGGCTACTGTTTCGCGAGTCCTGAAAGCTGGGCATGGCAGTAGAGACGAGCCACCAATACCAGACAGGGTAGCCTGAAGCGATCCGGTTGACGATCTGTACATGATATGTCGTCACAGCCAAGACTGTCAGAAGCACCTGTGGCAGTGCCAGCCGAATGAGCATGGCGCCGGGACTCATCTGTGAGGACTTCACACCCGTGCTCTTTGAACCCAGGGTTGGTGGGGCCTTGAGAGCCCAAAGCGATGACTTGTAGAGCACAAATAGCATTGGCGCCGCAAGGGCGAAAAGGGGGACATTTGATACAGTCCAGTACCGCAGGAAGCCCACATTCCTATCGTCTATTAGCAAACAGTGGGGAGCTCACAGGCACCGGGGCAAGCGCTTACCAATAATGACTCTGAACCCAGCCATATATGCTAGGCACCTGTGACTGGCACCACGGCCGTGGCTCTGGACTCTGCACGCAATACTCGTTGAAAGCCAAGATTTGAGGCACGACGATACCCGTCGCCACGATACATCCTCCCACAAGAATTACAGCAAGACGTCGTAAATTGTAGATTGTCAAGCCTTGGGTGAGAGATGCCCAGACCAAGAGAGCAGCATCATAGGCAAAAAGACAGCCGCTCAAGATACCGTTGCTACGGGCCACCGTTGCAATCGCAAACAAGACTGCGGCGGCGAGGACTTGAAGATCCCGAAGCAATGCAGAGCGTCGATGCTCTGCAATAAGCGACAAGGTGTACAGATCGAGCCCAACAAAATTTAACAGCGAGAAGACCGGCTCTCCGTAAGGTGCTGACAGAAACGCGCCTGCTGGAGAGATGATATGCAGAGCTGCCGAAAGAAAACAGATGAGTTTTTGAGCTGGTGTGTCATCCCCAAAAATATTGGTGGAAAGACTGTACAATGCCAATACAGAGTAGTAGTGACTGGCATGAGACAAAATGATGCCGATCAGGGCCATATTTTCTGGCCCGGTTAATCCCCCGGACGGTCGAATTGCTAGATCATGAGAGTTAGCCAAAGCAAATCACGGTCTCGACGCTTTTCCGAGACAGGCATACCGGAGGCTACCAAACTCAAAATCCGGGGATAACCAAAGGCCCATTCTTGCTCAAAAACATAGCCCTTCTCTGCAATCGGCAGAAAGTAGATGGAGTCCCACCGAGCGAACTTGAGTGGCCATGATAGGCCATCTAATGGCTTGTTGATTGACTGAGCATTCTCGTGCAGCAAGAGCGATGTGGAAGTATCATATCCAGGACCCGGGCAAAGTGCAACCACAACGAAGAGCAAGAACTTCCACAGCAAAAATGCAACTGTCAAGCTACCCACGGGGCTTTCCAGTCGCAAAAATCTCGACGTAGTGGGTTTTCCCGGCCTTTGAGACATCTCGGGCATCGGCGATGGGGAGCCAAGCTGCCTGACGAATCTGGGGATCGGCCAAAATAGGTTTCTCAGGAGGATTGGTGCCAATCAAGTCCGACGGACTGTGGCTGAGCTCCAACTCCGAAATTGGACGGAGACTCAGATGCAAGATAATGATGTGAGCACGATCGAATTGCTGTCAAATCGAGCCGAATCCACACAAGCTAGGTCGACTGGCCTATCAATCCAGCAACGAACAATGTGTCCAGAAAAGTGAATGGTGAATTTCCGCTCGGCCGTGATGAATCCCGAGCCGAACACGGCTCCCGTCGGGGACCCAGGCAGGTTAGGTTAGTCAGCAGCTCGGCGCCCGAGACACCTCAGGGCTGAGCCTGTACCATTGGATAGGTAGGGACTAACAATGCGAGCCAAAGAGCAAAGTTGGACTTACACAGGTCTATGCAGGTGCAGGTGGCTGCGACGAGGGAGGCCCGTCCCTTTCGTCATGTGAGCCTTCGTCAGCTACGGTGACACGAAGTCAATAGAGAACGGGCCATGGAATTCATCTTTTGTGATCGAGTCTCAAGGTTTGAAGCGCTGAGTAATATGTAGCAGCGAATGCATTAGAACCTGTCTGGCAGTATACACATATGTAGAAGTGGGTGGAACTGCTCGTGCTTCCACCAATCTAGCCTCCAGCCTCCATGCACTCGGGCAGGTGACTGACCTAGTTCAGTACCTAAAAGACTGTTAATTACTAACGTGAATACGAACATATTTGATGGTTCTTGATTGTTATGAGCATAGGCTGAAATTTACCTGAAAAAAAAGGGGATACCCATGGAATTTCCTTGCCACTTTGTGTAGCACCTTGACATAACACAAATTTGAACACTCTGTGCTCTGAGGTTCTGCAGGTGGCCGTGGAAGTAAACAAACGTGTTCAGGGAGCTTTGCCACTTTCGCATTGGAAACAGTTTCAGCTTGACCCTGGTGTGTGGAACAGCTCAAAGCCGAAAGTTTAAGGCAGGTGGGGATCTAGATCGTTCTTGAAGAGTGAGTGACTTTCGAGGTCAAAGATTCCTGATCTTATCTACAGGCGGCTGACACGAAGGAGTAACTAAGCAGCAAGCACCTAACTTACTACTATTTAACTAGTACTTACTACTTACTATTTACCAACTAACTAGTACTTAGTACTGATAGTCTGATACTGATAATAGGCTTAGGTATTTAGTGGCCAGCTGACAATGTTCCGTACTCCACTACTCTAAAATCTGGACCACCTCTTCTAATCGGTGATCTTGTGCTTCAGCTGAAAACACATCAATTGGATCAATCGGCGAAAGATGGGAGGCGACCATCGCACTTGAATCTGGAGGTGGTTGAGACTTCACAGCTTACCAATACCCGGATCCTTCCATGGGCAGTACGCACCACTATACACCACACACTACACACTCCACCACGAGACAGGTTGATATTGTCATCTCCGCTAGAGTTCGTGACATACTGCTGGACAACTCCCCGGGGTTCGGATGCGCGCTTCAATAATTGTCCCGCTTTCCGCAGCATCCTGAGTCAAACGGCGTTCGGCTTCTCGCGTTTCTGACAGCGCGGACGCCGAAACTTGGATCCATTCTGATCATGACCCACACCGTCTGGCGCCATGCATCCAAACTCCCAGCAGTAGTACTGTAGTACTGTACGCGCTACGAATCCGATACGATGATTTTTGAGCTTCAGTACAATCGAAGTCTCAGGTTACTTCCTTGAGTGTTCTAGGAAAACGACTAGTAATTTAGCATCCTGAGCTGGGAAACGAAACAAGTTAATTGGTCGCATATTTCGGAGCTTGGAAATCCGTTGACGTGCCATGCACGCCAAGGCTGCTTGCTTCATCATCAAATCTTCCGCTGACGGTGGGAGGAAACCTGGAATCCGGCGGGGAAATCCTTGAGCTTATATAATCGGCGTGTGAAGTCCGTCGGAACTCCATTCCCAACCAATATTCCAAGGTGAGTGGTTCCGGTAGACCCACTTCTCGATTGAAGGTAGTTAGTTATGTAGGAAATCCATGTTACTGCTGCTTAATGCTCAAATTGCCAATGCCCAGTATTGTAGGACCCGTCATTTGTAAACGTCTTGTGGAGATGTGGGCCGGGCACATGATCCGTAGAATTTTGAGCGGCCTCTTGGCAGATGGCATAAGTCGGAGAAAAAAAAATTGATGATCTTTCCGTGATGTCAATACTCGGACCCCACTTGACGTTCATATCTTTTATGCAACAAGATTCAGTGAGCACCATGAATTATGCAACGCACGATGGTTAATAATGATACTACGCTCGAATTCTTGTAACGGCTGTGAAAATTTTCCTACTAGCCAGCCAGTCAGTGATTGCTTCATACGTGTATGCTTACTGTGAAGCTACCATGCATGATACTTCGCTATTCCCACACAATCATGCGCAGGTCTGCCCATGAGCGGATGGTTATGTGGCTGTGACACAGACGACGTAGGATGCGCAGTAGGATGTAGATTGACTTCCAATGCACTGAAAGGTTGAGACGGCGATCGGTATATTAGGGATAGTAGTATAATAGTATTTTCGGCACTACTGTAAGTACTAACACTACTAAGCTGCTGTACTTATTACTTACTAAAGTATAGTATGTAAGGTAAGTGTAAACTGTGAAGAGTAAAGAGTAAAGTACCATACTCGTAGTAGCACTTGTTCTTGCCAAGAAGAATAATCTATCCAGCAAGAATCCCGGCCAGTCATAGACTCATAGCTAAATCGAGCTGGATGACGGGCCGTTTTCTCTTCATCATGACGTCGTACGCTCCCTCTTACCTATGACTCGCTGCTACTACGCTACTACTGAAAGCGCCCATGCATTCTTCACACGCGTACAAGACTTTGAAGACAATTCATACTGAGTACTGTACTGACTCCCGTATGCAAGATCGAGGTTAGTATAAGTACGGTGATCAGGAGATGTCTTTGATTCACTTGAACTTCAAAGTATAAGAGCTGGCTGAAACCAAAGGTAAGAGCGCCAGACGGGCTGGTCAGTCCAGTAGTCCCCTCATAATGACCGGGCAATGAGGACAGTAAGATTCAATCACGGATGATCACTACTGTATGAGTGTATGAGTGTATGAGTGTATGAGTGTATGAGTGTATGCACTGTACCTTACCGCATGGCAAGGCCGTTCTGTCAAAAAGATGCTCCGAGGGCCGAGCACAGTCCGCTCGGTGCAACGCCGCGATCCGATCGCCCGCTCGGATACGCCGGAAAGCACAAGGGATCGACTCTAGCACATGTCCAAAGCCTCAGTGGCTAACAGAGCAGCCGTCTTATACCCACTCAGCTAGGAGCCGTGTCAGACCAACTGTCAAGTGAAAGTCATCAAAAACACGATATACGACTCAGGGGCGAAAAGAGATACCATCGCAAGGTTCACAATCTAGAGACAATATTGGATCGGTGAATACTCAATACACTCGCAGGACGTAGGTCGTAGGACGTAGACTCGTAGAGTAGTGTGGTACGGTGACTAGACTCTCGGATGCAATTCTTCACGGGCATTCGGCGTTCGGCGTTCGCATAAGGCTGACCGCTAGACTTTTAGCGTCATGATGGGCTCGAGTGGAGCGGAGCCCATCAGCACAGTGCCTGGACTCTCTCATGATCAATCATGGACAACTCGGCATGAGAGCTCGCATTACATCGTTAATTGGCCCTGGCGCACCTGGGAGTCCATATAGGGCAGGGTCCGTCCCAGGGCTGCCATGACCGAATTTCGATCTTTCCCCGTCTGGATTCTGTTGATGGTCCCACCTGCCACTGCCTCTGCCACTGCCTCTGCCAGTAAGCCTCACAAGTCACGATTCTTTTTTCGACCTCTTCGAACTCCTGCCCGTCCCTTCTCCCTCTCTGCCTCTCCCTCCGACGTGCGACCTTCCATTCCCCTTGCATAGTACTCAATCGACCACGGGGATCAGCACACGTCTCGTGTCTCAGCTCGCCTTTGTTGGTCCTGTTGTGGACGGTCTCGCATTCTTCGAACCTGCTCCACCATAGAGTGGCATCTGCTCGTGGTGCGCTCCTCCACTTTCTCCAAGCACAGGCACACATCTGCAGGGGTCCCTGAGATTGTGTCCATCTCAAAACGACCCTGTGGGAAGATTCCATTTGAACACCATCGTCCTTTCTCCCGTATCCGGTTTTCCTCCCTCGACCGATTCAGGGTTTGACAGCCCCCACGAAAAGGTCGCGGGACTGAGTCGGGGATACTGATGTAGCTCCGCTAGGTCGAGTCCAAGAATGCTGCTGAATCTTGGCCTCACCGCGGATGCCGCAGCAGCGCATCCCACCGACCTCCCCATGCAGCCCGAGTCATCTCCAACGTCCATTCTATCCTTCACCTTCTGCCTCTCTCTGCCCTCACTTTCCTTTCTGGGATCACTCTCTTCTAAATCACCCAACAGCATTGCTTCGCCAGTGACCCCTGAGATCGCCAAGACGATGAGCCAAGTCTCCCCAACGCCAGGGGGGCTCATCGGCTCTTCTGCCACCAGATCCGCTGGATCATCCGCGCCAGCAAAGTCCTTGGAGAGTCACATCTCTCCCTCCAAAAAGCCACTGCGACCTAAGACCACATATCAGCTGGCCTACCCACCCTCCTCTGCCCGCCATACGCGGCTAAGATTGCGACCCAAGCTTCTTCTACAAGTGCAACAAGTCACGCACGTCGCCAGACCGCTGCCCCTCATCGATGTTCTTCCCTCGACCATGTACGTTCCTCGGTTGGCCCGCACATTTCCCGCCATATTCCGCGGGAGACACGGCTTGCGTCCAGATGATCTGATCATCGTCCGGAGCGATGTGTACGGGGAAAATGGAGCAGACCGTCCTGAGCAACGGGCCAGCTTAGACGAGGAAGAGGATCGGCGTGAGGTAATCGCCACTATCTGCCCGATGCATCACGACGATGCACGCACCAAAGGAAAAGCGGAGATTTCCTTGAATTATGGGCCATCCTGGGAGGCCACTCCACTTGCCAACGGGTCTTATGAATTCGTGGCGCAGACGAATGATGGTGCGCAAGTGATGAGATGGGCCTTGCGAAACGGAAAGGGTCGACGAGCCCCTGCGTCCCCAGGGGCGGCCGGACGGGATGATGGGAAGCGGTTCACCTTCAGCTTGATCGACCCTCATACCCGCCGGCATCCGGTCATTGCGTCTTTGACCGGAGGTCGTTTAGAGATGCACGAAGAGTTCTCGCGATCTGCCGCACGCTCAATGACCGGAACGACAACCCCGTCTTCGGCAATGTCCACCATCAGCGATGGGTCCGATCCCGAGATGCCTGGGGGCTCCGCCGATGTGACCTCACTCGACGATGAGCTACGAACGCTGATCCTCGTGACGGGGATCTGGGTGGCCTTACGTGAAGGATGGTCTCGCACGTTCCAATACGGAGATCTTAGTGCAGCCGCCACAGGCAAGCGGCCCGTCTCGCCCTCCTCGTCGATCCAGACTGGCCCGCTCTTTGGAGCTCACGCGGATGAGGACCGCTCGCTAAGTTCTGATGAGGGAAAGAAGGTAAAAGCCCCGGCCCTTGGAAAACGGTGCTTGTCCATGTCCAGTGTGCGGCGGTCCCAATCGCCCGCCACTCTGTCAGGACAGACGCTGAACGGCAATCTTTCTAAGAGGTCCAATTCCACGGGTGCCGCCTTCATGAATCGGGCCAAGAGTCGAAGCAGGTCGGTGAAAGGTGGCCGGTTAGGCAAGCGCCATAGCTTGCTTACCAAAACCGGTGAGAACGGCCGCAATATCGTCGTATCTCGCCCGTCGTCTCTCAGACAGAACTCTGTGACTCCGGAGACTACCAACGGAGGTCACACCAAGACTGGTCTCGGTTCCTCGACAGCACCTGCCAAGTCTACCTTGGCTGCCACCGTCGGTCCAGGCTACGTCACTGATGGCGCGCCCGGTGCGCCATCAAAGACAGCGGAACCTGGAAAGACCAAACGCCGTCACCGGCTGAGTGCCTTGTTCACAATGTTTCACCGCAAACATTGACCCCTTCTTCATGCTTTGAACATGCTTTGAACACGACTTGATTCTTTAGCGGCTTGCCCTTGTAAATAACGATTGCGTCATCCTCGGCATTTGCATCTGGTTGGGGCGTCTATGTGTTTTGTGTTTTATGTGTTGGGTTGTGAAAAGTCCCCGTCTGGCACGGACTGGGCGTTTGTTGACTCTTATTATTATGTACATACATGCCTGGTTCATGCTTCGGATATCCATTAGTTGCGTGAGCAACACGCGAGGCTTCCGGTTTAGACACGTCGATTGACTGGTCATTCTCATGGAATTCCAAATGGATATCAAAGAATTCTCTCCCCAAAGCTTTCGTTTCACCCTCACTCTCCCTTAGCAGTGAAGGCTCAGAACTGTGCTGTTTTGTTGGCGGGAGCACCTGTGTACAGTTGCTGGCCGTTCTTCTTGAAGGAAGTAATGAGCTTCTGACCATCAGCGCCGATAGCCCACTGAGTGAACATGTCAGCCATCTTCTCATTCTTGGCACCCTTGCCAATCCGGATATGAGCCGAGTTCAAGAGAGGGTCGGACGGGTCGTCAGTTGCAGCCGTGTAGATGGTTGTATAGTTCTGCAACTCCCGAGAGATTGACAGGAACGTGCCCCGGTCGGTGATAAAGTACTCATTCAAGGTGATGGCCGCAGTTAACGCCTGAATCAGGTATGCGATATGCTGATGATACCAGGTTGAGCACTTGGTTGCTTAGCGGACCTGACCGATTGAGATCCACAGCTGGGAATCCTTGATATTGGTCGCCGACTTGTCATATCGCGTCAAGAAGCGCACAGGCGGCTCCGTGTCACCTTTTTCCGCCGCAGTGTACAGATTGGAGAATTGAATCTCAATGTCCGAAGCCTTTGAGAGGTTCGCTGGGTTGGACGGCGGTTCGACCAGGAGGAAATGGTCTCGCCAGGCGTACCAGGCCGGGGACTTGGCGATGTCTTTTTCGATGGCAACCTTCTCGGCGGAAGGTGTGTAAGTGATTCCGATAATGACGGTCCCTTCTTTGAAGTAGTTGATGGACTCGGTTGTGTCGGACCTGTACCAGGCTACTGCGAAGGGTTGGGAGCCGTTTTTGACCTTGGCTTGAATGAACCCGTTGGCGAGGACTGAGATGGGGGAAATCATAGGATACGTTAATCGAGACCAAAAAAAACGCCCCCTTCTTGACTCATTTTGGGTTGACCTGGGTGGAATTGATAGGACAAGCTTACCTTCGATGAGACCACTTTGGCCAGCACCGCCGTTGCCAATGCGAAGAGCGACATTCTGAGTCTCGTTGTGACCTCCACTGCCCGTTAGGGACCGGTCTAACTTCGTGTCGTCAATGCACCTCCAAAGCTACTAGTACTTCACGACAGGAGTGTCGGAAGAGACATGCCTCGATGTGGAGGATCAGAGGCTCTGTAAAGAGATAACCTCCTCTCTGATCGTCTCTTCCATGAACTGGTCTCCGAAACAAATACTCGGGATGACCACTTGACAAGGATTGTCTAGATCGACCTCCAGATCAACATGTCAAATGGACCCAAGAAACCGTGACGGGTCCACCAGCAGAGCCAGCAGAGATCTCAGACCCACTTCCACCGGGATAGTTCTCCATCAATACATGGCACAGCCTGTACACTTGAAGGCGCACCACCAAGACCCCGGGACAGGAAAGGTTCTTTGCCTTTTTTTCCAAGGGAGCTTTTTGGGGGGTTTTCTCGGCAATGTTTCCACAGCTGAGATTGCTGTCCCTTGTCCGAGATTTTGCGGAGAACTTTTTGTACGTGATTGCCGATCGCTGCTGCTTATGGATGGCTCAACCCAAAGGAAGTTCTGATATTTCTTGTCCGGCCGGCTTGCTGCAGCTTTCCGGGATGGAATTCGGCGAGGCAAAAGCCGAAGCGGTATCAAATATCCAGCGCGTGGATATGGCTGGAGGTAGATTGAGGGAGTACTTTAGGTAATTACGGACACTCGCCAGGACATGACGAACATTTGTGACGATCGACAGATGTCCATATCTGTCCAAAAAGGTGCATCATATTTCGCTCGCTGAGAGATTCAACGAGGTGGTCTATATACAAGGGACCGTGACCTCCAAGAAAATGCCAAGATCAGACGTCCGCTGCTCGAGCTGGGTTTGCCAGTGGCCCGTCACTGACTCGGTCGACATCTGACGAGGGCCCTTCACCATCACACATGTCGATTTCAGATGGCAAGTTTTCTTATTTTAGCGCTCCAGAGCAGCGACGGCCTTGGGGACATAGGGCTCCTCCAGATACTTGATCTCCTCAGATGACAATTGGACTTTCAGACTGGCAACGGCCTCATCGATACGCTCAGCGCTGTGAAGGCCGACGATCGGGCACTCGCTCGGATGGCTCAGAGACCAGGCCAAGGCAATTTGTGCCATAGAGACTCCCTTCTTACCCGCCAGCTCCTCGACGCGATCCACAATGGCCTTGTCGGCCTCGCTTTCCCGGCTGCGAATGAGAGCCTTCAGGGCACCGTCCGAGTTTTCACGTACAGTGGAGCGCGAGCCCCAGGGACGAGCGAGCACGCCCCGAGCGATAGGGGACCAGGGGATGAGCCCAACACCGCTGTCGAGGCAGTAAGGGATCATCTCCCGCTCTTCTTCCCGAGCGATCAAGTTGTGGTAGTTTTGCATACTAATGAACTGGTGCCATCCGTTACGGGCGGCGATGTTCTGCAGAGTCTGGAATTCCCAAGCTGCCATCTACACGTTCGTTCCAAGTTCTGTCAGTTTCAAGTGGCCCAGCACGTAAGGATGGACGAGTGCCGCCTCAGCGACTTACCGAACTGGCACCAATGTACCGGACCTTGCCACTCTCCACAACATCATTCAGGGCCTTCATGATCTCTTCACGAGGAGTGTCGCGATCCAGACGGTGAATCTGAAGCACATCGATGTATGTGCCGAGACGCTGGACGCTAGCATCCACGGCGTCGAAAATGTGCTTTCGTGAGAGACCAACGCGGTTGATAAACTCCCCGTCATTCTTTGCAGAGGCCATGATGGGTGGGAATCGACCCTGATCATCAACACCGAAGAAGCACTTGGTCATGATGACCACGCGTTTACGCGGGATATCGAGCTTCTTCAGAGCCTTGCCGACAACCTCCTCCGACCGACCATGGGAGTAGATATCCGCCTGTTTCCAAGTGTTAGCCGTGATGTCAACAACAAGTTCTCCATTGGCCAACGTGGAAAAGTTGGGAGTCTGCTCAAAGTACTCACTGTGTCCCAAGTGTTGATACCCTTCTTGTACGCGTACTCGATGACTTTCAAGGACTCCTCTTCATCGAGGACCCAGTCTTGCCACTCCTTGCTGCCGAAACCCATTGTTCCCAAGACGATCTTGGAAATCTTGAGACCTGACTTTCCCAGCCTTAACTCCCACAGAAATTCACAGTCAGCCATGTCGAGCCGGGAAAAATCGCTGGTGCCAGTTTGCGTGGTTCTCCCCCCCCTCTCCTTGATCCACATGGTCTTTGCTTGCTCATCGTCTGCATCTTCTCTCCTCTCACTGATCTCTCGTGGGGATGTATAACCTTACCGTGTATATTCCATCTTTTGCTCAGACATCTTGATGTACAATTCTTTTCTGCTTTTATCGTGGTTAGCGCCAAGTGACAGCATTCGAGCCCAAGCAAATTGATGTACTAGCCCTGATGGCTGCGAATGCTGCGTACCACTGAAATCACTTTGCAATCCGATACTTTTGCTCCAAGATCCGAGCAGTCCAGAGAGCCACGATCGGACACCAAACACTTGATGGAAATATCTGGAAAAACAATGAAGGATGACTCCACTGAAATGCGTGAGCGGGGTACTTATGTGCAGCTGCTCCGATGGGTGGGGGATGACGATCAATCCATTCCGAGACTGCCGCCGCCAGACAATCTGCCGAGAACAACAAGCGTTCCTCCTGTTTAACCGACGTCTAACCGACAAGAGTATGAGTCGAGGCCATGCCTTTTCAATCTGGGTACAAAGATACACGATGTTAGAGGGGAGTCGGTACCTTCGAGGAGCAATGGTAATGGTGTCGATGAAGCAATGACTCTCCAAAATTGGCACATCTGAAGCTTTTCTGAAGCTCGTGTGGGGCCAGCTCTCAAAACAGACATTCAGGAGCCCGCAGTGCAGAATTGCAGACGGCAGTGGGCTCTGTTGTAGTGACTCGTGAGTCATCAGCACCCGTGATCACCAAATTGGAAGCCCGTCGACCAGCAGATTCAGATTGATGAGCGATGCTTGACAAGCTTGAGCTTCCGCTAGCGAAAACAACCCGAGCCGAGTCTGCTCGAGACCGGGCTGTACTTGCAAGGACTGTCCATCAGTACCAACTTGAAGCTTGCCAAAACCAAAACGTGGTACCTGTTACCACTTCAAGCATAGCGTGCCCGACAGCATCGTTATTCAAGCTAAACCGTCCACAGAGCGAATGCGGGTCGAAGTAGAGCAACACAAGAATCTCGAACGCGGCGCCCACGGGTGGACAATTTGCATGATTTCATAAGATTCGACGATTGCCTGCAATCCTCACCTTTTCTTTTACACGAGCCGGTTCAGAAACAGAAACTTCAACGACCAAAATGAAGGCATGCACGTTTGTCACCGGCAACCCCAACAAAGTCATCGAGGTCAACGCGATCTTGGGCAACACAATCCCCATCCGCACCGTCGCCCTGGATCTTCCCGAGATCCAAGGATCGTTGGAGGAAATCGCACGCGATAAATGTCGACGTGCGACGATGATTGTACACCCCATCTCTCTCTTGTGGCCACAGAAGACACGAAACTGGAAAAAGGACCGACCTCAAGCTAATTCAATTACGTTGGGTTCCTTCAAGGTGAACGGGCCTGTGACTGTCGAAGATTCTGCATTGGAGTTTCATGCCATGGGAAAGCTGCCTGGACCTTACATGTATGGACTTCTCACCGCAAAAAGAACCGTGGAAAAGATCGGGGAAAACTGGAGCCTGAGCTCCATGTCCTGAGCCGGGTATACTGACCATCGTCTCTGCACAATTCTTAAAGCAAATATTTTCTGGAAACACTTGGAAACGATGGCTTGAATACATTGCTGGCTCCATACGAAGACAAGGGCGCCGATGCGGTCTGCACTTTTGCTTACTCGTCTGGACCCGATCATGAGCCGATGATCTTTCAAGGAAGACTATGTGTATGAGAATCTGCGCTCTAGCTCTCGAGTCGGGAGCTATCTGGAGTTCTATAACTCTGTCGCTAATCGTGAATCTGGCAAGGGTAAAATTGTACCGGCAAGAGGGCCGCCCGTCTTTGGTATGTATTTGCAGAATCCTCAGCAGATAGGCGCTTCTACACCATGAGACTCATCCGTGTTTCAGGGTGGGAGCCAATCTTCGAATTCGAAGGGGAGACCTTGGCGGAGATGGCACACGAAAAGAAGGTATGTCACGTTGACTATGCGGACTCGGTTCACAGATAGCGGCTTACAATGAGGAAGAACAAATTGTCCCACCGATATCAAGCCTTGTGCAAATTTCGGGAATGGCTGGAACGTGACGAGGTTGAAAAGATCCACTGTCTACGATAAGTTAAGAGTCGAGTTGTCTAAGTGACCGTGGACCATACACGACCCGAGCATGACCTGGGGCAACTGTTGCGTCGTCCAGGAGGTGACAAGCTACATTCGGTCCCGGCATCGCGATTCATCGTTCGGTTGCTGTCGGGTAATCTGTGTAGTGGAAGGCGTTGTCCTCCAATGGACCATGAAATCAACTGAGTGCGGTCATAGACGGTAAGCGGATGGCCCTTTTTCCACCGATCGACCAGGTCGGGGTTACTGGTGAAATAGCGCCCATATACAAGTTTATCATACTTCCCAGACTCGATGACTCCCCATGAATTCGTATCGTCCCATCCGCCCGCATGGATCTCGACTCTGTCAAACCCAACTTGCATGGCGCTCTGGGCTGCATCACAGTAGTCCTGAATCATTCGGGAATATCGATGCTGTCTAAGCAACAGATCTTTCCCGGAGAGGCTTGATTCAGAGGGTGAGCATACAACCTACCTCCAGTGACCGCGGATTGCCTTCAGAGATGACGAGTCCACCCTCAGTGGCCTGCTGAGAGTAATACTCGACAATCAGATCACCTGGGATTCGGATGCGATTGAGACTTTCCGCTGTGCTGATTGAATGTGCCGGCACTCCGCGATTCCGCGTCCAAGGAGCATGAAACACTCGGTGACGGAGCGTGATTTTGCCATTGCCAATTGACAATGGCTGAAAGAGCGCCGAATCCTGAGATCGGAGATAGCGAATGCTGAAAGCGTGTCACGTAGGAAACCAATTCAGACAACTCAACGATAGCAGATCAAGATTGCACCGATCAAGCTGCCGAACAACAATGCAATCATGTTGAGAACAGAGAGGCTACGACCAGTGAAGAGACGACAGCAGGAAACGGGGTGAGCCAATTGTGACCACCATTCCTGAGACTCTCCAAAGACCCTCAATGGACTAATTGGGCGTCCTTGGGCTGTCTTCATTCCGAATATTCGCATTACTTTAGCTCAACCCGTTGTATCGTGATCGAATGAGAGACGAAGCCGAGGCTGCCAGACCCATCATACCCTCCTATACATAGACTCATAGAGATCTTGGTTCATTCTCGGATGGCGTGGAGCGAACCTGTCTTGTAGCTCTTCTGGACCTTGTTCCCAAGAACAGCCCTTACTCCAAATCTAAACATCGCATTGAGCCGATCTCGCTCCTGCTAAACGGTCCAGCCGATCATCCGATATCCATGACGGAGGTAAGTGGTGGCAACCCTACCCGTGAACCATGGATCGGCAGGCTGCTCTCATCTGGACGGCAGTCATATACAGGGCCTGAGGGCACATCTCTTCTGCCAAGGGAATCCTTGACGACTTGACATTTGCAAAGACGTCCGCGCTCCAAAAAAAAAAAAGATAATATCCCCAAATGACACCGCGGTCGCTAGATCCTCGACAATGGCGTCAAGTCATCCGTACAGTGCCATCAATACGATAAATCTGGCCACGCAGTGTCTCTGCATTCCGATCGTGTCGATATTTGTAGCGTTGCGATTCTACGTTCGGTTTCGATTTCGCATGGGTCTTGGCGCGGAAGATTGTAAGTTTTTTGCATCGGGCGGTCTTGGAATCGTGTCTTCAATCATTGTGGCGCTGGAAGCTAATCTGGGTTACCTTGCTCTAGATGCGTGTGCTGTGGCCTGGGTATGTCCATCAGACGCACTCTTGCAAATCCTAATAAGAACCTTCAGACTGACCGCTGTGCCATAGGCACTCTTCATAGCATACTGTGCTATTGGGATTGTCCGTAAGTCTGCTCATCACTTTTCCTCGTCATCGCTCAACACACTGGAAGAACTCCGGGCTCATCTCACCTAGTCGGCCAGAATGGCGGCGGCTACCACTTCGACGAGCTCACCCCAGACGAACAGACCAACTTCAAAAAGTTCACCTGGATCTCAACAATCATATACTGTCCAATGGCCCTCTGCGTCAAAATCGCCCTCTTGGCCATTCTCACGCGCATCTTTGCCCCGTATCGTGGAAAAGTCTGGTTCATCTACATCCTCCTCGCCGGTCTATGTATCTACTACACCATCGCCCTGGTCATCAAGATCCGTATATGCAACCCAGTGTCGCTCTACTGGCAAGGCACTAAGGAGGAGATTGAAGACTCGTGTCTTGACCAACGCGCCGCCTTTCTGGCCGATGCGGTCATCAGTGCCATAAGCGACATGGTCATTCTGGTACTGCCGCTGCCTTTGACGTGGTCTTTGCAAATGTCGCGAAATCGCAAGCTTCGTGTCATTGGGATTCTGGGCGCTGGCGGTCTGGCAACCGGCTTTAGTATCTACCGTGTGGTTCTAGTTTCAAGGGATCAAGAATCTTACGATCTGAGTATGTTCTTTATTCGCGTCATTATGTCTGGGTAAGTCTTCTCCATCTCACCGTTGGAGGAAAATGGCCTGGGGCTCATGTAACCAGACAGGGACAAGCCAAGGCTTGTTCAAAGGACAAAACGCAAACTAACTATGCTCACAATGATCAGGAATGCCGAAGCAGGAATAGGACTGGTCTGCGCCTGTCTCCCCACCGTCAACATCCTCATCTCCCACTACCGGAAAGCGTCCTCGTCAAAGCGATACGACAGCAGTAATTCGCTTGTGCAGATGCGTGCTCGTAAATCTCCGCATCCCGCCCACTCGGCGAGTCACGTCAGTACGATCCACGACTACGAGAGTCAGACCGACCACAGTCACTTCACTACTGCCTCGGGAGCTTTGCACGGCATTGAACCGGTCCGTACAGAAGATCGGACCTGAATAAGAACCGGTCGCCTAGTGTCAGACAATATTCAAAGTCCTATGGCTTGAAGAAGTTGGTGAAGCGATCGATGATTCAAAGGGCCCTGCGCTGGAAATACCACCGCCATCATCGAACTTGAATTGCTACCTCATGCTGGGATTTTGATCAAATAATCCCGAGTGATGCCACAACCCATCCATGCCCGCATCGAATCCTGTCGACCAAGAAGCATCGATAAACGGCCACTGAAAGATATCCGTTTCGAGGTCCGGATGGTTTCCAATACTGGGTGGATCCTTCGAAAAGAGAGAATCGCCTTGGTGACTCGTCGGGGGAAGCGAACTGCCTGGATCTTGATGCGCACTCGGTGATAGCTGGGCCATTGTGCTCACCGATCGTGTTACATGGTGCTCGCGACTCGGTCGTACCCGAATATCGCCATATTCGTCCAAAGTCCCCGCTAGCGCATATCGCCTGGGGCTGTGCATTCCAGATCCTGGATGGGCCTGCGTGCTTCTCACTGTTTCATAGAATCGATTTGCATCCTGCACAGTTCGTTTCTAGAAAATGATCAAAAGCTTGTCGGAGAGAGCGATTGACGAAAGGCACCAAGGGGCTTTCGACTTACCCAGCTTCGGCCGACCGGCCATAGTTTGCTCAGTCGTTCCAGATACATCATGTTATGATTTTTCTCGGCCTCTGCACGATCCAGTCCCCCGGGATAGTGCTGTGGGATCAGAGTTCCGTACATATTGATATGCGCTGTGACGAAAATGCTGAATCCGGAATAAGGTGTCATCACAGAGGCCTCGCAGGCTTCAAGTGCAGAAAGAATGCCGCTAATGTGCTGTGCTGCTTCAAAGAGCTGTTCGACGGTCTCGGGTTGATATTGCTCATCGTCGGCCATGTCCTGAAAAACCACGGAATGAGGCTTGATGTTTGACAAGAAGCGATCACGGTGAAGGAACACAATGCTGGACGTGCCTGATGAGTATGCCACTACGCTCGAGAAAGCGGGACGGAGGCAGGGGACGGGAAGACGTACATACCTCATGAAATATAGTAGATTGATGTACGCAAATAATTCTCCATAGCCCAAAGAAACATGAGCATGGGCACTCGTCTCGGGGTATTTGACAGTCCTATCCTGGAGGGACCGCCATTCCTCTAGCTCAGCCTTGAGCTGATGCCAATCCTGTCGAAGTGGCAAGGTGGGCGACTCCTCCGAACTGAAAGATGCCAAGGAACGCCGATGCTCGTTGGCAAAGCGTAAGATTCGCACAAAAATATCAAACCCTCTGATCACAATGGTCAACCCATTCTCGATTGTGAGGTTATTTGCCAGGTGACACTTGTTATTCAGATCGACAGGCATCAGCCGTCGTTCCGGTAATTGATTAAAAGTAAATTCTCGATCACTGATTGGCAATGGGACTGAAATTTGGGAAAAGGAAAGCGCAAAATGTTGTCTTGCACCCGAGCTCAGCTCACAGTCTTGCGCAAAGTTGCACCAATAGGTTCTGACAAGTTGCTCATATTGAGTTTGCGAAGCGTGGAATTCGTGTGGGCTATGCTCCATGCTGTCGTCTGCCATCTTGAGCAATGATTGTATCATGTACGTTGCCATTCCTGTAGTCCGATTAGTCTCTCTACTCAAGAAAATGCTTGTCTCAGGCGATAGATTTGTACGGACCGCTGTACATCCAAGCCTGATACGGTCTGCCGGTGCCCCATTCGTAGAACGAGATCATGACCAAAGATTGAGCGAGATAAAGCGATGGAGCTTCCATGACTCGAAAAGCCAGTTGCTTCCGAGCATAATCTGCAAAGGCCTCTTCATCGTCAAGGTCGTCACTCGTGATGAACCGGACGCAAAGAGACAGAAGCGAGGCAATGAAGACAGGGTCGATGGATTCGAAATTTGACGACACGTCGGAAATCAGCGAGGGATAGTGTAGGAAGTTGGCAATGGGAAACTTCTTCCTGTAGAGTTCGATTGCACTGATGACAATTGATATAGAAAGCTTCGAGATCGGATCTTTTCTGTCATCATTGGCAGCGCAGGGTTTCACCCTGCGCTGTCTCTCAATGATTTGAGCACTCGGGGGTTGATTGGTAGCCTTGCGTTTACGTGATGCTCCTCTTGACACTGCTCTGCTAGGTTCTCTTGAGCGTCCATCGCGAGGATCTGTGAGAGTGCAGCTTGATGTTTTGTTTCTATGACATCGTTGGCAAGGAGGGGTTCCCTCATGCACGCACTTGACTTTGGCTCGCCTAAGAAGATGTCAGTCACCAGCGGGCATGCAAGTATATGATTCAAAATGATTAGATTTACCGGCATGCATCACATGATATAGAGAGCCTCATTGAGTTCTCTGATGCCAGGTCAGTGCCAGTTTGATAATAATCGAGCCGTAGAATCCATTGAAGAGAGCTCTCTCAATTGAACAGGGTAGGTGTGTTTTATTGAAATTGTGCCGAGCTGCCGCGAAATGCACAAGCGGGGACGGCAGTCAAGAGGATGAAGGGAAGAAATCACCCCAAAAGCTCAGGTGTCCATGCAACACTGGAAGTGGATAGTCATGTGATATGTCCAACACCCAGCGAAGGGAATCGGTAAAGTTAAATGGTTTCCAGATTCGAGTAACTCTTCCACGAAGTATAGTATGTAAGGGGGCCAATAAAGCAACTTAAAGTGTATGTTCTACAGCTGATCTGGCAGTCGTTAATTTGGGTGATATTATATGTATTTCATAAGTCATGAGTCAGGGTTGTACGAGCTCTATCATGCAAAAGGTCCTCTCCTAATCAACGCTGATGCCCTTGTTCGCCACAGTCCACTGTAGCACCGATGCATTAAACTTGTCAACTTGCGACTCATCTGTCGCCCAGGAGGTGACAAGTCGCACAACCACCTGTCCGTCATCTAAATGGTCCCAGGTATAGAATCTGAATCTCTCCTGCAACGTCCGGATCAAGCGTGGAGGCAGAGTGACAAAGACCTGATTCGTCTGGGTTTCCGCTGCCAGCTTATATCCCAAAGCTTCGAAGTTGGCGGATATTTTCTCCGACATGGCATTGGCGTGAGTAGCCAACGTGAAGAAGAGGTTATCTCGAAATAGCTCCACAAACTGAACTCCTAAAATACGGCCCTTCGCCAGCAAAGCACCGTGTTGCTTGAGATGAAAGATGAACCCTTCCGCGAGAGCCCTTTTGACGACGATAGCTTCTCCCATCAACGCACCAGCTTTGGTACCGCCAATCCAGAAGATATCGGCATGCTCGAAGATGTCCCGTAAGGTCAGGTCATTTTTCTTGGAGCACAATGCAGTGCCCATTCGGGCGCCATCAATCAAGAGCAAAAGATTCAATTCTCGGCAGAGAGCTGACAATGTTGTCAGTTCCCGCTTGGTATAGACTGTCCCAGTCTCTGAAGCATTGGAGATGTAGAGCAAGCGAGGCTTGGCCATATGTGGGTAGAATTGATTCTGCTGGAATGCTTTCCGTAGATTGGTCGGAGTCATCTTTCCATCGACGGCAGGAACAAGAATGAGCTTGTGGCCTGTGGCCTCAATTGCACCTGCCTCTTTGCTCGCAATGTGGCCGGACTCTAGGGTGATGACAGCTTCATAGGGCCGGAGGCAGCTCGCTATAGAGATAAGATTGGCAGAAGTTCCACTGGGAACGAAGAAAATATCCGCCTCATCCTCGGTGCAATTGATTTGTTGGCGGATCAATTCCCGGGCTTGATTGGAGTAATCATCACCTCCATAAGAGACTTGTTGCGTTGAGTTCGTGCGGAGAAGAGCTTCCAGAATTTGAGGGTGAGCGCCCTCGCTATAATCGTCCATGAGACTGTATGGAGGACATGACTCGTCTTGGCAAAGACTGGTTGAGGGCATGATGTGCTCTACCGTGTTTTGACCCCAGGTTTTCCTTTCGTGTTTTGACAAAGCGGATTTGATAGGTCAAATGTTTTGAGCGTGAAGAGATGAAAAAGACTGCCTGTGAATTAAGAATATGGAGAACGCTGTGATCTTATTTTTTTTTTCTTGTCTCTGGTGTGGAGGCCAAACGGGGTCACCCATAACCAGCTAAATAACAGGACCAACGGGAATAAACTGGACTGTCGCAAGGGGGGCCCGGGAATGGAAACTTCGGTCGGGAATGACACACAAAAGCTATTCCCGAGACCTGCGATCCAGAATTTGGGCGAGTCGGACCCTCAGGAGGAGGTCGGTCCCGACTCTGATCGGGATTATTCTCATGTAATCGGTGGGCCATTTCTCTATTTTAGAAAAAAAAATTTGCGATTGGCAATCAACTGAAATGGAGATGTTGCTGATAAATCAGACATCCCGAACTTTCCTCCCCTACTGATATGCGTAGGAGCAATCCAGCAACTGGAATAAACGTTCCGTAGTCCTGAAACACGCGGCTCCTCGCGGCTCTGTCTGACGTCGCTCTGTGTAATCAACTCCGCCCCGTGCGTAGCTTCGAATGGCGGCTGTGGAAGAGCTTAGGTAGAGTCAATGGCGAGGATCAACAACGTCGAACAGACACCGATAGAGCCTAGACTGCGTAAGCAATTGCATGCCCCGCAGCTGCCGGCTTGACACGTCGGCCTTCCAAAGGCCCACCGGAGTATCGTCGGAAATGTAGACAGAGGATCCTTGAAGCACGATTGTTGTGCGGTGTACAGTGTGCAGTGTGCACAGGACACGAATCTTGTGGATCACGAGACAGCGCCCTTTCAGCAAGAAACCAAAAGAAAGACGCAGCAAGTTGGGCAACAACGGGGAAAGGGTAATTGCAAGACCTGGATTGCAAGCACATGACCTGGACATTTTACCCTTGCGTGAAGGCAGTCTCTATCTCCAGTTCACAAGGCTGCTCAGTGTTCAGCTCACAGACCTCAAACCTGACCGCCCGTGGAAGTAAGGTTCGAGACAAAACCGTCAATGTGTCGATTCCGGGTGAAGTTGAATGGACTGCTCGACCATCTCCTCCTCGGTGGGGACACGCTGATATAGTCGCACTCGCCAGCCACGGCTCAGCATACATATAGCTATGAGAGCAATCGTCAGGGCCAACAGCAAGACCAAGACAAGGGCACTACCAATACTGCGAATGAATTTGTAAGTGCTCATTAGAGTCAATGTAGCCTTGTGCAAATTGGCCTCCAGAGCAGCATCGACAGCTGCAGAGTCGGCCACGCTTGGCTTAGAGTTAAGAGGAACGCCGGCATATATTGTGGTCGGATTGATGGGCTGAGGCTGGGCTCCATGTCCTTTCCAACCAGAGGTCTTCCAAACCGGATGCTTCGTTCGGTGAAGTTCCGATGTACCAATAACATGGCCTTTCCGATCGACAGCTTCGGCAGTGATCCAATCCAGATATCCCTTTGCAGTGAACATCGTCTCGAAATCCGTCTTTGAGGCACGTCCGACCATGACTGGATAGTCGAACTCTGACGCTCTTGCGTAGAATTTCCAAGAAGCGATCTCAGTAGCGCCATTCCAGCTCACCCATATGTTTGTCACCAGGTTCGACTCGTCGGTTCCCAGCACAGACGAGACAAGGTCAGGAGGGGTGTGAGGCTGGCCAACAAACTCAAATTTGTAGGCCCGGTAATTGGAGTATCGCGAAGATTTGTACCGAGCACTCATGAGCTGTTCGCCTTCCAGCGAAAACTCCGTCATAAAGCCACCTTGGCTCCAGCAAACGAACATGTTCTGATTGGGAAGCGCCTGTGAGTTACCACGAAGCCGGGTAAGATCGCCGTCAGGACGATCGTAGCGATGAAGCACTTTAGCAGTCATGGGGACTGTGCCCGATTCGACCTCGATGATGAGGGCTGACGATACTTGTTCCTCGGCGAATTCTTCGTCGGATGCGTTGTTGAGAAAGGAAATGATGTGGTGGGTTCCTGTCGACTTCAAGAATCTAGCATTGTGCTGCTTGGAGAAAGTGAAGTCTTGCTCGAAGTCGCCACGGTGTTGTCCGTTGAGACGCCACATGATATGACCATCTTTTCCATTGACAAGATAGATAGTATTCGTAAAGCGCATTGAGATGAGATAATCACCGTTGTCGTTCTTATCAACTGAATTGATGTGAACGTAATCCCACCCAGGAAGGCCCTCCGCTGGCGATGAGCGGTCGTAATGAACAGTCTCCCTCAGGGGTATCTGATCGTAGGATCTCCAGGAAAACAAGACTTCGGCGGTTCTCAAATCAATTTCAGCGAAGCCACCGGTTTCAAGCCAAGTTTTCTCGTTTGCTCGACCGAATTCTTCCAGACCGATCTCTTCGCTGAGATAGACCGTCACCAAAGCGCTCTTGCCGTCTTTAACATTGAATTCGTGGATATCGAATACCCCGAGGTCCTGCCTCAACGGGGTCTTCTTGAAGATTTCATAACTGTTGTCCAAAATGATTCCATAACCAGGATCACTGTGGTCTCGCGAGTACTGCAGGATCATAGAGATATATGGCCTGTTGCCGATACGGTGTACCACCTTGAAATCGAATACATTCCGATTCTCGAACTTTGGCGACCCGGTCCAGATGAGTTGCTTTGTTGAGACAATCTCATGTTAGCTGATGTGGAACCTCTGGGTTTCAAAGGTTGTTCAGATGCTGACGATTACATACCCCATCTTGATCATAGATATGTGGACCAACTTGATATGGTTCATACAAGCTAGTCGATTGATCAGGCTCAATGTGCAAGTACGGTGAGACGAACCAGTATCCCGGCGCCACGCGACTGCGGTCGTAATATGTGATGTCGAAGCTAAGAGCTCGGACGTCCGGAAGCTAAGACAAACGAATAAGACCAGTGTTGGTCAATGAGAAAACTAAAGGAGTGCACCCCACTCACCGTCACGAAAGATCTCAAGTTGTCGTCTGTATATTGCCCGACAACTTGATGTAAGGACAAAACCAGCAGACCGAGCCAAAACATGGTCTGTCGAGGGAACGATGCGGTCAGCTCCAGTGAGCCCTGAAAGAGACCAGAAAGTCTGGACGGATCGCGGATTCGCGAAGCGCGTCAGAGAGGCGGCAATTCTCCACTAGCGTGATCAAGCCAGGGGTGCTCAGGGACACTTGGGAGGGATGAATCAAGGGTCAATTTTGACACGACTGGAACGCTTCAATGTGTGCAAAACTTGCGAGCAGAAGCCTGTGCATCGAGCATAATTGAAGATCATCATTGCCCTCAATTGTCTTAACGCCAAATTGCTGTGGACCTTCTTGGCGGACCCTTTCCGGGCGATCCTCCTTGGCCGGTTTAGCGCTTTTGACGGGAGCTTCTTTGGGTTAGACTACTAATGATCCAGCATGTGGATGTGGATGTTACCGATGGCGAGATTGACGACTGCTGGTGCCAAGGAAACAATATCCTCGAGTCTTGTCGAGAGTGAAGTGATGCTATGAGAAGACTAAGAACTTGCTTACGGCAGAATCCTTCTCCGGTTCATCTCGTTAAGCGGCATATCAATATTAGGTTGAGTCGAGGGTTTCAGCAAGGCCAGTGGTCCACCTCGTCCTGCAACTTGACTTCTCACTGGTTTAGTAAGGCCTGCTTCAGCGACTAGATGGCTTCAAGGACCCGACGGCCCGAATATCTGATCTCGAGGAGGCCGGAGCATTGGCCTCAGGCATACTGCCATTAATCTCTAGATACGAGTATATATTTCCAGCCTGTCGTCTCCATCGAAAGCACAGTGACTCCGTTCGGCCAGGCTACCTCAGGTAGTATCACAAGTTCGGCACCATTGGCGTCCAAGATCTCGGGACAGCGGTCACAACGCTCATCAATCATCATTCAGTTGTAGAAGCTGATTTGCGAAGACTTCAATTTCCTATATCCTCCGCCCTCAACCCTCCCACCCGCTTGATGTACATGCTTAAAATGCGAAAATGAACGAGAAAAAGAAAACCTAAAACACACTGCGATTCTATGTCCAGACTTGCACAGTTCCCACGAGACATTATTCCTCGAGCTTGAACGCTACCAATCGCTTCTTGATCACCTCATCCGAATCGGTGGTATCCAACTCGCGAAGCACACCAGATGCGACATCATAAATCAGGCCGTGGACCTGAAGTCCACGCTCCTGGATAGCCTCGAGCACGACGCTCTTCTGAGTCACGATGTTCAGACTTTCCCGGACATTGAGCTCGACCAGTTTCTCGGCAGCTTGGTCCACAGGCAGACTCTCCAATGTAGCCAAGTTGCGCTCTCGCACCTGGCGCAAAGGAAGCAGCCAGGGGTCCAGAATTCCCAGCTGTTTGCTTCCCATGGCGGCGGCGACACCGCCGCAGGATGTGTGCCCGCAGACAACGACGTGCTTGACCTTCAAGTGCTTGACGGCGAATTCAATAACGGCACCCGAGCTCAGGTCACCCGGGTGCAAGATGTTGGCAATGTTTCGGTGCACGAAGACGTCACCGGGCAGCAGACCCAGCATGGATGTTTCGGCGCATCGGGAGTCAGAGCAGCCGAGCCACAGGATCTGCGGCTGCTGTCCGTTGGCGAGAGTGGGAAAGAGATCGGGATGCTCTCGCGCAGTCTGGGCGGCCCAGTTCTTGTTGTGGCGCAGACCAGCGACGTACTTGTCTGTAGAGTCCAGGGAAGATTTGTTGTTAGTTTCAGAGGCGCTCGGTGGAGATTGGGAATTGGCGCAGTAGGCAGGGGCTGAGGTTGAAAAGGAAGAGACACGTGAGAAAGTAGTGTTCAGTGAATGTCTGACTGGTGCCAGTCGCGGGAGGCCCGCGATCGGGTGCACAGCCTGACTCGCGCGTGCGAAACAACGGAATTGCATTGCCAGTCCTCCGGGATTCATGACGAACGGTGGAGACAAACGAGGGGTCGGGTATTCAGTTCAGGGGGCCAGGGCCAATGAAAAGAGAGCAGACTGAAGCACTCAGGCACCGCGCGGGAGTATGAGAAAGAGAAGACAGAACTGTCAACCATCCAAGTTCCGCGTGTTCTGCAATTGTCTGTCGACCGCGAGTATCCGACCAAAGCGGAAGAGATGACTCATAAGGAAGGATGTTGGGAAACAAGAGGCAAGGAATGGGGTTGACGAAGAATAGCGCCAAGATCATCTATGGTTGATCGGCGGTGCACGTACCTTCAGACATGGCGACGGATTGATCTGAAACGAAGCGAAGGGGGTACTGAATGAGAGAAAAAGTTTGTAGCAGAGGGAGATGCGACTCGTACTACTTAAAGACCCTCTCGCGGGCTCGTTTGGCGATAGTGTTGGATGAATGGTGAGAGGGAGGGGCCGCCTTGGGAAGGTTGTAAAGTTGGGGGTGGGGGGCCAATGGTCTCTTCTGAGGGGAGAATTTGGCGGGATCGGCGGCTTGCGATTTTGGTTGACCGGGACGGAAGCAGAAGAGAGACGTCAGGAACGGCGTGCAGAGTCCGGAGTCCAGAGTCCAAGAGTTCCCAATCTCAAGTCCCGGCGGAACGGTAACTTTAGCGATGCCCGTGGTGGAGGGCGTTCAGAAGGCAGGCGATTGTCCAATCAATCAGCTTCATCTGGATGTGTGACGTATCTAAAACTTTTTTATATACAATCGTTGAACCGATGCGTTCCCACCACTGCGCGCCCCAGCAAAAGGATGAAAAAAAACCAAGAAAAAGAAAAGAGGGAGACAAACTGAAACTCAAAATCCGCAATCATGTGAAAGACAAGACAAGTATGGGAGACCAGAAATCAAAGCTGATCGTATCACATTCTCAATACACCCGACACTACATTTCAAGGGGCACCGCCACGACCACCAACGCTGAGGATCATTCTCTTCTGTTCCTCAGTGATGGGCACGGGCGGCAGAGGGCGCGCGCCAGCCACTGTAGGTGCGGGCAAGAAACCAATGGCCACCAAGTAAGATGCGTAGAGCCCGATCAGCTCAACAGTGATACCAGCACCGGCAGAGGCATCGACTCCCGACCACGCCGTGTCGGTCTTCAGTCCCGCGGAAGCCCACGTGTTGTCCAGTTCAGGAGCCTTGCTGTTAGAGGGCAGGTCAGAAACCACAAAGTGGTAGAGAGGCATCCTGTATGAAGTCAGTTGCCAGGGTTTTTTTCCCAACTTGAGCAATCAGCAAGGAAAAGCGAAGGAGCCGCAACTTACAGCGCATGCTGAGATTCCTTATCGTCGTGCTGACCATCGTTGACATAATGTTCAAGGGAGGACGCCCAGGGAATATAATCGATTTGCTTGATGGGGTAGCCATAAGTCTCGAGCGCACCGAGGAACTCGTTGAATCGGAGCCGTGGCTGTCCAGTCACGTGGACGACACCGGTCTTGTTGGCGGGCGGGTAGAATGCAGCAGAGATCACAACTCGTACGACATAGTCTGACGGGCATGCGTTCACAGAATTGCCAATGTTCGGACGCGAGCCCAATTGAACGCAGCCTTTCCAAAAGCGAGTAAGGAAGTCGTCCGTGACACATACACCGGATGTGGAGTCACCCTATAGAGCGTCCAGTCAGTGTATGCCCGCAACAAAATAAGGACAAGGATTACGAGAAACTCACCAGAATATATCCCGAGCGAATGATACTAGCCTTGAGGCCGCGAGAGCGGGCTGCACGGACAAGGTGCTCGCCAGCCCACTTGCTTTGGCCGTAGCCTGTACCAAGACCAACGGCGCTGCCTTCCATGTCATCGTCCTCGCTTACTCCGTTACCGCCTTCAGCAAGACTGCGCTCAGACACTTGCACGTAGTGGTCATTGTCCAAGGCACTGGTAGAGCTGACAAAGGCAAAGTGTTTCGCCTTGCCGGTGGCACACAGCTTAAGTGCATCAATCGTACCTAGAACGTTAGGGCCCCTCAGAGTAGAATAAGGATAAACCCAGTGAACCAAGGCACCGTTATGAATGACGACATCCACACGACCTGCGAGGTCATCCCAAGCTGACTGAGAGAGGCCAAATAGAGGCTTTCCTAGATCACCGCATGGCGTTTCCAGGCGGTTGACCCAATCATCATCCCAGAAACCATACGCTTGGCAAGTGGAGCGGAGACGAGCCAGAGCTTGCTCCTCGCCCTTGGCTCGAACTAAAGCGACGACCCTAGTCGAGGGAGACTTGCGCGTAAGAAGATCGCGGAGGATGTGCGCACCCAAGAAGCCTGTAGCACCAGTAAGGAAGACAGTTGGCGGAGAGGCGAGTAATTCCTCAGTTCGGGTGGGGAATGACGCGGGAAGCTCATTCACGAGCTGACGTGCATCCTTTGAGTAACCGTCGTCAGGCCCACTGTTGCTTGGCTCGGTTGTATCACTAGTCGCGAAGGCCTCGGCATCCAAGAGACGGTCAATTTCTCCAGCGAAGGCTTTCAAGGTCGGGCTACGGAAAATAGCACTCATACTGATGTCCACGGTGCGCCACTTGCGGCGCAGTTCAAAGAACATTTGCTGCGCAAGAATGCTGTGACCACCAAGATCAAAGAACGAGTCATCGGATCCAATCATACGAGCGGTCACATTGGGAATCAGCTTGGCCCAGATCTGGGCGAGAGCTTGTTCGGTCTCTGAGAAAGCTTGCATGGCAGAGGAGCGACGGCGGGGCGCAGCAGCACTGAGTTCGGCTGTATCAGGGAACGGCAGGGCAGGCTTGTCAATCTTTCCGTTGGGATTGAGAGGCATACGCTTCAACGGAATGATCACAGTGGGGACGGCATAGGCAGGAAGCTTGCTGCGGAGGAAATCACGGGTGTCGTTGCGTAGTGGTAGGAATCGGCGGAGCATGCCCACCATTCCTTCGCCAGAACCATCATCCTCCAGGCCCTTGGCCTGCAGCCATTGTGACCATTTGTTCATGTCTGGGACAAAGTAGCTGACAAGCGTTGGCTCCTCGAATTTGTCACGACGAACGAGAGTGACGTTCTCGCGCACAAGGGGGTGTCGAGAAAGATGAGTATCAATCTCTCCAACTAAAGAAATGTAAGTCTTGTGCCGTCGTTCACATTTCATTGGACTAACTTACGTTCGATACGGAAACCTCGAATCTTGACTTGAGAGTCAATGCGACCAGAAACCTCAACATCTCCAGATGGAGTATAGCGGCCCAGATCACCAGATCGGTACAATCGATCTCTGGGTCCGACATAGAACTGCCTCCAAGGCTCATCCCCCCTGTCTCCTTCTGAGTCCAGTGATCGGGCTTCACGAACCAATTTGTCAAGAATTTTTTGGCATTCATCTCAGGAGAGCCAAGATACCCCTCGGCCAAACCGGCCGCTCGCACGTAAACCTCGCCAACTTCGCCAATAGCACACATTCGAGTGGGGTCGAATGGATTGACCACCAGCATTTGAACGTCGACCATACCACGGCCAGCCGGTATGATATCTTTCATGGTGTCCAAGAAGCCTTCTTGACTCGAGTAGCTCGGGATTTCGTAGTAACTGACGGCTCGTTGTGTCTGTTATTCGTCAGCATCAACAGACCAGGTTTTCGTGAAAGGGCCAGATTCTTACCTCTGTAGTTCCGTACATATTCACAATCGACACGTTGGGAGCAAGTCCTTGAAGCGAACGGCAATCCCGCTTGATCAAGATGTCACCGACGAAGAAAGCATGGTGAAGGGCTGGGAATTGAGCGGAGGCACCGCCAACGAGAATTTGACCCATGGCTGGGGTGAGGTGAGTAACAGTGGCGCCGTAGTCCCGCATCCATTCCGCTAGTTTCTCATTCTGAATGTCCTCCTTTGCAGGGACGAGAAGTTGAGCGCCCAAGAACAGCGGTGTGAAGATATCACGCTGAATCGGGTCGTGGGCGATTCCGGAAAGCATAGCTAAACGGAGGCTTATAGTCAGAAGATGCCCCCCCTGTCGTTCAGAGTTTGACCGTAAACTTACAAAACTTGTCCTGCTCTGACAACTTGAAAGTCTCAGACATCCAAGGGAAGTAATACGCTAGACTGAAGTGGCGACCGCGAACGCCCTTGGGACGACCTTCCGAACCCGAAGTAAACGAGAGTGTTGGGATGGAGTCAGGACCCACGACGACACCAACGGGTTGTGACTTGAGGTCAGTCTGTTGAGCGAATACGTCTTGACCACCTTTGACTCCGCCAGTCAGGGTACCGTCATCTTGGAGCGCGAGCGCCGGAATTTCAGTGCGCAGTTCCAGATTCTCATTGATGAAAGTTCGGACAATGTCTGAGAGTTCACCTGCATCAGCAGTCGCTTTGGCGATGTTGATCAGGGCACGCGGGCGGGCCACGTCAAGATAGATATTTTGTCGCTCGGGAGGATAGGCAGGATCGATAACGGAGAAGGTAGCTCCGGCCTTGAGAATACCCATTACGGCCACAACCAAGTCCACACCACGATAAGCATACACCATGACCACATCTCCTCTTTCAATGCCGGCTTGCACAAGGTGGTGTCCAAGGATGTTGGAAGCCTCATTGATTTGCTGGTAGGTGAACTCGCGCTGTGGGGAGGTGCTTGACTTGGTCTCTACCACGCAAAGCTTTTCAGGGTGCCTTTGCGCATTTTCAGCAAAGATATCATGGATTGCACCACGAAACTTCGACCAATTGAGATTGGCCGTGGGATCAGGTAAAAGGGCACGCTGTTCCTCCGTGAGCATATCGATGCGACCCACGGCCTGATCAGGATTTGCAGCGGCATTGTCAGCAATCTGAACCAATTGCCTCAGGATCGTGGCAATTCGTGCGCTTGAAAAGAGTCGCTGGTTATAGTATGCACCCAGTTCGTTCGCGATATTGATGACGAGATCTGTGCTATCGAATGTGTTCGCAGGATATTCTTGGGATTCGGCCGGGGCATCGTACGCTGCAAACCGGAAGAGTACAGGGGTACGTTCTGAGTTCGACTTGTCTTTGATATATGACCGAAGGCTTCCTAAAGGAACGATGTCCGAAGCACACTCGTCGAAGATCTATAGTCACAGCAATGATGTCAGAGATAGACCGCCCAAGTAAGAACTTGAAACCGTACCTTTTGAACCTTGGCGAGAAGCTGGGTGAATGACTCGGCAGGATCATAGAAGACACGCAGGACAAATGGGCGTGAGTCCTCTGCCAGATTCGTCGCGATTGCAATACTATTCTCGAGTCAGTTGGGGATTCTATGCAGGGTCGTTGACAACATGATGACGGACTCTTCATCGCCGGTCAATCGAGCGACGAGTAGCACAAAAGCAGTCAGAAACACCGTAAATTGGGAGGATGTTGGTCCACACAGCTTCTGCAATGCAGATTGTGTGTCTCGCGAGAGCTTGAGAGTTTCAAAGGCCTCAATTGCTCGCTTGCTGTCTGCTTGGGCGTCATAGTCTCTAGCAAGCGGGGAGACAGTCAGATTGTTTAGACGTTCTGACCACCGTTCCAGGCGGTCTTTCAGCGTAGCAGATCCCACAGCCATGATGCCATGCAATTGCACTTGCTCTTTGACGTATGCTGAAGGTGATTAAAAATGTCAAGGTGCGAAAGTAGCCTACAACACAAGTTGATGAGATGAGTCAATCCCGAACCCACTCTCCTACCGGCGGCAGTACGAGTCCTACTGTGGACTGTGGAGGGGCACCAGCAAAAACAGTCCGATCTCGCTCCAAGCTTTCCTTTTCCATTTGCCTCCAGTAATCCCCCACAAAGCTTTGACGTCCACACCGCCCCAGACTTACTGCTTACTCTTAGTCTTACTGACACAGTCGACGGGAGTTCAACGCAGATATAGGTCTTCAGTTATGTATGCAGTCTCACGCTTTCAATTTTCAGAGAATACATGGGATTCCAAGCTGGCCGCTTGCGCACCTAGAATTTGCTCGGGCTAATCGGTCGTTCACAAGATTGTCATGACTACCTTACTTCTCAACCTAGAGCTGTATCCGAAGAAAGTGTACATCCCACTGCAGTCCCACAAGCCACGAAATCAGCCACCCCAGCTGCATGGTACTTAATGCATCGAGGCGTTCAATGGCCCTATCGTGAGAATCCCCTAGATACAGCAAACTCTCTCGAGACTCCCAAAATTGGACTATTGCATACACCTGGATTTGGAGAGTCTTTCATCCTCCGACGCTCATCAACTGTGGACTCTTGACCAAATGCGTATGGAGTCCATCATATGGACATGTGTCTCAAATGCCTCACGACCGTCAGCTGGATGATGTAATAGACAGTCGGATTCTATGATCACGTGTCGATCACCTGACCAACCGTCAATCGAACCTTCCTCACTAGTGCTCTTCGGAGTTCTGGGGGCTTGCCAAGCGGCGCAGGGGAAGATGCCCCAGGCCATCATCGGGTGGCACGTTAGCTCACCACCTAGCTTGGTCTTGGCGTCCTGAGTGACGGCGTTGGCGGCTGTGCATGTTGGATAGCCGGAGCTTACTGGGGCTCCATGCCAGGACAATGATCTCCTTGCTTTGATGTCGGCACTGGAAATGACGACCTTTTAAGCCATCACTTTATGCTGCGACGTCGTCTCAACGAGTCTCTCCGTTGCCTAATCCGGCGTCATCAAGGTGACCACGCGTGATCGTGGCAGAGGTCAACTTTCCCCTGAGAGATAAGATTGACTTCACACTTCAATCTTGAATTCTATTTCGCAAGCACTTCGACAAAATGATTCCTCACAGAACGACCGGTCTGTTGGCGGTCATAGTCTTCGTCGCGCTTCTCCTTTTCATATTTTCGGCATCTCCCATCCCGTCCCCGACAATTGAGAGTCAGACGGAGGACGGAGCTGATCACAGCGCAAAGCTTCACGTTCCCGTCCCGATCCCCAAACTCCCGTCGTGGGGCGATTTTCATCTTCCAACTTTCCGCGCGCCATCCCACGAGCCTCCAGCGGAACAGACAAATAGTACAAGTGGCGAGTCAAAATGGTTTAGCACCTGGGAATGGAAAGGTCCATTCTCCTCGACCATCACCTTGGACGAGAATCGCTCTGTCCTTCCGCCATTGCGCGAACGCCGACGGGTGTACACGTACTATAATCCTCAATACAACCCGAAGAAGTACACTGGCAAGGAGCTCAAGGACAGTCGGAAGGCCGATGAGAAGCTCCTGCTCGCATGGCGACGGGCCTGGTTCGCCCAAGGATTCCGACCCATCATTCTCACCCCAGGTGATGCTATGAAAAGCCCCTACGGTGAAATTGTACAAAAATTGAAATTGAACCCCGAGATGGAGAATGAAGTGTTTCGATGGCTAGCGTGGGGTCATATGGGCACCGGTATTCTTGCAGACTTCGAGTGCTTCCCTATGGCGCGCTACGATGACAACCTTTTGACGGCCTTGCGACGAGGAATGGCGCCTGAGTTCATTACGCGGTTTGATAACTTCCAAGGGGGACTCTACTCTGGAGAGAAACAGCAAATCAACCGGGCAATCGAAAGCGCCGTCAAGAAGCTGGAGGACAATTCCCTCTCGTTCACAGATTCGATTGACCCAGCGTTGTTCCGAGTGGAGCAGCCAACTGCACTGGCATATTACAAGTCGTCGAGTATTACTTCTCTCTATCCAGCGATTCACGAAAAAATCAGTCAGAATCCGGCATCCGGTCGACTACAACTAGTGGAACTTATCAACGCTCATTTGCACAGTACTTTCCAAAGCTCCTTCCCCGCTGGTCTGGCTGTGCTGAAGCCGTTCCGGGAGCACACGACTGCGCTCGTGGAGCCGGCCCTGCGCCTGGCTAAAGCTCTTATCCAGTGTCCACAGTCACCTATACCAAAATCCTGTCCACCCAACATACCTGATTGTCGCCCTTGCGCTTCGGGCAAAACACCAATGCGGATTAGCCAGCCATCGGGGTTCAAAAACACCACTTTCCTGTTCACTATTGGCACTCTCCCTCACCCATACACCCTGATCAGTCTTCAAAAAAACTCCGATGCGGTGACCACTCGTCAGGTCCGTCGGGAGACTGAGCGTGACGTCTGGGTGACTGAGGTCACGAAGGAACATCTTGGACAGGAACTTGGTGCCTCGTCCCGTGCGGCAGTCTTCAAGCAAGTTGTTGCGGGGGATCAAGCCGTCGCAAACTCGCTGTGGATGACCGTGGAATCCCTTCCCGCGGAGGCGGGTCAGAGTCTGCCCGCCGAGCTTCTGGATGAGTTCGAGTGGCAATTCGGGTTCCAAATTCCCCGCGGCAACGCTATTGAGCCCAACACACCCAACGATAAGGAGAGTGTACAGAACAATAATCCTAGCCAGCAAGGCGTGGATAAGGAATATGAACTGATCAAGAAGGCACGCGAGGTCATCAGGAGCAAAGACGCCAATCAGAAAAAAATCAAGGATGTCGCCGAGGCCTGGAATCTGGCAGACACCGAGGTGTGGCGATTTGTGAAAGCGTATCAGTAAGTCACTCATTTTACCGATAGACAGTTCCAAGATGCATGCTAACAGGGGGTCACAACCTGCAGTGCCCGTGCTGTTGTTGAGCGGAAGCAGTGGGAGCAGGAAGAGAAGGCGTTCTCCGGTTCTTCATCATGAGCACGGCGGCGAAGAGCCCTTCTCGAGGTCTCTACAAATTCCAGACGCTGGTAGATGCATTCATACTAAGCGTTTTTGGGCGCGGATCACCGTGCCTGATACACACGAATCATGCAATGAAATGACTCGCGATATTATTGAACTTGAAGCTATCTTCGCACCCATAATGTACAGCAATCTTTTGCATCCGATGCTGTGCCTGAAACATCCCCGAGGATGGAAATCACCTCAACTTTTTCAGACTTCTTGTCACGAATCCCGAATTGGATTTATATGACAGGTCTTCGGTAACAGTTTACTGCAGATTATACAGTAGTCTGCCTCCTGATCTCTCTCTCTCTCTCTCTCTCTCTCTCTCTCTCTCTCTCTCTCTCTCTCTCTCTCTCTCTCTCTCTCTCTCTCTCTCTCTCTCTCGATCCCGTAAAATCACACCTGAGAAATGTACACGGTGGTATCTACATAGCGCTTCAGTGTAGCGAAGTGACCCCAGGTTGTAGATCTAGAATGCATTCGAAGAGTGCTGATAGGCCAAAGGCATCTGACCGCCTCGGCGCGTGGCGATCCCCGCAAAACCACCGATGAGGCCCCGCGGTGGAGCGGAGTGGAGGCGCGGATGAGTTGCGCTATCTCGTCCCTGGCATTCCAGATCTTATAGCCGTGCAATTCGCTCTGGGCATTATCTTTTGCCTCTTCAGTGATTTCAGACAGTCTTTCTTGTCTTTGCATCTGTTTCATTTCAGGTTCATTGGCTTTTTGGAACGCAATAGCAAGGGCTTGATCCCCAGCATGATCACTAAAGGCTGTCTGTAAACGACGTCTCCGTTATCGCAAGCTGCGCGTACTCATATCACAATCCTTTACAAATGGCTCCTGCAAGCAGCACGAGCTCGGACTCGGGGGAGGGCCTGGAGCTCGAGAAGGCCAAGTTCAAGTCACTCTCCGAGATGACGGAAACGTGGGACGATACCATTCGATTCTATCTGAATGGCACAAAGGTTGCCGTGGACACTGTCAATCCAGAGCTTACCCTGCTGGAATATCTCCGGGGTATCGGTCTCACCGGGACAAAGCTCGGATGTGCCGAAGGAGGTTGCGGCGCTTGCACAGTCGTAGGTGTCTTCATTACGAAAGCAAGGGAGATTATATCGGACTAACTTGGAATAGGTTGTCTCGCATCTCAATCAAACGACAAAAAAGATCTACCATGCGTCAGTCAACGCATGTATTGCACCCCTCGTCTCGGTAGATGGCAAGCATGTCATCACTGTCGAGGGTATCGGTGATGTGAAGAAGCCGCATGCCATTCAGCAACGAATTGCTGTCGGAAATGGCAGTCAGTGTGGATTTTGCACCCCGGGAATTGTTATGGTAAGTCAGAATCACCATTCATCATTCGCTATTCTAGAATAGAGTACAACGCGACAGATAAATAATCCTTTTTCCAGAGTCTATATGCTCTGCTGCGCAATGATCCGTCCCCATCAGAGCATGCAGTCGAGGAGGCATTCGACGGTAATCTGTGCCGTTGCACGGGATATCGACCCATTCTGGACGCAGCCCAGAGCTTCAACTCACGCAATAATTGCGGCATGGCGAAAGCCAACGGCGGCTCTGGCTGTTGCATGGAAAAGAGGGACGGTGGTTGCTGCAAGAGCAATTCTGCTGCATCAGAAGAGACCGAAGTCGTGGAGCCCATTTTTCCAGCTCCTGAATTCAAAAAGTATAGCCCAGACACCGAGTTGATATTCCCGGCTGCTCTACGCAAGCACTCTTTCCAGCCTCTCGCATTTGGCAACAAGAGGAAGAAGTGGTACCGTCCGGTAACGGTTGACCAACTGCTGCAGATCAAGAGCATTCATCCCGAAGCCAAGTTGATAGGCGGAAGCACGGAGACTCAAATTGAGATAAAATTCAAAGCCATGCGATACAGCGCCTCGGTCTATGTTGGTGATATTCCCGAATTGCGCCAGTTCACATTCCACGATGACTGTCTCGAGATCGGCGCAAACGTATCACTGACCGACTTGGAACAAATCTGCGATCAAGCTGTGGAACGTTACGGACCGAACCGTGCTCAACCGTTCAAAGCAATCAAGAAACAGCTGGCATACTTCGCGGGACGTCAGATCAGAAATGTTGCATCCCCGGCTGGAAACCTGGCAACCGCGTCCCCCATCTCAGACTTGAACCCCGTCCTTGTCGCGACTAATACCATCTTGGTAGCAAGGTCTCTCAAGGGAGAAAAGGAGATTCCGATGACCGAGTTTTTCCAAGGCTATCGCAAGACGGCTTTGGCTCCTGATGCGATCATTGCCAGTCTTCGCATTCCCGTTTTTCAGGAGAGAGGGCAGTTTATTCGCGCTTATAAGCAGGCCAAGCGAAAGGATGACGATATTGCCATTGTCAACTCTGCGCTCCACGTGTCATTGTCTGAAAAGAATGAAGTCACCAGCTGTAATCTCGTCTTTGGTGGCATGGCTGCCATGACTGTCTCGGCCAAGAAGGCACAAAATGCGCTGGTAGGGAAGAAGTTAGCGAATCCCGAGACATTAGAGGCGGTGATGGCTGCCCTGGAGGAGGACTTCAATCTTCCCTATGGCGTTCCCGGTGGCATGGCCACCTATCGAAAGTCTCTCGCCATGGGATTCTTCTACCGCTTTTACCATGACATTCTGTCCCTGATCGAGGTGAAGGCTTCTGATGTCGACGCGGACGTCATTGCCGAGATCGAGAGAGCGATTTCCACTGGCGCAAAGGACCAAGAAGCATCCGTCGCTTACCAGCAAAAGATTCTCGGAAAGGCAACGCCCCATGTCGCCGCACTCAAGCAATCTACCGGCTCAGCGCAATATACCGATGACATCCCTGTTCAACAGAATGAGCTCTTTGCCTGTCTTGTTCTTTCGACCAAGGCACATGCGAAGATTCTGAGTATCGACACATCAGCCGCTTTGGAAATCGCAGGTGTTGTTGATTATATCGACCACAGGGACCTACCAAACGAAAAGGCCAATTGGTGGGGAGCACCTGTCTCAGATGAGACATTCTTTGCCGTCGACAAAGTCACCACTGCTGGCCAACCTATCGGTGTGATTGTGGCCCAGACTGCAAAACTTGCCGAGGAGGGTATGAGAGCAGTCAAGATTGAGTACGAAGAACTTCCAGTCATTTTGACCATGGAGGAGGCGATTGAAGCAAATTCCTTCTTCGGTCATTACAGGTACATCAAGACTGGTGATGTCGACGAGGGTTTCCAACAAGCCGATCACGTATTTACAGGAGTGTCACGCATGGGCGGACAAGAGCACTTCTACCTGGAGACCCAAGCTTGCGTGGCTATCCCGAAGCCCGAAGACGGTGAAATGGAAGTGTGGAGTGGCACGCAGAACCCTACCGAGACGTAAGTTTTCCCAACTCTGACATATGTCTATTGTGGCTCGCTGATAAAGTAGCATGACAGACAAACGTACGTTGCTCAGGTCTGCGGCGTTGCTGCCAACAAGGTAGTGTCCCGTGTGAAGCGACTTGGTGGTGGTTTTGGTGGCAAAGAGACACGATCGATCCAGCTGGCTGGAATCTGCGCGGCCGCCGCAAAGAAACTCAATCGACCCGTGAGATGCATGCTTAACCGTGATGAGGACATTTTAACCTCCGGTCAGCGTCATCCCTTCCTCTGTCGCTGGAAAGTCGGCGTCACAAAAGAAGGAAAGATCCTTGCTCTTGATGCCGACGTCTTTGCCAATGGCGGCCACACTCAGGATCTGTCTGGCGCGGTTGTCGAACGAAGCTTGTCACACATCGATGGAGTCTATAAAATCCCCAATCTTCACGTGCGCGGGCGAATCTGCAAGACGAACACTGTCTCCAACACAGCCTTCCGTGGATTCGGTGGACCACAGGGTCTTTTCTTCGCTGAATCGTATATCTCCGAGATTGCCGATCATCTCAATATATCGCCTGAGCGCATGCGTGAGATCAACATGTACCAGCCCGGTGAAAAGACGCATTTCAATCAGGAGCTGAAGGATTGGTACGTACCCTTGATGTACAAGCAGGTGCTGGAAGAGAGCAACTACATGGAGCGACGTAAGGCCGTCGAAGAGTACAACGAAAAGCACAAGTGGTCCAAGCGCGGCATGGCAATCGTGCCTACCAAGTTTGGAATTTCCTTCACCGCGCTCTTCTTGAACCAGGCCGGCGCTCTGGTTCATATCTACCACGATGGAAGCGTCCTTGTAGCCCACGGCGGTGTAGAGATGGGTCAAGGACTACACACCAAGATGACCATGATCGCCGCTGAAGCCCTTGGCGTACCTCAAGACAACGTGTTCATCGCTGAGACAGCCACCAACACCGTGGCCAACACTTCGTCAACGGCAGCATCAGCAAGCTCTGACCTGAACGGATACGCCATATTCAACGCCTGCGAGCAACTCAACGAAAGACTTCGCCCCTTCCGCGAAACAATGCCAGAAGCCACTATGGCGGAACTGGCGCACGCAGCCTACTTCGCTCGAGTCAATCTCTCCGCCCAAGGTTACTACCGCACCCCAGACATCGGGTATGTCTGGGGAGAAAACTCCGGCCAGATGTTCTTCTACTTCACACAAGGAATCACCGCTGCCGAAGTTCAAATCGACACTCTAACAGGAGACTGGACCCCACTTCGCGCCGACATCAAGATGGACGTTGGCCGCACCATCAATCCATCTATTGACTACGGCCAGATCGAGGGCGCCTACGTCCAGGGTCAAGGTCTCTTCACGACCGAAGAAAGTCTATGGCATCGTGCCTCGGGCCAGATCTTTACCCGCGGACCGGGCAACTACAAGATCCCTGGCTTCCGCGACATCCCTCAAGTCTTCAACGTGAGTCTCCTGAAAGATGTCGAGTGGGAGAATCTGCGCACTATTCAGCGTTCCCGTGGTATTGGTGAGCCGCCCTTGTTCATGGGCAGTGCGGTGTTTTTCGCTATTCGGGATGCTCTAAAGGCTGCGCGGAAGCAGTGGGGTGTGGAAGAGGTGTTAAGTTTGATTAGCCCTGCTACACCTGAACGTATTCGGATTAGCTGTGCTGATCCGATTATCGAGCGAGCGAGGGTTACACCCAAGGAAGGGGAGCAGAGTTTCTTTGTGGCTATTTAGGAGTGATGCCTTGAACATGACATATATGACTTCAGGACGTATAGCATGATCTCTGATAACGATTACCTTACAAATTTGAACTACTTACTTCATTCCTTGTTCTAGGCATCACTATCTGGGGTGGATTTGTAATGTAGATGATTTCAAGAAGCCTTGCGGCGTGAGATTTGTAAGGTACAGTTTCCATTCTTGGGGCAGATGGTAGTCAATCGTCGAGTGACTGTGTCACATATCTTTGTTATATTATGGATAAAAGAGAGATCGTCATTGGGAATCACGGGGCGATATTAATGATAACAATTTGGGGAGCGATCGGGATGCAGAAAGCAAGGTGAAACATTAAGTGAGCGTAATGAGCGTTATTGGTAGGCAAAAGCGAAAGTCATTGACTATCCACTCTTCCCACCATACTCGACGTAGTTACTCTTTCGCAACGCAGGCTGACCCTCAATACTAAGCGCAGTCTGGTAATTTCTCTGCCCTGCAAATCCCCGCTTCTCATCGCTGAAGGACTGTTCACCTCGGTCTGGCGCAGGACCGGCCGCTGTCATGTCGTTGCCTACATCCCCTCTTGAGACACTTGTCAAGGGAATATTTGACTGATCACCGGCTTGCAGATCCATGACAGATGCTGCACCGCTGGGGCCGGGCTGGTTGGGAGACGAATCCGCATAGTGACCGCCGCCATCACCTCTGTTTCGATCACGGCCCCAGAAAAGAGCCATGGCGCGCACGATACCGACCAGTGCGATCACGATCCAAACGCAGAGAATAGCGGTGGCAATAAAGGTCTCTGTGCGAAGTCCGTTCTTCAGCTTGTCGATCACATTTTGCACCACCTGAGTGATCTTATTCGACGTGGAATCTCCAGCGTCGGCAAGGAAACTCGAAGACGGGTTGGCGTCATTGGAGACGCTATCCTTGGCGCCCTTGGAGAACGTGTCGTTGGGGAGCAAGGGAAAAGCGACATGAGCATGATCATGGACCCAGGTCAGACCCTTCTCAACACTTTGAATCTTCAGTCCGATCAGACAGTTGAAGAGTTCCTGAACAGGCTTTTCAAGCAGTGTGCCTCCGAAGGTGTCGTTCAACACACCAGTCGTCTTTTCGACAAAGGTTTCAAGCGTGCTGTTGACCGCGGTTGTACTAGTGTTGACCCAGCCGAGGAGGTTGTGATTGATGTCGTCGTCCAAGGAGAGAATCACCTTATTGGCGTCGGTTGCCCAGGCCATCGAGGCATTCTCCAAAGAGCCCACGACTTTGTCGGCGAAGACGCCCACTTCCGCACTGAGTTGCGGGACAGTTTTCTCAATGCTTGTCAGCAAGATGTATTGACATAGACATGATAGGAGGGCTGCAATGGCGAGAGCGAGCACGAAAAGAGCCGGGAGGGAAGTCGCATAAGCTATGGCCCATCGCACAAGGATCTGTCGACGACTGTTGCTGAAATGACTGGCGGCTTTGATTCCAGCTGCGGCCGTGTAGGGCCGAGATACGATGTACACCACGTCCATTGGATCGTGGGCTTCTTTGCGGACCAGCTGGGAGCGCTCCTTCATATGGCGCCATTTGCGGTTTTCCTGCCACGCAACCGGGATGCAAACGAGAACGGCCAGGATTGTCACAACGACGATGAATATTGTCCGTGCCGTCGTCGCCAGCTTGGTGATCCCGTCGAAGAAGTCGTTGATCCCATGGTTGTCACTGCAAAACGATAGTTGCTCTTTCTGAGGGACTGGCAATGCGTTTCGGTCGAAAGTGTACACCCCTAGTGAATCGTTGACGAGTTTTTTCACCTCTTCGAAGGGGAATCGAATCACAGTCTCGGTTAGATTTTGGACCTGATCAAATGTGGGGAGACTGTTGTCCAGCTTGTCCAGCTGCGTATTGATCGAGGATGGTATGGAGATGTCATCCAGCTTTTTCAAGGGACCACTCAAGTCCAACGTGGGAACCTTCGCCCCAAAGGCGCTGGCGGCCGAGTTGACAAAGCCAGCAAAGTCGTTCAGGGATTTCTCGAAGGAGTTGACGCCTTTGTCGATATCTGCAACGGCTCCTTTGATGGTGGAGTTGAGGAAGCTGGTGACGTCCTCTATCAAGGCCGTTGCCACATGCACTGAGCCTCGCACGACCATGGTGGCCAGACAGAGGTATGTCTGGTACATGATTTTAATGATGAAGAGAATGATCTCCTCCACACCCGTGATCGTGAGCAAGAGCATCGATTTGAGACCCTGTACGGCATGCTCCACACCCGAAGCCGTCAACTCATTCACACCGGTCGAGAGATAGTGAGGCATGGAGGCCATAGCACTACCCATCGACTCCACCGACGTACATGCCGACAAGGCCTCACGCCGAGCTGAGTCCATGTCGTGTCGAACACCTCCGATCGCAATGAGAACCCGTGCTAGGATCAAAGCGAGCAAAATGGTCCACCGGTTGATCCATACTTGTGAGAGTCGCGCTCGAAGACCCAGGTAGGGGGTCAGCCCGTCTGGATGTAAAGGAATGATATGACCATTCGATGGATCGTGTGCGCCGTAAGGAGGCAGCAAAGGAAACACAGATCGCCCTGATCGTGAGAAGACCATGATGGGCAAACCACGAGGGGATTTTCAGATTTCAACGGCCAGCGGGAAACGAGAGACAGTTGATCGACGGGTTGAAAAAAAACGCGACGACACCACACTAATTCTGACGCAGAGCCAGCTGCTGGGTGAATATATATGAGATTTAATGGAAGGATTCGGGCTTTGAGTCCCTGAGCGTTGGCAGATGGGTGGCAAAATGTGTGGCGGGCTAATCAACAAGAGACAATATACCTAGTTGTACCAGGCAGCGAATAAGGGAAGGTATCAATCGAGCTGCGCTGCAGCCTGAGTCAAACAGAAAAAGTATTCACAATAGGTCAAGGCAGCCACTCCGAGAGGGAAAGATCAGTAGAGAAGAACAGGCGGGAGGAAACAGGAAGGTGATGTTGAGACCATATAGATTTCTCACATGTGGGAATCACCTTAACAATTATTTTTGGTACTCAGCGCTAAGCTGTCCACCCTACTAGAATGGACAAGAGGCTGTTTCCATTTTTGAAGCAGTAAGCGACAAGGAGACATTGTTTGGTGAACCAGTTCCGAGGGGAGTGGGCTGTTTTGACAAAGGATGGCTGTTCCATCCTCACGAACCATGAATGATCGGACGAGGCTTTGTTTCATGCGTTCATTCAAGGCGACCCTTAGGGCGCTAAGCAATCGATCGTATGGAGTTATGGAGGATGACAGCGAGGGCTGGGTGAACAAAGACTCGTCCGGGACCCGTTGGGCGCTTAGTGGCTCTGGTCTCTAACCCAATCATCCATGTTCGACAGCGTCATTCTCGGACACCCAACGGTCTTCTCTCTGCCGTGCTACCGGACGCTTCCTGCATGAGGTCAGCCACTGAGAAGACGGTGGAATCGCTCTGTGTGAAGCCAAGAATTACTAAGAAAGAGGTAAGAGACTGCACTAGTGGTGTGCCATGTGCTGTGTGCCGTGTGCCTTCAAGCCTTGTGCCTTACCTCAGGCCTTGCAGGGTGCCATGTGTCCCCACCACCCTCAGGATCCAAAGGCTGGTCATCTCATGGGTCACACATTTGTGAAGTGAAGTATGTGCGCAGAGGATCGACAATGGAAATATCAAAACAAAGCCAATGGACGAAGGAGCACTGTCCTCTCGTGGGATTCGATTGTATCATCGCCGTGGAGTGGCTCCACTTGGTGTCAAGCCTGGCGGTGACGCCTCAAAATGCCGGCAGTCCAGCTCACCTGACTTTTCCGTGGGGTACGTCAGAGGAGCCTCTCGCGGGAGCAGCCACACTTTCAAGACACCAGCTGTTCTCCACATACCTCATTTAGTACTTAGTAGTAACTTAGTAAGGTACGCAGGTCCTGGATTGACTCGCCTACCTTACCCCGGCCCACTAATTTACATCGGAATCCATATCCGATGACAGTTGTACCTCAACCAAGTGTAGGCGAGCTCTGTACATTGTACAGTGTGTACACTGAGCACGGTATACGTTGTGGTCCCTTAGCTGCCACATCCAATAATTTATCATCTACGACTCGTAATGAAGAATATTACATGACGTCTCGATCCTCAAACAATAAGGTATGTCCCCTCGCAGAACTGCAGCCCTGTCCTCCCAGCCATACCGCGAAACACTCTTTAATACCAACCACCGATATGTAGATGAGAAACTGGATGGCATACAATCTTCTAGGTTGATCAGGTGCTCGATCTTGAACTCAAGGAGACCGTCAACAGGTGCTGCTTAATCTAACAGTGAGGTTTTCGAGCCATCTAACGCATCATATTAAGGTGGATAGCCTGTATAGATGAATGAGATCCAAGTCACTTGAAAGACGGCTGGTTACAGGCTTGGATATACATGAATCCTCGTTCCTGGAATGATTCATTCCACGCTGTTATTGGATCAGAGATGAATTGGTAGGTACCTAGTCAATAATTCTACGTCCTAGAGCGAGCATAAACTGGATCGCTCTTGATGACCGTTCTGCGAGATGATACCCCAGATCAACCTAGGCTTGAAACTTGACAGAAATCCCCTACAAGATTGATCGGGATATTTCAGACAATCGAAGCTCGCTCAACGGAACATCTGGCAAGCTCTCGTGGACACTACTTAGGTAGAGAACATGTAAAAACCTAATCTCTGTCTCGAGCCATCGAACTAGGCGAACGACTGGCTTATGTCAATAAAACTTTCTTGTATTAGAGAGGGGAACATGTATATCACGAATAATGGATGCAGATACACAAAGCTCTTGTTCTCCAATAGCGAGTCTCTGAGATCCATAATCGAGACACTGGTGACCAGACTCATTGAAATGAGAGATCGTCAACCTGACTAGCTAGCGTGTCTTCGCGATGAGGGCTGCTTGTTTATACATTTCTTGTCTCCCATGTGGGAGTGCAACCAAGAATCTTCCAAGGTTGGGTTGTCATCGCACCCTTATCGTAGCTCTAGAATTTTCGTGATATCGAATTGTTTGCTTTCAGACCTTCTGACTGGAGACGATGGCCACAACAACAGGACGCGCACAACAACAATAGCGCGTATACCTGTCCGGCCTCGCTTCCTCGTCGTCGTCTTCGTCGTCGTCCTCGTCGACGTCTTCAACCTCACCTACTCGTCTAAATCCTACTACGCTTCGACTCTCGCCTCGATTTCCACTCCCACATCGACGAGTCTCATTTTTGATATCTTACCACTACCCGTTACACTTCCGTCCACATCGTGACCTTCACGAACGCTTCGATTATTCAATAAGCCCGTACAACTCTCTTTTCTTACACTCTTTCAGACATCCAAGTCTTCGCACAACAGAATAACGCGCATAGCAATATTGCGCGCATATTCACCCTCACCCATTCATCCTAATACCTGACTTGAATACTTCCACTTTGGCCTCAATCTCCACATGAAAGTCGACTTCTCCCGCTTAGAGATCGTACCTCGACCTGCTTCACTTTGTTCCACAGTGTGAACGTTGAAATCACGTACACAAGCACCCACATTCTGTTCCATGCTCACTCTCAACATGGGTAACAAGAGCAGTGCCATCTCCGGCTTGGCTCATCAGCCCAAGCAAGGCGACTATGCCCTTGTGCTAGACGCGGAAAAAAAGCTCCACACATTTCCAGGACCGAAAGACGGGGATCAGGAGTCTCCAGAAAAGGCTTTGAGTTTGGAGGTTGTCAAATGGCGTGAGCCTTTTCCGGTCTTAGTCCTGACTGTGAGCTCGTCATCCCTCAAAAGGGACTTCAAAGAGGACATGGATGACACGGCCGATGCACTGCAGTACACTTTCAAGCTGCCAGCCAACTATCCTGGAGGTCGAGCTGCCCTCCTGAACACAATTCGTGAGCTGATCGATGGCTCAAATCCCCATGGCATCACCGAGACGTATACTGGCAAGAAGATGACAAACAAGTTCCTCTTTGATAAGCGAGCAAATCGTCTTGGTGAAAAGAATTTCAAGTGGCAAGACACCAAAGTACAGTACGGTTGCCATGTCGACTGGGCTCAGTACTCGTCCAAGATCTTCTTCAGGCTCCGCGCAAAATCACGCGAGATGGGGATCATCGTTGTAGACAGACACGCCGACGGATACAAGTTCGTGGTGGGCCAGGAGCGAGTAAGTGGTCCTATGCCCGGAAGCCTCTGACATGTACCATTTCCCGTACTAAGCTTTCTTTAACGCAGGGTCTAATTCAGCAGATCCGATTTGCGCAGTTCATGGCCTTGCCTGCTCGAATCTGGCTCCATGTCCAATACCAACGTCGCAAGGCCGAGTGGCTGGATTCTCAAGCGTCAAAGGCACAGGCTAGCAACTGTGGAGACGTGGATATGCCTGTCTCGAAAGAAGCAGACCGGCCTGTAGCAGAAGAGAGGAACTGTTTGACCCAAGAAGAGGAACAGTATGCTTCACAGCCCACACTGCAGAGTCAGATGAGCACTGCAGACATGGGCCTTGTTGCCGATGATAAGGACCAAGGTACCAAGGCGAATGTGAAGAGAAAGCGAAATCGCAAAGGAAAGTCGAGAAAGCCTGGACAAGAGAGTTCCGGAAAATCTATAGAGGAGTTGCAAGAGAGCATATTGCCACACGACACTGACGCAAGGCGCACCGAAAGAATTTCAAGTGAACAAAGACTCGGCATCTTAGCCCCCGCGTCAATGAGCTCTATTGAAACAGATAGGGGTGATGCTTCAAACGACGTGCAAACCTTGGGACGTGGCTCAGGCTTACCTGATCCGACTGTCTCTCCCTCGCCCCCCTACAGTCCTTCGCACGTTGTCGCGAGTACCGTCGCTGATGACTGCGCCGAACGACAAACGGAAAGCCTAACAGGTAAGACGCATGCTCATTGATATATTATTGCTTGGGAACTTCGACTTGCGAAACCAGTGTTGGCAGACTGTGCCATGGAAGGTTCCGGCTGACATAGATACCTCAGAGAAAGGACGGACATCTGTTCTGCAAGGCTTTGAGGCAGGGCACCTCGTGACAAGTGCGACCCCACCTGAGCATAAGGATTTTGGCGTTATATCTGATAGCTCGTGCCATGATTATTGACTTATTTTATAGAGTCCAGTGAAGCGGAAGCGATGGCTGCGGACAGCACAAGTGATCGCTCACAGAAGTCCGAAGCGAGCCAGCCCGTGAAGCTTGGTAAGTTAATATTGCATAAAAATGAGCCTCATGCCGAGTTGAGTACTGACGCAATGTCTACAAGTAGACACGCCCGACAACACTGATCGCACGCCGGAGGGCCATCTACGCGAAGTCAAGCCGGCAGCCGTAGCAGAGGTTCTGGAGTCTAGCAGTGCAAAGAAGGTCCCGGAAAAATCTACACCGCAAGGGGAACTTCAGCAACGAGCGGTTAAAGAAATTGTGAAGTTTTTGAACCCTCTTGCCGCGCCGTGGACCGCCCCTCAGCACATGCTCGCTCCGGAGTCTGTTGCGACTGTCGCCCGCCGTGGATGCTCCCAGGATGTGTCCAACCAGCAGAGCCACCAGGCCAAAGAGACCGCGTCCCCTTCGCCACGTGCCACTGGCAGCAGTCTGGCAGATCAATCTCGCATCCCAGAAGTGCGCGGTTTTTTCTGGGACATGACTTACCACAGCTTTCTTTGCCAAAAGGAAGGTTGTGAGACACGGGGTAGCTTGTGGGATGGTCAATCCGTCATCTGCCCGTTCTGTGGACCCTATTCGTATGTCAGATACTGCGGAAGGGAACACATGCGGGAAGACGTACGAGCCCACTGGCCGAATTGCGGACAGCTCACGATGAAGGAACCGTGCGTGGCGCTCTCAATGCCCCCGGATCTCCTCCGCGAGCCGCCCGCGATTCCTTGTATGCATGGGCGGGACAGACCAGAGCGTCATCGGCAGGCGCTGTGGTTCAGCACGGCTCGGGGTGAAGGTGATTACTTCATCTTCGCCGATGGAGGGCCTGGTGTTGACGTTGAGTGGGAGCCTGCTGCCTTGCGTGGACGTTGCTCGCTCCGTGTGACGCACGTCGTGCGGTTCGACGACCCTGGCGAGAAGGACCGGTTCCGACGGGTACTTGCAGTGTGCCTGCTGGAATCCCTTGAGGTCCAGCCGCTGGTAGGGTACCTGTTCCGGATGCTGCGCGACAGGCTCCGGTCCGAACAGCAGTGGTCGCCCGAGCTGGACGTGAAGATCCGGCGTCAACTGACATGGGAGTTCGCAATATGCCCCGACGCTCGTGATATTGGCCAGCGACACGCTTGCGAGGCCGAGTGGCTTGGTCTGCCACCCCGTACTTGCCGTGACCGGACGTGTGAAGCAGAGCGACCAAGCCTGCTAGGCAGACCTAACTGGTCGCGTTGGTTCGAACGCATTGTATCCAACGAGGAAGCTAGCCATTGGATACTTCGCGCGAATCGGACCACACACCCCGTGGTCAAAGGGGTGCAGGCCAGGGTCAGAGGCGAGGGGTTTGACCATGTTCCAGTTGAGGAGAGGCGGCTGTTCCGGCGTGGTGAGGGTTGGGATGGTTTGGGGTCTGGGCCTTGGGAGTGGGAGGGAGATTGTGAGCTTATGTCGACGCCGATGTGAATTGGCATAAGCTCACGAGAGAAGGAGGTGGGGGCTGGGTGGAAGAGGGAGATGGAAAGCAGTCGAGGTCTGTAGGATAGACCTCCGAATGAGACTCACGTTGTACGAGTCGAGCATAAGCGCCGAACCACTCACAGCTTCCCTCTTCAATCACACTTGCTGTAGGCATAGCTATAACAAGTCGCGAAGCTGAGATCTTCGTGCATTAGAACGACGGCACTTCGTAAGTCTGTTCCAAATTTCGAAGCTAGATCCAACCCATCTTCTCCAGTCATCCGGAATCAGTTGGCCCTGGTCCAGTTCAGAGACACTTGCCCAGCTAAAGGTTATCAAAATTAAATGTTTCTTACAGGTAAATGCTCTGCTTCTGCGCAGTCGAAAGGTTCGTTATTTGGAGGAGCTCATACCTTGTATTGGCCCAGCAATTTCTGTTGAAATATCTCTCTCGAAGACAAACTTGGTCGTGCACCACGTTAAAAGTCCTAAATTGCTCGTATGGCCGCGGTAGCTTTGGTATACGACTGTCAGTAGCCTTCCAATCGAGGCAGATAAAGTGAGAATTGATAACTCAAAGGGACCGCATTTCTTCTTGACTAGCTATCTTATGATGCTACCTGCACATGCAGGTCATCCGGGAACGACGCTTATATCCGTTTGAGGTATGTTGATGATAATGATAGTACGTATGACCCGGAGAGAGAGGTTCGATTCTACTGCTTGATATACTTTCTCAGACCACGTAATCTTTCCTTGGCAGTCTCGAGGACATCGTCGTTCTTGCAGACGGCGAAACGGAGATAGTTCTCGGCGATGTGAGCATTGTCGTCGGTGTAGAACTCAGTAGGCGGGATTACAGCAACTCCGACCTCATGGATCAAGAACCAGCAGAGCTTGAAGTCCCGAGGGCGGTTAGCCACATGTGGTGGAAAAGGGTAATCGGCCGGCAATTGGACAGACGACATATTCGCGAGCACAAAATATCCGCCCTCGGGGTCAGAATACTGTAAGAACCAGTCAGTATCGGCGACCAGACTTTCGGAGGAGAAAGAAAGTGGAACATGCGCATAACATACCGGAATGCCAAGCTCATCAAATACCTCGCAGAAAAGCTTCATCTTCTGCTGCATTTCCTGTCGACTTTGCTCCCAGAAGCCAGCCTTGTCTGCCTTTTCAAACGCCACGGCAGCAGCTTCCTGGAGAGGTGAAACACTGCTGTAGCAGATGCGAGTATGCGCAGCCGCAACATATTTGATCAAGTGTTCAGGTCCCATGAGATATCCAACACGCCAGCCTGTAGCGTAGAAGGCCTTACCCGCCGAGCCAACCGTGATAGTGCGTTCCCAGATTTCAGGGGAGAGAGTGGCGATCCGTGTGAAAGGAACATAGTAGAGACGATCGTACACTTCGTCCGAAAGGATGATGAGGTTGTGTTTGACACAAAGATCTCCAATGCGCTGTAACTCTTCCTTAGAAAAGACTTTGCCGACCGGGTTGTGGCTGTAGAATTTGATCAGTGACTAGGCAAAAAGATCGAGTGTAGACGACGATTACTTACGGTGAGTTCAGGACCTTTTCACTCATCATGAGCATGTTTCAGATTTCTGGTTTTCTGTAGCTGGGGCATCAGACTTACAATCATCTTTGTCTTCTCATTGATGGTGTTCTCAAGCTCCTGGAAATCAATTGACCACTCGGAAGCAGGCGATGTCCTGGTAGCGCCGTCCTTAGGCGGATGAAGAGGCACATATCGGATGGTTCCACCCGGCATTTCAATGTTGCTGATGTACCTGTTCACGCCGTCTTAGCATGTGGGGAATGCAGAGGCCTCTAGCTTCGATGCCATGAATTGCTTACTGATCGAAGAATGGCTCAAAGATGATAACCTCATCTCCGGGCTCAATGAACCCCATGAAGGCACTGAGCATACCTAGATAATTTCAAGAGTCTCAGTATACTTTCATTCGGAGACGCTTATCATGTATGACGTACCCTCATTTGCGCCAGTCGTGATCGTGACCTCGGTATCGGGGTTCAATGTACGGCCGAATGAGTGGGAGTAGGCGTCAGCAAGAGCTTGCTTCAGACGAGGCCGGCCCTAGAAAGAGATCAGCTTGATGCCGAGACATGGAGCTGGAACTCCCTTTGAAAGGTACCTTTGTAGGAGAGTATTGGTTACACTCAACGCGATCCAAGGCCTCTTTGGCGGCGTCAATGGCGAATTGAGGGGGATTGTAACCACTGAATAGCAACGATAAACAATAAGACAAGCTTGTCGACCTCGAAGACCGGCTGAGGTATCTTGATCACTCACAAGAACCCTTGGCCCATGTTGACAATGGGCTGCACGGGCGAGGCAGCGGCGGCTTCGTTCACAATGGACCTGTTCATCTTGATGAGCATGCCTATCTTTCACTGGCTGGCGAGTCGCGATCCTCCGTAGGTACCGACCAAACATCCTGGCGCTGGCCAGCGACACGCTTCGCTGGCCGAAAGGGATCAGGCCGCGCAGCTGTTGCGGACATTGTTCTCGCGTGTGGACCGAGAAGGCGGGGTAGAAGCGAAGAAATAGTAGTTGCGCGCAAGCTGCGAACCCTCGGTCTTGATCGGTTGAGCGTAGCAAGAGCAACTGTGATTCCAGTGACCATGAGGGAAGATTTGTGTTAACTTGCAGAACCGCAATTGTAATTGCGGAGTTGAAATCCATCCCACAATTTCACTTCATGGCGTGCTTGGCTGTTCCGGGCGCGTTTCCGAGCTCGGACATCGCTACTCTCCAGCCGCGCAATATCAAAAGCTCAACCCTTCAATAGTGACTTCAGGACGACTCTTTAATTATTTGTATCATTTGAGTACTATCCAGTCATCTGATCAGTGGCAGATGGCGCAGAAAACATGTCAGCTGAAATTGCATTCTTCACTGAAGTATCTTGAGTGCTGCCTTGTGAATCAGGCAATCAGGTCTGCAAAGTCTTTCGGACAGGCGGGGAGCTTCCATCTGGTGGGTTCATTAGGATTACTTAGTAACTTTTAACTATTAAATATTGACTATTAACTATTAACTAGTTAGGTTACTAGGTATCATCCTTACCTACTCTTAGAAGGTTCTTTACAATTATTATTCAGGTCCCGTCCGTCTCGACCCCAAGGTCTCCTGACTAAGCAACCGGCGCCGGCCCGCCCGCGTCACGGCGGGTCTCGACGCGTCTCCGCACTCAATTCAAGAGCTGCGGAGCTTGAAAGACATTGAATTTGAAAGCTAGCTGACACGCCATTCCAACGATCTCTAGTTTCTCGACACCATGGTCTCGTGTCCGATTTGCGAGAAGCCGGTTTCCTCGCTCAAGATTAATGATCACATTGACTCTGGTTGTCAACGCTTTGTCGAGGAACAATCTTCTCCGACCGATCAACAATCGTCTCAAAAAGGGCCTGTTCCTAGCATGTTCCAGCCGTCTTCCGCTAGAAAAGTTCCAAGCCACTCCAGTCTGACCCAAGAATCTCCTCCGCGCCCAAGCACGATCGCTCGTCCGCTCAATGGCAAAAGGTCTTTTGGGCAGGATGTGCCCCTGTCTCAGCAACATAACGGCGTGAAGTCATCGAGCGAAGAAGCGGCGGAACCTCGGCCTAAGCGGCCCAAGATCAACGCTTTCAAGAATGCGGCTCCATTAGCTGAGCGGATGCGGCCAAAGACGTTGGATGAAGTGTGTGGTCAGGATCTCGTTGGCCCAAATGGTGTTCTTCGTGGCCTAATTGAACAGGACCGGGTTCCCAGCATGATTCTATGGGGGAGCGCAGGCACGGGAAAGACAACCATTGCGCGCGTGGTGGCATCCATGGTTGGCAGTCGCTTCGTCGAGATCAACAGTACGAGCTCTGGTGTCGCTGAATGCAAGAAAATATTTGGCGAGGCTCGGAGTGAGCTTGGACTCACTGGCAGAAAAACGATCATCTTTTGCGATGAAATCCATCGATTCTCCAAATCGCAGCAGGATGTTTTCCTCGGTCCTGTTGAAAGTGGTCAGGTCACGTTGATTGGTGCAACCACCGAGAATCCTTCGTTCAAGGTCCAAAACGCTCTGCTTTCTCGCTGCAGGACTTTCACACTCTCGAAACTCAGCGACCAAGATATAGTCTCCATTCTGCAGCGAGCATTGGAAATCGAAGGCCCCAGTTATGCGCCGTCAGAGCTCGTTGATGCCGAATTGATTGCATATCTTGCCCGTTTCGCCGATGGGGACGCGCGAACAGCATTGAATCTACTCGAACTTGCGATGGACCTGTCCAAGCGGCCCAACGCCACCCAAAGTGATATCAAATCAGCCTTGACCAAAACTTTGGTGTACGACCGTGCTGGTGATCAACATTATGACACGATATCCGCCTTCCACAAGTCAATCAGAGGCAGCGATCCAGATGCAGCGCTGTACTATTTGTCCCGTATGATTCAATCGGGAGAAGATCCGCTCTATATCGCCCGGAGACTGATTGTCGTTGCATCCGAGGATATTGGGTTGGCCGACAATACAATGCTGACGCTTGCCATCTCAACCCATGCAGCCGTGGAGAAAATTGGTCTTCCGGAGGCCCGCATCAACTTGGCCCATGCCACAGTTGCTATGGCGCTCTCGAAGAAGAGCACCAGGGCCTACCGGGGTCTAAACAACGCCTTCGCAGCTCTCAACGAGCCAGGCATTGCTGGACTACCCATTCCAATTCATTTGCGGAACGCTCCGACAAAGCTAATGAAAGAACTCGGATATGGCAAGGAATACAAATACAATCCCAACTACGTCGACGGCCGTGTACAGCAAGACTATCTGCCCGAGAAGCTTGCTGGGCGCAGGTTTTTGGAGGACTTGGATCTTGGTACGAAACACGACTCAGACTTGCACTAGGGGATACTCTGCTGAATGTCCCGTGACACTTTCTCGGACGTTGGCACGAAGTATGAATCGAATCTCACAATTTGAGGATGTTTTTGTCACTTCTGCAAAACTTACCACGTCCCTTGGTACAATACATGGCCTCACTCTAGATGATACAAGATGCCTTCACGAGCGGTGCGAGATGATTCTAACAAATGACACTCGCGCGACAGCAAGCAGTCATGCCCCGCGAAAACCCACAACATGGTTCGCGGGAGATCTCTGGCACTTGTGCTGAGTCGATCTCGGAAGAAATCGCAAGCTGCACTTGCGTTGTGTGGGATATGCATTCGATGACGCACGCTGCAACGTAACGAGGTCTGAGAACGTCACCGACAGGCAAGTCTGTGTTATTGTGACAATTTACCAATCGCAACGACCGGTTGTCATATCATCAAATCCCTGCACGGTGCTTTACGACGGGCTCGTTGTCTGCTGTGCTACGCACAATGCGGAAGAGATTGTGAGATGTATTTGCCTTTTCTGGAACTGTGTTTGGATGGTGTGGATTACTCGTGAAGACTACACGAAACGTCATCAGCACACCGGCCCCCTTTCTGGACTGACCAATCACTATGACAAAAGAGAGGGAACAACTTCACAGTCCAGAAACCCAGCACCATGGTCCACGGGTGATAATCCACGGGAGATCGTCATCGGGAGTGCTAAGCCCGACCCGGGAAAACTCGCGAGATGCACTTGCCGGTTGAAGGAACTCTATTTGGATGCTGCAAGATGCGCGAGAGCATCATGCAGAAAAATCACTAGCTGGTCTCTGTTCGAAGTCAACCCATCATTGGCAAGAGTGAATAACGGCGTACTCCCTACTGGGCCCGAGCGTCTTGGTTTGTGGGGGATCGTCATCGGCAGGGCTGGGTCAGACTCGGAAGAATCCGCGAGACGCACTTTCCCTTTTCAGGCAACAACTTGTCTGGACGATGCAAGGCGCTTTGAAGGTTCTATGGACCTTTTTTCAAGTTGTCTGTCCTACTGCGAGAACGGCCTATGATGCAGTCACAAACAACTGAGAAGGACGGAAGTCGGAACCATTTGACATCTGCACCGTGATTCTCAAGTCATTATCAGGTCATCGTTGTCGGCAGTACTAAGCCCAACTCGGGTGAACTCGCAAGATGCGCTTTCCTGTTTAGGCAACATGTTTGGACGATGCCCCATCCATTTAGCGGTCCATGGAACGACCCCATTATCCCAGCCACCGTGCAAGCATAGCCTATCGATCAACTAGCAGCTGCTGTGAACGATGGCCGTTATGATCATCAACAGTTCTGCGCCGTGGTTCTCAAGTTATCGAAGTGGATAATACTAAGCCCTACTTGGGACTCTTGCAAGATGGACTTTCCCTGTTCAGGCAATCTGTTTGATCGACGCTTGAAGTTCTATGGAACGACCCTCATTTCCCAGCCACCGTGTGGGAACAGCCTATGATTTACTCAATAGCCACAGTGAATGACAGCCGTCATAATCATCTATCGTCTGCGCCGTGGTTCAAGATGTATCATTTTGGACACTACTAAGCCTGATTGAGGACAAAATGGAAGATGCGTGCTCTTTCATCATGAGAGACCTTGTCAGTGAGTCGTAAGTGGCCTGGCATGTCTGACCTGTATCTACCAGCTGGGAGGACGGTCTGCTCTCTCTTTTTCCTCGCCAGAGACACATCACTGCTCTCAAAAAAGGCTCATCTCAAAGTGACGGTCGCTTCACCTATCGTCTCTTTCGCCTCTTCTTGGCTCTGTCTCTCTGTGACTCTGTCCCTCTGTCTCTGTGTCTGTGTGTGTCTCTCTCTGCGTGTCCCTCTGTGTGTGTGTGTGTCCGTCTTTCTCCTTCTGCCTCCCTCTTGCCTCCTTGCGGCAAACGTCATGGACTTGTTCGATCTGTCCATGTTCGTTGAGGGTGAGGAGTTTGTGGCTCAAGACAACCAGGATCCACAAACCTCAGGGGCAGACGCCGTTGGCAACCTGCATCAAATGCAGGCCATCGGTCAAGTTGGTTTCCCGGAGACTGCTCTCAATCGTGAGACGATCCCACCTGTCGTTCCCCTCGCCTCGGACCCACTCATCTCTTCCTTTGAGATGAGACCCGAACTCACCTTCGACCAATTCTGGTCTCACGCCCATGTTGGAACTTGGGCTTTGCCTGTCGAAGTCGCCGGCGAAAATCACCTGTGCGCCAGCATGCCGCCGAGTGGCTTCGACGGGTTCTACAACACCTTCTCGGGGTCCGTTTACGCCGCTCCCTCTGGCCGGAGAGCGCACAAGCCTCAGCCACCCTTGACCACGCCCACCACCACATTTTCATGTGCACCTGGCATGCACGGAAACGGGCCGAGCCTCGGGTCAAAGACTCCAGCCCGGCAGGGGGAGCTTGGGATAGTCCTTGAGGACCCCAAAAATGGTGTTTCTCCCCGGGAGAAGAGGGTCCGCAGCCGAGAGGAGCTCGAGAGCCAGAAGAAGGCTATGCGGACCCTGAAAGAGAAGGGGTGGGGCGTGTGAAGCTTGCTTCAAGAGCAAGAAGCGCTGTGGGCCAGGCAACCCTTGCCCATCATGTGCCAGACGGGGACGCCAGTGCATTCGACCGGCCCAGGTCAACCAGCCAACCAAGTCTGCTGAGGCTCAGACTTCTGTTCAGGCTCCTCCAGTTCAGGCTCCTCCAGTTCAGGCTCCTCCAGTTCAGGCTCCTCCAGTTCAGGCTCCCTCCGTCCAAGCTCCTCTTACTCAAGCTCCTCCTGTCCAAGCTCCCAGTGGTTTCCTGGAGCCAATGTCGGAGACATCTTCGCAACAGACAAGTCTGGGCTCGTCACCCAACTTCCTGTGCGTCCCTACCTTTTCTTCGAGTCCTGGCTGGGGAAACAGCGACTCCACCCAGTCTCCTCTCCTGTTCAACACGTCCGACTTTCCTCCCGACGCCGGCTTGTCCATGGACATCGACTTTCCGACGAACACGGACTTTGACATGAACATGGCGATTGACCCTAAGTTGATCGAGGATCCGGCCTTGCTCTACAGAGGCCCGCTCGAGGAACCGTCTGATCCAGTCCTTTTCGATCCTTGGGCACCACACATGTTCTCTGACGATGGCGATCCCAACGATGCCACTCAAACTTGGCCTGGGCTCTTCGACACGAACTAGGAAGAGTCCCCGATGGCTTCTGTTCATCGTCGCATGTCTGCTCGGTCACCTTTTAAACCTCTTCGGCCGTCGTGCCCACTGTCGAGTAAGACACAGCATGAGTATGCGTGTCTCTTTTTATACTTTGACGGAAAAGAGAGGCCTGCGCAACGACGATGTTGACCGCTGGTCTCTGGATTCCTACCTCTGTTTTCTGTTTGTCTTCTTGTCTGTCTTACTCGCGTTTGCTGTCGAGATTCCTCTCTGGCCTCTTTCTCAATGGCCTTTGTCATGGCGCATGAGCCTTTCCACAATTTGTAAATGATACCCCTTTCGCATCCTGGTCGGCGCCTGATACACACAAGTGACTTTACTTTCCCTTGACGCTCTTGCTGTAGAGTAACTCATCCCCACAATGACAATGCTCTATACATAGCCTGGATTACCCCTACGTAGAGCATAGACCTCCGCAGCTGTTTGCGTGGTATAGTAGGACATGGGACTAGCTTCATCCCGTACATGGATATGGAGCCTCTTTTATAGGTAGCTTTCCTCGGAACCTAAAATATCCTCTGCAAGCCGCCGGCTTCCCGAGAGACTTCAATAATTAGAGGCTATAGAACCATCAACGTTGGATATATACGATGATCGCGTCCTCATGTATAGTAATCGGTGGGATTCTTGGAAATGTATGTCCCAATGATAAAGGCCTGATCCATCAGCTAGGAATCAAAAATTATCTCACCATCGTTTATACCTTATATTCTCATGGATGTTTTGATGTGTCGCATGCATATCACTCATCGAACCTTTGCCTTTCTTGACATACCTCGCCCTCGTTCAGGTCTGAAAACCTGAAGATCAGTGACGGGGTACCTAATAGCGTTAAGGTTCTTGATAGCCATGATGACTATACTTTTATTTGAATGTATCTTCATCTTCTCAAATGAGAAAGGGTCACTAGGCTGCTGTTACCACGAGTGATTTCGGTATGTGTTCCCTGGCCTGCGTTCTTTCCCTCCATGACACTTCTCAACTGGCTTGTGGTGCTGTTCCCGGGCGCAAACACTTCTTCCGTCTGTCATCATTCCGATCTCTCATGAAGCCCCGGAATGTTCTTCACGGCCATCAAACTGAGATTGTAACTCAAAGGGCAACACGATGACTTTCATCACAATTTGATATGATGGTGCACTCCATGCGACGGACCTTGATCTGAGATAGATGGCGGCCAAAAAGGCATGATGGAACAAACACAAAAACGGGTGGGGGTAAGAACGGCATTCAAGTCATGGCGCTTGTCTCTTTCCTCGCGCTCTCTCCTCTTCTTCTCTTCGCTCTCCCTCTCTTCATCAACTTCACTGCTCTGGATGAAGTGCACAAAAGACTCGACTGATTCTTCAGGGTTTGAAAGCACCAGTAGGCCTCCCCCTTCTTTGCTTCTTGCCCCTGTGACTTATTTTGGTGAGAAACAAGTATCTCACATACTCCAGCAGTATCCCCAAAACCCCCCAAAAACTACCGACGCTGTAGAGAATACCTCGCGATGGCGTCTGCACCTGTCGCTCCCTTCTCGTCCGACGGAGCTTGGTCACTCACGATTAAAACACCACCATTGACTTACCCTCACAACGACATCGACTACTTGATCGAGACCCGACCGATCTTTCTGTCGGGTAGCCAAGGACCATGAGCTGCTGCTCAACATATCGAAGCAGGGCAACCTGAGACCAGCAAAGACCTGGAGACGGAAATCGACAATCTGATGAGACAGAACACCGCCGAGTTGATGAAGATCGGGAAATAACATACCCACATGATGAATCAATTGAGTCATTTTCCACAAGAGCTCGACAAGAGCTCAGAAAGAACTTCGCAAGAGCGGAATGGTTTCCTTGTCTCTGAACGCTTGATTTCCGGTCAGGGCACGACTACGTCACGTGCAAGTGCACTCTCATCAGCTAACCGTCCGGCGATCAACGATGCTCCCTGACCCTTCCGAGTTGGGCGATGAGTTGGGCGATGGCAAACAGCCCAACCGTAAGGACCGTGAGTCTGATATTCGCACGAAGCTCGAGTTGAACATGGACCACTGCCCTACTGCGAAGCACCGGATTACCTACTTGAAGAGGCGTTGTGAAAGGGGCGGCATCGTTGCTTATCAATCCATGAACCCAGGGGAATGCCAGCAATCCCTTCCACACAGTAGACGACAGTTGTGCTTCACCTGGTATTGGTGTTTAGTTAACCTGGAACTGATGCGCTACTCGATCTTAGATCCTGGCGAGCCTTGATAGCTTTGACATACATCGGTTTAGGTCTGGAGCAGCCGCACCGCAAATAGCCTACTAGCAATCATTGCCATGAGATGGAACACTTTCGTACCGCGAGATCGCTTTGAAACCAGAAAACTATCCAACTTGGCTTGCAAACGTTCGGCTTGATATTGCGCAGTTGCGCAGTAATGGGCGTGTCAATAGGCCCTTCAATATATTTAATGTATATTTGTGGGATGTTCTAAACCCTTCCACTTGCTGCTTATGGATCAAATTGTATTTTCCTTGACCAATCTTCTCTTCCTGGAAGCCGAAATGCCTAACGTTCAAATTTGCAAGGTCGGTTAACCGACATGAAGCTGTGAAAAGTGGATTTGCTCTTCGTATTCCTCTGAGAAAAGAGGCTTGCCTGTGTCGGTACTCCAAGTGATGACCTAAGGATGAGGCCGTGCATTTCGCTGGTGTTGTCATAATGTTCTGCTATGCAAATTCGTCTTCAGTTCAGTCGAAGACAAGGCCTGACTCAGGATGCGTGAGTGACTGTACCTGGAGATGAGGAGAAAACAGTGCCGATCTCAAGGCTGATGGACGGTGGGACCCCCCACTTTGGGCGCGTCTCATCTTCGTCTCCGTCCTTCTCCACCGCCAAAAACACAAAGGTCATACCCTTTCTCTCCACTCGACTCTCACCTCCAGCCCACACATTGCCCACCACTGTACCCGGTACACACTACACACTCTGCGTCTGTTGTCAACGGCCGCTCACGTCGAGGCGATTTCTTCGAACTTTGCTCTGATCTACCCCCAGCGCACAATTGCAAGTTCATATCGAAGGAATCGACGCGGCATATCGACGCTCCACCACACCCGATCGCCATGGCCTCGGGCCAACCCTTCGCGTCGCGCTCCTACGCGGGTGCAAAGCTGCCCGAACGCTCGGTGAACCAGAATGCCATGCCGTTCAGCGCTTCATCGTTCTCGCGACATCGAGGGCTAGGCAATGCGGCGCCTGCGGACTTTGGAGGTCCCGATGGGCCCAAGCAAGCGCAACAAGTCAACAATGCGCCTGCAGCAGCGCAATCTCACGGTGCGGGTCAAGATGCGAATCCACTGAGTCGGTTGACCGAGGAGCAGAGGGAAGAGATCAATGAAGCTGTAAGTTCCGGGAGATCTGTCTGCTTTGGCTTCTGTGTCGGTAGTGCTGCTTCGAGAAATGTCCATATATCCTCAATTCCTGTGGCCTCGCGGGGGGGGGGGGGGGGGGGGGGGACGACCCATGGACTACAATGACAGGGTCGCGAGCAATGCGGTTCAATGTGTCTGAGAGTCTCGCGAAGATACGACGAGAAAGCATTAAGAAGATCAACACGCGAAACTTGAGAATCTCGACAATCAGCTAACTATCAGACGCGTGACTCTCCTCCAGTTCACTCTCTTCGACCTCGATCGTGACCGTCACCTCGACTATCACGAACTACGCGTCGCATTCCGCGCCCTCGGCTTCACCCTCACCAAACAAGAACTCATCTCCCTCCTCACAACATACGGTGTACCCCGACCCCAGGTCCAACAACAACAGCAGCAACAACAACAACAATCCTCTAACCCGCAACAACAATCCAAACTCAACGCCGGTTCCAACCCTCAACACCCCTCCAACCTCCTCATGCCGCTCTCTTCCTTCCAAGCCGTGACGGCACTGAAAATCCTCGAGCGGGACCCGCGCGATGAGATCCTCCGCGCCTTTGAGCTCTTCGACGAAGGTGGTAAGGGATTTATCGACCTGGAGGATCTGCGTCGTGTGGCTCGTGAATTGGGCGAGACGGGACTGGAAGAGGAAGAATTGCGGGCTATGATTGAGGAGTTTGATCTTGAGGGCGTGGGTGGTGTCACGAGGGAGGCTTTTGTCGGCATCTGCTGGCAGTGATTGTAGCGAGATATTCTCTCTATCTCTCCTTCTCGTCTTTTCTAGTGGAAAGGGGGTTGGCAAAATGCTTCTTGTGCCTTGCATGAGGGAGGTGGGGGTTATGGTGTTCTTTAGGCCCATGACTGTTGTGTTTCAACGTACCGTGACCTGGGCTTTTTTTTTTTCTATCTTTCTTTAGTGTCTAGGCGCTGGTTTAGTCCTTTCTCATATACCAACCCGTTTTGTGAATTGATGGACGTCTGATCCAGTACTGTAGAAAAGAAGATAGTTGTGGGCACGCTGCTCAAATGTTCAGAGCGGAGTCTAGTGTCTTGTGTCCACCTGATCCCATGCTCGAATCTTTTACATGGAAAATGCCAATCGAGTGTTACGGTGGGCTTGACAGAAATGATGCTTTAATATCTGGGGAAAATACCCGATGATCGAGGAGTGGTTGGACAAAAAAGGAAGGGGAAAATTTAAGAAATGGGGGAGGGAGAGCAAGGTTGACCGAGTAAGACCCAAATCCAGAATACATCAACGACAAGTCCAGCTTTGCCGGCAATCTTAGGATGGTCTTCATAATGGCCCCAGACCAACATGGACAAACATCTAAGCAAAACACGGCCAAAGCCCAAATATCACACCATGGATGCAAGAATAGACAGCGAAGTCCTGTCTCCCGAGTGAGTGAAAGGCATTCACTCGATGGTATATTGAGAAGATTTAAAGACGAGCAAGGCAAGAAGACAATGTATCCATCACGAGTAGCGAGGGGGTGGCACGTTCTGATACGCGTTGGGCGAGTAGCCCCCACCAGGGTATCCTCCATTGGGATAGCCGCCATTCGGATGGCCATACCATTGATTTTGCGGAGGACCCCGTGGGGGCGCAGGAGGAGGCCCATAACCGGGCATCGGGCCGGGATATTGGCCCATCGTCGGGGGAGATCGCGCATTCTTGGCCATGCGACGTCTGGCACTGGCAGCGCGGCATCGATTGATGCCGGAGAAGAGAATGGCAAGTAAGATGAGACCACCTACACCCGCACAGACGCCAATCACGAGGTTCTTGTGATCATCGATCCAACCCTTGACAGAAGAGCCCTTGCATTGACCGTTGTAGCACTTGCCACCGGAATCACAGGGCGTGCCATCTAGGAAGTTCTGCATAGTATTGACACAGGTGCCGCTGGCCCATGACCCGACTCCACCGTTCACTCCGCAGACTTTCTGGCAGGAGGGTTCGGCAGTATTACTACATGCCCAGGTATCGTTGGTTTGAAGAAGCGTACCCATCACCGTACGGCATTGGTAATCACGACTGGTACATTGACCGCTGGCGCATTTGAGTCCATTTCCGCAGGAAGTGCCATCGTCCTTGTACTTGTCGTTCGGGCAAGTGCTTGAGTTTCCGGAGCATGTTTCGGCGATATCGCAGGACCCCGTGCTTGCTCGACAGACGGTATCCGCGGAGGAGAATTGGCAGCTAGTGCAGCAGCTATCATTGTGGTCGTCGCACACAGCGTTATTCTTGAATTTGCAAGTCTTCGCGTCACAGCAAGAGTTATTTCCGCAGCCTTCCACGCCACCACAGTCACATTCTTCGCCCGGCTCCACGATACCATTACCACACCGGCTTCCGGTGTAGGTCACCACTCCTCGATTATCGGAAAGACAGCTCGATTTGATACTGTTTAGACCGAGCGCTGAGCAGATATTGCCAATGGTACATGGGGAGAAGGTCGTCATTTTGGGATCTGCGTACGGGTTCATGATGTACTGAGCATTGGCATTACAAGTAGTCTTTGACAGAGGGCAACACTGAGAGGCGTCTTGCAGATTTTGAGCACATGTCTGCGAGTCACAGTCGTGTACGGCACCGAAGGTATGTCCGGACTCGTGGGCAAAGATCTGCCAAGTAGACCCTTGGTTGCCAACAACGACGTTGGCACCCGACACGGAATTGCCCGACCTTTCGACAAGGTCGGTACTGCACAGCTGGCCCATCCAGGCGACGCCGACCTCGGAGCCAGTCGGGCAGGAAGTCATCAGCGTCCAGTATGCATTACTATCTGCGTTCTTCGACCGCCACTTGGAGAACTCATTCAACCGCCAACTCATATTATGGCTCTGGCAGTCCACATTCCACGGGGTGGCAGTGTCGGAGGTTGTGGGACAATCCGCGTGATTGACAGTCAAATTCCGCAGGCCGATGGATACATTGAACGACTGTTCGTACAAATTGGACGCGGTGTTAACGATATTGATGACCCAGTCCTTGGCGGCTGCTTCTGGGGTGGAGTTGGATTTGAACACACTGGTCATTCCGCAGTCGGTGGATACTCCGATAAGGGCGACTTTTTTGGTGTTGGGACATCCGGAAGTATCGCCCACTGTGTTTTTGAGGTTCACGCCTGCCGTATTGCCAGATACTCCGCCGAGATCATTTTGACGCTTGGAGAGTCCGAACAAAGAATTCAAGGGCGTGACTCCCCACCCACCCTTGGACTGATCCTGATCATAACCGTATGGGAAGATGGAGTTTGTCAAATCCGCATTGTATTCCAACCGCTGTGCCGCGCAGCCTCGTGAGTCGTCCAGCGACCGCTTCTTGAGCTCATCATTGTATTTGAGCATATCGGTGTCGCGGTAGACAATCATGTAGTCCGTGTCTCGTACTTCGATATCGACATCGATCGGCCGTTTCTTGGCCAGATATGTCGACTGTAACTCAACGTGGTGTTTGTTCTGATCGATGCTGAAGGCGCCTTCGAACAGAGGATCGGAACCATCCTGTCTCAACGTGATCCGAGCCCAGCCAGCTGGCGTCCAGCGTCCCTGACCCGACCCCAGCAGGGCCTGGCCGCGAAAGACTTTATGTTCATGCCGGTAAATCGGTTCACTCTTCCATAGACCGTCGGCGCCGACGTACGAAAGGGTAGCATCATCTGCGAGGATGTCGTGGTTGGGCTCCAGATCTAGCTTGACTCGTTGTCCGTCCCGACGAAGTTCAAATGTGAGCTCAAAATGTGACAGGTGGTCTATTTGGTGGTTTGGCGTTCGAATATTGGCATTTTCAATTGGTGTCACCTGCCGAATAGCTTCAGATGCCTGCGACCGCGCTGTAGTGCACATAAGACACCTCCAGTCAGCTTGAGTTTTTCTGAGGAATATCCCCGTCTATTTTCATCACTCACCATGAACCGGAACGAGCGTCAACCATGCTGACAGGGCCCCTGCTATGGGCCAGAGGCACCGGGTGAATCGCATAGTCGGCGGCTCCGCGCAACGGGGCAAGAAAGTGCGACCGGGGAAACGGTACGAGAGTTTCGCCGGCCAATAGTCAAAGTGAAAAGAAGGAAATGAACGACAGACGCGAAAGAAAGAACGGTAGAGAGAAAATGAAAAAAGCACTCAAAAGGGGTTCACCCGGTCTGGAGACAAGGGGGAAGGTTGGAAGAGCCTTGAGGCAACCGCGGGGATTATACAGTACCCCTCTGGGGCTGCTGATGGTCCCAAAGTCACCTGAAGTTTCAGGGACCAGGGGTCCGCTCGGGGATGATCGGACGTGGGAGTGGTCGTTAAGACTTTGACTTGATTATCAATCTTAATCGAACCCTTCGACTTCGCTCTCTGCGACCATACCACACTGAGACTTAATGAGGAAGAAAGTGGTCTAGAAGTCACGCGAGACGTGCGAAAAAAGAAAAAAGACTTCGCCTCTGCCTAGGCTACTCAAGGAATATATGGGAAAGGCCGGGGATGCAGCGGGAAGGGCAGGTAGGTAAACATGGGAGAGCGTTTGGCAGCCAAGCGCTCAGACGCCACAGTTCGACTTTTGAAGTTGGGGTGTCTCCTGCAAGTCTCGCCAAGCAGAGACAGATTCCAATGAGCGGACCGGAGGTGGGCTTGGCACCGGAGGAACCTGTTCAAGGCACTGAAGGCTGTGGTCTGCGTCACCTTTGGGGATGATCTAGATAACAATCATATGGCCCAAGTTATGGAAGGAGCGAAAGTATCGTAGATCGTGGTTGCGAAGATTGTAGTACCATGGTCCAAGGAGGTATATACTTGTGCTGGATTGTGAACTACGTACTGAAGTAGTACAATAGAGGGTTTGTACGAGTGCGATCCTTGATGGGTGCGATTGTCCCAGACACATTTGTCATGACTCATCGAGTTGCAACCGTCAGACTTGTATGAGTTTCGACAGAGGCTCCGCAGTATCACTCATAATGATTTTTCTGTAGAGAGATCGTTCCAGGGTTGACCATGTTGGGCGACGGAGGTGAAGCAGATCGGTTTTAGGATTGTCAAACAGCCGTGGCTTGGAGAGTCTGCACCTTGAGATGCATCGATCTATAAAATTTACCAACCATGTAAGTACCGCAGAGTCGGTAGATTACTACACCTTAGTCTCCCCCTTTCTCCGTGGCATGGAAAGTCTGATGTGCCAACTGGGCAAATTGCGGCATTACGGCACCGCAGAGTGGACATTCCACATTGGCAGGACTCACTCGCCACGATCGATCGCATTCGTCTTCATCCTGCCAGTCTGCATCCTCCGATTCTTCACTGCCACTTTGATCGTTCCTGTTCCACGCTGCTGCGGCGACTTGCGCGGCGACTTGGACGGCGACACCCGTGCAATCGCCAGGCTGCTGCATTCTTTCCTCGCGGCTAGTGGCTTGGCGGGGACTCGGAGTGGCTCGATGGTCGACTGCCGCTCGTTCTTCCGCCGCCGGACCGGACTCGTGCACAGACCAGTTCTTTAGCACCGCCTCTTGCTGACGGAACATCTTGCCAATGTCTCGCCCACGACTCTGTTTCTGGTCTCCTGCGCTCTCGACGAGGTTGGTCACCGCGATGTTCAGGAGTTGCAGATCCCACCCACTCTTTTCAGGGTGGAGTTTGCGAAACATGACCATCGCGTGCTCGTGCACCAGCCGCTCGGCAATCGAGTCGACATTCTCGTCGACGTGAAAGACAAAACTCGGCAGTGGCGCTGAACGAGAGATGCGATTCCAATTATAGGAACGCGCCCCGTCTGTCTCCGGGGCATTTCGCGGCCGGGTTGAGAGACGCAAAGTTCGGGGATGAGCCAGCCATCGGGGCTGAGTCCCATCGGTGACGGTATCGTCCAGCAGGTCCGTCCTCATCCGGCGGATCAAGCTTCTGGTGAGAACTTCGAGTTCACGTCGAAGATCTTCGGGCGTAGCGAGCCGCCCACGGCCATAAGTATCCTCGATGCTGATTTGAGTGGGGATATCGCGTGCCTCCATGACGTTGGTGTTGTCAACACCATGTAGAATTCCCCAAATCTTGACGCCAATTCCCTTTGGCGCACCTGGCCCGCCCAAAACCCTCTCAAGCGTGGCTGAGCTCATGCTGGGAAAGAGCCTGACGTCCCTAACGGTCAATCTCCTTTCCCCATCACCCTCTGCATCGCTGTGGCTGTTCACCTTGTGACTCAATTTCTGCGCAAGGCGTGATCCGATACCGGGGATCTTTCGAATGTCGTGAGAATCCATGAATTGAATAACATTGCTGTCTTCCAAGGATGAATCGTGCTTCGTCTCGTATGGAGGAAGCAAGGTCGTCTGTTGATTCGGTTTGTGCACACTGCCCACTAGCTTTGCCAATAATTTCGAGGTTGAGACTCCCCCAGTAGCCGTAAAGCCCTTGTCATGTTCCATCCGAGTACGCAAATATCCTATTAGGTGAGAGCCAAGGAGCAACCTCATGCCCAGGGAGTCAATCTCGAGCGGGGTTGCGATTCCTTCAGGATATAGTGGAACCGTCTTTCCAAGATAGCGAGTCGCATCATAGGAAAAGCCGACGGTGGGATCTTTCACGTCCAACTGAAAAAAGGCGTTGGTCAGATCATGAGGATTCAAGATCTGTAAATTGTAATCGATCATGTCGGTAACATCCAAGGAAAGCTCATCAAAGCCAAGTCTCTCGACTCGTTCACCCCAGACAAAGCCACGAATGAATGAATAAAGCTCCTTGGAGACATCTCGAAATTTAGTCAAATCTTCGCCCAGCACAATCACCACGTCGGGACAGATGCGTTTCGCATCTTTGATGAGTTGAAGCTTGTGCAAGCCACGCCGGCGGGCTTCATAATTGCATGTTACCACGATCTGCTTTTGCTGCACTGCCAGAGGTACTGACTTGAGTGCTGGCTGTTCTACCTCAAAGACCGAGGCGTAGAAGCAGTCGTAGTCCTGAATTGGGGATGTCAGTATGAACGAGTCAGCAGATGCAGACGGTCGTGTTGTACCGGTCTGTTTGAACGTACCAGGTGGAGGATGACTCGACGGTCATTGCGCGTTGGTACGGCAGCCATCGACCAAGTACACGTCTCGTCTTCTCCATGGAGAGCCGGAGGATGTCTCGTCCAGCGTGTGGCCGCGTGCACTCAGATTAGTTGCTGTGTGACCGGGGAAATATGCGGTTCATGTGAATTGCCCATGATTTTCTGATACTCCACGAGTCCACGCTCCACAGTCCACTGACGTTTGCGCCTCAGGCATTCGGCCCACACAAATATCGTCGTCTCAGCTCACGTGGCGGGCCTGGCCTTGTTGTCAAGCAACAAGTGCCTCTTTCAACGCTGCTCGTCTCACCGCCTTGCGGCCTCGCCTATTCGAGGGCCCTTCTCTGACTCTCCAGAATCTATCCTTGTGATCAGATCTGGGCTCTACTTTAGTACGTTCAATATCAAGTTGGCCAAATTCATTGACGGAGATGCGCCGCAAGAAGTTGAAACTTTCCAGTAATGGTTGGTCGTTGCCACAGATGCCTTGCCATCTACAGTCACCCCTCGGATGGATCATCGTCTAGCCCCCCGGATCATACTCTGGGCCCTGGAGCATCGCAGCCGAGTCGGAGCCATTCTATCTTACTGAATCTGACTGAGCGACTTGCAGAGTGAACCTCGTGTATCACGTCGTTGGCTGACTCTATTTTCTGAGTGATGCGACAGAAAAATCTCAAAGCTCTCTGGTCCACTCTTTCGCCCCAAGTGCATGCTATTCCAGGCGCACACCTTTTAGGTCATGTGTTCAGGACTGATCAAATGCCACCATTGAGGCATATAAGATCCTCGTTAGACTCGGAGGTACTCATGCACATCCAGAAATTTGACTTCCAACCCGGCTTTTTCGCCCTTCGGGCCAAAGTGATCCTTCGATGTCTATCCTGATTGTTGTCCAACTCCAGTCTTTTGGCCCCGGAGGGGCCTGTCAGATGGATCCACGGGGTGTCGCTGGTTTTCATATTTTGGCATAACCAGCTTACTCTCAACTTGGTGTTGGTAAGATCCGGGTGTAAGCATCACTATCGAGACGCTCAAAACGCGGTTCGAATGCAGCGACATTGATTGTCGGTGTGGATCACTGAGGTGGACGTGATCCCGAAATTTGGGTGTTGCCTTTTGATCACCGATCATTTTGTAGAGGATCATTGCTGAAAGAGAATCATTCAGGTTCCTCGAGTCATGATCTCCTCGCTTACTTTGGGGACGCTTGTTTTTGGACATTGCTCACCCCCGGAAGCTGCTCATGTGAAGCACCATGTTGGGGGCTGCTGCTGTAGTCGTGTAGTACTGTCGTCTAGGCTTTCTCCGAAACAGGTGACTGGGCCCATCTGATACAGTACGTGTCAACTCGGTACTGATGATTGCCACGAGCCATAGCGTATCAGCAAAGTTGATGTGTTGTTCAGAGTTCAGACATCGTCAAGCTGGTATTCTCTTGACCTGGGTAGATGAACAATCTCTCTGGTGTTATTGTTACTGACCTCCCGGCAAGCTTACGCTTGCGAGTCCGTCTCTATTTGGGTCCAGATGGATTCCATGCGGTTGGATGGTTCAAGCTCCGGGGCGCTGAGTGTGGGCTGGGCTTCTAGAAGCCCATTCTTTCATCCACAGTGGAGCCGGATTGAAATTGGGGCCCCAATTTGAGTTTTTCTCTCCGCCGCTTTGTGCACTTAGTGTAAGTTGGCCCGTGGAAAAAGTAAAAAAGTAAACGTGGTATCCGAGGAGCGCCCGGACGGAGATTAAACGCAGTACAGTAGGAGCTCGAGCCCGTCCGCCGAACAGGCGGGTTTCCATGATCGGCGATGGGGAAATGCAATGGATGTCTTCCAGTACCTCGGTCAACGAGTGATGGAATCCAGGGTTTCGATGGTGAAGAAAGTTCATGTCTTACGGCAATGAGATGAGGTCTTCGTCTTCAGACAGGCGCGACTGGAATCATCTCCGGCCCTTGTGATTCGTTCAGTCCTACATCTGCCTTCGAGCCGAGTCAATATCGCCCCATTGATTCAGTTACTGAGGTAAACACCGGTTCCTTCATTCGCATTACAGAACTTCCACACGTGTACTCTCAGACTCTGCCTATCCAGTCTCGACCACTCTCCCATCAAGATATAGAGACGCGCAACACTTGCCTCTTCCATCTCGCAATGGACCTGGGGCCACTGGGGCTGTACATCAACTTGCTGTGTAATGTGTAGAGTGTCGACTGTAGCGAATCACCTTGACCAGAAGCTCATGGATCCAGCCTGATCAGCGGGCAGAGTTTAAACTTGCACCGCTTCAGGACTTGCGCGGCGGACCCATCGCGATTTGGGATTGTCAGTCGGAATCTCGAAGGTACCCGAGTCACGATGAAAAACATGGAAAGAGTAACGGAGGGTAGTACTACAAGCAGTACCCGTGACTGCGGTCTCCCTTGATCCATGCAGGAGACCCGGACAAAATCTCAGTAGTCAGTAGTAGTGAACCAACTAAGACAATGCGGGGGAGGGTAGGTTCTTTTCCAGCTCTAGACCTCATGGCCGCCGTGGTGACGGGCCGGCATTGGAGGGATACGGTCGTTGGAATCTCTCATGCTGTGAGACACCCGGTTGATGAATCATGGCTGGCAGGTTGTGAACACCCCAGGCGATTCGTGCTTGTGCTTGGAGATCATGTCTGGAGACAGCCCCTAATATGGATGGTGTCCCTTACTCTAGGAGTCTGGAGCCTTGGCTGTAAGTGTGTAGTTGTTATTTCTGAACTGGTTCCTACCAAGTTACTCTGGAATGGACTGAATGATCAAACACAGAAGAAGTTGAACCCCGAGGGCTCGGCCATTCGATCGGGCCCCACTTGGCGCCGTCGGCAGGGGCGTGTTGGCGTGTCTGCTTGGTCGTTCTTTAAATAGCAGCGCCAATCAGGTCGCATGTATCCTTGCACGTGGACCCACTCGCAGGTTCCCGTTCCAGGCACTCTTCGTCCACTCGAGGCGACGAGTACGTGTATCTGGACTTTGGTCTGTGTATGGCGGTATGGTCAAATGTTGTAGTTGTACACGACTATACGTACACACACTACGTCGTACGTACTCCAAGTAGATGACAGGTGCCTGGGTACACCTGAAATGCCGACGAGTCGACGACTCGACGACAGTGACGTGCACTACTGCACTCACGGTGTTCGACCGCCATGTTTACATACCACGAGTCCCACCCTTTACGACTGTAGGAATGTATGACCTCGTTGTCCACGCGCGAGACAGCCAGTGACGACGTCGCCAGAACATCAGGAATGTCCTGATGTATGCATGTACATCTGTCCAATACAGACATGCAATGGCCTGGCCCTGAATGACGGACCTCCGTCCAGTGTCCAGCGCCCAACCCCCAATTCTCTCGCCGTGGACCTTGCAGCATGTCGCTTACCGATCTTCGGCCTCAACCGTACAGCAGCCTATGGGCGCTGGATGTCATGTCATGCAGATATGTGCCTTTGATTTTTTGAGTCTACCGTACAGGTGGCCGCAGTGACTCGTCTATCATCTGTTTCTTTCGTCTTATCTGATCCAACAACGGGACTCGACAACAAAGGATCCGTATTACCACCGAGGCAATATGTACTGCTGTAATAAGTGTACAATGTACAATCATACATCAAGAGCCTCAATGAGAAGGGTACCCCAACAAAAATCAAAGAAAAAAAAAACATCATTCCCACTCCAAGGCCCAAAATCACTTCATCAGAATCCCGAAAGAACCCCCCCCATGCATCTCCTCCATCTCCGAACTGGGGCTGGGCGGCTGGTGGCATCGATAGTTGCCCCCTCTCTCTTTCTCCACGTCTCTCGAAGAGAATAACAGTCCCCCGAGAGAAAAATTCCAATAGAGGAAAAAAAAAATTGGAAGAGAGAAGGGGCAAAAGCAAAAACAGACCCGATTAATTACCTGAGGCTCGGACTATCGTCAGCGCTGTGCTCTGACTCTCTGTGGATGCCCACCAGATAAGAATATGCGCCGGTCCTGCCTTCCCGAGATTCCGTGATGTTTGACTTTCCTCCCATTCTCTCACATACCTCTTCTCACATTCCTTCCTCTCGGCCCCGGACAACGAGGAACTCGCCAGGAGACCGTCACAAGCGATCGGGAGGTTCTTCCTTCTCGGGCACTACAGGACATACTACCAGTACCACTGTGTACCTCCACCACATCCACTACACCAGCAGGGCCGGGAGTTCATCCAGTGACGTTCCCAATCACCTTATCACACTCCAGCGCCAACTATTCTTAGCTCACCCCCGCTACTGTACGTCCTCCGTCACTCGACTCCTCAACGCCTCGACTGCTCGACGGCCACTCCAACTTTCCGCCACCCGGAAGGATTGCAGGTCACGCTGTGAATGAAGATCACCTCTTTCGAGAGCGCTCCGCCTTCTCGTCGTTTGGGACGCTACTTGCATGCTATACTTCATGCCACCATCCCCGCTTTGATCTGTCCAACTGACGACTCGGTGGGATATCGCCAGCCGACCAACCTGTCCATCTCCAAGGACCATGTCCTGTCTGTCGTCACCTCTCGGTGACCCAACACGATCAATGACTTCTCGACCAAAGTTGACGTTACAAACAACGTCGCTCCCACGCACCTTTGGGAGCTCCTCCACCGGACTCTCTCTCTCCCTGGCGGCTGGTTCAACTGCCTCGCCGACCGTCCGCAACACCTTCAAAAATGCCTACGACGTCACTTCTCCGACTTCCACCAGCAACTCTCCCTCAACCACGGCCCCGCCGAGCCTCCGATTAAATTGCGCCAAACCGGCATCTCCTTACATTCACCATGCACACAGCCATACAACGAGCTTCTTCCACCGCAGCAATCCATATCAACTACCCTTGGGTGTGCGCAGCATCCTGCGCAACTCCCCCCTCGAGCCAACTGCCCGGCGCCGGTCGGGATCCATATCTGCAGGTGCCAGTGGACCCGGCGGCGCAGGCGCACGCCGGGTCTTCTTCCCGGCCAAGAAGCAAGTGAGCTATCGCAATCCACTGGAGGAAGAAATTCGGACCGTGCGCTACACGGCCCAGCATTTTGATCTATTCGAAGAAGGCCCGCTCCCGGGGGCGGTGCACAATAAGGCAGCATCGCAATCGGCTGACTCCACGTCCGAGTCCCCAGAGGAGGAGGATTCAGACGCAGCCAGCGTTCAGTCTGGCTCAGAGACCGGCAGTGCTTCAAAAGATGATGTCGGCGCGAATCGTCCAGTCGCGGCTCAACCCTCTACGGCACTGTCAAGGATGGAGCGTAAGAAGCGTCGAACACTACGTGCAGAGCGACAAGTTCGCGCGGTCGCACTGTTAGATGATCTTGATCCCATCCGCTCCGACGCCTCTACACCGCAAACACCACGACAGGGTCGTGCCAAACGACGACGGGAGTGGCGATGGACTTTGGGACCTCTTAAGTCTTCGTCGAACGAAGGTCACGTGGAATTATCCGCGGCGACATCAACAACGCAGCCTCCGAATTTCCCATCTGAGACACTCTCCCGTGGGTGACCAGAATGTTCCAAGATATCAAGGCATTCTTTTGATTAGCTTTTGCAGCATTTCTTTCCTAGTCTTGTTTCCTTGCCTTCATATTACATGCACGAACTTGATGCATGCATGACCGCTTACACGATGAATCATGTTTAATTTCATAGAGAGGCGCTGGTGGTTTATTTTTTTTCTTTCTCTTTCTTTCTCAAGCAACTCTTAAGCCCTTTTCTTACTCGCTGGGCTTGACCATGCTCCCTCTTCTCCGCATTTTCATCGCCAATGCTCGCCCAGTCAGGGCTGCATTGAGTACATATTTATCTTCTTGACGATATCTCACAATCTACTACCCACACCACTTCAATATATCTTTGCCCCTTCCAAGGTTGGCAACCATCACAAGTAACAGACCGTCCTCATGCCAAATTGAAAGTAGGCACCTACAGCGTTTCCTGTCTGGCAGGAAGTCCTTGCCACACACGAGGAAGAGAATCGAAGACGGTCCTCCCACGTACAAACTGGATCTCCAACAGTCCTACATGTAACGTGGATCCCAAACACCCGTTGACTTAAAGTCTTACAATCTCCGCGCGCTCATGAATCGCAACCCAATGAACGAATCACAAGGGTCGGTAGATGGAAAGATATGCTCCGAGCTCGAGGAATTCGAATGAATTCGAACACCAAAAGAAAGTGACATCTCACTATCCGCACCAGCCCTAAGGTTCACTGTATTTTATTTCAGATATCCCTAAGCTTAGGCAAGACGGGAATGTCCGTATGGAAAGTCACTTTCCAGGTATCGCATGGACATGTGTCGCGGAATTTGACGGTCTGCCTCCTAGTTGGGGGGGGGGGGGATTTGCTGGGGGAAAGGAACGCGCTGTTTTTTCATTATAGGAATGGAATTAGACATCTTTCTACAATAGACACTTTCTTGAAGGTGTGGGCGATAGCGGGTGAATAGGAATAGAGCGGGACTTGTGGGATGCATGGTGTCCAATATCAGGAGAGTAGTAGTAGACCGTAACATTCATATAAGTCTTAGGCTCATTGTACACCGAAATGATGACAGAGAGAAAAGCTCCATCCTTGACAACAAATAATGACACACTGTACAAACCCACATCACTCCGCCCCTGTTCAAAAAGAAAAAAGACGGAGAGAAAGGAAACTCAAAACAGATCAATCATGCAAGACCATGCAAAAACCCACGCCCTTGGAAAAACCTCAAGTCTCAGTCTCGACATCGGGTTCCCGACCAGTCATGTCACCCATGCCAACCTTCGTCTTCAACTTTCGAAGCGCAAACACCGCCTCATCCTTAGCAAAGGCCACGTTCCGTGCGGGCTTCCACTGCATGATGCCACGATGGGTTCGTAATTCAGTTCGTCGATTGGCTCCTTTGGCTTGTTTAAGGCTCATTTGGCTACTGGCGGCTCCGGATGACCGCCTCTCCGAAGGGCTCACTGTCGAAGGGCTCCAGGACTTGCCGGGTTCGGTTTCCGAATCGGAATCAGAATCGGAGTCGAATGTACGCGGCGAGTTCGGCGTCCCGGTCGTTTCGCGATTTTCTTGCGTAGTCTGGTTCGGCTCCTTGTGCCCACTGTCTGTGGCCATTCCGTCATTCGAAGTCTGCGGCGCGATTGGGTCATTAGGCGGCTGATCACGGCCCGGTTCAGCCACTTTTTGCCCGTTGGCGTCGGTGAAGGCGCGAGGGTCACTGCCAAAGGCACCGCTCCAGTCATTGCCTTCATAGTCGATCCACTCGTGGCGCTCGCTGGGATCGGCTTGCTTCAGGATATCGCGACCATCAATGAGGGACTGTTCGTGTTTCTCCAAAGTCTCCTTGGGCACATCAATGGCAACACTACGAGAGCGAACACCTTGCGCAGCACATGCCTCCCAAGCTTCAAAGGTCTCGCGCGAATCATTATCGGTGACGAATCGTTCATGAGATTCATCCGTGCCCGGAGAGAACATGCATCTGAACTGCAACCGGCCGACCTCAGTCAAGTCCTCGAGTCCAGGATTCATCTTTGACTTGTAGTTCTCTTCTGTGACGTAGTTTTGGGTGAGACGAGAACCATTCTTGGTGGTCCAAATCGGGATGTCGATATCCAACTCTTCATTATCGATCAAGTGCTGCAACCAAAGGACCGCGTAGGCGGCGGTGCCTCGCTTACTTTGGTTGTGGAACTCAAAGACGACTGGAGAGCGGTATCTGTGCTTAACGGGCAGCCGCAGTCCATCGCGATACGTCTGATCGGAGATGTCGAAGGTTAAGTCTTTGCCCTCCAGTGTTGCCACTCGGCGGCCGACCTTGCCCGTACTTCCACTTGTACGAAGTTTGATCTTGCCATGATGGCCGTAGCCCTTGGCAACGATCCTTTCGCCAGCAAATTCAAAAGTACCAACATCCCAGCCAAGCATGTTGGGTGGGAGCTTGGTTTCAACATGGCGGAGAAGCACAGAGATACGGATGCGCCCAAAGCCAATACCACCGTCTAGTGGGTACCATCGTGTAACCTGAGAGCTGGTTTCCAGGACTTCGGAAAGTTTGATGGGCACAACACCCAGGACGGGGTCGTGCTCGCGGTATCGTTGATCTCGCACCGTAACAGTAACCACAGCCGATCGCCAATCACGTACAAAACGCTCGGTACCAGCGTTGAAGATAGGCTTGGAGCTGACGGCTTTGGCTCGTGTTTTGTAGATCTATGAAGTAGCAAAATGATTAGCATATATCGAAGCTTTTGGCACCCCGGGATGTGAACTGACCAATTCGTCGTTGAGCTGAATTTTACAATAGCTGGTAGGCAGTTGCTTGCCCTCCTCCTCAGTGTTCTCCCCATATGCCTTAGCAGGCTCAAATTCTTTACCCTTACGATTTCCGTCGCTTCCGTTGACATTATTGAGCTCAAGATTGACGATTTGGTGAACAATGACAGACAAGATACCACTTGGCCAGAGCGGGTCCGGAGGTGTATGAGCAACTGCATCCTCTTCATCGTTGGTGATAGTGCCTTTGTCATCTTCGAAGGTCGGATTTCCTTGCAAATTCTCAGGGAGATCTTTCTTCCTGCTGTCTGTGCGAAGCTCAGGGCGCAGCTTTGGTTTTCCGAAATACCCGACCTCCCAGTGAAGCTCACCAGGCATGTCAGTACCGTCTTCCAAACCTTGCAGGTTGGACACCTGGGGATACATTTGTCCTGGGTGTTGAAGCATTTCACGAATGGGAAGCTCCACCTTTCCGCAGATATCATCGGCAGTATGGCGGTCCGAGTCCCAAAGTTCAACGCTCAGGTTTTCATTCGCCTTGATCAACTCTGGCGTTACCAGAAGAGCAGCGGTTTCCTCCCAGATGGGATTCAGATCGTCCGTGATCACGCGCGTGCAGTACATGGGTTTACCGTATTTTGAAAATGACAGGTTTATGTACGGATCGCTGCCGCCACCTTCACTGCCACGTCGGTCTTGCTTGCTCAGCCCGACGGCACGGTGGATTCGAACCCACATGACACCGAGTGCATGAGTGTCTTTCTGAATATCGTCACCCTTGAGCAACATACTCAGGTCCAATGTCATGGACTTCGGTGCTGCGAACATTGCACATGCCGTGCTAATAGCGTAGTTGACAAACTTTGAAATCAATGGCAAGTTGAGAATGTTCACACCGCGTTTCAGCATTGGCATACAGCCAGCGCGCACGTGTGGAATTCCCACAAGACTGAACGTCACTTCTTTCATGAAAGGTGCCTCTGGCATCAATTGGAAGCGCAGTCTGACTGTTCCGACCAGCTCTGTCAGTTCGACAAAGACTGGGAACGGAACTCCGAAAAGACCTCGGATTCCGAGGTAAAACACGAGATTCATGTGCATATTGCGAGCTTTCGAGGACGCAGACTCACTGCTCGGCTGAGCGTGATAAGCAAAAGAGGCTTCCATGTTGTAGTAGCTACCTCCTTCCTCTACAGCTGCGGCCTCTTGAGGATCCTTGTTCTTGATGTTCTCCAGGTGACTGTTCTCCTTGAGATGGTTGACGTGGTTGTCTGGAAGAGCACGCATGCTGAGAATGCGAAGAGGGTTGCTGCCCTGGTCGATTTCAGCAATGCGAACATTCTCGACCACCCCAGGCGCAGAGGCTTGCATAATGTCTTCGATCGTGTCGGCCATGGGCGTGAACATGTCCGGAGGAATCAGACCCCAGATCACGGACATGAATGAGTTCATCCATTCGACGGACTCGGGAAGTAAGTTTGCGGTCGCCTGACAAGACGATGCTGTTAGCGAACAGAAAGAAATTATATAGTAAGACCATGCAGTCTAGGATCCATACCATCTGCCCACGAAGCTTTTCGCTCTTCCACTCCATCTGTCTGCCGCTCTTGATGACCTCCTGGACCCATAGCCAGACACCGCTGGTTACGCAAAATGCCAGTGGGACAAGGCCCAGCAAAGATCCCCCAAAGACTCGGCCCAAGAAGATGATAGCTAGTGCGATTCCAACGCACAAGGCTGTCCCACGCTTCTCCAATTCATCAAACATGGGTTTGTAGTTCACAGTCGGAGTAGGGTGGAACAGAATGTTTGTCTTTTCGCCGCGAATAGGTACATCGGACGTTGTTCCTTCGGCAATGGGATCCGGAGGAGCGGTGATATCTTGCTTCTCTTTGTAGGTATCTGGGTCTTGGTCGGCACTGGTTTGATGTTCCTAGCCTCGCTGTTAACGTAATATTCAATCATTGACATAGTTCGATTAGCAGATGACCTGTTTGTACTCACGGTTGGTCTGCCGAGATTGGCATTCGGAACGGTCAACTAATTCATGTTCATCAGCTGATACGACCGTAGAAGATGCAATGACAATCGTAATTTACCATTGGATTCTTGACGGTCTCCATGGACTCAGGTCCTTGATCCTCGACTCCGATATCTTTGCCGGTAGTCGGGTCGGTCACCGTCCGGACCTTGGACCGTGCCACCTCACGGGCCTGGTGGGCCGTGACTTCGACATTTGGATCGTCTTTCGAGCTTCCTGCAGTTGCTTGCTGATTTCGGTGCTGACTGATTCGCTCCGTACGAGCCTTTTCCTCCTGGTCAATTCGTTGGTCTCGTTCCTTTTTCTCCACGTCAAGACGCTCGATGAACTTCTGGACGGTCGGGATAGGATTGCTTCCACTCCAGTTTTCACCGACACGATGGTTTTCGGGCGTGACGCTAGATGCCATGCCGCTGATCAAATTGAGTTGGATTCTGGTGATGTGAGGTTTTATCAATGTGAAGCCGAGGTCATGGATGCTGTCCCAAACCAGTCGACAGAGGCTTGTACTGGGCTTGACCAGAAGCTCTACTTCACTCAAGAGCCACCTGCTGAAAGGGAGCAAACAACACCGGGACGACTGCAGATGAGAGAAAGGATGAGATTCCACAAGAAAGTCTAATTGCGTCAAGAATCGTCGTCAGGTCGGTTTGACGAGACCCAGAGCATCGCGAGTCTGAGCTTCAGCTCGTGCACTACGTCATCGGCAGCCGCGAAGCTGGAGGAAGGTGATGACGACGGCCAGTCTTGTGTTCGGGTCGTCATTGGCGGACCCAACGACTTTCGCGTGTTACACTGTCAATCTCCACCGAACTTGGAAATGCGAGCATGGGCTGTCTCCTGAACTGCCAAGCTCTATTACTTGGATACTCACATTCAGGATTCACCGTCGTCAGGGCTGTTTCTCACTGCGGCTAGGCGCTGGGTCGTCTCCCGTAAGTCTCGCCCGAAAGATTTCTGTTTTCTTGAGAGGCACCGCCGACCGCCGTTTTTGGGTTGGAGGCGCGGGATAATGAAGTGCTCCAGTATGTCTGGACGCAACCCCATATCGACTCAACTCTACACTTCTACAGGACTAAGTAGTCTGTTCAGACATCTATGGGAGGTGCTCTTCCGCAGAGTCTACACGTCAGCTGTGAACCTCATTCTTTTTCTAAGCCATCACTCAGGAACAAAAAGTCTAGAATTTGATATCGAACCTAACATCTCACTGGAATGATCCTCCTGGGTATCTAAACATACACATCGAACGACATAAATGATACTGACCCCGGCACTGTATTCATGACATCAAAACCCTGGAATTTGCCAACGTCACATCAAGTGCCCAATTGTTCCGTGTTAGCTGCGAGAGTGACAGATGGGCTAAAGCTTTTCAGTATCGGGGAAGCAACGTCCGGCAAGTTTGGATCCCCAAAGATGCACCCTTCTCGCTCGGGCTCATCCAGCTTTTCAACTTGAGTAAGACTTTCCGGAGACAGGGAGCTACTTTGGCAGTCACACGTCGAATTTCGAAGCGATTCCGTCTCTAGCTGTTGCTCAAGTCTGTACTGGGGAACATAGATATTGGACGCAGTCGCCTTGCATGACCGAATGGTGATGGGAGCTTGAAGTGTAAGTCGCTGAGAGAGGCTGTGCTCTGTGGTTATGTTTCCGTCTTCCTTGTCAGTCAGCCGGAAACGTAGAACAACCTTTCCATTGATTAGCCATGGTTAAGTTCTCGTCGGTTGATGAACGATGAAAATCAAGACTACTTACCTGAATCCAATGGCTCACATCCAAGGTGCCGATTTTGCTGCTTGAGTGGACCCTTTGCCAGGACAGTCTCTCCTTAAGTTCATAGCATCTGGGTAATTGGACATCCATCTCGATCTGACATGGCTGCATCAATCCCCCCAGTAGACTCGAATCGTCTTTGTCTGCCAATTCACCTTTTTCTTGATCCTTGCTGATCCGCACATCACCCCCCGGAAAGACGCTCCGACATTCAGCGTCTACGCTTTTTTCCAGCAAAAGCACTGTTCTCTTTCCTGAGTCCACCAAACACGTTTCCTTGTCACGGTCCCAATAACGTATGTGCTGTAACATCAGGACCTGAACAGAAGAACAGGTGAGCCCGACCAAGGGGACCAATCCCATTCTGATAGGGATCTGTGAGCCCAAGCAAAAGCTTCTTCCGAGAATAGCAAAATGGTACTGCAGATTCTCACTCCAATTCCTGGTCAACGTGACGGGCTCATTCCATTCCCACGAGCTTTCTGGCGGTAAGCGGAGAAGTGGAACATCAAGCTGGGAAATCAGTTTTGATCCGAAAAGTCCGCCGAATTCAACCTTGGCTTCGAGAAAATAGCGGGTAGACAAGAGTTGAGTGTCTATGGTTTGTGGTAGGGAATTGAGCACGACAAATTCGAACGGAAAGGTGTGATCCCCAGCTGGTATAGTGGCATATCTACCTCTCGCCTGAGCTTCGCTTGGCGTGCGTGAAGTCTCACTGCTATGTATTCGCTCTAGTCTTTCATAGCTTGGTGGATCATACTCAGGTGGTGGAGTTGGTCGGGTCAGTATGGCTGGCGCGGAATTTCGTCGCTTTCCAACCAGCTCTTCCCTGATGGTGTTGCGAGGGATTGAACATCCAGATACGAGATCTGTCCATATCCCTTGTCCATCTTCGAGGTATGTGATACTGGAGTTGATCAAGTCGTGAGTCCTCGTATTCTCTGGCAAGACCGTTAGTAAACTGTGTAGCGTACAGATGGACGGTTCCGGCGTCTGAGCTTGTGAAGTTGCTTCTGTATCAATCAAGAGATCGGATATAACACCTACTTCCAAAAGGGCTCACGAGAGCCTTGCCACAGAATGAAAGCGAGAAACTTTTCACTCTGGTTGGCTGGGTAACATGCATTTGGATGTTACCTCTGAGGAGAGCCGTGTTTCCTGCAGTGTGATGGTCGTTCTTCCCATCGCCTTGCAAATAGACGACAGGCTCGAGCATGAGGAACTTGAGTGAGACTCCCCCTCGAGACTTGGATTCCTGCATCAGAGTAGGCTTGCTTGTGGTTGAATGGATCGACACTGCTGTCCAAGGCTCCATGTTGATTTCCAACTAGTCCGACGATTTTCTTGGACGCTTGTAGTATGTGAATTGTTTCGAACCTCCCTCGGCTGGTGAAAGACCGAATTGATGTTTGTAAAGTGTGAGCCAGGGAGGATATCACTGAAATATGAAAGGCTTCCGAACTGCCAGTCCCGGAAAATAGTTTGTTCAGAACATTTGCTCATAACATCTCAAGTTGGCCAGTTCCTTATAATATGCCAAGGCATCGGGCAAGGCAGTGGGTACTTGGCAGTGGCTTTGACATCGTCCGCCGGCGCCGGCGATGCGATACGATGCGATGTCCCGAGGGGAACACAATTTTAGGTTTATTGAGGATCAGCCGATCACTAAGAATCATTCACGGATAACCTTGATCTTATGATCTGTCACTCGATTCATCGCACGTCAAAGCCCGTTGAGTTGGCCTGGGCTTGCGGTCTGGCTGGGTTCCGATGACACGGACAGCAAATAGAGGCATGCATGATACGCCATGGCTGATGGAATGACTCGCTTATGGCTGCGAATAACATGCTGTATATTGTCTGCAAGAGCTGGGAAAGAAAACGAACAGTTCCGGCCGAGCGTCTTGATTTGGTGATAGCCACGGATACATGGTGGCGTGGTCCCACAGAATATGTGACAGCGGTTCGCCGCAGGTCTCGTTCAAGCGGAGTGCGGGGATCAAGAAAGTTTAAACGTTCATGATGAAAAGTTGTCAGGCTCCGCCGATGAGAGTGATTGCTCATATATTTGGGCCATTCATCACTTGCAGTGCCGTATAGCCAGGGTTGGCGGTCATTGGAGGGCGAGCTCGCGCAGATATAGGGTACCGAGCTAAAGATGCGAAAGCCAAGTACTGTGCCAGCACTGAGATCCAGGTTTTATGAACGCTCGACCCGTGACTGTCCAGTAAGAGAAGTTCCACGGGCGCAGTCAACACTATGGAAGATACGATGAGCTCAAGCTCGTGCAGGTGGGTTTTGACTCACAGTACTATCTATGAAGCGATTGATCCGTAAATTATGATACAGTTCTCAAACTACTACAGAAATTCTTTTGGTAAAGTAAAGAACAAAGGGAATCTAGGTCTGCCTAATTCGAACAGGTTTCAAAATTCTTGATCAATACATGTATGAGCTATTCACTTTGATAGGAGCATGGAGCTACATGGCCATAATTCCCATGAACGGAGTCAACCAAGCTTGCAGCTACAACCAGTACTCTGGCCTTTAGAGCACTCTACCTACCTCATCTTCCCAAGGTCAGATGTTTGAATGATATCGACAGTGGTTCATATGACGGTGAATTCCTCTGCGTTCCTCTGCGTTCATGAGCAGCTGCTTGCCCGCTGAACGTAGGAAAGTGGCGAGCGGCTTAATACCAAACTTCCTCTTTCATGTCTTGGGCATAGCCACTGTCATCAAGATCTCCCACCGGCACAAACAAAAGATCGCGGAAGCCATCCTCTTCGGCTTCACGATAGATCACCGATCCACAATGGCGGCAGAAACAAATATGGCCGTGTCTCTTGTCTTTCGTCACTGCATTGAAAGTGCTGATCGAGTGTGGTAGACCTGGAACAAAAGATTGCCAAGTCGAGACACTTGTCAATTTGAATCCCTCCTTCTGGACAACGAGGTTGGTTGTGGATAGTCCGCCACTGACTTTACGACAGCGAGCACAATGGCATGTTATCTGTAGGAGGAGCCTGGTCAATACGTACGGTAGCTGCAATATGTTCCTGACTTGGATGATGGGATGAAGTCTTTCTTACCTTACGGATGATGTTTTTCTCTTCGATTTGGAATTTGTTCGCGTTGCAGAGACACGAGCCTGTGAGCATTTTGAGCTTGAAAGTGTCTGTTATCCGAAGACGATAGTAGGTGGGCGTTTCGAAGAACGAAGAGTGCGGACGTAGAAGGTGGTCGTTAATGAAAAGATGATGGGAGGTGTCACTTCGCAAGATCGAGGAATTGACGGGTGTCTTCATTTCCAACCTAGCTTATCCTTGATATTTATTTCTGCACACGGGACACCACACCACTGGATGTTTGTCTCTCTTCTCGTAGATTGATCCAAATGGATTGTGTGCATCGCATGTTGATCTAAAAGTATGTTCTAGACCTTGCCGAGTCTCGTTCCAAGGCGATGGATGGTTACTGTCCACAGAATCAGAGGTTCCACATATGGGACTTGAGTGAGGTGCATGTGGTGGCGCTCCGATAGATGACGCATCACGGCTCTGGAATCTGTCAATCTAGCCACGCGATTATTTCTAATACTGTCCAGCTCCTTCATTTTAGACTCTGGCCATGTGTGGCTGAATAAGGATCATGGTACAGATCAGGAATGGTGCCCGTAATTCGAGTTCACAGATGCCGAGCCGGCGCCGATAGACAAAACCTTTCTTCGACACCAAGGCCTTGCAAGCTGTGGGACTGAGATTGCATGAGCCTGACTAGCGAGCCAGAAAAACATGGTTCAAGCTGAAGCTGCTTCGCAAAGGGTGGCCAGTTGGATGAAAGTATACACTCTCCTTACGGAAAATGACTGCCCAGTGCCCACTAGATATGTACCTCGGGGGGCTCAGTCTGTGGATAGTGACCTGCAGGTGAGAACTTAGCATCGGGGCTTTGGTATGTGGAACAGACCTAATATTTGCATGAAACCTCGGCTGCCATGAGATATGAACATGATAAATTCTGAGCTGACAATCTTTCTAATCACGGATTCGTTTTTCAAAAGCAATAATTCCTCTTTCCACTATGTGGTCACCATGCCGAGCTCGGTACCCAGGTTCTGTCGCCCGGCGTGGAAGAAAAAGGCCATTTTCCTACGTGCATCTTGTCGAGTGTCCATCGGGAATGACTCGTCTAATCGCTGATCGCTTTTACCAGGTTTATGCCCAGCTACTGGCATTCTGTTCCACAGAGCATTCTTGCCCTGCCTGGACTGTGGTTGCATCAGGCTTGTGTTACCATCTCATAAGCTTCTTGCGGACCATTTCCCGAGGCTTGTAGCTTATCTTCAAATACAACCTTCAAGGACGAAATAGATAGTCAAGGGAGAATTGGGATCCTCGAATTAGGCCAGGGTCAATAACTTAGAGCCCAAAGTAGCATGAAATGCCCCAACCCCATGATAATCATGCAGACTACAAGATACGAGCCGGACATCGAGACCTCATTTAGCTCAGTTACACTCGGCGCTCAGTATGATTGACTCTGTCGCTTCAGCGGCTACTATCAAACACAGTACAAGATTACGACTTTGACTCTATTCTGTTATTTCTCTGATCATTATTATGATCATTTGGCATGAAGAGTGAAGAATCTAGGCTTCCCCAGGTGGAAAGGACGGTATAGTAGAGCAATGGCGGGGATACATCAACCATTCCATCCCGACGTGGCGTCCACATCAGAAAGGGAAGCCGAGCGCCGCATCCACTTCAACTTGACCCGCTTACCTTTTCGAAGAGTTCCCGCCACGGGCCCTCACATCACTTCCGGGTCACTTTCAACCTGATCATTCTACAATAGCCACGTCTTCTCAACACCGTGACTTGCGGCTGTTCGATCATCGCAGTCTCTCAATCACCTGACCACAGGGCACAAAGTCAGTTTGTTCGAGCTTCCACTGCTGCCCACGGATCAACAATTCAAAAGCCACAGTCATGTCGACTCCCGAAGAGTCACCAGCCCAGCGCGCCGCTCGTTTGCGACGAGAGCGTCGCGAGGCCAAAATCAAAGAAGGAGGCTCTGCTCGCTTGGACAAGATTACAAGTCTCAGTGGCCGCACGCCACAGTCAGGTCAGTCGTCATGTCACAGACTAAGGAGTGTGCCTGATTCATCACTTTCGCAAATGCAACAAGGCACTCGGGAACGTCATCAGGATTTCTAACGCGCTCAAATTTCTCAACAGTGCGAGAAGAAGCCTCACCGTCCCCTCAGCCCGCAGCTTCTCCCTCCCCATCTCCAGTTCCGCAGATGCGTCCGCCTCCTAGCTACCAGTCGGAGGCGCCACCCCCGGACTCTCTTCAGGCCCAACAAGAGGCATTCCGTGCCATGTTGCGACAGGTTGTCCCAGAGCAGGGTCAAGATTCCAACGATGTCCAAGACCCAACATTGAAGCTTCTTGAGAACTTGATCGGTGGCATGCCCGGAGATGCGAACGCAGCTCCATCAGGAGCCCCGGGAGCGATGCCCGGACAATCACAGCCCGGTCTCTCTCCTGCTGCCATTGCTTCTGCTCTCGGCGTACCGCCTTTCCTCGCCAACATGCTGGGTGGAGCATCTCCGCCACCTACCGAATCGGCGCAGAATGTGCAACGGGCGTGGAAGGTACTGCATACCCTCTTTGCGCTCGGTCTGGCCGTCTACCTTCTGTTCATGATCGCGGCTTCGGTTGCGACATTCGGCAGCCCACCTCCTAAGCCTGCGACGGCGCAAAACCCCTTCTTGATATTTGTCACTGGCGAAATGGTTCTCTCGGGAGGAAGAGTACTACACGGTAGTACACAAGCAGGGCTTGGAATGGTCATTCAACTTTTCAAGGATATTTCCCGCGATGGAAGTCTCATTCTTTTCTTCCTCGGGTTGGCAGCGTGGTACAATCGCGAGTGGCAGGCAGTTGTCTCTTAGAGTGCACGAATAATGGAGGAATGCGAATTATTACCCACAAGACTTGCGATTCTTCGACTTGTCATTTCCCTTGGAAACCAAAGTCTCTACTCTACGCGGATCCGAGATATGTAGACCGACCCATCCATCCTGGCAGTCTCCAGGATCTACATTCCTTCAGACATTCAGAGAAAGCGAACCTCACAAATAGCATCCTCGTCATCGCCAGGTGTCGATGGTCATATCACAAACCGGGGATCCTCGTGCATCCAATCTATATCATGTCTCCTACCCACATCTTCCAACCTGGCATCTGAGACGAACTGCGGAGGTTGGCTGCTTCTCGCGACTCACTCCGCCCCCACTCGGTCTAACCGCTTCCTCCCATGCAAGACAGTCGGTGAAGAGTAAGCAAATGCTCGAGGTGGGTGGATCTCCCTGCAACGTTGTGGAAGACGATGCGGCCAGCACGAAAACAAAAACTTTAGGATGGATATTCCCGAAAGTCTTCAGCCGCGGGTGCTGCTAAGTAAGCCAGTCACACTAGTCGAGCATCTGAGGGGTCTCCTGGCAGCCGACTCCTCCTTGGACAGCCTCAATTCAATCAATGCCTATCTCTTGCATCTGGTTCACGAAGAAGCTGTCCCATGGCGGATCTTCCAAACTTGGCTGTTCCTGATATGGCCAACCTCTCCTGTGTTCCTGCGCGACGCGATTCGAGATGAGGAGTCGGTTGGAGTCCAGATAGCAGGGATTCAAGTTCTTAAACACGCTTTCCGGCGACCTTCAGCGAGACCGCGCATATGGGACGCTTTAGGAGGACCAGCGGGCGTCAAATCCCTCATAGATGGCCTTTCTCTCCGTCAAGCTACCAGTTTTGTCAAGGCTCTCTGCCAAAGCGGGCGAGGTATGCACAATGATATACTGCTCGGATATTTTGATGAGCTCGTTTCCCTCCTCGAAGCGTCAGATGAATTGGGTGCAAGACCGCTGTCCCTGGACGCGATGTCGCTATATGCCTGCTGCTCTCCCCAGAGAGTGGCGGAGGCACTAGAGTCTGGGCGTATCGAGACCCGAACCATCGAACGTGACCTTTTGCGTACGCAATTGAATGTTCTTAGACTTGTTGCGGTTGGCGTTGTGGATGCCCCAGAACAGTTTCGCACTCACATCCTGCGCGATCACGCGGATATTTTACTCGCATCAAACGAGGCATACGTTCCGACCTCTCCCGTGAAAGTCGACGCGGGTGTGCCTGCGGGCGTGCTATTCGGTATGGACTTAATGTGGCATATTGATCGAAGCAAGTCTGCTCCATGGACAGAGAGAGAAGGCAGGCATCTGATCAATAAGTGGGCCAAGAAGATCGTGCACTTGGCTATTCGTCGCAACGTTTCAATTGATGTTCTATGTGCCATTATATCCGCGTGTCTCGGATTGCTCTGTGACGGAGATCGCTCGCACTGGATTGACAGGTGCAAGAAGTGTCATTGTGAAAATTGGGTTTCTGATATCCTTCCATTCGAAGTGATCCGTTGCTGGTCCACAGCTCGCTTCGGTGTTTGTGCGGATGAGCTACCCTTTTATTCGTCAATCAAGATCAAGAGGAACAGCCCTTCATGGCCAACGCCAGATTATGTGACGGCATTGGAGAGTTGTATGGTGAATGACGTATTCATGCTCATCGACAAACAGGAGTTGGCTTGGCTACATGACAGGCCTGTGGGGCTGAGTCGCTATCTTTCTCGGATGGTCGAAAGGGTACCCATTGACAAAAGAATCGAGTTCTTGCAGCTTGTTTGCAAGCATTGTCCGACTTTGTCCTTTGATATGACAATGTGGCCTCCATCAGAGCGAGAAGCTGAAGTGCTTCCGATTTGGGATATTGCACTACTGTCAAAGATGCCGCTGACTCGCTCCAAAGAGCTGTTCGAGCGCTCTTTACACGTCAACAATTGTGAGACGTTCATATCAGACGATCTGTTGAAGAAAAACGACTGGGCCATGACATGGGAGGAGCAGTGTATGCTTTGGTCAGGATGGGAGACACTGTCTGCTAAGACACACCAGGACTTTAAGATCACTCAACAGGGTAAGCGATCAAGAACACCTCTCACATATGATAAATCTCGTGATTCTGACCCTTTTCAGCCCTTGTGAAAATCAAGCAGAAAGCAGTCGAGGAGAAAGATGGTGAATCACGCTTGAATTTCGCAAAGACGGCCCTCGCAATCGTCTCTGCAACCCAGTCCCTTGCCTTTTTTCATGATCTGATACAATGGCTTGGTGTGTTCTCAGAGGACATGGTAGGATGTCCCCCTTCCAAGCGAGGACTCTGGCTTCCTTTGGAGATCCCATGTCGCTAAATTGCATTTGACTTCCAGGAAGTGTTTCCCAAACTGCTGGTTGAGATATGTAAATCGGCGGCGGAGTTTCTCTCATGCGAACCTCATGGGCGGATTTTGCAGCCATACTCAACATCAAACCTTAGTGATCTTGCTATCGTGTCCAATTTGGCTCTGAGGGACCTGCTGAAGGTTGTTAGATTACGGTCTTCGGTGACAAAGTCCTATTCTTGGCTACAGGTGGCAAACAGTGCCTTTGAGATGTTTGCCAAGGTCATTGACAAAAGAGTCACCGCAGTCCACCACTATCTGTTGACTGAATCTAGCGATGAGTCGGAGTTGACAAGGATCTTACTTGAATCCCTCGTGCCAATTATTGTTGAGCATGAGCGTGAAACGAGTATTGACGGTGGTGGGGAGAACGCGGACGGCTGGGGTCAACCTGGCCGAAGCGGCGTCCCTGTTTCACTGCAATGTCCTCCAAACCCTAGCAGTGCATACCTTGCATTTGTGGATTTCCTTGCAAAAGCCAGAGACCAGCTATGGACAGAGATTCGCGCGAACAATGAGCCGAAACTTGCCGAGTTCGGTCCTGGCTGGCCGCGCGGTCTTGCTATTCAGCACCTGTCGCCGGATCATAAGTGGTTATGCTATGCACTCTTGAGGCCCAAAGAAGCACCTTTTCTGAGTTGCAAAGTCAATGAACTTCTCTTTAGCCCGGGAGACATTATTCTAGACAGGATCCCGCCAGCTTTGAATCCGGGGGAGAGACCAGAAGTTGTGGATTCGTTACTCTCTGTAATTCGCGCAATTACCTCGAATGGAGCAGATGGGAAGAAATGGGTCTCACGTGTTTGGAGTCATTATTCTACAGTATTGTCTGAGCATCCACTATATCTCAAACTCTCCCAAGACTGGCTGCTCACACACGGCCGACTTGAATTTGAGGATGAGGTCAAGGAGGTATCTCAGCTTCACACCCATCCAAAGGTCATCCCGATGGTGTCAACTGTTCCGCTCAATCTGAGTCTCACAAAATGGGACCCATTGGAGAGCCTCGGAGGAAAGCCTAGGCAAAGTGACGCCTCCCTGAGTGACCTAGAACCGAAAGAGATTCCTGGCACGATCTTGACTTGCCGCATGGGATACAGACACTCCAAAGATGGATTCGTACATCTGAAAGCGGGTCCAAAGACTAAGACGCAAAATCCGATCTCTATGCTGAATTCTCACGCTCGTTCCGTGGATCAAAGTAAAGATGCTTCCTTTGGCAATCGTGAAGCAATGATTCTAGCTTCTCTGCTTTTTCTGGACACTCTCAACCCACAACCGCGACTCCTGACGACGAGTTTCCCGAATCAATCAGTTCAACGATTCGGCCCAGTGATGCTCGCTGAAGGATTTCTTGCACGTGTTGCAGAATATGGGATGAAGGACTCCATACCTGAAGCGCTTATAATTCTGAGGGACAATGCCGTCGATGTCCCAGCCCGGATGCTGCAGAACCTCATTCAGTCATTACTGAAAACGGTAAGGACTTCTTCAAAGGCTGCTGATTGCTCGAGCACCATGGCTTGTGCCATGAAGCTGGTTCAAATACTTGTGTACAGCAGCCGACCAAGGCTTGCCGAGGAGCTTATTCGGAGACTGGCCCGCGAGCTCGGGAATGACATGTTGATGTACTGCAAATTTGAAGTCGACGTCATTGGGAGAGCTCTGTCTTATTCTCAGGCCCACAGCTATGTGGAAAAATGTGTCGAAAGCATATGCAATGAGGTGCAGGCTTCTGAAGGCCAAAGTCGAAGGAAGAAAAATCGGGCCAAAAAGAGCTTGATCAAACTGGTGAAAAGTCTCGCACGGGCAGATTATCTCGCACAGTCCGCGCAACTGCGTCTGCTTGAACAAGTGTGCGAGGCAAGTAATTACAATGATGTGCGGTTGCCAGCTCTTACTGCAATACTTAAGAAGACACGCACAAAGTCATGCCGCCAAGCGCTCAAGGCCCTGTCGAATCTTGCTGCTTTAGCCTCGGGGCCCAACGAAACTGTGAAGATTTCAGAGCAAATGTGGCAAGAGGCAGAAAATACGGGTCATCTGCCTCGAGTTGAGACTTCGAAGCGTCCAATCTTGGAAATTTTCGTCTCTGGCGCAAAGGAATACTTGCCCGAAGAAGTGATGTCAGCCTATGTGCAGGAGGTTTTAATTCCTCTAGTAGAGAACTCGATCCCCCAGCATGGTCGGTGGATGAGCGTCTTTCTTGGGAAGATCGGACTCTCGTTGACCGGACTTGAATTGACACCTTCAGATATTGGGCCGTTTGCTCATGACCTCATTGATCAAATTCTTCATGACTGGACTAAGGATCTTCCGTGCTCATTTCTACAGCTCCATCGCGGCTGGGAACTAGTCTTTCGAGGTCGGAAATCGTTCGAGAAGATCTATGAAGCTTTGAACAGCTCTGTGGACGAAGCCAAGCATGATTCGAGTACCGATGGTCACATGTATAACCTTTGGCGTTCTCACTGCAAACGACGACCCTTGCGCTTCATCTTTCCCCTTCTGGGACTGTCAAGGACCCAGATGACAGAAGGTGTCTCCGATGAATTGTCCCTACAGGAATTTAACTACCGCCTCAAATTGTTCAGCGAGTCTCCACTTGTCTTCAAGAAGAGCTCGGCAACTTACGTTCATCAGCCAGCATATACACTGGCGATCCTGGCGGAGCTCAGGCTGGAACGAGAAAAGTATCCGTATTGCTCTGCACCGCTCTATAATCATATCACCGCTTTGATGACGAGCATATATGAAAATGCTACACGTTTACGGAATGAGCCTTGCGTGTTGAAGAGCTCGTCTTACCCAATGACGGTTGCAAGCAGATTTGAGTATGATGTTCAACTTCTGCCATCTCCGAGCCGCACGACTGGACTCGATGACGCAGCTGATAGAGCGCAATACGAGGCATTCCAGCCCGCGTCAAGCTCAGAAGATACCACCACTGGGGCTGATCCAGTTCTCAGTCGCTACGTGTCGGCAATCATTGATCTGGTAACAATGCACGCCGCTGATCCGGTGCTGTTGATCAAATTCGACTCCTTGGCCGAAGTGCTTAACGAAGTACCGTATCGGAAGATGCTCAGCTGTGCTCTGCTACTGGGCCAAGACTTTGAGAGTGGAAGCAATTCGAGAACGCGAGTGATCGCCTGGGCGCGAGTCAGATTGGCGATATCGCTCTTGGAGGGTCGCGATTTCTGCAAGGCGAAGCAGAAGAATGCGATATCGGACATGATTGACAAGTGGAAGCGATGTGATGTTGAGATCATAAGACAAGAAGCTTGGGCTTGGGAGCTGAAGGACAAAGAGAACTATTGATATCGTTGCAAGGCTGAGCCAGGACATCGATTTAGGTGAATGTGGGTTGCTTACTATAATTGTCACTAGCTGTCTTAGGAAAAATATTCATTTCCACTCTTTCTCTTTCTTCTGCGAGATCTTCTTTTCTCGGGCTCGTTTCTCTGGTAGACTGGGTACATACCAATATAGTTATATGATGCGGTCAACAAGGAGGCCTTCAAGAGCCCCAGACATGGGTATCCTACCTCGCCATCGCGGGGAACAATTAGAGTTTCCTTTTAACCGTTTCGGGTGCCCGACCCGAAGAGGCCCAAGCTTCCGCATATATAGTTCCGAGGTGAAGGCACTTGACGATAATAATTGTCTTTGGAAGGCTCGGACTTTTTAAAGACTCGGTGTCCACGCAGCCATGCTTCAAGATTTTCTCAGGGAAATCCCTGGCCGGTATCGCGGACCAGGTGGTGCCATTGCAGTCCTGCGAAATGGCGAAGTGGTAGGAAAGCAAGTCTGGGGCTACTCTAACCTCGACGAACACAGGCTCATGGACGAGACAACATCGATGCCAATATGCTCTATCACAAAGCAAATGCTATGCTTGATTATAGAGGATGTCCGCCGTAACCCAACCCCGAAGATGTTATCGACTGATCGGACTTTTGATGAGCAGATGGATGCGGGCCTGAGAGAGATTGTTTCTAAAGAAATCATCGAGAATACCGGGCTGACACTCGAGCATCTCTGCAACAATCAATCTGGCATTCGAGACTACTGGGCCATGTCTATGTTCTGGGGGACACAGCCTGAGGGGAGATTCACACTCGAACACGACGCGAAAAAAGCACTGAGCCTGACAACGTCTCTGCAGTTCGAGCCCGGGACACAGTACTCATATTCTAACCTGAACTTTCACATTCTTGCCCGGGTGCTGGAAAATGTTACCGGGCTGCCATTGGCAACGCATCTATCTGAGAGGCTTTTCGCGCCGGCTCGTATGCAAAGTGCAAGGCTTTGCGAGGACAATGCAAGAGTGCCCGAGTGGTGTGTCGGCTACGAAGGGAATGAGGTCTTTGGTTTCCTGCCGGCGAAGAATCTTGTCGAGTGGTCTGGAGACGCGGGTGTTCTGGCCTCTTTGAATGATATGATCGCCTACGAACAGTATCTCGATCGATCCTGGGAAGACGAGCAAAGTCTCTATCGAGCAATTGCAAGAGTGCCCTACTTCAAAGACGGCACGAGCGCAATGTACGGCAATGGTCTCGCTCGTACGAAGCTCGGTGATATCGACATCATCGGTCACGGTGGCTCGCTTCGTGGATACTGTCTTCACAGACTTCAAGTCCCCTCTGAACGGCTGGCGATTGTGGTCATGCTCAATCATGAGATTGATGCAGAGACTATAGCGATGGATATTGTCAGCAGCCTTCTCACCACCTCTCAGACTACTCCTAATCTGGCACATAGACCCCAGACTGACTGGAATTGTCTGGGGACCTTCTTCGATCCAGACGCTCAACTCAGTTTCACCGTTCGGGGTGATGAACCCGGCACAGTCATTGTCCAATACGCTGATCATGAGGAAAAAGTGTTCCTGTCAACTGCGGCATCCGGATCTACAGCCACCCTTTTCTTGGAGCTTGAGGGCGATACGATTGAAATGCACCGTATAGACGATAATCGAAGGATCCATGCCAGACGGATCCGCGCACCTCAAGGTATAATCAGAGGGGACTACACTGGACGATACGAATGCAAAGAGCAGAAATCGGTATTCTTCTGCGATGGAACAGGCGAGATGTTGTATGGCGCATTTGAAGGGTTCCTCGGCAAAGGCCCCTTGCATTTGATGCGATACCTTGGAGAAGATATTTGGGTTCTGGTGTGTCCACGGGGTCTGGATGCCCCTGCGCCAGGAAATTGGACCCTAGTCTTTCATCGCGACGATGCGGGAAACATCACCGGTGTCACTATGGGATGCTGGCTGGCACGAAATGTACATTTCACAAAGTGCTAGTAGCAGAAAAGCCATCGTGGTGGTATCAGTAAACCTAGATACAATAGGCAGCCGATCAAAACGGTTGCCGTTGGTCTCGCTAGTTTCTTTTCAAGGCATTCTCGAGTACGAGTAAGAATGATTCAAGGTCTCCCCGTCAGTTTCCCGAAATTCGAAGGTTTACTGTTCCAAGAAGAAAGCGCATAGTCGGTTCTCTCTCAAGGATGCAGCGCTTGTATCGTATACACTCCTACTTCGATGGCGCAATGTACTCGCGGGAGCCTTCAGTACTCAGAAGGACAACAACGGAGGCCTCACCGAGCAGCGAGGACGTACTTGGCTGAGCTTGAAAGCGGCGCAATGCAGCCAATGACGCACCTCCACAAGGCCCCGTGAGAATGTGTTCACCAGCAAGAAAGTCGACGGCCTCATGACTCTCATACGAAGAGACGGTGACCGCGACATCCACAAGACGATGGAGATCTGCCCACGCAGTCATGGATACAGTGCCGCAGTTCATTCCGTCCATGATGGTGTCATTCGTTTTAACTGTGACAGGTGCGCCGGCTTGCAAACTCCTCAGAAGACACGGCGCAGAATCCGGCTCGACGGTAGCGACCCTGACTGGTTTCTTCCTTGATTTGCAGTGCTGGACAACCGCGTGAGCCAGACTTCCAACTCCCACGGGAGAGACCATGAGATCTGCCTCGACCTCAACTTGGGCAAGTTGCTCGTCAATCTCCTTCAGCATGGTCGAATATCCCTGTACAATCCACCTTGGAACATCTGTGTAGCCCTCGAAAGCAGTGTCTTGAATGAACAGGGCGCCGGAGGACTCCTCGGCGTGGCTAAATGCCTCACTCACGGCATCGTCATAGTCGCCGCGGGAACGTGCTATGAATGCTCCTTCACTTGCGATAAGATCTCGCGTCTGTGCATTCATTGAATAGGGCACATGGATCCTAGCAGGAATGCGCAGGACGCGGGCCATAAAAGCGACCGCTCTTCCATGATTGCCCTCGGTTGCGGCAACAAGGCTGAGCTTACGGGAGACTGCTTTCGCCGAGACATCCAGTAGATCTGCAGAAGCTGGTAGACCGAGATGGCGGGTGAGCGCACAAAAACAGCCCCATGATGCGCCTAGAACTTTGAACGAGGGCAGTCCAAAACGGTTGCTCTCATCTTTGACGAAGACAGCTCGAATGCCGAGTTCGTGTGCTAGTTCCGGTAGAGCAAGTAGGGGAGTTGGAGCGTAGTTGGGTAGTGCTCGATGGAAGTTTCTAATAGCAGAGGTATCAATGTCATCGAGGCGCTCTGTCGCGGCGTTGGCATTGATATACATGGACCCGTTAGAGCTCATTGTTTTCAGCCAATGTTCACATTCGTTTGGATCAAGCAGATTGATGCCGGGCTAGGTAAGATTTCCTAGTTAATTATTGAGCAAGTCCGGATTGCCCTCATCACTTCAAGGGTCGGGGCATGTGGTCCAGGTGCTGAGCTGAAGTGAGCCGCGAGACCGAGGAGAAGCTTCCAAGATGCCGTAAATTGCCCGTTGTTGTAGGGAGTATGTACTATGTACTCTGTAATAACATATATACCTCACGCCCGATCACGCCCTGTCACGCCCTTTCTCCCCGCACTGGAAAGGTGGATCGTGGACGGTCATTCGATCTGGCAGACATCACCCATCAAGGCTGACTCAGAACGTGACGTTATTCGAGACTAGACTTGCAAGATTTTGTCGAGAGAGGGAAATTCGATGTCCAAGATCCAGGTATGAATATTTGTAAAGTCGAGTTCAAATGAGACTGACATGTCGAGGTCCGGCCCGCTCGGCTCGTTAGCAAGGTCTAGTCACAACATACCGAGCCTACGCAAAGAGGAATCCCGTATCAGCCAACATGTCGACAGATGAACCTCAACGGCGATGAAACTATGCGGCAGGCCGTGGATCGATTTCGAACGCGCATGGCAGCCGCTAACCGACAGTTCGTCCAGAACCGTATCTCCGAGATCGACGCCCGCGGCCTCACGGATGAGAGGGACCGACTCCGCCTAATGCAGCAGTGGCGCCATTTTGAAGTCCTCGGCCGCGACGATGAGGTTAGCTACGTGGACCTCGATGCGCGTTATAAGAGCAACAAGTTCCGGCAGACGCGGGAATTAGCTGCCATACCAGCGCTATTGGAAGACGATCCCCGTCCCCTCTTTGCCGTAGACGGGATTTACCCGCCATGCCTTTGTACGCCGGAAGCTCGCGAGATCTTCCTCGACACCCTCGAAGAAGTCTTCCAACGGCAGGCGGAGGCGTGGATGGCCGCTGAAGGCGCGGATTTCGCTTCAAAGACGCCAATCCCGCGTTGCGAAGAGCTCGGTTATCTCGTGAAGTATACGCATGACGTGGAGGATCTGGACTTTCGCCACTCAGGCATCGCTCCCTTCACGGCCGGCCTCAATTTGCTAAAAGCCCGATTTGAACGCCCACCCTGTATAGACACAGCGGAGCAGCGGGCCCAGTACCATACGTCAGTGCGCAAGGATTGTACGTGGCTACAGGAGTCGCTGGAGTCGGGCGATGATTCGGACCTGATCAACAAGGTCAATATCGCCGCCGGACCGGATCCGGATCTCGAGGTACGTGCAGGGGTCATAATGGGCACCGGCTACGTGGGGGATTATCCGAGATGGCACAGTGCGTACCTCTACTGCCGGAAGCGTCCCGAAGAGGATGTAGACGTGAAGAAGTCAGCGGATGAAGATATCCCAGACGCCCCTAAGATCCGGGAGTGGGGTTGGCGCGTGGTTTTTCTGGAGCACGAGCCGGACATCACCTTGGATCAGCAGGTGCTCTACGGAAGGAGGCCGCGCTTTGACTCGATTCCGGAGTTTTTAGACTGGTATGCGAGCTGGCCGGAATTCTTGGATGACCGCGAGCTGCTCAGTCTGCGCCATCATGCGGAGGGATGTGAGACCGATTGCGAGTCTGATTGTGAGGATCACAAGTGATGGTAATGAATGGATATGGTATGTGGGACGCCCTCTCGTCTGGAAATATACATGGAAGCTTTGAGATCTAGTCCTCGGTCAGGGTAAGGTCTCGTGTGGTTGCAACTGTAGTAGGTAGTCAGACGAGAAATCGGAGATGCTCAATCAGATTTCTTTTCTGCTTCGATGCCCGTCTGAGCCTGAAATATCCGCGCAAATTGACAAGGTTATCTCGCCCCCCGCCAACGAAATAGCACGATCCTTGTATACGGCCACATTCGCGAAGATCTCTGCCGCGACGGTACCAAGATCACTGGAGCCAACCATCTGGAGTGGTCGTCGCTTCTGCTCATCGCGAAAGGAGGTCACAAAGACCTCGCCTATGAAGAAGGGATTAGCACAGTCGATTGTCGTAGAACGCTATTTGGCGCAAGATAATCCAGCCCATCCGCCCATCCGCCCATCCTTGATCTGCACCATCAGATATTTCTTAATATGATGCTGGAGGATGGAATGAGGCAAATTGGTTGGGTTGTCGATAGATTGCCCACCGTGACGGTCGACAGCGGTTCAAACGGAATGTTGGACGCCGTTCTCGACGGCTTCATCAATGAAACTGTTGTCTTGAACTTCTTCTCCGACATTGCTCCCCATGACAGGCTCCAGCTCTAGCCCAGAAAGCTTTGGTGTTATTTAAGTATGCCTTGAGAACCGATGCTGCAGGGAAGGCCGGATTTCAAAGACTGGCAGGTTGGGGGGGGGGAGGGCGGAGGGGGATACTGGTTGCTGGGACACTGGCTGTACTCTGGGTTGGCATGTCGTCTTTTACTTACTTGTCATTGACGCAATGAGTCCTGGTTCTGTCGCCCGAAGTTGGCAGCTAGGAGATGTCCTCATGTTCTCACATGAGAAGAGCATCGAATCTGGTATCACGATTCGTCTTGTCTGAGAGACGATATATCTTCTTCCGTGCTTTGACCCCGGCCTCCAACTATAACCTCAGTAGGCGGGGCGATGGCGGTGGTGAATATGGTGCGGATGACGATACCCAGTTGAATCTCGCTTCATAGCTCAGCCCGTCTTGCTCCTGTGCTCACCGACCTGTTTTAAAACAGTAGGGCAACATTAGTACTCTCATGAGCAGCAGCCGAGGGGTCTAATGTGAGGAGTATTGCGACGATGACAGGGAAGGAGAGAGGATTGTGGGGGCTGGGAGTGTCGAAATATGAAAACTGACTTGACGGATTGCCGGAACGGAAGATGAGAAGGAAGGAGGAGCAGAGACAGAAAGGGCGGAAGTTTCTTCTGGGTTTGAGATACTCCCCAATGCCCGCTCCTCGCACATTCCAGATATGGAACGAGGGTTGTGGGACTGGGAGACCGGCTGCTGGCGATATAATTGACACTCGCGACCCGAAGCAGCGTACAGCCAAGAATGACAGGTCGTCACTTGCGCACACCGAGCGGCGCATAGAGAAGTGCTGTTGACTTCATAGGAGAATGTAAACGGGGCGTGACTGAAGAAGGAGATTGTGTCACTAAGGACGTTTTCTATGCTTGCGCCGCTCCCCCAGCAAGTCAAACATGAAGGGCTTTAATAACAAAACCATCTTTTTTGAGTCGAATGACTGGTATTGTTTAAGTTACTAGCCGTCCTAGGACCAAAGTGGTCTAAGGACTGAAAATGTGCCTCATCAGAGGCCATAACAACATTCTGAATCCTATACACGGTGAATACCGAGCCAGATTTACACCAGCAACGCAGCCAGATTCGCAGCCAGATTCGCAGCCAGATTCGCAGCCAGATCCGTCGCGTCTAGTCAATCACATGCTAGCATTGATGCCATAAAGCCAAGGCTACCTAGGGTCCATAAGTCACATGATTTGTACTTCGCAGACCGCTATGGCAGAACGCCTCTCCCCCTAGAGGAAAAAAAGAAAACTAATAATTATATGGGGCCCCCTAAGCGTATATCCCATGTCCCAAACAAGTTAGCCTAAACTATTGTGGTTGTGTCTCTGACGAGACACAATTGATAGGGAAAATGAATCAAGGTTGGTCCTGGTCTTACTTATGAGCCTAAGTGTAAGTAAGATATAGTCTTATTATTTAGTCCTAGGACTCAAATCGAAACATACGGGGACCAGCCGGATCATGCTCCATGGAAAGGGAAAAAAGTTCTGACGCTCAAGGGCCAAGGACATTGACTTAACCGGAAGAAAGAAATCTCGGGGGAGACTCGGCTGCAGCAATGGTTTGACGGGTTGACAACAATACTGTAATGTACTGTACTGGATGTAAGAAACCATCGATTCCCATCTTACCCGTTTGGGTCTTCCCCTCTTCTCTTGACAGCAGAGCCCCACTGATCTTCGGGACGAGGTTCGCATGGCGCGTGCTACGGTCGCACGGAGGTGTCAGTGTGACTTGATGGTCGTACCGTCGCAGCTTGACCTCTGGGTTCAGCTATACCAATTCGCACCTGCTGAGTAACATCTATCTTCCCCGAGATTGAGGGGTTCGGGTCCGGCGCGTGATAGCGCCATGCTTGTTGAGTGTATTGATGTCTTCAAGGATATGAGGAAGTCCATGTGAGCACAGCATGGCCTACAAAGTACAAAGTACAAAGAAGAGATGATGCACGCCATATGCAGGACTACCGTGCATCGAGTCCAAGTACGTTTCAACCCGGATCACTTCCGACCCTTGGGGAAATGGCAGTGGATAAGGATTATTCCCCGTCTAGAAGGTGAACTACAGCAGGTAGTACCGGACTAGATTTTCTATAGTGATGTGCGAGCTAAATTGTCTTGCTGCTCATTCGCAGGCCCAAGGCACGCACACTTTTCTAGTGCTGTTGATGAATGTAGATTGTGGAGACGGGAGAGTGCGAACTGTGGTGGTGAACTATGAAGCGAACAAACACCTCCGATACCTGTGTGGGTGGTGGCCAGTGGCCACAGTCTGGGGAGGGCCGTAGTAACTATATAGTAAGTATACCTAGTTAGGTAGCTACTACTTACTAGATTATGCTGAATCAAATAACACCACCATGTTTCGTTCGTGGGTGAAAAAAAGTTATGCCCCTCCATCCCACTTTCCCTGTGTGGTAAACAAGGAGCAATTATTACTGAATACTGAGCATGAACCCCCTGGCGCTAACTATCTTTTCAGTGCCAGCATAGACTTCTGGCCCGCCTACCCACCACGCTAGCAGACGCTGATGCGGCAGTGATAAATTCATCCCTCGACTCGAGACCAACCGCTTGTCTAACTAGCGTGCATCGTGCATGAATTAGTGCATCTTGTTCCCCACGGACTCACGGAGGATGGCAGAAGTGCTACCAAGCCTAGCGGCTAAAGTCGCCTTTAATACATTGGGCGGGAGGTCGCCGCTTGATCTAGGCTCCGTTCTTTCAACCACGGAGACTGTGGTTTTTGGCCCAGTGAGTCGTGACCGTGTTTTTTGAACGTCCATTTCTTCGTGGTTTGTGGATAGTTTGGTTGTTCTGGTTCACTGCAGATTTTGTCAATTTTGCCGAGAGTCCGCGAGTCTCTGATGCTGAGCAATCAGAGGAGCAACCAGACGACGAGGAGAGAACTACACGCTTGAACATGTCGTCGTCTTCAAGGCCATATCGACATGCTCACGGTACTGACTCCATGCGTGATGACCTGAACCTGGGTCCATGGACCGCAAAAGGCTGCTGGGTTGGTCCTATCCTCTGACCTGGTCCGATCGCAATGCCAAGATGGACAAAGGAAGGCGGTACTCGGGGTCGGCCAATCCGAACCACAGCCCGGATGAGCCGTTCGCAGTAAGCTGGCGCTTGAATGGATGGAACAATGGAAGAATGGAGAAGCGGAGGGGGAGAACTGGGGGTTCCGAGTGACAGTCCGTCACGTGTCTCCGGAGCAACGGAGCACCGGAAGATGGACCGTCATTTATCCCCGCAGGACCGGATAGCCCCGCGTATCGGCCTTGAAATCTCATATTGAGTTTGACAGTGTTTGGCCATGGCCGAAGCTTGACAGGCTGAAATCTTGCTTGTGTACATGGGCACTTCTGACCTGCAATAAGGAGTTCTTTCGAGGTACATCGATACACAAGGCTGATACTGTGACATGAGAGTTGATGAGGAGATACGGAGGTTGATTCGGACATAGTGGACGCTATTCTGTACAAGTGTACATCAATGGCAACCTTAGGCAGTTAGGTAGGCACTGGGCAGCGGCACCCATTGCTTGCTACTACCAGACTACTTCTCTGAGTATGTAGACTACAAGTGGTGATTAGAAGATACAGGCTCGAGGCAAGGTACTCGTACCTAGGCGAGGATGAAATCAGAAAGCGAAGAGCTTCTCGCCGGACTACACGGCACAGAACCTCAAGAGTGAAGAGAGGTATAAATGTGGACGCTGGAATCACTGACGAGGTGTTTACTAGCGTCAGACAACCTTCATTTTGTTGCTTGCCAACTCGACATTCTGATATACTATAGACTTGACGAGTGATGAATCGAGTCAGGTCCTCCGCATAGCGATCCAGCCATGAAAAAGTATCAGCCTACCTGACCTTGGTATTCCCTGTCGGTCACCACTTCCTTGGAGTTCATTGGAAGCATCTAAGGCGAATTTATTTCGTGACAATCGCGCTACCAGTGCATAATAGCCACCTTGAAATTTCACAGTAAAGAGTAGATGGTGTTGAGGAGAGCCTTAAAAAAGCTACAAGCCATGCGGTCAATAAATTTGATCGGATGCGTTGCTGGGAGGCTGAAACTACAAACCCTCCATTGCATCTCAACTTGAAAGCTCACCACAAGACATTAGGTGAGGGGCAGCGGATACGGGAGTGGGGGAGAGGGGTCACGGGAGAGCTACTTAACTGTAGCTGAGCTCAAGTGAGTCCACACTCCAAAGTCCAATCGGGGCCGCAGATACATACAGGACAGTACATTACAATTGGATACCCGATACAGTACCCAAATCATGTCCCTTCATCTTCAATGGAATCAGACCACATCAATACCTATGGGTATGTACAATTGTACATAAGTGAATGCGATTATGGACCACTACTGCAATCTATCCTCTTTGAACCCTTCCATATCACCGAGCCCAGATTTCAGTATCATAGTATCATAGTACTGTTACTTCTGTATGACTTACACCTTTACTTTTAAGTTCCATCTGCATACCGAGTCCATTTGGAATCAGTCGTCAACACGCTACTTTATACTTATAGAAGAGTACCTAGTGCCACAACGGAAGACGACAGGGCTTCCGAAAGTCCATCTAGTTCTACTAGAGGCTGCGTTTCTCGGCGTATTGTAAATAGAGTAAATGGACTCCGAGTCCGACCCTCTCATACGATCACATTACCGTGGGCGGGTCGTATTGTAAATTACCTTCTCGTACGCATAACAGTAAAAGTCCCTCAGACCCGCCCGCGAGGTGTCTCCTCCATGCCGAGCAGCTTCCGAATCCATAACAGGCAAGAGAGCGGGAAGAATAGCCTTCCTTATTTAATTCCTCCCAATCCGTCGCCGGAGACGTAGACCAGTCTTCGGTGTGAAATTCTCCTCTCTTCAGTTCTTTCTCCCCCTTGTCCTTCTTCTTCCACCTTTCTCCTTTCCATCTCTTGATAGCTTCCGAAGTTCACCTTCCACTCGGGCGCATTTGAGTCTGCTGGGTGACAGGTACTGTAAGTGGCCCTTCGATCCCCCCACTGGCTTGTTGTTCCATCTCCCCCTCTCTGCGCGATGGGAGCTTGATCATCCCGCAACCCCGCTCCAGCAATGATTTTTAACGCACCTGTTTTTGGTCCCTCGAACAGATCCACTGTTGATCTAATCGATCTCGACTGTTTCGAGCGTTTCTCCTCGTCTGTCCTTTTGAAATTCTGCTCGTTCAATTCCTGAGCAATGTCGGACGACCGCAAGCCATCGGTGGTAAGTGTGGAGCACATGAACGGATTGTCTGATTGCGACGGTTGAGCCATATACCAAATAACCTGTGGAGCTCCTGCTGATACCGACTGTCCTTCTTTTTCAAACGTATAGGTGCTCGAGGCCCACGAGGTCGACACCTTCCATGTCCCAAAAGTATTCCATGACAAGCACCCAACTGGAACCCACCTTAAAGACCTCGACGAGTACAAGAAGCTGTACGAGGAATCTATCAAGAGCCCCGACATTTTCTGGGCTCGCATGGCTCGCGAGCTTCTCACGTTTGATCGAGACTTCCAGACCACACATTTCGGCTCCTTCGAGAACGGTGACAACGCCTGGTTCGTGGAAGGCCAGCTAAACGCTTCCTATAATTGTGTGGATCGCCACGCATTGAAGAACCCGGACAAGGTCGCCATCATCTACGAGGCCGATGAACCTAATGAAGGTCGTACCATCACTTACGGGGAACTGCTTCGCGAGGTCTCTCGCGTAGCCTGGGTGCTGAAGCAGAGTGGCGTGAAGAAGGGTGACACCGTAGCCATCTATCTGCCCATGATCCCCGAGGCTGTCGTTGCTCTGCTAGCCTGTGCTCGTATCGGCGCTGTTCACTCTGTGGTGTTTGCTGGTTTCTCCTCCGACTCATTGCGTGACCGTGTCATCGATGCCCAGTCCAAGGTCGTCATCACGACTGACGAGGGTAAGCGTGGCGGAAAGGTGATTGGCACCAAGCGCATTGTAGATGAGGCTCTGAAACAGTGTCCTGATGTTACCACCTGTTTGGTCTACAAGCGCACTGGCACCGAGGTGCCTTGGACTCAGGGCCGCGATCTGTGGTGGCACGAGGAAGTTGAGAAGTATCCCAACTACTTGGCTCCCGAGGTCATGAACTCGGAGGACCCCTTATTCCTGCTGTATACCTCTGGCTCGACCGGTAAACCCAAGGGTGTGATGCACACGACTGCCGGGTATTTGCTTGGTGCAGCCATGACCGGGAAGTATGTCTTTGACATTCACGACGACGACCGCTACTTCTGTGGCGGTGATGTTGGCTGGATTACGGGACACACCTACGTCGTGTATGCTCCTCTACTGCTTGGCTGTGCTACGGTGGTGTTCGAGAGTACTCCCGCTTACCCCAACTTCTCTCGCTACTGGGATGTCATCGACAAGTACGACGTGACCCAATTCTACGTCGCGCCTACTGCGCTCCGTCTCTTGAAGCGCGCGGGTGACGAACACATTCATCACAAGATGAAGTCGCTGCGCATTCTGGGTTCCGTTGGTGAACCCATCGCTGCTGAGGTGTGGAAGTGGTACTTCGAATCGGTCGGCAAAGAGGAGGCTCATATCTGTGACGTAAGTTCCAGCTCTTTGCTCTTCGTCTTCCGATCGATGCCCGAGGTCTTGCAGACGAATACTGACACAACCAGACATACTGGCAAACCGAGACAGGTTCGAACGTGATTACACCCTTAGGTGGTATCACCCCAACCAAGCCCGGCAGTGCCTCTCTGCCGTTCTTCGGTATTGAGCCCGCCATCATCGATCCGGTCTCTGGTGAAGAAATTACTGGAAATGACGTCGAGGGCGTGCTGGCTTTCAAGCAGCCTTGGCCTAGCATGGCTCGCACTGTTTGGGGAGCTCACAAACGCTACATGGACACCTACCTCAATGTTTACAAAGGATACTACGTAAGAAACCCCCCAAATCCCACCCCCCCACTCCCCGGCCCGGGGGTTCTCCATAGTTTCTCGCAGGTCTGCTACTCGATCGGTCTAACGATACTTAGTTCACTGGAGATGGTGCCGGTCGTGATCATGAAGGATACTACTGGATTCGTGGCCGCGTTGACGACGTAGTCAACGTCTCTGGCCATCGTCTGTCTACAGCCGAGATTGAGGCAGCCCTACTCGAGCACCGTAAGTGTTCTCCCCTTCAATCTCTGTGAACAGGATGATTGACTCCTCACTCAGCTATGGTTGCCGAGGCTGCCGTCGTTGGTATCGCCGACGAGCTCACTGGCCAGGCTGTCAATGCCTTTGTTGCTCTCAAAGAGGGCAATGAAACTACGGACCAGGTTCGCAAAGATCTGATTATGCAAGTCCGCAAGTCGATCGGACCTTTTGCAGCTCCTAAGGCCACCTTCGTGATTGAAGATCTTCCCAAGACCCGCAGTGGAAAGATTATGCGCCGCATTTTGCGCAAGATTCTCAGTGGCGAGGAGGACAGTCTTGGCGACACCTCAACTGTGAGTGTTAAAAGTTCCCTTCATGTCCTAGGCCAGAGGCTAACCAAATTTCCAGTTGTCTGATCCCGGTGTCGTGGATAAAATCATTGCAACTGTCCATGCCGCTCGTGCTAAATAAAGAAGTTTGAACCCTCGAACACGACGAACATGACGATTCTACGACTTCCTACTATTCGTGAGGAATACGGGAGCGTGTTACTTTATACCTCATCGCAGCCCCCCAAATGAATTGTGAATTCGGAGGTTGGGACTCTGTTTATTACCCCACTTTGCTCTCCTATACGTGATTCCCGAGTCAGCTCGTCTGTATGTGATGTGAACAGTACTGTGTTTTTGCTCCAGATACCAAAATCGTTTGCCAACTTTGGATCCTTTCCCCTTCTCCACACCATAAATAATTTAAGAAAACATCGTATGGTTTGAATCGACGTGTTTCATATAGGCCTTCAACATTCTCCCCGTACGAGCGACAACTACTGAATAATCGAACCACACAGATCCGTATAACTAACTACTGATGCGTGGTCAGCAACCACCGAGAACACGATCACGTGTTTCGAACTCGCCGGTTTAGGCCATTGCCCTTCCTGCATGCGTTGGTTTGACCGCTTTCACGATTCTAGATAAAGCCGTTTGAGCGAAACGTTGCATTATGTGCTTCGAAACGGTCAGTGGGTAGAAAAGTAGAACCAGCGATTGAAAGTAAAGGAAACTTAGTGGCCCATGTAGGTCAGGTCGGTCTCATTGGCTGGACCTCCAGCTGGGCGTATGAGTCACGTGTACATTTAGACAGCCCGGGCGGGCCCCACCCGACCTTGATGTGATGAGGTAAGCACAGCAGCCTGAGCTGGCAAACTTCCAAGGCCTGACCTTGGCCTCACCTACCTCTTTTTCTGGCGCGTCCATCTTCTCTTCCCAAATTCCTCTTTCACGCGACAACCACTTTCTTTCGCTGCGCCATCGGACTCGTTTACCTTGAAACTTGATCATCTGGGATAGTTTTCTCTCTATGCAAGCTTGAGTTCTTGGCTTCCACCAAAACGATGGCTTTCTTTGGAGGAGGGGGATCTGGATTTGGACAGACCAACCAGAGCTCTGGCTTTGGCACAGGTACTGGCTTTGGAGCCGCGAATAACGGCACAGGTAGGTGACTTTGAGTTGCGCCTCGTTTTACCCTATTCGATTTTTTTCTCTTCAGTCGTGCACTTGTCTCGGGATTCGCGCGACTGCCAATCTTGTTACTATCCAGGCGTGGACTGGCCTTCCGGAACGACAGCCCCATCGAGCCACTCAGGAGGAACGGTCCCATGCTTCAAACCGTGACAACGACCCATCGCGAGAGTTACGCTTCAGTAACCCGCACACAATGTACTTTGTTCGATGGAAAGTTTCTGGCGACCATCGACGGCGTTCTGCACGGTTGCGACAATAGTAAAGGCACAGGAGGATGGTGTTTTTAGACCACTTCTCTGACACTCGATCCAACTCCGTCATTTAGGCTTTGGGTCAACTCCCTCCGCGTTCGGTGGCGCTACCACTGGAAACACCGGAGGCGGTCTTTTTGGGAACACTTCGAGTGGCTTTGGCGCCGGCACTAACTCAGGTACGTGCTCACGGTGGCTCGACTTTGCGACCTCTTGGACTACGTCTTGAAATCTTCCCATCGTGCGCGAGCGCCCCTTCTTGAATGCCGCTTTGTGGCCCTTGAACGTTGCCATCGGATGCACAACGGACCTTTGTCATCCAAGCGACCACAATCGAGCTGTTTTGGCGGACCCAAAATTTCACCAACGCTGGAGATTTGAGTTGTCATGGCCCCTGAGACGTCACCGCAAGCTCAGACTATATGGATCCCACTTACGAGTTGGCCTGCTGCTTTTTGATTACTTGCGCATGGATTGATGCTCTAGACGCTTTACTGACTCTTCTTTTTACGACCACAGGTTTCGGCTCTAATACTCAGAGCACGTCTGCTTTCGGTGGCGCGCAGAACACTCGCCCGGGCGGCTTCGGCACGAACACGAACACCGGCTCAACTCTATTCGGTAGCACTACCCCGAATACTGGCTCGGGATTTGGAACTGGTACTGGATTTGGAACTACTCCCACTACGACTCCTAGCTTCGGCGGCAGTGCCAATACCAACACTGGTCTCTTTGGCGCCAACAAACCGGCTACCGGATTTGGTGCTTCGAACACCGCCGGCACGGGATTTGGCTCTTCCGGCACCACTGGATTTGGAGCCGGTGCTACTAGCACAGGCTTCGGCGGTACTGGAACTGCGTTCCAGGGCTCGCAGACATGTGAGGGCACCGGTGGCACCCCCTTCAGCGCCTTTACTGAAAAGGACCAAAGCTCCAATGCTACAAACCACTACCAGAGCATCAGTTTCATGCAGCCCTACAGCAAGTTCAGTTTTGAGGAACTGAGACTTGCCGACTATCAACAAGGTCGCCGCTTTGGGAATGCAAGTGGCCAGCCAGGCGGTTTTGGTGCGCCTGCGTTTGGATCGTCAACTGGGTTCGGAGGTCAACAAGCATCTACTGGTTTTGGTGGTACTTTTGGTGGCTCAGCCGCTACTTCTGCTCCTAGCGGATTCGGCGCTACTCAGACAACTGGTGGTTTCGGTGCTGGTACTACCGGTGGCAACTCTCTGTTTGGTGCCAATAAGCCCGCCACTTCCTTGTTCAACACCAACACGGCGGCTCCCGCGCAGACCGGCAACTCTTTGTTCAATAGCAGCAACACGACTGGTGGCTTTGGCGCAAATACAGGCGCAACGGGTGGCTTTGGTGCTAACACCGGCAGCTCACTATTTACCAATAACCAGCAACAAAATAAGCCATTCGGCGCGGGTGCAACAACCTCTGGGTTCGGTAGCGGATTTGGCGCAACACAGACAACCTCGGCTGCCACTCCCTTCGGCGCAACGACTGCTACAGCATCGCCATTTGGAGGTGCTCAGCAACAGCAGACCGGTACATCTGGTTTCGGAGGCTTCGGCAACACTCAAAATCAGGCCCAAAAGCCTGCGACAGGCCTCTTTGCTAATAACACCGGAGGATTCGGTACCAATACTCAACAACAGTCCACCCCTTCAGGCGGACTGTTCAGCAACAATGCTCCCCAAACAAACACCGGCGCAAGCGGTTCCATATTTGGTGCCGGCCAGGCCCAGCAGGGACAAAGCACGTCTTCTATTTTCGGCAACAACCAAAACCAGCAGCCTGCCAGTGGCGGTGGAATCTTTGGTAATACACAGAACCAGCAAAAACCCACGGGTTCAATTTTCGGCACTTCCAATGCTGGAGCATCGACAGGCGGTGCATTTGGCTCTGGATTTGGAACGAACCCGACCCAGCAGAATACCGGTGGCTTGTTTGCTAGCACGCAGACTCAGCAGGCCAAGCCCGGTGGTCTATTCTCCAACTCTACGGCCTCGACCGGCGGTGGCCTCTTTGGAAACCAGACTACTAATCAGAATGCTGGCTCTTCGCTCTTCGGGCCCACTCAAGGTCAGCAACAACAGCCTGCGGGGTCCGGCTTCTTTGGTGCATCTCAGCCTGCGCAGCAGCAGCCACAGCAACCTGTGCCGGGCAGCTTCCAGGCCTCTCTGCTCGACAACAACCCGTATGGTAACCAATCCATCTTCTCCGGCTTACCGAGTCCTGTAGTATCGTCACCTGGACCTCTTGCCACACCGCTTGCATCAAGCATGAAGCAAAAGCAGCGCACACCCCTGCCAGTACACAAGATCACCCCAAGTGCTGCCAATCGGCTGATCACTCCTCCTAAACGCCAAGGGTACGGGTTCTCTTATTCGACATATGGCTCGCCTTCTAGTACCCTGGGCTCTTCAAGCTCTGGCTTGGGTAGCAGCCTTTTGGGCAGCAGTGCTGCAGGCAGCCTTCGCAACAGTATCAGCGGCAGCCTGGGTCGTAGTTTCAGCAAGAGCTACTCAACCAGCAACTTACGCAAGTCATTCCTTCCCGAAGAAGATAGCGTTCTTTCTCCAGGGGCCCTCTTGCCAACCGGCTCTCGCAGCCAGACTGGAACGTTGAAGCGCCTTACTATTGATCGTTCATTGAGAAATGATCTGTTCTCACGCTCGGTGACACCGTCAGCTGCTCCCGTCACCAATGGAGATGACCAGCATTCCGCGGATAAACTCAAGAAAAAGGTCAGCTTTGATTCTGCGCCGGCTGGCGGCGAGGTTGTCTTTGTCGATTCTAAGAGCCCCGAGCCTACAGCTGAGGAACTTGGTTTCCTTCGCTCTACTCGTAAGAGTGGCAGTCTTGTCGGAATTGATCGAGACTCTGAGCGACCAGAGATGGAGTCGACTCGGCACGATCTTGCAATAGTGCCCGAAAAGCCTGAGTCTGCATCAAACGGTGCTTCCGTCAAGCGTCTTTCCTTTATCCCTGGTGGTGACCCTCAGCCTGGTGACTACTGGATGTCCCCTTCTCATTCTGAACTTGCGAAGATGACCCGGGATCAATTGAAGAAGGTTGTTAATTTCACCGTCGGTCGTCAGAATTGTGGTCAGGTGACCTTCAACGGTGCGGTGGACCTGACGACCGTTGATCTTGACAACATTTTTGATGGCATTGTTGATATCGGAGTTCGCAAGATCACAGTCTACCCTGATGAGAATGTCAAGCCGCCGATGGGCAAGGGGCTGAATGTTCCTTCGACTCTGCGAATTGAAAACTCATGGCCTCGCGGACGTGATCGCAAGAACCCTTTGCCCATCACTAGCGGCCCACTCTTCGAGAAGCACGTTGACCGTCTTCGTAAGGTGACAGACACAGAGTTTGTTGACTATGAAACTGACACTGGCACCTGGATCTTCAATGTCCCACATTTCACCACCTACGGTCTTGATTATGACGAGGACGAAGATGAAATCCCTGGACGGAGCACCTTGGGCGCAGGTCCAGATGACAATCGCACTTCCAAGGCCGTTGATCATCACCCTCAGAGTTTCGAGCAGTCTGCGACTCTCTCCATCGATGAATCTTTCGTGGGGTCAATGGCTGGAATCGATGATGACACCTTCGATTTCAAGAAGCGCAAGCTCGTGCCCGGTTCCTTTGCAAACAATGCCTTGCAGCTGGAAGACGAGGAAATGGACTCCGAGTACGAGTCGGAGTCTTTTTTAGAGGAAGGCTCCGCGGGTTCGACTATTGAGCAGGATGACGACTTTGTCACCGAAAGCCAGCAATCTGGCGACTCGACAGTTGGATCTGACGAGGATCAGGCGATGGACATGGCGGGGTCCTTTCCTGATCTTCGTCGCACCGTGGAGCACGATGATGTTCAAAGCACTGACAGTGACATGAACTCAACTCACCCCATTTTGAAGCCATTTGGTACCCCAAGCAAGCCACGCCTCGACTTGAGCGGAGACTGGGCGGAACAGCTTCAGCGTACGATCAGTCCACGAAAACAGAATCGTGACGCTTTGCGTGAGATGCAAGCAAATGCATTCACCGATCGACCTTTGTTGAACAAAGAGTCTCCAACCGCGCAATTTAACGCCTCGCCGAAGAAAGGCTTTGCCAATAGCATCGACTTGATGAATTCGCTTTTTCAGCAGCAGCCGCGAAAGCAAAATCTGACAGGCACGCAGAAGGTGTCAAAACAACAGCCCAAGGGCTTCGAGGTTCGAACTTCCCCCCTACTTTGTTCGTGATCTTTGCATGTCTATGCACCCTCCTCAACTGCTCTTGTTTGTCATTTTACATTCTTTTGATTAATTATGGTTACGGAACTTCCCTGTGCTCCAGCTCCAGCCTTACTCAAGTTTTTGTATTTAGCTTGGATTCTCCCCTGCAGATAGTTGTTTGAATTTGAGAATCTCTACTAAAATTTATGTTTTCTCGTACAGTGGCCTTACAACAAGCAACCTAAAACTTTCGCCGGTGACACTGCACAGATGAACGAGAGCGACGTGGCATTTCATGCTTCATTCAAGCCTCGCTGGGGCACCATGGATTCCATCATCTGCGCCAGAAACGACGTGACAGGATCATTGTCAGAGAGCAATAACCGATGGAAAGAGCGGTTTTCCGTCTTCAGCGAAGGACGAGACGTCGCTGTCTTGCAATTTGTTTCCTCTGAGAAAGTATGTTTTCCAGAAATTCTATATGTGAACGTTCCAATGCTAATTCGCTTCTCACAGTCATCCGACAAGTTACTCGATGCCCAGAAGCAGCAATCTACCGTTCAGCGTGTTGACAATACTCCGCTTGTGCGCCTGCCCAAGCCTGATCTTCGCCAATTTGCGCTCTCTGCATCTCCAAATGAGGAGTCGCTGGTTTGGCAACTTGCTAATATCCTGTTCAATGACGATATTGAGGATGACATTTCGGCCGGTGTGCCTCCAAAGATGCGAACAAAGTTCACTGACAGGATCAAAAAAGACCGATTGACACGCCTGTGGGAGTCTATTGTTCGCGATCGCCATGCCCACCTTCTTGATTCTATCCGCTCACCGGAGGAACGTGCGGTTCGTTTGCTTTGCTCTCACCGTATTGATGAGGCATGCAAGACTCTCATCGACAGCCACAACTTGCATCTGGCCACTGTCGTTGCGCAGATTGGTCGTGACGCCACGTCGAGATCCGACATTGCGAATCAAATTGATGTTTGGCGTCAAAACAATGTTCTATCGGAAATCAACGAATCCGTCCGTGCCCTTTATGAGCTTGTTGCCGGTAATGGTTTGCGGAGCGAAGGTAGATCGGGAGGTGCACTCGAAGATCGGGCTACCACTTTCTCCTTGACCGATCGGTTTGAGCTTGATTGGTTCCAGGCTTTCGGTCTTCGCCTATGGTACGGAATCACCGAGGATGAGCCAGTTGAGGCTGCGGTAGCCAAATTCCTTGATGACCTCGACACGGGGCTCGAGCCCGCGTTCCCTTTTCCTTCTCACCATGCTAGTGATAAAGCAGCCTTGCAGCCTGGTTCGGATACCCTTGGCCGTGAATCTCCCTTGTGGCTACTTCTGAAGGCCTACTCGGCCACGAAACTGAGCGATAATAGTAAAATCACTCCCATCCAGCTCCCTGCGGCCTTGTTGCCAGAATCAATCTCTGGCGATCGTCTTTCGAATCGCCTCTCATTTCAGCTTCACCATGTACTGGTGGCTGCGATCGGTCAAAGTGACGCCCTTCAAGTTGATCAGAATAAGGTTGATCGCTTGACTTGGGACTATGCGTCTGAGCTCCTTGCTAGAGGCGAGCTTAGTGCTGCTATTTTCGTCCTTCTCCATCTCTCGCGCGCCGACGACCGCAAACGCGCCGTTCAGGACACCTTGGCACGCTGTGGCTCTATCCTTCCCGATCCTTCCAGTGCAGATGGATCGGCTCCTAACTCGGTATGGACCGATCTTACCTCTAGACTCCAAGTTCCAGAGGCCTGGATCTGGCTCGCTAAGGCTCTCCATGCTCGCGATCGCGGGGACGCTATCGTCGAGGTTGATTGTTTGATCCGAGGCAAGCACTGGAACGATGCGCACGCCACATTCTGCAGTGTGGTTGGCCCCACTGCTGTTATTTCACGCGATTATCAAACACTCGAGCGTTTGCTTTCTGGATTCGGTGATGGGCCCGAGCGCAAGATGCGAGGTTGGTCCTCCGGAGGCGGTATCTATGAGGACTTCCTGCGGTTAGCTACTGCGCCCCGTGGCCGCCGAGACCCGACTCGCCTGAGCCGACTGGTCAATGCCCTGGTCGACATGAGCGAGCGTACTCGTCACGCAAATGACTCACAGGGATGGGAGAGAAGTGTGGCTCTTAAAGAGATGAGCCGCGCTGTTGCTGGGTGGATCACTCACGAAGATGTTCACGTACGTTTTCTTTCTATCGTCTCTCTCGGTCTTATATGCGACTTCATACTGACATTCTTGATTTTAGTCTGTGGAATCCTCAGCCATCCTTGGCCTTCCTCTCAACGGGGACGCCCGTGTGCTGCAGACCGCCGAGATGAGTAGACGCTATTACGGCATCATCATGGCTGGCGGCCAGTAAGCGAAGCCAAATTGCACGAAAACGATCTGAAGCCATTAAGGAAGACAAAGGACCAAAACGACGAAAATGACGAAAAAAAGCAAATCTCATCAAACTATCCTGTCATCGCCCTTCTTGGCTACAACGCGGACTGGAAATGATCAAACCAGGGATCGAAGGAGGGTAGTGGTCGCGAGCGCTGACATGTCTTTTTCTTAATCCATCTCCCCCGCAGATATGCACTGTGACACGTTTCTCTACTTCCCCCTGTCAGTATGTACACTTTCTTACACGAGCCCATTACATGCCCTTTTTTGCCCTTCTCTTTTCCTTCACTATCACGCCTCCTAAGCCCGATATGATTTGTATTTTATTCTTGCGCGCAGTCATCCAATCAATCAACGCTTCAGGCACATCTCTCAAAGAGTCACTTCGTTATGAGTCAGACAATGAACATTCTCGTGCCAAAATGTGCATGCTCTACTAAGAAAGACGATATGCCTTATCTCATATCCATTGATTGCAACCTTACAGCCACCGCAGCTCTCAAGGCTCAATTCAATGCATGCCCCATCAGGAAATGCTTGCTCGGCGAGCTCACAGGGCAGGCTTTACCCCATTAAACAGGTCGATCGATGGATTAGCGGGGGTCAATCTCCCGAGGCAAGAAATTTTGCGAGGATGCCTGCGAATATGAAATTCCAGATCTATGTTGGTTGAAAGTGAACAGGGGCCTAGGTTCAACTGCACGGCTTGCGCGCGTAACGTACCTCTACCTACTTATACTTCGAGTATGTCAAGTCCGCCGACGGGATGCTGAATTTATTAGAGAGAACGCGAAGAGAATGTAAACACTGAAGAATCTAGGAGTCGACCCGGTCTACATCTAGGTATATTACAAGAATTAGAGAAGCAGGCGACTTCCGATTTCAGTTCATTGCATGTAAGTATATACACCCTGACCGATCAGAATACAAAATAAAACAAAGATGGATTTGCTAGCGACTATACATGTGAAAATCGACTTAGACGCGACAGGATAATAGGATTGAAAGGGAAGACAAGTCTGTAGGAAAAATAAAAGACAAGATAATGAACTTGCTGGACATCGAGATCAAGAGTAGTGGAGAAGATCTAGCTCATTTCAAGGGGGATACCGGATCCATTTCTGCATCGGGTTTTGAGGAAACACGAGGTGTGATGAGGGAGGGTGGATGTGGAAGAAGACGTGTGAAGGTAGTAGATGGGCTTGCTTTCGTTTTCTTTAATTGAATAATTACATGCCTGGGGAGATCAACTTGCCCTCGGCGCGCGCTGAAGGCTTCCAGCCACCGGCGAAGGGTGTTCCGCCAACCTCCTTCTCGTACTGGCGAATGCGAGCCTCAAGCTCCGGACGGAAGTGGCGGATCAGGCCTTGGATGGGCCAAGCGAAGGCTTCACCTAGGGCACAGATGGTGTGTCCCTCGACCTGCTTGGTGAGCTCCTGCAGCATGTCGATCTCACGCTCACGGGCGTTACCAGTCTCCATGCGCTGCATGATCTGCATGGTCCACTTGCTGCCCTCACGACATGGGGTACATTGACCACATGACTCGTGCTTGTAGAATGTGGAAAGACGAGAAATGGCACGAACAATATCAGTAGACTTGTCCATGACGATGACAGCAGCGGTACCCAGACCGGACTGAGAGTCCTTCAAGGCGTCAAAGTCCATCAGCTGGTCGTCAGCAACAGACTTGGGAATAACGGGCGTGGAAGAACCTCCAGGAATTACAGCCAAGAGGTTGTCCCAGCCACCACGGACACCACCGCAGTGCTTCTCGATCAGTTCACGCAGAGGAATGGACATCTCCTCCTCGACAGTGACGGGATTGTTGACGTGACCAGAGATACAGAAAAGCTTGGTACCGGCATTACGCTCACGGCCGAAGGACGAGAACCAGCTGGCACCGCGGCGCATGATAGTGGGCACAACAGCGACAGTCTCGACGTTGGTCACGGTGCTGGGGCAACCGAAGAGACCAACGGCAGCTGGGAATGGGGGCTTCAGGCGAGGCTTGCCAGCCTTGCCCTCGATAGACTCAATGAGCGAAGTCTCCTCGCCGCAAATGTAGGCGCCCATTCCACGGTGGATGTAAACGTCGAAGTCGTAGCCACTACCGCATGCGTTCTTCCCGATAAGACCAGCAGCGTAGGCGTCGTTGATGGCCTGCTGCAGGACGGTAGCCTCGTGGTAGAATTCACCACGAATGTAGATGTAAGCGGCATTGGCATTCATAGCCCGACCAACAACCAAGCAACCTTCAACTAGCTTGTGGGGATCCTTGCGCATGATCTCGCGATCCTTGCAAGTACCGGGCTCACCCTCATCAGCGTTGATGACCAGATAGCGGGGCCGAGGGTCCTTGTCCCAGTCCTTGGTGTTCATGAATGACTGTATTGAAGGGGAAACACTCAATTAGCCTGTGATTTGACAGACCGAGGACCTGCCCGCATATGGGTCGCTCGAAACGGACCGAGCTTGTTCAAGTCCTACTTACGTATTTTAGACCCGAGGGGAAACCAGCACCACCACGACCACGCAAGCCAGAAGCCTTGATTTCGGAGATGAGCTATTCAAGAGGAAAGAGCAATCGTCAGTACGCCTCGGTACACTTGGCCGACCGAATCCGGCACGTTGGTGGAATATGGCAAGCACGCACCCAATCGTCACCCTTGAGGACGATATCCTTTGTTCGGTGCCAATCACCACCATACTTCATAGACGACTTGAGATCCGGGGCGTGGTGTCCGTACAAGTTGGTGAAGATGCGATCCTGGTCCCGGAGCCCGCCATGGTGTCGGACTGGAGGAGCCTCCTGCACAGTAGCGAACGCGCGGGTTGCCGCTCCCTGGGCGCGGAGGGAACGGCTCGAGATCGACGCGAAGGTGGAGGAAGAGGGAGCCGCCGCTCGAGACAACATGATGGCGGGTTGTAGTTGTGTCGTTGAGAGATGCAATCGGGTCTCTGAGTAGAGAGAAGGGGAAGCTCACGGCAATTCTTGCGCCTGCTGAACGATCCGCCATTTCGAGGGCGCTGATTGGAGACATGTCACGTGATTGTAAAGCATGCAAGCGGCTGAGTCAGCGATCGGACTCGATCATCGACGGATTCTTCATGACGCAACTTCCCCTTTGGGAAGGACCTCGATTGCAGTGTGTTTCAACTTTGCAGAATGCGACTAGATCAATGGCTTGTTTGAACATTTTACAAGTCGCCAGGCGACTTGTAACTGTCCCGAGACATAGTAAGAGGTTCAAGCGTCTTACAAGGATTCGTCCATCTACTCCACTTGGGCCACTGCTCACTTACACTATCAATTCAATACATCGCCAAAATCAAAGGCATTCGCTAGGTATGCCAGACTTGCGTGTGGCGTCGTTTCCATTCTACTGCACTTCTCTGTATCGCCACCCCACTGGGTACCGTCTTCTGTCATTCGTCGATATTTGAACATCTGAGATCTGATCACCAGATCGAGTAAACTATATCTAGATTTGTGGCACATACAGACACCCGAGCTTTGGAAGGCCTGGGTTCTCGGCGGCCAAGATCTGCAATGGTTCATGAGGAATCAACACCATTTCCGAGTCAGCCACATTCATCGCCCATGTCAACCACTTTGAATTCATCCATTCACCAACATCAGACAACCAATCCACACCGACCTGGCTTGCGATCGAATAAGCATTGTCAGTATCGGCGAAGTTGTTGAGCTGACTGAGTAATTCACTCTCTTCAACAATGACCTCAGATACCGGGTACTGCTCCACCAGAAAGTCCACCCACTGCGTTAAGCGCGCAGGCAGATGTGGTCGTGCTTGTTGTGACCGCCCAGTTGCGACAAGTAATGCAACGACTATAGAAAACAATGCCTGGGGACTCGTCTGCAAGGCAGGTACGGATTGACTGGCTTGTGCGAGAATGTTGTTGAACCAGTCGCGACCTGGCGCTTGCATGTCGACAGGCAGTAGACTGAATAATTCGCCCAGGCGGAACAGTTCTCCATTGCGCTTGAGTAGGGATTCGCGCTCCAAGATGCGGACACGTACTCTGGACAAGGTCTCCGGGGAGAAATGGCCTTCTGAAACTTGGGCAAGGTGTTCATTCAACATCGTTTTCACGTCTTCCCACGTCTCACCCTTCTGGTGTTCGCGGGCTCGTTTAAGTGTCCATGTTGCGACGATGAGGGCAGCCTTGTCGAGTGTCAGAAGGCTGTCTCGATAAATCTGGGCGAAGGTTTGCTTCAAGTTCTCGGGTTGGCGCTGACGTTCAGGGGCACTAGCTTGCAGCATCATAATATGTGAGATCAATTCAAAGCAAATTTGTGATAGTGCTGCCAGCATGCTGTGTCCGTTTCCATAGGCCGATGGAATTGACATGGACGATTCAGATATTTCGATCTGCTTGCGTTCACGATCATTGGCGTGCATAATCATTAGTGAGTTGAACAGCGCAGGCGAGAAGACAGAATGCTCCATGGCCGTGTTCGGTCCAAGCAGTGGGTAGTAGACACTGAAGATGTAGTAATGATCTTCTTTGTTGTTCGACATATCGGGGAACATCTCAATTTGACGACTCTTGGCTCGACTCAGATGACTATCTGGCTTCACTCCCAGCTTAATGACGCGGTAGTCGGTCGGGTTGTTCGGAAGACAGAATCCGTAGTTCATCAGCACTGTTATGCATTAGCTTTCGCGTCGCTGTTCTATCAACAGACTCGTATGACCCACGTTGTTCATTGTTACGAGGACCATAGTTATTAGAGATCTCTTGACCAGGCCCTATTTCCTCCAGCACGACCATCCCGACATCCGACGTGCCTGCACGCCATTCCACTTTCGCGAGCGGACGGTGATTGGGAAGGTCGATGAGTGGCAAGAGCACAGAAACCCCAGTATCTTCTCCGACCTTTGAAGCTTCCATAACACTGGAGAGAACTTTAGGAGAGAATGCCCGCGAAGAGATGATGGTTGAAGCCCAAAGATACAGGTCCCTGTTCGCCACAGTCAGATGGCGGACACCCGAAAGTGTTCAATCCTGACTTTAGGGTAGCCACTCACCATGTATAGTCTTCAAGGCCGTCAAATCCGGCCTCCTCTAGTTTCGACATGCACTGCTCATACCTCTCATCCCAAATCTCATACCGTTGCACGGACGCTTCTGGAATACCAGTGCCCTGAATCCAGTCCACATCCTCTTCCCCGAAGAACAGTGGCGTAGTCAGGTCTCCCGGCTGTGGTAACGTTCTCAAATAAGGGTACCAAAAGCCCTCAGCTCCACGCAGATATTGACCCATGAGGAAAAAGGTAGTGGTCTCCTCAACAGCCACCGAGTCAATAAACGCCTGTGGTAGCTCCACGCCATGTCGAGAAAAGGATATCTGTGACGATTGGAATCCGATGGCATTGAAGTATGACATTGTCACTCCCATCGGGGCACTCAGCACCCTGGTCTCCGGGCTGATGGGATGAGGCCAGTCGGCCTTGACTTGGATGTGGACCCCGCGCGAGGCGTCTTGCGCAACACGCACACAATCATTGAGCGAGCCACCTTGACTGAGAATCCAATTAACAAGCTCGGTATGCGCTTCCAAGGAGTGCCCGGATCCTTGCCTGCTATATCTCGTCAGTACAGGCTTACTTAGGGTCGTCAAATTGCCTTAGTCATGGATGGCGCTGCTGCTGAGAGCCTCAGCGCCAGAATGAGCGAAGGGTAACAATACACTTACTCCGCAGATGAAACCATTCTGGAGGCCTCAGAGTGTCTGTCACCACCAACGAATGGCCGATAGATTGATTTCTATATCTGATCGTCACAGATGGTGAATCTGAGCCTGAGCAAGGATATAGGGTCGTACCGATATAGCTCATTGAAGATTTTGGCGGGGCCGTTGACCCTCAGATGGGGCCCACTTTTATTTTCCTAGAAGTCACTGCAGCCTCTTCAGTGGGGAACATATCGACACTCCAAGCCCCCGGTACTTTTGTAGTAGTGTTTGTCCACGAGGTCACGACTCACGACTTCCTTTCCCTCGCATGTGAGGCGGGCCAGGTATTTTCCTCTGTATAATCATTCCGTATACCTGGGTCATCGGCCACTGCAATACTTGGCAACCTTGAATAATGGGAATACTGTTGCAGCTTGAAATGCAGTATATACTAGTCGTGCCCGAATGCTGCTTAGGATGACGTTCTAACGGGTGCAGCGGGCATCAGGCAACGATCTGATAACGCCTGACATTAAAGGCAGAGATCGCATTCCACATTGAACTATCCGACGCAAATTGTGATCGTAAGAGAGTTGGACCATGCTGAACCATAACCTAACATCGCTCCCGTCCGTCATGCTCGTACTACTTGACAAGGTGATCCAATGGAGTCTTCATGCTAGGAAGATGCACTTCAAGCCGCTTAGAACATCATTTCGAACTCAAATATCGTACACGACATCAACTCCTCTCAACAAAACGCTCCCGGATGATGGTTGTGATGATGACCCACGCAAAAGCTTTGATGAAGATCGGTGAAAGGAAGAGCAAAGAAACGAGGACACAGAAGCAGAACCAGAACTTGACAACTATTCTTCAGCTCGGTGAAGGGGTCAACCTCATATAGACAGTGTCATGTACCGGGTCAAACCATGATGACAGCCATCCCACTTGTTGGTAAGCCCGAGGCAAAGTATAAGTAGAACCCATTGAAATTCGATGGCGAGTAAAACGCCCGCCAGCACAGCAGGAGCAATGAGATGACGATTTCGGCCCTTGAAAGAAATAGAAAAATCATTCCTCGCGGTATATGATTGTCAATGTAATCGAAAAAGGGATGAGATAGCACTTGCAAAAGAGGAACGCAGGAAATAGACGAAGACATGACGCGGAAGGGGAATCAGACATGAATGAGAAGGTAATTTTCAAACACTAGGAGGTGGAAGGTTTGCGGCCAGGAACGAGAATTTCCACGAGGCCTTCATCCTCACCATCACTGCTGTCCTGGTCGTCGTCGTAGTGGGAACCAGAGCCCGGCGACTGGAAGAAGCCACTATATCTCATCTGACCAGGAAGATTGGAATACCCAAGACTCTCATTGATAATGGCCTCATCCTCTTCGTCAGAGTCCATCCCGCCCGCGTTGGGTCCAATCATTTCGCCCATTTCTTCGTCATCGTCCTCGACTTCGAGGGGGACACGGACGCGTCGTCGAACACCTTCACCACGGCCATCACCTTCCTCCTCGGATGAATTAGGAGAAAATGAATCCGGTGGACTAAACACAGTGTCTGGGAAGGTGGAATGGAAGTTTGAATCATGGGTAGAAGCAAAGTCGGTACCAGGGAATGCCGAATGGCTACCTTCAGCATCGTCGTCAATTCCTGCAATGATGAAGGGGTTGGTGGACCATTCATCAGCGTCCTGCTGTGCGTGGTCGTCCGCCGAACCTTCGTCATTGTCATTAGATTGCTGCTTGTGGGCCGCAAGACGTGCTGCAAGTTGACGACGGGCTCTGGATGGACCCATGCTCAGCGGGGCAGGAGGCGGTGGAAGAATGGGAATTGGCTGGCTTGACGAATTTTCAGATACCTGGGAATATCACTGGTTAGCATAAAACACAAAGCATGTAAGTTGAGACATGCGCGGTGATGACTGGGGATCAATAAAGGTAAGAAGTTCAATAGGAAGCGTTGAGAGGCAGGGGCCTATGAATATGACAATGAGAGTGAATGCTACAGACCAAGTGGAAAAGCAGAGTCCGGTGGAGGTGCATTGAAGAGTCGTCATCGAGTCGGGGTAAGTTCGGTGCGACGCCAGTCATTGCACAGCCTCCTCGTCTCAGGTCAGAACTCCCGTTGCCTCCCCCAGACCAGCCCTCCCCCCCGGATGCGCAAGAGTCTTGCGGTGAAGTAAACACACAGTGGGGAACAATCGTCGTTCCAAAGAACGCTCACTCCTCGTGACTAAACAGGAAGGTACGCACATTCTCGGTGTCACCATGGTCGGTACTACCAGTATCACGATCTTCGTGGTCTTCCATCTCCTCGTCCTCGTCATCGCTGGAGCTAGCAAATCCACTCAATAAGGAAGTACCGCCTCCGCTGAATGCCCCGCCAGAAACACCGCCCTGATTGACATCGAACCCTTGAAAAGTTGAGCCACCGATTCCGCCGTTCAAACCGGCATCGGCGAGAGCAGAAGAGCCACCAAATCCTTGGCTAGGTGTAGAGTTGTTCGCAGAGGTTTGCCTGTGTCCACCGGCCATGTCCGGTCGAACACCTCCAAGAATGGCATTATCGCGCTCTCTCGTTTCGGACAAGCTTTGCTCGACATATTCGATCCAGTCGGGATCCAAGACAGCGTCCATGACAGATCGGGAGAGCAGCTCTGGCGGGTGGCGCTCACTGAACTTGACGACTTCCTCCGCCACAAGAGTCAAGTGACCCATGTAGCCGAGACGGATTTGCTTTGCGCGTTGGGTCTCGTCACTTCGCTTCTGGCCTTCGATAATTGCGTTGGTGATCTTGCCAGTCTCAAACACATTGATAGCAAGAGCACGGTTGTAGCCACGCTCCATTGGGCCGTTGAAGACCTGTTGTACGACGTCATACACAACGTTGTGAAGGAAATTATTCCAGGGGAATCGGAAGAAGAATCCCTGCAAAAGATATGTGAGAAAGCGCGTCGGCGTGGGTCAATGGGTTAAGCTCGAATAAACTTACCAGAATGGTGGGCACCACTTGATTTTCCACAAACATAATTTTTAAGAAGTCTCCCACAACAGGTCGCCCGTCAAGGTCGTATTGAATGTACTGATCGACTGAGTCCTCGGCTCCGCCATCCTTTGCTGGCTCGTCGTTCTTCTGAGACTCCGATACGTCTTTCGATGCCGCGGCGACCTCGGCTTCTGCTTCTTTTGAGGCGAACAATGGTGCAGGCACATCGGTAGTCTGTGCTGCACCAGCTTGAGCGTCTTTCTGTGTTTCGGCGAGTGATTCCTGTGTTTGTGGGGTTTGCTCATCCAGCTTGATATCGCTGATTTCATCACTAAGCACGGTAGTAGGAGTCTGCGGGGACGGCGATCCAGTCGTGTTGGGTTCAGCCGTTTCTGCGCATGGCTCTCCGGTCGTTCCAGAAGGATTCTGCGGATCCGACGATATGGTGGAATCTTTTTGCTCTGACTTCTCATCGGGAACAGAGTCCCCGGATGCTCCGACCTTTTCGAATCCCTCCTCCTCAACAGCTCTGGGGTGAACATCATCAAGGGAGTCTGTATTCATTGTTGAACCATTTGTGAAATCGGCAGTGGTGTCATTGTATTCCATGCCCGACTGTTCATCACGGTTGTGGCCAAAGACACCATCGCGGATCAATCTGTCGCGCTCTTCATTTCGCTGACGAACGTAGTCCTCGCTACCAGGCTCGTTCAGAAGACCCATATTACTGCAGTGCAGCAATTCAGCCATCAACTCGCAGGTCTTGAAACGATCGAAACCCAGAGGCTCGATGCTGGCGCCCCATGCAGATTTCAGACGGCCTCTTTCAACGGACTTGACTGTGGTACCGTCGTAAACTGCATGCTTAGAGCTCTGAATGAGCGCCATGAATTGAGGGATGTGCTTGGCAAATAGGCGCAGTAGATGCCCGAGATAAATGGGATCGTAGGGCGTCGGCACCGACTCGGGGCCGCCGGTCTGCTCAGGGTCATAGTCCGAGTTATTCTTGCGAATAACCTCAATAACGATGCCGACACCTACCGTTAGAGGGTTTCCGCCCTTCAACATCGCATTGATCAACTGCTGCACACGTTCAGGCGACACAAGCTGACGGGTGAGGCTGTTGGGTCCAATACAAGACTGATCATTTGGGGTCGCGTTGGCCGAGATGGTGATGATCGCTTTGAGAAAGTCACCAGCAGATGTCTGCACGGAGCCCGGTTGCTCTGGGGACAAGAAGGACAATAGTTGAGGAATCAGGTCCTGCGATTGCAGCCAATCCACAGTTCCTTGACCTCCTTCCGCTTTCTCCAAGCTGATAATCTTCAACAAGAGATCCATCACCATCGGATTGTCAACGTGCTGAAGCAGCGCCGCCACAATGCCATCCATGGATTTCAAAAATTCGAGCATCTCCTCCGTCTTCTTGTCGAGAAGTGTTTCGTTCACTTTGGTAAAATAACTGGCCTGAAGTGAATCAAGTGGGGCGGGCCTTCGTACAAATCCCCAAAAATCACGCAGATAGGCCGGGTTGGCCATGATCGATTCCAGGATGGACCACGTTTCCGAGGACAGGACCTCGCAGGCTATGTAAGCATGCTTCAATCGAGCCTTCTCGACCTTTTCCAGGTCTTCCGGATCCAGCACACTTTTGAGCGGATCGACGGCCTTTTCCGTCTTGTGGTCCTTATCCTCACTGTCCGTCTGCTCTGCCGGCACGGCGGCGGTATCGGCGGACGCCTCGCTGTCGTTTTTCGCATGGGGATCGTTATCGTGTTTTTCATCTTCGTCTCCCTCATCATCGTCATCATCATCGTCATTCACCAGGCTTGGTGCAATGACATGGTCCATAAGTCGTTTCAGGACATGATCCTCGCGCAGAAATTCAATGAGTTTTGTGTTATGCTGTTTCAATTCCTGGATGATTTCCGGCTCATCTAGCAGGTCCTCGAGAGCAACATCGGGTTTGTCGAGCAGGGTATCAATGGTGGAGATACTCGCATATCCCCCAAACCGCCAGAACATGATGAACTTTGTTGCTGAAAGGCACGATTCATGGGATAGCAGATTCCGGTCAACTTTGAGCGATCAAGCAGGCAAAGATCTCGGGCTTTGCGAAGGTGAAAGCCCTTTCTAAAGCAGCAAAAACCACTCGGTGGATCGAAGAGGGTGAAGAAAAGTGTCTATGAGTCCCGCCAGCAGGGCGATTGAACGGTACTTCGTTCCACACACACACACGTGGGATGCGTTGAGGTGAGGGTTCAGTGGGGTCGGGAGGGCTGGTTGATTGCGGGCGCCTGCTCGAGCAAAGATCGATCTCGGTCGGAATCTAGGCCGAAGCGAACCCGGCGCTATGAGGGGGGGGAGAAAGGACACAAGTCAGCATGGCTCGTCGACGGTTGATCATCGACCACCTGAACGGAGTACGGATTGTGATTGAACCGCCATTCGGTTTTGCATTTGACGTTGATGAGAGAATGAATTCCCCCTCCCTCCTCCGCAAGACCGGATCCCCTGGAGGGGCCAAGCCGCGACGCAAACCGACATGGAGGAAGGCCAAACCCCCAGGTGATCGATACATACCTTCACAGATCAAAGAGCGACGAGACGAAGGAGCGCGGGAAATTGAGGGCCTCCCGAGGGTGGATGTGGGTGGTAGTTGTGGTGGGAAGAAGAGAAGAGTTGGGAGATTGCCGACTTGCGGGCGGGAATGCAGGAATCAGCGCTGGTCCATCGAGGAGCCACGCGCAAGCTGGAGAGTGATCAACACCCGGGGAGTTGAGTGACTTGGAGAAGCGAGAATGATGCTTACGGATCTTGGTCAGGAGGAAGAAAAGGAAAAGACTCCAGGAATCAGCCAAAGACCGCAGGCAGAAGGTGTAATTACCGGTCATCGACTCGGCTTCGGATCGCACTTGAGTTACGCTTATACACAGAGGTACTTTGGTTAGAGGTCCCCCCCCCCCCCCTCTTCTGCTGCCCTGGCACTATCTTTGGGTCAATCCGGGCATCGAAGACAATCTTACTAGGTATTCATAAGTAGTTCATTGCCTCGCATGAATCAAGTGGGTACTGGCTGTCTCGCCTGCTTCTCCGTAGAGTCACAGAGTGTAGAGTACGTATTCTAATGATTTGCGTAGTTGGTTGGAACAATCGATTAACTACTCCGTAATGTTCGATGGGATGCACTTATGCTTTCCATGATCCATGCAGATTAAAACCCTTGGAACCCCCGACCAGGGAGTGTTAGTACTTTAGTACTACCTCCAAGTGCCTTCCCTTGGCCAGCAGTCCAGTTGATGATACCACTTAAGGGATGGAGACTTTACCTAGAGATTGAAAGTTTGAAAGCACAAGAGCACATACTATTGTGATCGATCATTCCACAATTGTTGATCCTGCCTGGAGTATGCGCCCTCAGACTACGACTAAGCTATTTAGGAGTATATTTCTCGTCCGAGGCACCTCATATCTACCCGATTTTCCCACTGTCGCCCCAACCTCGGTCCAGGCCACCTCTCCAGCATCTTTGAATCCGCCACTGTGTTTCTTCTCACTATGTTTTGAAGGGGTCAGGAGCGCCGTGGTGAACGGGTACTAGATTTTAAAACTGTCCACCTGGCGAAGGGGTATCGGTCTACCTCCAGTACAGCATGGAATTTCCAAGTCACCAGCAAGGTTCGACAAGACGGCAACCGTTCCTGATCATGCCTTCGACTCCGACATTTGAGTGATCACCTGTCAGATTCGACATTTGCACGTAGAAAGTGTGATCTGGCCTCCTGAGCTACTAGTGAATGACTTCCAAGGGCAGTCAAAATCACTGTTGACAGTCTGCATGTGTGTCCCATAGTCAGAGTGACCCGCTGATTAAAAGTCTTGAGTGGCCGTGCTGTTCTCACGACCCCTAGTCATCTCGTCTCAAGGGGAACATGACTTGGTAGATCACGTCCTCAGACAGTAACGTTGGAAAGGCTCATGGAACAGTCAAGGGCATCCACCATGTATGCAGCAAGGGACCACCACGCAGATTTGCAGCCAGGGTACACCCGTTTCGGTCGAGGTTCAAAGTAGCGCGGCAGTTAGGAGGTAGTTCAGGTGGCCCTGTTGTATATGGAATAGCCGCTCGACAAGGCTGGGCGAGAAGGAAAGGGCCCTGGCTTGGAGTGCAGAGGAGAGCCATTTTCGGCGTCGGGTTGGTCAACAGTATAAACCGAGGGGGAACAATCGTTGAAGCGTCAACAACAGAACAGAGGTGGAGGACTACATACCTACTGATTCCGGTGCCTAACTCAAGTCTATCAGGTCTAACTACTTACTCCTCTACTCAGTTACTGTCCCAAAGTCCAGGTCGGTTGAAGAATTGGAGCCTCAGGCCAAAATAGCACCCACTGACGTCGGGCGCTCCGCATTATCGCATTCAGGCCATACCAACAACGAGTCGGATATTGGGCGACGAGATCCGGAGTCTTCGACTTTAACGTGTCATATCTGTTGCGCAACAGCCTTGCAGCCTCGAAGCTGTCTTTTCTCTACCTATTTTCAATAATATTCGTCGCTTCCAGCGTCTGATCAAGTCACGGAAAGTACAGGCTGTACTCTGTGGCCTGCGGGGTCACCCCATCTTCGGGCCTCCTTTCTTCAACCGGCCATCGATCACCATGAATCGTCTGTTCGGGACAAAGAGCACGGCTCCCAAGCCTACGCTCGATGGCGCGATCTCAAAGGTCAGACTTTCGCTTTCTCAGTAACGGGAACCAAACGTCAAAAGAGCTGACTCGAGCTAACATGCGACCAGGTTGACGACCGCGTCGCCAGCATCGATGTGAAGCTCAGTGCGCTCAACTCGGAGCTCTCCGCCTACCAGGCGAAACTCTCCAAGATGCGCGACGGCCCAGGCAAGAACGCCATTCGCCAAAAGGCCCTCAAAGTCCTCCAGCGTCGGAAACAGTACGAAGCCCAGCGCGATCAGCTATCCCAGCAATCGTGGAACATGGAACAAGCCGGCATGATGCAAGACAACCTGAAGAACGTGATGACGACTGTCGACGCCATGAAGACCACCACCAAGGAGCTGAAGAAGCAATACGGCAAGGTGGACATTGACAAGATCGAACAGATGCAGGATGAGATGGCCGATCTGATGGAGGTTGGAAACGAGATTCAGGAGAGTATCTCTCGAGCGTACGATCTGCCGGAAGAGGTGGATGAAGCCGACCTGGATGCAGAGCTAGAGGCCTTGGGTGAAGAGTCCTTGTTTGAGACTGAGATGGGCGCCGATGCAGTCCCCAGTTTCTTGCAAGACGAGGTTGCGCCTCCGCAATTCATCGACGAGCCGCCAGAGCAGGCCAAGGTCAAGGAGGCGGCGGGTGGAATTGGCTAATGCGCATCTTGCCTCACTGTATGAAACTTATTGAAGAAGAGAGTCTATTCGATACCACACAGTCTCTGAATGTGGAGGATTTGTTACTTGTAGTGTTTGGGCAAAGCAACATGAAAAGATTTGTCACCAACGCTCAACTCTGTAGATTGACATCACTATGAGAAACACCTACCTACCTATCTGGGACTTAATCAGGCTACGGAAGACGTAATTTGGGAGGTAGTCTCGCCGAATGAGAATTTGCAATACTTAGGCACTGGCTTCGTCATGAAAACGAGTAGACGTCCATATATTGTTGCGGCTGAAGTGCTAGCTTCGACATCGGCCATGTCGATATCAATGTGAACACCTTTGCTGGAGCGCCTGGATCTACCAAAAGGATACCGCTCGTAAGACTAGAAAGACCCCCCTGAAGTGAGATCGAGGTACATTGATCTCGTCACTTCTGTCCCTCACCATTGCGACTAGCGCAGAAGGAATCAGTCAAATGCTGTGTCTTGGAAGTCTGCATGGCTGAGCGTCGCTCAGGCAGCACTGAGTCAAAACTAGGCCTTGCCCATTCCTACCAGAACCAGCAATGCCACGTTCATCACCACAATCAGCAACCACACAAGGACGGCGACGATCGAAGTCACCCAGTGATTGCGCATACTGATCTGGTCGACTTGTACAGTTCCCTCGCCCTCTGTCGCCTGCTCAGTTGCCACATTCATGTATTTGCTAAAACACGTGAACCAGATGAGCGGAGCGGACACAAAAGGAAGGATCACGCTGAGACAGACTTGACTAGCGTTCAGAGTCTTATCAAGACCTTCTTTCCCGACAGCCGCTGCAATGATGATACTAGGAATGATGCTGATCGTGCGGGTGATGAGTCTGCGAATCCACGGACGCACGGACCAATTCAACATGCCTTCGCTCACCATCTGGCCGGCCATGGTGCAGACGATGCCCGCGGAAATTCCTGAGAGCAGCAAGGCTAAGGCGAAAACCAAGCCAGCTGCTTTGGAGATTGAGCTGGTGAGAAGCTCGTGGATCCCAAACAGATCGGCACTGGTACTGCCCGGTATATCATAGAGAGAGGCACCCGCGACAATGAGAATGGCGCTGTTGACGAACAGGGCGAAGGTGAACAAAGACAAGGCCAACTCAATGATCGAATATTTCATGCAACCGCGAATTGCGTGGATACTAGGCCGGTATTCAACTTTGCCATCGGTACTTCCCAGGGCCACGGTTGACTGAACATAACCAGCCGTTACATCAAACTCTTTCAGACGAGATTGAACGACACCGCTACCCAAGAATAGGGAATGCGGCATCACGGTAGCGCCCAGAATACCGCAACTCTGGTACAGTCTGTAGAGAGGTATCAGTATCGTGTCCTTCTTGAAGTGCTTGACGAGGCCAGTGAATGGCTGGTCCTACTCACCCATCCGATGTCACGATAGCTGAGGAAGGAAGATAGCCCCGGAAGACCTCCCCTACAGGTTGACCTTTGATGAGAGACAATTGAATGCAGAAACAGATCACCACGCCCAAGACCAGCGCCATGACGAAAAACTCGAACATGCGTAGGCCCACCATTGACCCGTTGGGCCGCCAGAACAAGAGCAGGAAAAAGACGTCGGCAAGGGTGATCGCGCAGCCTGCGACAAGTGGAATATGTAGAAGTAAGTTCAAAGCGATAGCCGATCCAACCACCTAGACTCGTATCAGTATACGGTTTTTCTTGGAGGTGAGAGCCGTGGTACTTGACTTTCAGCAAGGTTCTTACCTCTGCAACATCAGTGGCAATGATCGCCCCTTCGGCCATCACATATAGTATAACGACCATCCATCTTGGCAAGTGCTCCCGATAGTTCTCTGCCAAATTCAGTCCTGTCACCGAACCGAGCTTGATACACAGGGACTGAAGGAAAACTGCAAACAGATTGGACAGCAGCACGATGAATAGTAGAGCATATCTGAACCGTGCGCCGGCGGCAACGTCCGTCGAATAATTTCCTGGGTCGATGTACGCCACGGCAATGAGAAACCCAGGCCCTACGAAACGGCCGAATTTGACCAGACTGCGAGCGCAGTGCTGCGCAGAGGCCACAAATGAAGAAGTAGAGAAGTAACGGCGAGGCGGGCCGCAGGTCCTCGAGGGTGCTGGACACCCTGAGGTCGCTGCGGTCACTTCGCCCTTTGGTTCCTTTTCATTTCCGGGACTTGGATTGTCCAGGCTCTGCGATCGTGATTCTATGGCCATTGTGTCGTCGCCGGATATTGTCCCTGCACCCTTGGCATGCTTGTGGTGAACCCGGGTGTTGGCTAGACCATTGAAGTCATTGCGAGTCGTAATATCTGGGCTGAAGCGAGGTGGACTCTGATTCCAGCTCGGATTGGCAAGTGTATCATCAGTTCTGGAGGGGCAATTCATTTTGATTGCAACTGGGGCGGCGGACTGCTTTCTGTACAGCGTTCCCAAGGTCCGTTCACCCCGGGTTGGTGATGCAATTATATGGAGTCTTGTATTATCGCGACCAAATCGCCGACCAACGCTGTTTGAGCGTAAGATTGACCTTTGAGAACCTTGTGGGTACTGCCGGAGGTCCGGGTCTGCCCGAGATTCTTGATGCCTATGAATGAGAAGGTACCGCGGCCAATTGGTGTGCGCAATCTGGGTCGTCCGGTCTCTGGCCACGAGCTTGAAATTCGCGAATTGTGTACGTAACAAAGGCGCCCTAAGGTAGAAGCGCTAGGATGGACCATGTGTCTCTTGAAGCACTTCCCCCGGCGGGTCCTGCACTGTGCACTGTGTGCAGACCGGAGTCGATTGCCATGGTCGTCCCCCGGCACGTTGAGGAGGGGCGTGTCGCAAGCGGCAATTTTTGTGGACCTTGGGCCCAGTCCTGCCAGACCCGGCGAAATCATCAAAGCTTGCGGGCAAAGCCTTGAGGCAGATACCTTACGGGACACGTCTCGAAGAGTTTAACAGACGTCACTTCACAGAGAGGCCATCCCAGGCTCGGCCGCTTGGAAGGAAAGGGCAATAGTCGGTCGAGTATGCCAAGCGATCCGCCGGTTCGATGGATGCAGTAAGGGAGAAACTTCAGGTGGGATGGAATGGGTGACCCCGCATAGAAAACCATCTGGGGAAGTATTGAGTGATCAGAAGGGCTCGTTTGGGCCCTGCATGCTATTCTGCCCTCAAGTCACGAGAAAATAAACAGATGAAGAGGTCTGCTGACTTGTAGGGAAGTGTCGATGCCCAACACGAACATCGTGTTTTCTGCAGTGATTAGCGTGCAGAGATAAGCATCCGCCACTAGACTACCATCGTAGTGGGATTATTTAAGGATTCCAGAGATCTGCGCTGTTGATGTCATGCCCAAAGTGGCTCTTGCTGGCTTCTTCCCTGAGCTAGGTTTCAGAGACTCGGATCACTGATCACTAGGCAGGATGTACAGATTTCTGGAGATTCACCTGGGAGATCGTGTCGGTCGACGGAGTCAATACCCGCCTGCCAGATACGAGTCGAGTTACGAGTAGTACATCCACAGTAGGCTGCCAGGGTTTCAACAGATACCTAGTCAGCGCTAATCTGCAGTAATCATCTTTACCACCACGATGGACGATATATACGAGCAGACCTCTACACGGCTCAGGCAGCTGGAAATTGAATACGAAAGTTTGACGGTTGGATTCCTTTGCAAATCGATGCCAGCATTACTGCTGGCATGGATGGTCCTGGTAGTGCACAACAGACACTGCACAGTGCACACTCACAGTATTTTGAGCTGAAGTAATGGCGCGCAACATTGCATTCTGTCTCTCTGAAAGGACCACTTGAAGCATATTTCACTCATGAGGTGAGTACTTTCAAGTTGAAGACGGCGACGAAGGCCATCTTCTATCTTCATCCAGTGGCACGCAAAATTCGGATCAAGTAGTCAATGCAGGCATGAAGAGTGACTCGACTCTGAAGCCGCCTCTAGTGGAGACTCGAGAGAACTGCCCAGGCACCACCGGAGATAGACCCCGTTCTAGCACAACTCCTTCACCTGCCATCTTTAGTGAACCACGGTGACGAATAAGGAGACCAAATACCCCGGAAAGAAAGCAACTAAGCTCATGCGTCAACTGCTGAATATGACCCCTTAGATGGCAGATGTGATGGGTCTCGATTCGACAAAGTCTCGTCATTGAGTCCACGTTGACCATCAGCTCCGCCATCTCCGCTGCGTTGCCCCTCGCAACCGCCTAATCCATACGTTGTTTACTCCTCTCCGATTGATCCAGCCAACCCCCCGATAGACACTGAGGAGACGATCACCCACCGAGGCTAGCTGTTGTCCCGGTCTTGAGGTGGAGTCTGGCTCCTCCAAGATTATGCGCGCGACCCCGATTCTGGCTTTCATATCATCTTCTCGGTCGCCTCCCCCCCCGGCTTCTGCGCTCCATCTTGAAACTCAAGTTCGCTCCAACTGCTGATCTTGCCTTGCGTCTGCGTGTCCTCGCCCTTTTTGACTCGAGTTGGATGTGAAGTCAACTGCGGCCAGCCAGGCTTACAGGTCTCTGCACTGAAGTCGACTTCAATAGCGACAATACTGGCATTACTGGCATTACTAGCAATTGATTTTCTATTTTGTCTGGCGTTTGTGTTTGCGTTTGAGCAAGAAAAAAAAGTTTCCGTCAGCAGCCTTGTGAGTGCAATGCTGCCCCTACCCGTGTCATGACGTTGCCCAGACCACTAACAGGCCCACAGTTGTTGATCAACCAGAAAGACAATGGATTCAAATCACATCGGACCTCAGATTTTCGACGACGCCGACAGCGCCCCCGCCAGATCCTCGGTCTTCCGTGCAATAATGTCAAAACCGCACAAACGAAACCAGTCTGCAGACGATGCTATTCCTCCACAATACAAGAACAGCAAACCATCCGGCACAATCCCTTTCCCATGGGCTGACAAGAACGATGTGCCCTCGGGCCATCTTCCCTTGGCAGAGATAGTGCCGAATCGCGACGGCCGAGACAACTATCCGCCGTCGACAAAGTCGGCAACTAAAGAGAATAAGCGGTCGCTTCACAAGAAAACGAAAAGCGCCGTGTCACTCAAGTCTCTGCGGAATTATATGGATCGAAAGGACAGTAAGCCACACGACAGTCCGCCCACGGAGCCTGCTGATTCAGAGCCGAAAAAGACCAAGTCTTCCACCAGTCTATCGGCCATCCTCAAGCGGTCTCACCGTGGCCGCAAGACAGAGGCTGCTCAACAGGGCCGGGACAAGGAGAACCGAAGCCCGGTAGAGCTGGTCGACAACATGCCCTCGCCTGTTTGGCAGCCAGAGCCCGCAGCATATGGAGCCGCGAGGAGCGAGGAGCGACACAATTCTGGCGGCGCTGACAAACGTCGCAGTGTCGCCGATGAAGTCTCTCTTTACACGCCCAAACCGTATAACCCAGCTCAACAGCGTAACTTTTGTGACTATCAGCAACCGTCTCTCACCAGGCAGGGCAATCCAAAGCCACGTCCGGAATCAGGTGTTTATTCCGGCAACCAACAAGTCAAGGATGACCGGGGGCCGCAGCGAATGCCTTCGGGTGGCAGCGATGCCAGTAATGGACGAGACAATGCGTCACTGAAGAGTCAGGGATTTGACAAAATTCAAAAGATGTCAGTCTCGGCATCACCAGCAATCCCCCCAAAGGAACAGACAAACACTAAGAGACTCTCCCGGGTACAAGCCGCGATTTCGGTGTTTAATGGCAAGGAACGCGATGGCGATGTTCCGAAGCATTTCAGTTCCAAGGACTTGGAAAGCGAGTTCGAGAAGCTTTTGGTGAGGAATTTTCTCGAAGTGGTACAAGTTTTGTCGTCAATTTCACTGACAACGATTACAGGATGCACGCAACATCCCCCACAATATGCGAGACAAAATGCGGTCCTTGGACACCAACATCAAGGCGGACTTCATTCAGAAAGACCGCACCGACCACGGCACTCCTCTGAGTGCTGGTGCATCTGACAGTCGACGCGGAAGAGGCAAAGAAGATAAAGATACTCAAGACCGAAAGGGCTCGCGGTCCCGCTCTCGGAGCCGTGGCTTTACATTTGGCCGAGGTTCCTCATCACCAGGTAAGAAGGCCCGGCCAGAAAGCGGATCTTCTCATCGACCAAGATCTGTGGACCTCTCACAGCCCGTGGGGGTCTACACCACGCTTGGTGGAGCTGTTTCTACCGCTTCGCTGGCCGACGCGGCTGTGGTCGACACGGCTGCTGATCCTTCCGACTTCGTACATTATTTGAGGGAAATCCAGAAGCCGGAGATGGTCGAGGTTGGCAAGCTGCACAAGCTGCGGCTTCTTTTGCGGAACGAAACCGTTAGCTGGGTGAATGGGTTTATCGCAGAGGGAGGTATGGACGAGATTGTCCAGTTGATCTACCGAATCATGAAGATGGAGTGGAGGTATGTACAGTTCACCTCTACCTCTACAAAAAATCCCCTCACTCTGACCATGTTCTTTCTAGGGAGGACCATGAGGATACTCTCTTGCACGAGGCACTGCTGTGTCTCAAGGCCCTCTGCACCACTTCTATTGCACTAGCCCACTTGGAGCGCATTGAGAGCGAGCTGTTTCCTGCTTTGCTCAAGATGCTATTCGACGATGAAAAGAAGGGTCCTAGCGAATTCACTACACGGGGTATCATCATCAACCTACTCTTGACCCAACTCGCTGCTCCTCATCCACATGAAACCTCGTCTCAGCGGGCGAAGAGGATTCTTGCCTACCTTCGGGATCCATCCCCCGAAGATGAGAGCCAGCCTGTCTCATTCATCGCGAACATTTATCAAGCTCGCCCATACCGAATATGGTGCAAAGAAGTCACCAATGTGACGAAGGAAGTTTTCTGGATTTTCCTTCATCACCTCAATGTGATTCCTCTTCCCAAAGCAACTTCTTCATCGGACGATCCGCATACGGAGACGAAGAGCTCGCGCGATGATCGTTCCTATCAAGAGCGTCACTTCCCCAGCCCTCGTCCACCAGTGCCTGCTGCGCCTTACGTGGGAGGTGTCGAGTGGGATGCCACAAATTATCTTGCTGCCCATCTAGATCTCCTCAATGGCTTGATTGCTTATTTGCCCACGAGAGAAGATCGGAACCAGCTTCGCTCTGAGCTTCGAGCCTCGGGATTCGAAAAGGTCATGGGAGGCAGTTTGCGCACGTGCAAGGAAAAGTTCTATTCTGCCGTTCACGAATGTCTTCGTACTTGGGTTGCAGCCGCCTTGGAAGATGGCTGGCCATACCTGGTAGTACGAGAAGGCCCACCTCGTACGGAACCTTCATCGCCAGCCAAATCACCTAAGAAGGCTGCACCGGGGAGCCCAAAGAAAGGTCTTCTTGACGACAAACCACCACAGCTGAATTTGAATCTGGCACTTGACTTTTCCGACTCCCGCATCTCTCAGCCCCTGGGCCCATTAACGCCATCCAGTGAGCTTGCACGTTGGCTCTGAATTCCCACCCGTTTCGCGATTACTTTCATGGTAAATGCTCCTCGCGTTCTTATCCTTCTCCTCTTGTTCTTTCCTCCTTCCTCTTCGTGAGAGCCCGTTTTTGGGTTTCTTCTTAACGTGTCATGACTTGGCGTTCCTGGGCTTTCGGTTATCGAGTCTATCTTCTTGCAGGGACCGTATTGATTTTTTTCCCCCATTGGCATGCTCTACATTGTTTTTTCCGTCTATTTTAGGCGAGATCATCTACTCATCGTTTTCATTGTCTCGGGGATTCTTCTTGAGATTCGAGGCGTTGGCATTCCCGGCGTTAGACAAACCTGCATCATTTATCAATGTCCTGCATCTTTTTGGCAGGCCACCAGAATCGACTGAAATTGCAGCAAGGGACAGGGCCAGCATGTGTAGCATAGCAGATTCTTGATACGATCAACCGCACAAGGCTGGTTGTGTCACAAGCATTGATGTGTCCTGTCTTGCCCTTCGAGGATCCGCTCTTTATGCGAGAACACCTCATCATGAGCTACGACGCATGACAGATATGAAGATTGAGTTGATATTTGTTGCGAATCTTGCTTCCAAGACTCGAGGTTTTTGGGTCCGGAACCTCTGACACGTATATTGATTTCTGATACTCACGTAGCGAGTTGACTACCTAGCCATTCACAAACAATCAATAGTCTCTCGAACGGAAATCGTGGGTTTTTGTAGGTCACGCGGCACGGCTTGCGCCACAATTCACTACATTATCAACTGGCGCCAGTGCCTGGTATCGCAAACCTACACTACTTCTCAGAACCTGCCACGGTGCCATCATTTGCTCGCTTGACTGGGCCAGGGGGCGGCGGACTCGAGAACACAGATTTGACCCCCGAGAACACGGCCTCTCGGATCTGTCAATTAAAAAGTTAGCACGAACGAGCTCGACAGGAAGTGACACAGAAAACAATGTCATCACTGACTCCATCAAACGGCGTATCCTTGGTATCCCAGTTCATGAAGAGGACCGCATAAACCACGACAACTACGACAAAAAGCCACAATTAGTGCCTGGAAGATAGTATCGCCTGCAAATCCGATCAACACAACTCACAGCCAATAATAACCCACTGAGCCAAAGTCACAGTCTTGATGAACTTGGGCCGGGCGTACTTCAGCGCCGCGCGTCGGCGATACTTGCGCTCGAGTCGAAATTGATGCTTCGGTGACAGTTTCGACATATCAGGAGGCCATTGGCGCTTTGGCTTATAGGGACTGTAGTATTCATCATTAGGGTTTTGGTAGGATTCGTTTTTGTCGGAGGAGAGACGGAAGGGCGATGAGGATCGGAGGGCGGAGCTTGTGAATTGTCTGGACATGGCGGCGGGGGCAGACTGTGCGATGGTGGCAGAGATGTGCAGATTGTTCTAATAGAAGTGTGTCAGCATCTTCCCATGATCGAGACTCCAAAAACACGTCAGGACAGTGTCTTACTTGGATGCGCGGCGTCAACAGCGTCGCGATTGGCGTCTGACGGGCCGTAGTTGAGACCGGACACGCGCAGCGCGCCGACGACACGGCTGCAAATAACGGTCGAATCATGAAGGCAATTATGATGGGACTTTTCACGACGTGGGAGGTGCGTTTATTGTGCGACAAGAGTCATGAAGGTGACGGTCCTTCGCAAACATCGAGGTGAAGTCGGCTCGCGCGCGGGCCAGAAAATTATTTGATCTGCCGCTTTCTCCGCATCAGATGGCTTCTTCTCCGACAGTTGCGCCTGGGTTTCCCCACCCCCGCAAAGTATAGAAACCTGAGGGGTCCTCTATCCCTGTTCACTCGCGCAGTGAGCTCTACTTAATTTGAATCAATCTGTCCCCGTAATACTTGCAAACTGTGTCTGTCTGCGCGTGATTAGAAAAGTTCGGCTTTTGGTCGTCCTGAAGCTCCAGTCACTAGCGCAAACACAGTACTCCTAGTGCCTTTAAAAGCTGATTTGGTGTTGTTTGTATAGAGTTCTAGACTACAAAGGTCCATCTCTACATGACTATACCATTTTGTAACTGCTTTGAAACTCGTTCGAAGTACAGAGACACAGGTTAAACAAATTTATCGTATAGGAGGATTAACGGGAAACGCGCCGCATTACGTTGGCTTGGACTTGCTCACGCATTCAGGTCAAGGTCTTTTCCTCGACAGTATTTATATCGCAGTGCGTATTGAAATGACGTTTCCTCCGTACAGAGCGTCTCTATTCATCCAGGCCAACGCTCGGTGAGTTTTCTCGAGCATGGAACCATTACTGGCTATTCAAACCGTCGCCGTTATAGTGATTGGCTTCGTAGCGCAGTTGCTTTCTGAAAAAGCGAAGTCTTACCTTTATCCCAGTGATCCTGTAAAAATACTCAAGCGGCCTTATACGCGCCATTGAAAGATTGTTTCATGCATGCCCGAATTTTCAATATGCGACGCCGAGGCTAGTAATTCCGGCTTGCTCGCTGCAAGAAGGTCTTCAAGATTGGGGCGTCCACTAGGCGCAAGGCCACCATAATCTTCAAAATCGCTCAAACCCTGATCAATTACCTCCGGCCGATCACTCGTGTGGAGGAACTCTCCGGTAGACGCGTGGACTTGAGAAAATGAGGTGCTGGACGCTCCCGGTCTCGCTGGTGAATATCAAGATTGACAAGCCGATCTTTAGGTAGATCCTGCAAGATTGCTGTTGAAATGCCCTCGAAGGTTTCTGATTCGATACTGATGAGAGTTACTTAGAAGACAAGATTGAAACGTTTGGTACGATGGTGTATGTGGGTTTGCAGCATCTTGACGTTCCTTTCTGAATGAATCAGGCTTGAATCGAAACGTGTCCGACTAATGACTGGAGAGTTGCGCTTGAGGTAGACCCAGATCTTGGCCTAGATGTCTCTAGGTAGCTTCATCACTGTTTGCATGGATGATTCCAAGCCTAGGTGGAATACTGCATGCTACACCAAGTCGCGCTGTTAACGCATGTTCTGGATGGACGTGAGTTGCACTGTAAAGCTCCGAAACAGTATATTTGCGGCGATCTCTTTCTAGACAGTGTGTCTGGGGTCGAGAATGAACCTCCGACTGAGCACTTCTGCGGTAAGTGATCTGAAGTGGTCTTTCCTAAAGAACTCAATTAAAACTGTAACGTCTCACGACGTGGAGGTGGACTGAGTTCGGCAGGTTTTTTCCCGCTGTGGGCTTTGATAGGAATCAACAGCCTAGCTCTGAGTTCTCGGACAAGTCGCCGAAGCATTCTCGTCATGTGCACTTTTTGATCCATCTTGTATTAGGTTCCTCTTCATGCCAGCATAGTTGAGAGCCTCAAAGCATGCAATCAAAGAAGTCCTTGCTTTTGTTCGTAGGTGCAAGTGGTTTATGACTGATTCTATAGCTTGTGGACCCGCGTTGGGCCGAGCTATCATGATCAGAAAGACTTAGGAACAAGCTGGAGGGCGACTTGTTGCCTTCAACAAGATTCCTCCATCTCGAAACAGTTTGGAAAGTATGATGAGTTCTCGAAAGAGTATGGCGAAGGATCTATCAGAGATGCGGACAAGACTGTATTTGAGGCCTTGTGCGCAGATAGATTATGGGCAAATGCGATTGGATGCAGGGGATGGAAGAGACGTTAGGTGGAGGCTCAAAGCCAGCCTTACCCGCCTCGCACCGCTTCCCGTTTGGGATGAGGTATTGCACATGAATCGATGAGACCTCCTTCTCGCTCTATTGAATTAAAGGCAGAGGCTCAGAATAGAAAGTAGTAAGACCAACGTCCAGGGCACGCTTCAATTCTCTGTCACTATCTAGTCGCGACTCAACGTTCGAGGTGAGTATTTGGCAGCCTTTTATGCCAGCCTTCTTTATAAACTCAAGACTCTGGCTCTGCTCCCCTCGAGAGTAGGTACTACTTACCTCAGGTTTCCTGATGACTCGAGACTGAACAGTAAGCTCCACTTAGTCACCGGGGTGGTGCTGGCTTGTGGTCTTCGCGCGAATTTCACATGTTCACATGCCCGAGGGGGTCGGGACGTCCGGGGATCCCGTGACTGGAGAATATGGGCGGATCAACAAAAGTGCGGGGACCTCGGCTCTTTCGACACGATGCAAGTAGCTCGGACGTTGCTGCGACTGGAGGGAACAGTACACCGGATCCACGAATGTGATTTATAAGAGGTCTCCGACCGGGCAAGCACTGATTGTGTTTTACATTTGCTCGAAACTACTTCAACTTTCCTGTCCTCCTCTCCTCCTCTCCTCCCCCTTAAATCGCTCACTTCATCAATACAAAATACGCCATGTCTTCAGGTACGGTTTCCACACCACTACAATGAGTACAATGGCCTGCATTTAGAGCCACAGGCAGAAGCTCGTGCAAATTCACCAAAATCACGCTTCGAAAGCTGTGGTGCTGACTTGTCATGTTTTAGCCCAGCAACGTCTTTCTCAAGTGTCTTCTCACTTTGGCTCCGGTAGCCAGAAGGGAGCCGCGGCCCTCACCCAGAAGAACCCTGATGATATTGTCGTGACATGTGCTCTGCGCACAGCTCTGACCAAGGGCGGAAAGGGTGGCTTCAAGGACACTGCTGCTGCTGATCTCCTTGCCGGTGTCTTCAAGGCTGTCATCAACAAGAGTGGTATCGACCCTAAGTATGTCGAGGATGTCGCTGTTGGCTCAGTTCTGCCTCCTGGCGGCGGTGCTACGGAATTCCGTGCTGCTGCCCTCGTCGCTGGCTTCCCGGAGACTACTGCTGTCAAGTCCCTCAACCGTCAGTGCTCCTCCGGTCTGCAGGCCGTGGTTGATATCGCCAACGCCATCAAGACCGGCATGATTGATGTTGGTATTGGTGCTGGTGTTGAGAGCATGTCTTCGCAATACGGGTAAGGATCGCCTTTCATTCTACTGGCCCCACTGCAAGTATCATTGACTAACTTGTTGTCTCCTCTCTTTTCTGACAGACCCGGCGCTGTGACTGAGTTCTCCGAGCTCCTTGAGAGCCACCCCGAGTCCGCCAACTGCAAGGTGCCCATGGGTGTTCTGTCCGAGAACATGGCCAAGGACCGTGGTATTTCCCGTACCGCCCAGGATGCCTTTGCCGCAAACTCGTATCAGAAGGCCGTCAAGGCCCAGAAGGCTGGCCTGTTCAACGAGGAGATTGCCCCTCTTGATGTCAAGTGGACCGATCCCAAGACTGGCGAGGAGAAGACCATCACCGTCAAGGCCGATGATGGTATCCGCGAGGGTATGACTGCCGAGTCGCTCGGCAAGATTCGTCCCGCCTTCGCCAAGGATGGTTCCATTCACGCTGGCAACGCTTCCCAGATTTCTGACGGTGCTGCCGCTGTTCTGCTTATGAAGCGCTCCACTGCTGAGCGCCTGGGTCAGAAGATCATTGGCAAGTACGTCACCGCCAGTGTGGTCGGTGTCAAGCCTCTTCTGATGGGTATCGGCCCCTGGGCTGCCATTCCCGTAGCCCTGGAGAAGGCTGGTATCACCAAGGATGAGGTCGACATCTATGAGATCAACGAGGCGTTCGCTTCTCAGTGTGTTTGGTGTGTCAACGAGCTTGGCCTCCCTGCTGAAAAGATCAACCCCAAGGGCGGTGCTATTGCATTCGGTCACCCACTCGGCTGCACTGGCTCTCGCCAGGTCAGCACTCTCCTGACTGAGCTCAAACGTACCGACAAGAAGATCGGTGTGACCAGCATGTGTGTCGGTACCGGTATGGGTATGGCTGCCGTCTGGGTCGCCGAGTAACTCAACTTTTTCTTACCTTGTCTTTTTCCTTTTATCATATATTGCACAGCGCTGTTTTGCTTTTCTCCACGGGACACTGGAATTTGAGTTCCGCCTTGTCTTCTTTTCCCCTGGAATTCGGTGCATTAACCCATTATGAGGATACCACCATGGGTCACGCTTGCTTTCATTGTATCTATGTCGAGATATGGACCACGTATCTATCCTGCAATAAAAATGTAAACTATACTTCTTCTCCCACTGAAGACCCATTTTACACACTCAGGGATATGAAATACTCAAGAGCGTCGGAGTTCAAAGCAGAACAGAGTAAAAGATCAATGGGAACTAGCTTCGGAACATCTTGAAGGCCTTTGTCACGGACATTCCCTGTTCAACGGCCTGTTTCGCATGATTGTCCATATCGCCCAATTTGGGCAGTAGCTCAAGCACAGGCTCAAGGAGATCGCGCGAAACGACTACCACCCCGTTCATTGGGTCGCAGAAGACAATATCACCAGGAGAGACATGTACACCCCCAATGTTCAAGGGAATGTCTCGCGCCACGGCTTTTGCTTCGGCCCCTGTGCCTACCGTTGAAGTGCCTCGGGCCCAGACCTATGAGAAGTCCTGGAGTAAGCAGCTTGTTTATCCTAGAGTGGGCAACACCCGTCCTACCAGACGTGGTTAATCAAAACAAGGGATTGAAACCGCACACGTACAGGAAATCCTCTCAATTGCATTTCTCTCACATCGCGCACTCGCCCATTGACAACAGCAGCTTTCGCACCAAGCACCCCCATTCGAGTGGCCACAATACCACCGGTCACGGCGCAGAACTGGCCCTGGGGCTGGTCAATCACAACAACGAAGCCGACATCTGTCGGGTTCGCCGCTGCATAATCTCCTGTAAAATCGACCCAATGCCGACCAGGCGGGAAGCCATGTTTTTCGGGATTCTCACGAGCGATCTCCGGCGGACTTTCATCCTTGGTCCCAAATTGGAAGGTGGTTGCTGGCCCGGCTGTCCGTTCGAGGCTATGGTTTGGGCCGATGCTGGGGGAGTAGGGAGCTTTGGACAGGTTCATACGTCAGCTGCTGCTCCATCAGTAAGTTGAGCGTTCACGTCTCCGGGTCGAGTCATGTGTGAGTCCTCGTAGTAGATGGATCATGGGCAATTCTTGAAACATCGGGATCTCATACTGAGGTCTGCTAGGAAGCCAGCGCGTGCGACCTCCCCTGGGGGAACCTTCTGGAGCTTGAGCAATGCATCTGATACCTGATGGAGTAGCTCAAACGTCAATGAAGGAACCAGACTGCAGAGTTTCGACTCATCAGAGCTGCTACACTCACATCGCAAGCAGTATAATTCCGAGTCAATTCATTCAATTGTTCCTTGAGTGAAGCCATTGCGGGGCGAGGAGCGCGGTAGTAGCAGTCTCAACCGCCGAAATGAGGTCTGGACGTAGAGTGTTGCTATTCAAGCGAATATTAGATGGCCTCACAGAAAGAGCAAGAGCGCCAGCGGTGAGATGCTTTGACACTGGCTGGAGAATATGCGGAAAGACTAGCAAACGTGATCAAGATGAGTCTCAAAACATGGGTTATGCATACGAAGTGGACCGGATCCCCTCCGATCAAGACATGTCCGCATGGCCGAGACCGAAAGAAATGCGCTCATCCGAGGTACATCTACCTACCGATCAAGGTGGACGATCTGCCTGTGACCAACCCATTAAGTTCGGTACAGCGGATAGGTAGGATGAAGAATATACCTTAGTATACCACGTTCCATTAGCCACTTTCAAATCTGTTCTACATGCTGGATATGACATTGATGAGGTGTATGGTAGATATCTCTCTCCTCCCGTCGAGGTTTATGCATGATCTTCCCCCACAGATTTTGTACTCAGCCTCTACACAAATCAGTCCATGTGAAACTTGTCCACAGAAGATCGCCAAAGACGGGGCAATCCCATCGTGGAATTAGATAGATGGGCGTCCGCCTACAACCACCTGTTTGACCTAAATGTTGCCAATCCAGGACGGGAGACATTGGATCGGAGCCATCGAGGCATTAATTTATGTCAATCAGCAAATCCTCAGGTGGGTATGGAATACATTGTATCAATTTGCCCACATTTGACACAGTCGGGTGTGCTACATTCAAGCATTGGATCAATGACTTGGTGACAAGCTGAAAGCTACAGTAGTGATAGGAAGAAGTCCAGTCTGCACGTGGTGGACTAAGCCTTGTTTAATCTCGCCGTCATGACCATCCATGTTGGGCTATTTTCAGCTTTCACAAGAGGAAGAAAGATGCCCGCAGGAAGGACCCACCTTTTCTCCTTCGCAGGTGTTTTTCCAACTGACCGCTCTGCAGAAAATCTCACCGCCCGATAAAATTTCCCAAATTGTTCTCTTCAATTTGGGGTTGCAATCATACAGCAACACAGCACAGCCAACATGAAGCGCAAATTGGATGCCAACGATGTGCCCTCTCCCGAGCCTGTCGAGGCCGGGGAGAAGGATCTTGATTTTGAGGCCTTGGGCCTTGATCCACGTCTGCGCCAGGCTCTTATCAAGGAAAACTTCAGCAAACCGACACTCGTCCAGGCCAAGGCTATCCCGCTCGCTCTCGAGGGCAAGGATATCTTGGGTGAGTCTCCTCGCTTTCGGCTTAAATCAGACATCTATTCTGACGAATACAGCACGCGCAAAAACGGGATCCGGCAAGACTGCTGCATACGTTTTGCCCGTATTGCAAGCGATCCTTCAGCGCAAAGCTGTCAGTATCACCCTCTCTGATGGATCTCTTGAATTCCGGCCCATGCTGACTCGGAATTGGTGGTACAGGCCGATACGTCCTTGAAAGCCACCACTGCTCTCATGCTGGTTCCAACCCGTGAGTTGGCAGAGCAAGTTCAAAAAGTCATCACTTCTTTCGCCGCTTTCTGTGGAAAGGACATCCGTTCCGTCAACCTAACACAGAAGGTCTCCGATGCCGTTCAGCAAACTTTGCTGGCAGACTTCCCCGATATTATCGTCTCCACACCCACCCGCGTCTTGACGAATGTGAACAACTCGGCTCTGTCGCTTGATAAGCTTACCCATCTCGTGATTGACGAAGCCGACTTGGTCCTTTCATACGGATACGATGAGGATATCAACGCTCTTTCGAAAGCCATTCCTCGTGGCGTGCAGACTTTCCTCATGAGTGCCACTCTCACGTCGGAGGTAGATACCCTCAAGAGCTTGTTCTGTCGAAGCCCTGTCATCTTGAAGTTGGAGGACAGGGAAGAGAAGGGTGCCGAGATCAGCCAATTCGTGGTCAGGTACGTTGATAGTGAAGGCTGTTCCTCAAGCTACTTTTGACTCCAGACTAATGAGAACTACACAGATGTGCCGAAGACGAAAAGTTCCTTCTTACATACGTCATCTTCAAGCTACAGTTAGTCAAGGGCAAAGTCATCATCTTCGTGTGCGATGTGGATCGTTGCTACCGTGTGAAGCTGTTCCTGGAACAGTTCGGTATCAAAAGCTGTGTGTTGAACTCGGAGCTCCCCATCAATTCCCGAGTGCATGTTGTCGAAGAGTTCAACAAGGGTGTGTACGACATCATCATCGCCGCCGATGACCAGGAGGTGATGGGCACACCAAAGCCATCGAAGAAGGCCAAGGAGGCTGAGGAGAGCGCTGAAAACAAGACGGAAGTTGGAAGCAGCGAGGACGAAGAGGACGTGGAAGAGTCCAACGGCAAGCAGAAGACCAAGAAGCGCAAAATGTCCAGTAAAGAGAAAGACTATGGCATTTCGCGCGGCATCGATTTCCGAAACGTCGCCTGCGTTCTCAACTTCGACCTCCCGACTACCTCAAAATCATACACCCACCGGATTGGACGAACCGGCCGTGCAGGCAAAGCCGGAATGGCCCTTTCGTTTGTGGTTCCCGCCGACCAGTATGGCAAACACAAGCCCACGTCAACGTCGACCGCCAAGCACGATGAGTCCGTGATCGCAAAGATCATCAAGCGCCAAGCCAAGATCGGGAATGAAGTGAAGCCTTACCATTTCGAAATGTCACAAGTCGATGCCTTCCGTTACCGTATGACTGACGCTCTGCGGGCAGTGACACGTTTGGCCGTACAGGAGGCTCGAGCCCGCGAGATTCGACAGGAACTGATCAAAAGCGAGAAGCTGAAGCGGCATTTCGAGGAGAACCCGGACGAGCTGCGTCAACTACGTCACGACGGCGAGTTGCGCGCTGCTCGGGTCCAGCCCCATCTCAAGCACGTACCAGAGTATCTGATGCCTGCGAAGGGACGGAAGGGCATCAGTAAGGAGGATGTGGGTTACGTCAGCTTCAAGAAAACTGGCGAGAACCGTATTCGCAAGGCTCGTGACCGCAACCGCGCGCGTGCGAAGGGCAAGAAAACTGGCAAGGTGGATCCTTTGAAGACATTCAATCGGGGTCGCAAGTGAGGATATGTGCGGATGCTTAGATGTATGCTATGATACCATTATACAGCTGAACAGGAATTTCAGACCATTTTTGCATTGGCTGTTGCCTTGTAGAGGCTGTTTATCTTTTTGTTCTAAATCCCGAGTTTCGAGCATCCCATCAGATTGCTACGCTGATAAGTCCCAGAAGTTGCTACGCTAGAGTACTCAGTAGACCCATGCGCTCCTTACGTGGACATTCTAGCATCAACAAGGGCCTCGACATGGCCAGGAGACCTCCCACGACTGAGTCTGTCCTCCAGTGTATGCCTGGAGCCACTTCCCACGAGCAGCTTTCCTAACCGACCGTATCTCAGTGCACACCTCTTCCGCCTGGAGCACAGCCTGTTGCCAAGCTTGACGTCCCTTTTCTCGACGATAAGCCCATCTCTCCTCTTCCACATCCCAAGGCAGATCCGAAGAGGCAGGACCGACGGAAGCATCACTTCGGTATATTGGGGTCTGCGTCGACGGCATTTCATCCCGAGGATACTCGAACCCAGGACCCAGACTGATCCATTCGATATTCCGCCAGGATGCGTTCCATTCGGGACCCGCGCTACCCGGTCGATAGGGTTGCCCATCGGGCGTCGTCCCCGTCCAGATTAGAGCACCGATCCAGTCGGAGCACCCTTCTAGATCCAGCCACTTCAGGCAGTATGTATAACGAGATAGCTGGCGCAGAATGCCTGCTGCTTCGGCCCAATTATTCTCGACCGCTGAGTACTCATCAGTGCCCCCGTGCAACATATATGGCCCGCGATGGTTAGGCGGTTTCATTCGTAGGGGAGCGTTCTGTGGTGTACGTGTTGGAGCGGGCCAGTGAGCCAGAGATAGATGGGTGATTGTAACTATACGCGACAAGAGATGGAGCAGAGAATTCCAACTTGCAGCGCCCGCTGCTGGATGCGCGAGGGACAGGTAACGAAGATTGCTGAACCGGGCGGTCAGATTCAAGACCTTGGGGATGGCAGGCACTGCATCAAACTTGAAAGATTCGTTGCTATTGCCAGACACATCGAGATCCTCTTCGTCCCAGGATGTCGGGATCTCTTTCTTGGGAGCAGCAGACTTGGGTGCCGCCGATGCTGCCTTGGCGGAGATGACAAGCTCGCTTGAGAGCTGTTTCAACGACGTCCAGTATCCTAGACTCCGTGTCATATCCAGCCGACGGACATCAGCATCAGAGCCTGTGGCTGGACCCATTTCGTCGACGGCATATTGCGAAAGATGGTGTTCAGGGAGAAATAGTGGGGCCAGCCCTCCCATTCTCTTCAGCGGCTGGGTCCTCGCATGACCAGCATATGTAGCGACGTAACTCAGCATAAGCTCCCTTATATGAAGCGGAAGCTGACACAGAAATGGCCCATCATAGTCAAGATGCCAGGCCCAATTTGAGGCCATAGATCTGAGGACCGCATGAACGAGACTCGACTCGCTGGGAAATCTTGCCCCCGGTAACCTGTCAAGTCGAATGACAGGAGGTCCAGCAGTACGAGAGCCCGCCACCCCACCAGCACCACCTCCACTCAAACATCCCGTGTCTGCATGCCTCGCGAGCCAGCTATCCGGAGGAGGAGGCCCTGGCACAAGTCGAACGGGGCGCCCACCGATGATCGCACGACGAGACCCCGCGCGAGGTCGAGGTGGCGGGTTATTGGGCAGTTCGAGCAGGGTCCTCAGAGACGGATGAACCGATGCCTGGGAGATGACGGATCGCGATGCAGAAGAGTTTCCATTGTCCAAAGCACCTGAAACTTGCGTACGCCGAAGATGGCTGATCAGATCGTTGACAGAAGGCGATTCCGAGTCGTCGGAAGCGGTGGGCCGTCTATGTTGATCATCTCGACGGATTTGGGACGTGAGCGATGGGCTAGGGCTGAAGCTCGGTTTATATACAAATGATTTATTCTGTCTTTTGGGCATGAGCAGTGTGTGTAAGATATGGGTAAGATTTCGTGAGAGATAGACAGGTTTGTGGAATCGTAGACCGTCCCCGCCGATGTCATTGCTTATCGATCGGGGCTCTCTTATCGCACGGTTCCATGCCGAAGGTGACTACTAATAAGTTACAGACTTACAGTTAGTAGGTTCAAAGGTTAGTACTCGCTTCAATCTTGTCTCCATGTTCCTGGCTTTGTTGAAATCTAGTTAATTTGGGATTTAGATCGATGGAATATCGGGAGTCTTCTACACTGCCGATGTACTATCTATTCTGCTAGGACTGAATGAAATGATGAACAAGAACTAAGAATCACGTTACATTGGTGTTGAAGCGGTGTGCTTCATTCTTCTCGTCGGTCACTCTATTAATTTGGAGTATGCCCGCTATCGTACAGTTCTATACAAGGCTATTTACAATAAATATTTCGTACTGGGCTTTTCATAGATCACGAACCCAGGAGTCATCCTTCATGTGGCCCTCTCGACCCGGGCCCTCTTCTAACCATGTTTCAACTAAACCCTCCTTAGGATCTTCGTCAGGAAGCCCACGGGAGCGTCTGACGTCGAGAACAAGGCGGCGAATCTTGCGAGTCACTTCCTTGCGCAACTCGACCACTTCCTTGTTATGTAAAAGCTCGTCGCTCAACACTCCAAGCGGCAGGTCTCGAGATTGAGCATCTGCTTTTTCAATCTTGGCCTTGAGCCTCTGCCAGCGTGATCGCATCTCTCCAAACTCCTTCTCGTTGTCTACCTTGGAGCCGAATGTGATGCTGACATTCTTTCCCACACGAGGGAGGAATCGAGGAAATTCGCGGCTTTCATGCATGATTTGGTCAAAGCCCTCAATCCACATGGGTACCACATCGGGACATTCATCTGCCTCAAGAATGAGACGTGCAATGCCCCATTTGAAGTAGCGCATGGTTTTGCGGGGCGATTGGTGGATCTTGCCCTCGGGGAAGATGTGCACCCAAGAGTGTGAATTGCAAGCATAGGCAGAGGGGCCCATGTGTGAGTCTTCGCCATTTGTTGTGTATGCGACGGAGAGATCAGAGAAGGGATCGACGCATACATTCTCAAGGCTGAAATGTTGCCGTTCGGGTTTTGCGCGATGGTGGTCGACAGGGAAGGGACCCTTGGAAAGCATTCGAATGGCCTGCGTAATTGCGGGTTGGCCGAGTCCGCCAAAAGGCGAGTGTGCGAGGCGATGCGTGGGGAGGACCTGGCCTAGTGCAAAGAAGAGCGAGAGAGGCCTGGGTCGTAAACATGAAAGGTTAGCCACGACCAGAAGCCATTGACCTGTATACGTATGTAAGAAGTACTCACCTTCCCTGGAAGCAAATGTCATGGCTACCAAAGGACCATCGCTTGTTCCAATATCTCATGGGGAGCAATCCCCAGATCAACGGATCATCCATACTAATTCCATCGCGGGGCCGTCAGTGTCGATAATTCAACCAAACAAGGAGCGATTTCTCGTGAACATGTCGGCAACGTACACGCTAATGTGATTTGAGACTGTTTCAAGATTTCACTGTGAGCAAAGGGAACATAGGTAGAGTGACGTCGTTTGAACCGATCCGCCAGAGTACATACCCGTGATGAGACCTTTCGTCCGTTGCGACGCATCCTGCCTTGAGTCCAACAGCGCTGTGAATGCCTCACCGCCATGAACTTCTGCATTATTCAATGCTGACAAGAAGCCACGACATAGCCCAGCTACTCCCCACATGGTGACACTGGACATTGCCCGCCATGGGAGGGACGGCGCGTCTGCGGTTGATGCGCCGGCGTCCATAGTGATGTGAATCGTGGAAATTCAGTGATGCTCCATAGACGAGCGGAGGCGCTCGTGAGGAAAGCAGATGTCCAGGGAATTCCGAGACTGCCTTCTTACTCTGAAAAGTCAACAGAAGAACCCTTTACGCCAGAGGGGGAAAAAACAGGGCCGCTGCTGATCGGCGAACATTCGGTCTTCCGGAATCATGTGACTGAGCCTGGGGTAAACACATGTAGAATTATCTAAAATCCTCCCACTACAGTTGACCTACACTGAGTCAAATTTTCAGAATTGCTTCTAGCATCACCAATAAGCCTACTCTTTACATAATTATTGCACCCAATCCTAATTACGCGGTTGTTATTGTACAGTGTTCCCTCGATCTATACTCGTACTGAACGGCGTTGAAGTACAGCAGAGCCGAAGCGCACGGACCAATTGTATTCCGGACTTCAAGCACGATTTTGCCCGCCGTATCATTTTCATTCTCTCCTGCAAGCCGCCATCATGTTCAAGCCCACCTCGGCCCTTTTCTCGGGTCTTCTCTGGTAAGGAGACATTGACAACGAATACCCCTTTCAATATCTCGATCCATCAGACTGACCCCCTCTTGTACTGAGTAATAGGAAGACCCCATGGCGTCTGTCATCGCCCCAGAAAGCCCGGCAACGCAAGCGCCTACGCGCCGTCGACCAGGTCGTTGATACTCTCAGCGCAGCTCTTTCGCGACAGGGAAAGACTACTAAGGCGGTCGAGCGGTGGTACGCCGAGATGCCTCGCGAGGAAGAGATGCTTCCCAAGGACAAATACACCCTCTTCGATAAGAAGGAGAAAAGCTACCGCAAGTCTATTCACAGTATGTCACAATCACACAGGGAACCCTCCTTGACTCCCGAATACCTGGGATCTCTGAGCTTGTTACTGATCCCTCATTCTCAGAGCTTCCCAAGTGGACCCGTGTCAGCCAGCGTGTCAACCCCCCTGGTTTCTAAGCCTGCCATGGCTGCATCCCGCCATGGATGAGTGGTCGAGATATTCAGTGTTTCGCCCTGTCAATTGGCGTCTGTATTATACCCCCGAATTTAGAGCGCCGGTCATTCTTGATGACTTGAGTGCCCTGACGTACGCATCACATAGGAAGGGAAAACCGGAGTTAATGGTGATGCAGAAATCCTTTGAAGGCACTTTTTACAAGGAAGCCACTGGCACCCATTGTTTCATAGCCAGCGTTAGTCGTGATTTTTTTTGGCTTTTCTATCCAATCGATTATGTTCAGATCGAACAGTGCTCAATGTCCGGCCCCTTCTAACAATAGGATGATATCGATCCGGCTTGTAATAATAAGATGCTGGCAGGCTGACAGTGCTGGGTCTAAGACAAGGGCCACACCATCGAGAGTGAGAGCTGAAGATGAGTAGCATCAAAAATTGGGCATGTCAAGTTGGTGAGCGTGCTCGCTCCCTTGGAAGCAGTGCCAGGGACGCAGCGAGGCAGCCTCTCTGAAAGGACGACGCTACCTCCCTGACACGGGTCCGGTTTGCACGGCCTTCGTGGATGAACTTATCAAGGCGATATCCTCGGCCGACCTGCTGCCAATCCTCCAGTTTTTCCTGCCAACCTGCTCCTCCGTCATACCACGCGTTCTTTTGCTTGTTTGACATCGCATGTCCTTGCGGTGGCTTCGGTAGCATCCATGCCGCCGGGTCGGTGTGCCCATCTGGAGGTTCTTCGGCTGACTCTTCGTACAGCTCAACTGAGTGAAGGATATTTCTGTTTCCAGAAACTTTTCTTTGTCGATTTACAGCAATCCGCCATGAATCTATGCGTGGGATTCGAGCCCTCCTCTGGCGGTTCTTAGCGTATTTGGGCCTCGGGACACCGCTGTCGCTGCTCCCAGGCAGTGGGAATCGGGGGTCCCCCCAACGCCGACGATAGTCAGTGGATACCCTCGAGACGGGATCAGTCACCACCCATGTGGCTGTATTGAGCCAATGGTTGGCAAGGAGACTGAATTGATACGGTCTGTGGCCAGGGGTCATCTCGTCATACACCCATTTCACCTTGCGGTTCAGTTGGTCAATCAGGCGTAGTTCCCAGTCGCTGAGCTTCGCAGTCGGAAATGGCACCTTTTCGCGGCCTTTACGTCGAAGACGCCTGCAATTTGGCGTGGCTTGAGATCTTGTGGAGCGTCTGGCCCTGCCGGGTAATACTTGCACGGTCAGATCTTTCGGTGAAACACCGCGCCTTCCGTGCCAGGAGTGTAGGGGCTCATTCGAGGTGTGCATCACAAATGACTTCGGCTTTCCCGGGGGCCGAACTCGGACTGGGGCGGTGTTGAATCTTCCAGAATTGGCAGACGTATGGTCAACCGTAAGTGTTATTTGTCTTTCAATGAGCTTGGATCCGGGAGCAGCGGCCATTGAGACCGGCGTGTTTTCGAATGTCGATTTAGACGCTCGGTTATTGGTCATCATTTGGGCTTGGTGAAGGTCCCAAATGCTTTGCTCTGAGCGACTGGTCGTCCAGACGGCGGTAGCTGGGGTCCCTGGAGGCCCAGATGAATCTTTGCGGCGTTGTTCCACATACGAGCGCACTCCTATCTGCATCTTCGCTGACCAGGCACTGTATCTGCGCATTGGTCGGTGGCTTTTTCTCGATGAAAGCGTCGAAGGGATGCTAGAGCAGTCATGTCGAGTGTGGGACGCAAGCGCGGGACCGAGCCCACCATCGTACTCCGCAATCTGAGTGTTCTCTGATTCGAATGATGCCAGTGACAAGTGGCGGATACGCGGTCTTCTGTTGAGCTGCCACATGTCATCTCTGCGGTAGTCGCGCCGCCCATTGACCGATGAGGAGACTGAATGAATCTTGGATGGCAAAGTCAAGTGAGATGCATTTTTCCTTACTCCTGAATGCCTCGCGCCTTCTCCAACCGGGCTGCTGCGTCTTTGCGTGAGCTCCTCTGGAAACGAATGGAGCCTGTGGTGAGGCATGGACGTCGTGGGTCTATTTGAGCGTCCATCAAACAACTCAGCAGGCTGGGACCATGCATTGACGGCCGTCTCCCATTCAGATGCAGGTCGAATGTCTTGCGAGTTGGGGCCGCTGTTACCGCTCATCAATGCCCCATGACATTCTACTGAAGATCGAGGATAAGCGGCGGAGAAAGCTGGAGTGAATTCAGTGCTTTGAAGAAATCGTGGGAGCAAGCGAAGTCGCTTGCGTCTGGCTCGTCGTTCATCTCTCGCCTCACAGCCCGGGTCCCACCACATCCACTCATAACTTGTTCTTGGAGACTCCCAGGAGAACCAGTCCAGTATGTATCGAAATGCTTTCCGAAATCGACTCTTGTTCCTCTCGTGTATCTCGAGGGGCACCCAGCCATACCAAGTCCTGGCGAATCGACTTGTCGGTTGTTTGCCCTCTTGCAGTACTCGGTGTCTGGTCCGGGCCCGCAGAAACTGACCGGTCTTCCAGAAAAGAACAGAGAGAATAAAAATTCCGACCGTGCCGGCGAGAAGCTGCACGAAGGTGCCGGTATTGATATAGTCCCTTATATGGGTTGGGTTATTATGGTTGGGCTGATGAGCACGAGAAGGTGTGGATCGTGAGAATGAGAATGAGTGAATTCCAGTCTGGGGTTCGCCTAGTGGAGCCATTTGCTTGATTCAGACCAGCCTTTGAGCTGAGGGCTGTGGTGCACGATCTGACTCAACTCATAAAAGAGTGACCGCTCCATGTGCCTGTGAACAGAATTGGAAATTCTGAGAGAAGGCGTTTACATGATCTCAAAGCTCTTGCTACGAATGGCAATGGTCTAAGGAGGAGTGCACCTTCCCTTCTGACAAACATGGTCCGCGTAAGGCATCAATCGGGGCTTGTAGTCTTTGGGAAGGAATTTCACGAGCCCGTCTTCGACTCAGAGAGCGACAAGAACCTGTGAATTGTATTTTGAGCAAGCTGGTGTTGGTTTACGCCTGAGTCGAGTTGATGAAATGCTGTATGCAGTCTTCCTCAGTTAACAAGGATGGTCTTGGGCTATCTTCAATATGCTCAGTATTCTCTTTCCTCAAGCTCTCGGGTTGCCAATATTTGCGCTTGAGCTGCCCTCAATTGAACACTTCTTGTCGGTGTACAATGTGCAGTGTACAATGTGCAGTGTACAATGTACAGTGTTACCCAGTCTTCAACTTAGGGCGGTGTTCGTTGCATGCAAGTTGTCAACATGGGCCCGTAGACTGAAGGAAGTTTGGTGCGTCGACTTTTGATACTCAAGACAAACCTTCTTCATTTCTCTCTTCCTAGAAATATATCGAAACGATCATTCCGGGGCCATAACCACTCCGCCCTTCCCCACTCTTGAGCTGCGTGGCTTCATGCGTGCGTAATTGTAAAATCGTGATGACCTGCCCTCGCAATTCTTCCACACTTGATCGGCCCTTCACCGTGAACCATCCTTCTTTCTTCTCGACTTGGAAGTTAGGGACCGGGCAACGAGGTATCAGCCGAAAGGACAAAGATCCTTGCCATATCAGATGCAGTAACAATGGTCTCAATCGTCGGTGCAAGGACTAGGGCTTCACCGCCACACTTTACAGTGGCGGTGCGTCTCCTCACGTCTCGTCGATCGGTGCTGCTGCAATCCTTTTTAAGGCCCACTTCTGCCCCACGACAGCATGGAAACCTTCCCCTCTCAGCCTCCTGCATGTCGGACACCTCGGCCAAGTCTCGTTCTGCAAAGTCTATTTTACCTCTATTGACTCTCGGCCATGAGGCTCGGTCTCGATGCAGAAAGAATCGTGATGCCACGATGCTATTTGGCGCCAATCTCTCCTCGCTTACCGACTGACGGTGGGCGTGCGTAGACGCCACTTAATCGAGACGGGGAGCCATGTCCGGCCCCACTAGTCTTCGATTGAAAAGTCCTGTGCATATTGCTTTTGTCTTTGAAACTTGGCCACCAAGACGTTCCAGACTGGGCAGCTACAGCATCTGCATGATCCCGGACCACTGCACTACTGCAGTGGAGTGATACAGATGATACAATATGATTGTCTCATCAGGAACGCCTTCCCCCCCCCGCGTTCGTCGTGAACTGCCCGGTTACAAAGTTATCAAGGTGCCAAGGACCACTGAGATATTCCAAGAGAGGACGGAAACGTTCATCCGGCAGGAGACGATCATTTCCCTTTGCATATCGACCACTGCTTCGCAAATCTGGAGATAAGCTGTTCTGCACGAGTTTCCGGTGACGAACAATGACGAAGTTAGTCTAAAAAAATCAAAAGACCAACGAGCGCGCTTGGCCCTCATCCACGAGCGATCGTCTTCTCGAGCCCCGAACTTGTATCTCGCAGGAGGCGTCCCGGGAGAACATCAGCGCCAGGATTTGCGCAAGGGTTCCTCCCCATGGAGTGTGGCTGTTACAACCGTCACATCCATCGAGTCTGACATCAGAACAGAGCCGCGGTCCCTCGGCTATCTTGCCAGAGTGAATCTCAGATCCCGACAGCGTCGTGAGTCTCACAAAAGCCTGGAGCTTAGGTCGGTGATTGTTCATCAGTAGAGGGGGTCAAGGCTTTTGTTTACGCCGCAGCAGAGTCGTCGCTGTTAATGCGTACTGGTATGCTTTCCCGCCCAAATGTAAGCCCAAGCCACCCTGTATTCTGCGAGTGGCTGATATTGGGTACCTCGAGACACGTGAGGCTAAAGCTGAAAGCTACCATTTCAAACTAATAGACCGATCCTGGCGCAGATCAACGACTGGGACGCTCTCCGATGGTATGAATGCACTGATGCAATATGTATCCGTAGGTTCTCGGAGTGACCGATAAAGTTTGACGACATGTGTCTTTGCTGGGCCCACAAGTAACCAGCCCGAACCCTTCATGCGCCGCAACAGGGGCTCACAGGATGGTCCAACCGAGCTCTACAGCCTGATGCGAGACAATCTTTCATGCAACAAGCTTTTGTTGAGAATCGAAATCTATCCCTGCTGATACGAGAAGCAGAGGCCCTCGTCTTCCAAAATTGCAATTGAAGGGTCAATGTGCCGGTGTCTTTGCGTTGAATGCAACAACAGGAAATCAAGTTACCTCGTGCAGTCCAATCCGCTGTCCAGCTGGAGATGACGAAGGAGATGCTCATGGTATCGTGGGACGAGAGAACTCCAATTCTACTAAGCTCTCCTAGATCGATAGGGCGATCATGACTGCTTTCAGGCTAGATTGCGCCATGACCTCCACCTTATCCACGGAACCTGTATCTCCCCAGCAAAGGACAAGCCACGGGATGTGCAACGCCGAGAGCGGGAACAACTGACTCGCAGAGTTCAAGGCACCAGCCACTCTAACGTCAAGGGCGAGGTCAGTTCCGTCTCAAAATCCCCGTTCGCGATGATGGCTGCTCTGTCTTTGAGAATGGTTGGTGTCCAAGGGTTCTCCTCCTCTTGTGACCTGCGATCTACTGGGTGATCCCTGTGCGCTCCGTCAATCTGGATGCCCCCAGAGGCCTGTGCGATGGTTTATTGATCGGGTGAGAGTCAACCCAGGTACCGGGTCGGAATGACCGAAGTGCAGCCGGAGTCATTCAGTGCGCCCAGCGGGACTTTTGAGTGGATTTCAGAAGAACGAGGTTGAAGCGGGACTGGGGTAAATCCAGACTCCCATGCTCGGGGTCTGTTGAATCAGTAAATCTTTCTATCGCACTCAGTCTATTCTAAGAGAGCAATGAATCCCTGTTAGACGATCCCTATTGGAAGATCTCGATCTAGTGATGACCTACCCGGCCCTACTCGCGAAGCCACGATTGATCGTTCAATGGTCCCTCAACAATCACATAGTAGTCTTCCCTCTCGCGCCGCCAAACCGAAAACTCTACTTGAAACCCGACAACTTTAACCGAAGAGAGACCGGTCATTGCCTCATCCACTCTATCCACTCTATCGGATCCCAGCTCGCAATTCTAAACATGTTGAGGAAGTTGGGACCCTTTCGGCTCGCCCAGGACGACAATTCGGAGCGGATCTACACGCAGGCGGGAGATGATCGTGAAAAGGTGGCGGAAGTAATTTCCGTAAACGCTAGCCCCATTTTTTCCTTGATAGATTACTTTTTTTTTTCATAATTCATGCACGAGTGCATGCATACGCTATCTGAAGATTCCGGTGGCAAATTTCTTGCATTGTAATAAAATCATCCCGCATAGCCTAAACTGGAAAAAGGCTGCCGATGCACAGGGTTCTTGTTCGGGACCTCCCCCTGGTCTCATGAAGCTGTTGAAAAAAATTATATGAAGACCCGGATAAGTATGATTCTTTCCATGAGGTGTGCTTTGTTTAAACACGTCGAGAATTTTTCAATCTTCACTCGGATTTTATGAGCACCTAGTTCGAGTCCCAGTAGTTCTGGGGAAATATTTTTTTTATCTTGCACGTTTTTTGTCTGATGCAACTGCTATCGCCGATTCGGATATTATTCCCGGTTCAAGCTTCATCTCTCGATCTTGGACGAATTTCGATCCGTCCGGTTTGACAAGGCCACAAGAGTTTTAAAAGTCGTCGTCTACCTCGTCCTCGATCAATTTGTACCAGCTCCAGACCAACAGTTCAAGTACGCCGAACTTTGGAAAAATTCACCTCTCGAAACCAAATCAAGATCGCACTCACATCTCTCCTTCAGCCCGAAACCGAGAACACTTTCATCAAAGAACCTTCCATAACCGAACTTCAACCCAGGTCTCTGGAAGTCCCAACACTATGGCACAACCCCGAGAATTTCACCTCACCTTTGAAATCCCTCCTCCAGCAACGGTCCGACCAGGTCTCCCATTCACCATTCCCGTCATCATCTCAGTCCGCGCCATCGGCACCCCTCCAACACAGACTGTCACCTCGTGGCCGGTGCCAGCCTGCGCAATGAAGCCGGAACCAGTACCGCCGCTGGACTCGGTGGGAATCTGACCGCGATGGTGCGCAGTCGTAATGAGCCGTCGATGAGCGGGTACGCCAAGTTTACGGGGTTGATGATCTCGCAGCCGGGCAAGTATCGGTTGAGGATCATGCTGAGCACTTCTTCGGTGAATGGGGTGGTGACGAAGGAGTTCGTGGATTCCGGGGTCATTCATGTACAAGCTGCGGCGCCGGCGGCTCAACGACCAAGTACGTCTTTCATTGTCTTTCGATCGAGAATGCGCTCTGGGTATAGCTCCGATATGGGCGTTTTTCTCTCGTGGTCTGGATAGCACGTGAGCTTTTCTGAGCTAACCCGTTTCATCTTTGTTATTGTTCCAGGCCCAGCCACGATAGCCACGCTTCAACAATTAACGGTCGAAAACCTCGACATATCTGCTGCAGATATAGCGAGATGGCAAAGCGCCTGATCTGGAATTCAAAAGGCAATCGACCGAGCGAATGCAAGTTCCACCACAGGTGCCAGGTGGTGACATATAGATCACAAGCGAGATGAAGGAGACAAGGAACGGTTGCCGATAACCATTGCTCACGAATGAAAGCTGGCGTCATTCGCAATTTTTTTTTTTTTTTTTGATTTTCTGGATATGAAGATTTGCTATTTAAACGCCTAATGGATGCGGTCTATTCCTCTACGGATCGGCCACCTCGAACAAGTGTCTCTCCAGAGCAATTCACACTTGAATAAGAACTGTACGAAAGCTTCGTGGAAATAGAGTTTCCGAATCGAGCCTCTAGATTGTACGGAAAGGGTTAAGTTCGAGACCGGAGAAACAGATGGATAAGGTACCACTAGCTTCGTGGGTCGTGGTGGTTTTGATGAACCAATTTCACATCCCTACCTACCTGAATCGATCCCCCGCTCGATCCCTTCCCTCTAAGTATCATCTACACGGGCTTGGAGTTTGCTTCGAATAAAGGTAATTGCCCATCGATACCATCATACGCAACGTATCAATCCGGGTGAATATCTCCTTGGCCAAATCAGAAACTTCCATCCCTCCCACGTTCCACTTGACCCCTGTCTACTTCAAAGAGATCAATTATGACGGCATCCAGCTTTCGAACTGATCAACGGGACTCTAACTGCTCGGTCAACCATTGCTCTTAGCAGTTGACTGCTGATTCCCGGCTAGCACTTGTGGAGACTAGATCCATCTTCGCGAGCCCGCAGTTTCCAGTGGTGTGTCGAGTTAACAAGGTTGAGGGCGCTTTGTACGAAACCTCTCTGCCAATATCCGGGCGAAATGAGAGTCATTCGAAAGATAAAGGTACCAAAAATTAAGCTGTTCATTGAACAAATGTCTACACTCGGAGCACATGCAGATAAGGGAAATTGAATTCTGGTCACTATCATATAAATGCAGCCCTGGTCAACCCAGATATCAAGTGTTGCACTACTTTCTGAAAAGTAAAAAGGCATACAGAGGGAAAAGAGTGTCAGATGATCGGTTGCGCGGTGGATGTTCATAAAGCGCAAAATGAGTTGGACCCAGGAGCCAGCATTCTCTGAGTTCAAGGTGGAGGCTGAAACAGACATGGCAAAGAGGAGGAACAATTTCACTTAGCTCCTGGCCAATGGGCACCGTGATGAAAGTATATATTGGGGTGCCGTCGATTGGAAGATCAATGGCGCCTCTCTCTTAGTCGCCGGCGGCACATTCACTGAACAGGCGCGAGATCTGAAAGTAAAATCTTGAACCGGATAGTGACCGAGGTCCTCATACCGATGTGATGGCTCAGCTGAGCTACAGCAATCGAGAAGGAATCCATTGCATCAAAACCAGAACCGAGTGGACGGTATCACAGTATCGTCATCACTTTGTTGGAGAAAGGTTGACGAATCATGTCAAGGGAGAGTGGGTAGGCAAGGGAAAAGACAAGGCGTCGTTCAGCTCTCCTTGTCGTGGCGGCGGAGCTTGTCAATGCTGTCACGAACCGTCTCGCGCACACTAAAACCACCAAAGAGCCAGTCGTTAGCGTGACGACCACATTGCTGAACGGTGCCGTGGTATCGACGGTAGTCATCACTAGTCTTGCGCCCCATGGTTGAGGACCGCTTGCGGCTGCCTTGCTCCTGCTGGGGAGACTGGAGACCGAGAGGGTGGGTGGTCATGTGGGTTGAGCTCTGACGGTCTGAGAGTCGGTCAAAATACGAGTATGACGAGGAGGAAGAAGCCAGTGTCGACGAGTTGGACAGACTGCGTTCGATGTCGTGATGGCTGGATGAGACGCTCGCAGAGTGCGAGCGATGATGGGTTGGGGAAATATCCAGAGGCGTAGGAAGCTTGCTACTGAATCGAGAGAACTTGGAGACCAGTGGGAATGTCACTCTTCGACTACCACGGGGTCTGTTATGATCGAGTTGGTGGAGGTCTCGGGCAGGGAGAGACGTGATGGAGGACTGAGACTGTGGTCGCACACGATCAGAGGTAGAGTGGTTATTGTTGATGGAGGACCCACGCATCACTTGGTTACCGATCGGATAGAATGCAGAGGAAAATAGTTCACAGATGACTGGGCGGAGGAAGACGTTGACCTGGAGGGGGATCACAGGACTTCATATACGTTCGATCAGTTCCATTCCTCGGCTTCGTTTCCCCACACTTTCATTCCCTTTCTACCTTCAACGGCCTCATGGATGGTGGACAGGGGATTGATGAGTTGGACTTGGCGCATCACAGTGGTCACTGGTTACCATCCATCCTGAGAGTGTCTGCCGTGTATCCACCGTCCACGCTGGGCCTTGGTAATGGCATCGATAGCCCTGTAAGGCTACTAACCAGCGAGAGCTCCGCTTCTTGGTGATGCCGGGGCCCGCTGCCACCATGCAGGCTATCGACTTCCAGGATGAGCGAGTGGCTCGATTATGACCGACACGGCTGACAGGGCCAATTAAGGGTTCACAGCGTGCCAGTCTGGGGCACCCAAACTCCCCGCCCGTGCAGCAAAGTTCGCTGACGGGCCGCCCACTGCGAATCGGAGTCTCGCATGAAGGGATCCGTGAGAAGGCCCCGGCAAGTGCACCGGGCGTCCATGTCGGTGAGGAGGTCAATGACAAGAGCCAGTCACTAGACAAGGTATTCGACCATGCCGTTTTGCTTCGCCAAAGTCCTGTACAGTGTCTGTCAGATTTTAGTCTCATTGATCAGATGAGCACCGGGCCCGTTAGCAAGCTTGTGGACTTTTCCATCATTCACTCTTTCATCCCTCGTCCACGACTTTGATACTCCAATGTCATCATCATCCGAGTCTTCAATCATGAATCCTATGGTGGATGAGTGTGGAGAGGATGTATTTTTGGAATGTGCTTTCCGTCCCCGCCTTTTCCGTCGCCCGTTTAATTTTTCTGCCTGGCAGGCAACCTCGGCCTTGCCCGAGGATCCACCCGGATGACATGCCGCGGAGGTCCCTGTGCACGCCCTTTTGGATGCGGGCGATACCCCAATGCCGAGTTTCCCGATCGTTGCCCCACGCATGAGGCTCTTCACGCAACAAAGTACCAAATGACTCAATAAAGTCAATACTCCAAGCCCTAGTACTTCAAGTCACCTAAAGCCAGTGGTGACAATTTATCTCCAGGCAATTCAGTGCTCCAGGTCATTTGTCCGATGCTGCTACCGGCACGCGTCGGGTGGATGACCGACCGGTATTCTCATCCGTCGCTCTGCCTCTTGAGTTCCGTCCTAGCAAGACATTTATCCAATGCCAAGCGATCCGGAGAATTGCAGTGAAGTCAGTAGACAGTAGACACGCGTAATCTGCAGCTTGCGCTCAGCTGAGCTGATCCATTGTCACCGGGCGCTCGTGGATGACCCACCTTCGATATGCTGAACCATTCGAGATTTAGAAAGCTAACCAGTAACCCTACATAGCGAAACCTTATCCAGTTTCTTTACATGACCCAGTCGGACTTGGGCAACCCAATTGTTAGAGTTTCAGGTTTCATGATCGTAGTCACCACTGCTCCAGTATGTAGCTCGGGTCGTGGGAGATCGTCTTCATGCTACATACACAGGAATTCCATTTACTCCGGTAAAAGTACGAGACTCCACCAGCAACAATAATGGTGTGGTAACAAGCTTCTTCTCAAGTCCGTGGAGACTGGAACTTCATGCTTGTTCTTCCCTAGAGAGATACTGTGTGTATCTTCTTCCATTTGAAATGGCCCACAAGCTCAACTCGACATGATGACATCTGTGCTGTTAAGCTTTGGAAACCGCCTAGCTGGTGTAGGGACCTATCTATTAGGCTGGTGCATTCCTCTTGCGGACTCTGCGAATCGGGGTTTACAGAGTTCGGCGCATTTGACCCCAATAGGACATACCTTCCGTGATTCTGAGGTTCTCGGAGTTAACAACCTCTACTCTGCTGCTACCACCACGTCCCTGCACGATACCAATGACCGTGTCAGTTCGATCCTAGCGGCGGTCTTGACTCCCTGTCGAAATTTATTTCCGAGATATGACACTCAGTATGGGAAACCTCCAGACCTGTGCACTGTGCAGTAGTCAGTGTATTGAGATGAAAAGTTTGAAAACAAGTGCCGTGTCTCAACTCTGATATCTCGCAATTGTTCATGAGCCACCTCACTTGACTATGGACGAGGGCAGACTTGATCCATCCACCACTTCACATGTGGTTGGGTGTTCGTATTCTTGCTCGCCTGCACCTTACACTTGAGTAAGATAGTAGAACCTATGCAAGAGAATCTCCATGGTTCTCCTCCGAAGCTAAGATGTGCAAGACTCTCATGTGATACTGCCGCCCCTGATCATGTAGACAAATCACCTCTGGCCAATGCTCAGGCTAAATTATACACCAATTGAAAAGATATAAAGTTCGAACCCGTCTCACACCCGGAGAATCCACCTCTCCCATCAACACCAGTCTCAGCTCTCCTCCTGCAAAGGCCACAGACTGGCACTAGGCTCTCTCCATGACCGTGGCTGCTCAGAGTGACAGCGCCGGTGGCGTCTGTCCCCCACAAGATGTGATCCCCTCAGCTCCGACACAGGCAGAATCTTTGGCACCCTTTCAATGATTGTCACCGGCCGAGCAACGACCCGCGATGGCGCCCGGCCCGACCCAGCCTCCGCTTCCCCTTGTCTGCGAAACGTCGGCATGACAAAGAGTGATCGCGATTTATCCAGCGGCGGGCGACGAATCAATCGACGTAGTACGCCACGAGGACCTGGTTTGCGTGCCTGTATTGTCGTCGGCGATACAAATAGATCATCGCGCCTGTTTCTCGCAAGTGAACGGCTCCAGAGACGATAGAGTCGGGGTGATTGCATGCGAGTGATTCCTGCCATTTCTGCGTCGTCATCTTCGTAAATGTCGTTATCTGCTTCATTCTGACGGTCTTGCAGACCGGAGTCAAGTGGGTGAAATGAAGGATTAGGATAACTTGTCCACGAGAAGTCGGTGTCGCTACCAGCTGCGATTTGAGCACCACGAAGTTGGGGATTGCATATCTCGCGAGTGCAAATCTGTGAGCCACAGTGCGGCCATGAGTGATGACGTCGATGATGTCGAATTATAGTCATTGCGAATATCCGATGCTCAGTTGAAGCGCGATGGGGCAGTACAGCGCGGAATAGGTCGACAGCGGTCGCTCGCTGTTTCAATAGAGGCTGGTGTTGCTTAGGTGGACATTATTCCAGCGAGATAAATCCACTCCGGGTGCTGAGCGACTCAGCAACAGTGATTGTGGTGAAGGTGCGCAACTCGAATCGGCTTGAGATTTTTGGTGGAAGATGCAAGACCGATCCAATATATCTCCCAAATCATCCACTTGCGCCATGGCGAGTTACCCCGCTGCATGCATGCATCACAGGTGGGATGGGCCTCTGATAACATTGTTCTCAGGTGACTGAACGATAATCATTCGATGAACGACATGACTATCTCGTATGAGATAGCTCGGTGGGAAAGCGAGACACTCGTCTGATGGGCTTCTGTCAGGTGTTTTTGACTCTCTCCGTACCTTGATTGTTTCCTCGATGAGCGGAGAATTATGAGCATCGGTGATCAGCGCGCGATGCTCGTAACCGCCCTCCTGTCTTCACAAATAGCAAAGTGCTGTCGTTTCGCGCCAATCGAGGAAGGTCATAGAACGGAGACCCTTTATCACGAGTCTGGAAGAAGCCAGGACCAAAAGCACATAGTCCTGAATCAGGGCCCAGGTAGCAAGACCACGAGTGACAATTTGAGATCGATTTGAATCAAATGTCCCGAAAACTCAGAGGCCTCTTGCAAATATCAAGGTTGAATCCGATCAGGTGCCTCGCTAAGCTATTGGAAGAGAGAGGCTTGGCTGTCGAATGACTTGTGTCTATCACCCCGTGACCTACGCTCATGATCAGCCACCGAGTCATTTCTGCTCTCAACACTCCTGGACGTTTGCATGTACTGCGGCGATGATCTCGGCTTTTCTTCGAGTCGACATTTTACTTCTATCTCCGTCGACTAAAGAAAGAAAATTCTGCTCGTTGTCAGATAAGACACGTAGGTAGCATCAATCGCTTGAATCGGTAGGCAGTTTTACATTCTGGGTATGGAGTACAAATTGTGGTTATGATTATCGTCGCGGGACAATGCTAATGCAACAGCCCGCATTCATGAACATCAAATCGGGCGTCCCTGACATCAACCAGTACCAAGTGGTCGAGCAGTAACTCGATTATCTCATCTTCCTTGGTCTAGTGGTCATGATTTCCGCTTGTCACTACAACTGATAAGCGCGGGAGACCGGGGTTCGATTCCCCGAGGGAGAGTTTCTTTTTGACGCTTTTTTTTTGTCAGTCACTCATCAAATAGTTCTACAGACTGCGGCGCAATGTTCTGCGTTTCGAATTGGGTCTATCGAGTAGAGAAGACTGAATCTCGTCCTTGTATTGCCGTGGCACGCGGGATTTGAATGTTCAAGCTGTCTTGTTCCCGCGGGGCTCGTGATACTCGCATATAGAGGATAGAGCATAATCAGTTGATCACTTATTTGAGAAGAACATCGGCTGTTTCACTTGGAGCGGACGAGATAATTCACGGGATAGCTGACACGCTAAAGCTATAGAACCTTAGCAACCCGGGCGAGTTGTCAGATCCGAAGCAGCTCTTCAAATAAGAGTAGGCTTACTAGTGTGCACTTGAGTACTACGGCAACCTTTAGGTCCTTATGGAGATTGATCCACCTAGATGACACCTGAGGCAGATACCAAAGTGGACCCCGCACGGGACAGCTACCTTAGTACCTTACTACCACCTACCAGTACGCTTTGCTGCATGAATCTACGTATTTATCTACTTCGTTTCCGTCCGAGGCTATTTGCTAGCAACGGACATCGCCAAGTTGTCTCTCCTCAGATGACAATTCACTACCCGCATCGTCAGGCTTCAATTTATACCAAAATCCTCTTTGTTATAAACTCTTCGCACAGACCCACGTCTGTCTAATTCGCCCAAGATGACCACCACCAGCACGGGCGCCTCCTTTACCCTGGACCTTTCGACGGTGCTGTGCCTGACCTTCTGCCTCTCCTTCATGCCAATCGCCTACCTACTCGGCAAAGCGCTAATTCCCTCCGGCCACACGCGCGATCGAATCCTCTTCTTCTGGCACGCCTACGACGCCCTCACCCACATCTTCATCGAGGGCTCCTTCCTCTACGAATGTTTCTTCAGCTACGCCGCCTTACCAAAGGGCATCGTCAGCTCAGGCCCCCACTTCCTCAATCGCATCGATCGGATCTACGGCGCCGCGCACGGCACAGGGCCCAGCGCCCGACTCTGGCAAGAATACGCCAAGGCGGACGGTCGCTGGGCCACGGCCGATGTCACGGTTGTCTCGTTGGAATTGTTGACTGTTTTCCTGGGCGGTCCGGCCGCGCTGTACGTGTGCTACTTGCTGTGTCGGGCGTCGAATGAGACGTTGAGTGTGCGTGCGCGCGGGGGAGCGAAGGCGACGCTGTGGTTTGTGGCGACGGCGTTGGCGACGGCAGAGCTGTATGGTGGGTTTATGACCTTTGCGCCGGAGTGGTTGACGGGGAGTGTGCAGCTGGCGACGGAGGATCCGGTTTATCTGTGGGTGTATCTGTTCTTTTTCAATACGTTGTGGGTGTTTATTCCCTTGTGGGTGTTGTGGGAGGCTGGGAAGGAGTTGCAGGCTGCTTTTGTGTCGAGGGAGGTGGTTGTGGCTGAGCGGAAGGGGAAATAAAAGATGTGAAATTCTGGAGGTTGTCTTATACAAATGCGGTAGCTACTACCTAACGTTACCTGCAGGTACATACGTACAAGCAAAACACACAAATTGGACATATTTGAGAGGAACCGATCTTTTGGGCTAGTAAGAAAAGGCAAAGAAGAAGAAAGTAGAGGCGTAAGCTCGTGAATGTCAAGCATCGAGTCGTGTGTCATGTCGCATGTCTGGCTGGGTCGATAGGTGAGCGAATTGAAAGATGGTAATAATATGACATGGATACACCAAGGGAGATCAGAGGGTCTGAAGGTAGGTAGGAGAATATCAGAAAACTTGAACAGGAAGAAATTTACAAAACTGATCAAGTCAGCTATGTCACGGCCATCCGATGTACTCCAGATCACAATTTTGTGGGGCAAGACAGAGAATCGGTCGAATTTAAACCAAAGACCAGAGTCGCAAAGGGGCTCAGGCGATGAAAAAAAAAGATTTTTTTTTCAGCTCTTCATCCGGTCCTTGTCCCAGAACCAATGGTACATCGACTTCCATCCTGCAGCTTCGTCTTCAACATAGTCACCGACCAGTTCAGCAGTCTCGTTAACCTCGTCGGCAACTTTTGATATAGTCGACGAAGGATCCAAGCCCTGCGCTCCATTTGCAGCAGCGCCGGCGGCAGTAGCTGTCATGGAGGCCGGATCAGACGTCATATCAACCGAGACACTGCCAGACTGATTCTTCAAGGCATCCTCGGCCCCCTCACGCGTCTGTTCCGCGTATTCTCGGGCGCCCTCGCGAACAATCTCCCCATATTCTTCCGCCTGTTCGCGTGCGCGGGCCAACAACTCCTCGGGAGATGGATAGCGACGCGCCACAATGAGCAAAAGGTAATAGAATTTGACGATTGATGCATAGACTGCATCCTTGGCCAGCATCGTGAAGCCATGGGAGAAAAAGCTCTTCAGGACTTCACCGGGGAGACCGGCGTAGAGAGCCGAAACGCCCTCTTTTCGGTAAATCGTTGCTACGGCCGAGAATATCTTTGGTGTAAAGGCAGCCATAATCGCATCCGAACCTGAACCTTGTGTGGCGGCCTTTTGCGAGTTCCCGAGCGCCTGCGCTCGTGTCTTGGCCAAGGAGAAGGGATAGGTGATGGTCGAAGCCGTTGACTTGCTCAGGGCAGCGATGAGGAAAGTAAGAGCAGGTGAAGGCCGTTGACGCTTCGCTCGCGGGATAAGAGCGGTCTTCAGCGCTTCGTTCAGGAAGAATGTAATGGACGGGTTGAGAGTCAAAATCAAAGCTGCAGAGTATCCTGACCAGAATCCGCCGAGTCCCTTTTCAGCGCGGATTTGTGCGGCGATATCTGCAGTACTAGGATCTTTCTCTCCCTTCCTACTCTTTCGCGCGGCGGTCTGTTTGCGAGTGACAATATTGGACAGAGGCGTGGTGAAGAGTTTCGAGAAAGCACCGGCAACCATGCCCACTGCAAGTTCATCCCAGATAGGAAGCATGATATTTTTGCTCTTGGCCGCCCGGGCTGGTCCCACGCGGGCAACAATGCGCCTTTGTCGAAGCATGTTGTAGGCAAGGAAGAATAGGAAGGAATCGACGATCGACTTGCAGGTGTCCTGAGCCAAGCCGGGATAGAAACCTGCCAAACCATATTGCTCGTAGATTTTTTTCGCTGCATCGACGATATCTTTGTACTCGGGCTCATTGGGAGAATCTTTGTCCGATGGATCTTTCTTCTCCTGGGTCTGGAGACGGGCGACAATCACGTTAAGTGGGTAGACGATCACATTCGCGATTGCTGAGCCGAGAGCTCCCGCCACAGCGTTTCCGAGGACCGGCAACGATGGACCTCGAAGCGCCGAAGTTTTCCAATCCTCCTTTGGGTCTCGTTGGTCATAGCGAAAAGAAGGATGGAAAGCGTCCTGTATCATAAACCACCTGGTGAGTCCAACCAAGATGTCTGTCAAGAGAAAAAGGCTCGAGAGAGATAGCTTACCAATTCCGACTCGTAAGTTACTTTATATTCGGCCATGGTGAGGTTGCGGAGGGAGAGCGCCCTCGCAAAATGGACCCCTCTCGATCAACCTCGACAATGATGCCTTTGCACGATTCAGAAAACAGAATACGAGAAAGCCTGATCACCAGGCGTAGGACGGGCGCGGATTCAGAGGTCACCAACGATAAAGAAATGATCCGTACGTTCTGAAAATGAGTGATCTCACGCAAAGAAGGCCGACCAGGCGACAGACACGATTACACGAAGTCCACAGCAGGCAGCTGAATGAGGGCCGAGGTTCATGCTCCGATTACATCATGCCGATCATGTGGTTGTGGACCCGTCCGGCCAGCGACCCTACCGAGTACCGAACCTGATCAAGTTCACTTCAAGTCCATCATCACGATCCGGAGCGATGATCTGTTTGGAGCATCCCAATTTCAATTATAAGGATAAATATTTGATAACAAAGAAGAGCGTACGCAGAACTCATCATACAGGAAGACTATTATCGAAGGTAGAAAAAAACACTCAGCCACTGGCCGCAGAGGCCGCTCGGTATTGACGTAAAAGTCCAGCAACGAGGAATGATATGAAAGACAAATTACTCATTCCACGGGCTTTCGCATTACAATGAGCGAGCTTCTGCATCGATGATGCGAATACGTGGGGGCAGTACAGATGCAATGTCAAGTGAAAGCTGAGTTGAAACCGGCTTTGCAAATCAACACTGTACCGCAGGACCTTGCAGCGTCCACGACTAGGAGATGAAACTTCAAGATCAGAAGACTGAGCAACGAGTTCAAGCAGCAAATTCTTGAATTATTGAGCCCAGCGCTCGTGGCTGGGGTTTATTGAGGCATTGCGGTTCGCAGGATTCCAGGATCAGTCCCAAATTCAGCCATAGTACTCATAGAAACAAAACAAGAGAATCCAATCCCAGCACCCAAAAAAAAATCCCAGTCCAGCGTCCGACAAGAACTCCAGCGACCCGATGAGCATCAGAAGACCGCTGAGCAGCCCACGGCTAAGGGTCGAAGCAAGAAGACAGAAGAAAACACCACAGACAGGATTTCACCACCAAAATTCGTGAATTGAAAGCGCATCACTCCGTTAAGCATTAAAAAATTTCAAGGTGCGAACATGTCAAAAACCATGATTGCTTTCTGACATTGGCAGTCCAGCACGTCAAAGTGACATCCACTGTTTAACCGCCGAAACCGTACAGGGTGCGGCCCTGGCGCTTGAGCGCATAGACAACATCCAGGGAAGTGACGGTCTTACGCTTGGCGTGTTCGGTGTAAGTAACAGCGTCACGAATGACCGACTCGAGGAAGGACTTGAGGACACCACGGGTCTCTTCGTAGATCATGGCAGAGATACGCTTGACACCACCACGGCGAGCAAGACGACGAATGGCAGGCTTGGTGATCCCTTGAATGTTATCACGGAGAATCTTGCGGTGACGCTTGGCGCCACCCTTGCCGAGACCCTTACCGCCTTTACCACCTGTGGAGAGACAGAGAATGTGTTAGTTATTCATCATGGGGTAGAAGGTGGAGATGCTGGACAGCGAGGCATGTAGAGTCAAACGAGTCCGAGGGACATTGTTTAAGCTTCTTAGGTACGGTAGACTCTTAGACCCGAGATCATCAGGTTGTTCCGAGCGAGTGGGTTACAGGTTGTGGAGTGCCTGCATGCCTGAGGCGGGATAGCCTCCCCCGATCACGTGGTACCAGGGGCATCACGACCTCCCGACATCACCATCGGGACCCGAACCAAGCCATCCAAGCGAGTAGTAGATGGACAAAAAAAGATCATCACTTACGTCCAGACATGATGTGTTAAATCCAAAAAGTGGATGATTTGAATTTAATAGGCTTGATGGAAGAATTGAAAGAGTGGGAGATCCTTGAGCATTCAATATCAAGCCGGTAGGATGCGTTGTTAGAGCGATGAGAGTTGGAAGGAGAAAGATGGAAGGGAGAAAAAAGATCAGTCAGCGACCGGCGGTGGGCTTTAAATATGGACATCCAACGATTTGATTACGCGTGACCTTCTGGGGGTTCCGAGATATGAGGGGGGGGAAAAACCAAACGAACAGTCGATTGGCACAGGGCGGGAGGCGTCCTTAGGTAAGCTCTAGGTCATTCGGGCAGCAGAGGGGAATGCCATTTCGCGACACGGCGGTAAGTGGCAGGCGGGCATGGAAGGTAAAACACCGTTATGAAAGCCCGATTTCCAGCATGTCTTTTAGCATTGGGAGTTGCCCGCATTTTCCGCGTAGACGGGATCGACCGGATAAGGCTCACGTGGTGATAAGCAGACGGGCGTCGATAAGCGCAAAGCCACTCCCGTTGCGTTGTACCCTTGCGGGTGGAGACTGCGCGCGGTGTGGAAGAGTCGAGACTCGACGCCGGGCATTTGATCAAGGCGGAAGGTTGTTCTGTGGGGTTTAATGGGAGGTGCTCTTGCGGCGGGCCCACTGGAACGTGGAGGAGGGGAAGGCCCATAATATTCTGGCCTCAGGCTGGCAACACGACTCCGTCCGAAGAATTCAAGTCGTCTTCCTCCGATGAGTAAGGGATATCGAAGTCACTCGAATGTTTGGAGCGTGCAGTCATCTGCCTGCGCCTTGAATATCTACGAACAGAAGAATTGATGCATTGTATTTTGAGCGATGAATAGTCGCCGTAAAGACTCATATTCGTCCCGATGGCTATAGTTCACTTTGTACTGTTGTGCAGTAGTAAGGTACTATGGTGGCCTGTGAATCCACAAGTACAGACCAGACAGCCTTGAAGTCAGCATCCTGATTCTTCCCCCCCAACCCTTATTCCTCTCTATGGGACACCCAGACGCTGTCTAGAGATTCCAAACTACAAGTAGTACTAGGTGATGATCAAAAGAATAGTGATAATCATGAGACTCGAGGTCGCGTTCATTTGTGCGTTCCGCTGTCTAGACTATGCTCCAGCGTCGCAGCTAAGTCATGTCCATTGAGAGAAGAGATACCTCTCCTGCAATTTCATCGCATTGCATTCAATCCATAAACCATTGATCAACCGTACCAGAACAAGGACAAAAGCAAAGGGAGGAAGAGGGAAGAAAAAAGAAAAAGGGGGGAATTAATGAAAACATGGACAGATGAAGAGAACTGAGGGAAGAACAAGACGGAATCGAAATCTCCCCGGAACGCCATGCAAGGCTGAAGCACAGCCAGAAAGTCAACCAGAAACAAGAACGGACAGAGGGACGAGAAAGACGCGAGGAGCACCCCTAACAATGAGACGTCGGCTAATCCAATGATAATATGCAAATTTGAGCAGAGGCAGGCCCAACAAAACTAATAGTGAACTTTTGGGCTGAAGGGTGTCCCGCCGAGAAGCAGGACCAAGAATCGAAAAACCTCTGAAGATGAGATGAGAAATGAGTCGCTCGAGAGTGACCTTCACGGTTTTCTGAGACAAAGAAACAGCAGGAATCGAGGAAGACATAAAGAGTTCGCGTCATCGCCATGATAAGTTAAGGCTGATGTTCGAACAGCAGATAAGAGGATGGGAAAACACCGAACGTAAGTAGGGAGACTCATCCACCCGAGGTCAGAGCTGCCCATTGAGTGGCCTTGCGCAAAGCCCACACGATGTGTCTGTCCGACAAGCGACAAGAAGGAATATCTCGCGGTTTATGATGCATCGCGAATGTCCCATCTGTGTCATTCGTAAGACTCGGACAACAACCGTAGTCGACTGTTCACAAAGAAACACATCCTGGTTCAAGAACATAACCCTGGGATATCAATGAGCGCCCACACCCACGTAGGGCGCGTGAGTAGAGGCATTGGCAAATGATGGAAAAACAAGCGAGTCGGGCATTTCCAGAAATGAAACATCATATCCCCTTTGAAGTACGAAATTCGTGTCAACATTGTACAACTGGGGGAGAAGAACGGCGGCCGCATCGCAATATAGTAGGAAGACTTCAGGCCGGTCGCCGAGCTTTTCATGTGTCACTCACCCTCGAATGACTGGCGATGACTGGGGATCTTTCATGAAGCCGTTTTGCAGTGTCTTTTGATGATACGGGTAACGAAAATTCATCGATGGCGAGGTGCTCCGAGAGATTCGCGGGCTTCCCGGGCCAGAGTTCATAGAGGTAGAGTGGTTGTCAGAGTGAGGTAGCTCAGACGTGGTCGACTCACGTGCGGGCAAGGAGCGAGGAGACAGTGGAGGGGAAGGAGCAGCAGTGGTGAGAAACCTGGACTTTTCGTTCCCTTTCAAAGTCAAGGTGAAATTGCTGAAACTGGGCGCTTTTTCAGGAGTCGACGACTCGACGGGGGAACCATACTGTGTAACCGAGTGTTAGTCAGTGCATCGGCTACTGCAAATCAAGGTCTTCAAGGGAAATACTCACAAAGCAGTACTTATCCACCAGCTCTTTGTACGACGAGGACTCGTGGCATGGTTTGCTAGAGACCAGTGAGGACGGCTTCAGATCTCCTGGACGGACATCGCTTCTCACAGGAGAAATCCGACCTGGCTTCACATCCAGATCCTTTTCCACCGCGCTGGCTTTGGGAGCTTCCGTAGGCTGAGAAGACCGAGCACGGGCGGTAAGGGTCGTACGATCGACGGGAGGCTTGGTCTGGATCGCCGCGGTCAACGAGGCTCCAAAGTCATACCGGTTGCCGAAGGCTTGCGGATGAGGCTTCTCGCGACGTTTAGGTGGGCCGATCGTGTCAATGTCGTTGGTGGCGCTTCGGCTCAACATCGGACCGACCTTGGTGTTGAAAGAACTCCCGAAAGATGCACTCTTACCAACCTCGGGGAAATTATCGAACGATGGAGGCATGGACTGTTGTCGACTGCTAGATGTGGAGCCAGTAAAGGTGCGACTGCGAGGGAGACTTGGGCGGCTTGGAGCCGCAGCTTTTCGGGGAGCGGATTTGGGAACCTTGACGAAGTCGACTTGATAGTTCTTGTTCTGGTTGTTGTCCCAATGCTCCTGACCATCGACATTGTATCGGATGCACACGAACATGGTCTTGCTCTCCAGGTTGGCCTGGTCGTCAAGCTTGATGTCGAAGGTGAATCGATCATACCCGTCATGGGAATGCTTCCGACGAACGTCATTGTTATAGACCGCGGTCACCTCTGAGACAGTTCTCCAGTAATCGAAGGTAAAGCGGGCGGCCACATGCTTATGGAAAGCCAGATTAGCCACAGAGACCGAGCCAATCAAACTCTTCTTGTCAAAGGAAAGGCATAGCCGGTCTAGGCGAACTGCATGAGTGGCTTGCCGGGACGCATCGGTATCCTTCGGGAAGTTTGTTAGGCGGAGCTCCCACTCCCACGACGGAGTCGACTTGTCAGCATCATGTCCGAACGGGAACTCTGACTCTCCGTCGTAGCTGTCTACTGGAGAGGTCTCGGCACTGACAGCCAGCGGGCGGTCCAGCTGCAGGAAATGCCGAATATGTTCCAGCTGAGAATCGAAATGCACGGCCTTGGCATAGTTGGGGGTGCCGGGCATGCTGGAAGGTCGTCGACGAGCAGTGGCAGGCCGAAGGGCGGGACGAACCAACTCTCCAGACTTCTTTCTTACCATGGGTGGTTTAGGAGCAGCTTCGGCATCGCTGTCGTCCGGCGAGCTGGTCAATGCCTGTTCTCTCTTCAGGTCCACTGCTGATTCCGTCGAGGATCGTGAGTGGGAGATCTTGCGATGCTCCTTGGAGAGACGCAAGAACTTGGGTTCTGGCTGCGCTTGAGGAGGCGTTGATACCTGGCTCGAGGAGGGCTGCGCCTCAGTACCGGTTCCTTCCGTCGGCTCCACAATACCTCTCTCCGGTGATGATTCCCTTCGCTGCTCAATGGACCGCACTGCAGCCTCGAGCTCCTCAAGCTTAATCTCATCCTTGGAACCAGAGGAATCCTCGTCACTCGAGTTGGCTACTGATTCTGGGGGTGAGATCACGGCTCCAGGAGGAATCATGGCATTGTTGAGAGGCGGCGGAGACTGACGCAGGCTAGCGTGTGGATCGATGGTGAGATGGGGGTGAGTCGTCGTCTCGGTGGGGGATTGATTGTTGTTCGTCTTAGAGATGGATGGGCTTCGACGATGCCGACGAACATAGGAGGTAGATGAGTAGGAGCGGGAACTCTGGGAACGGTGTGTTGCAGGCCGCGCCGCGCTGGATCGTTCTGTCCGAGGCCCTGATGAGGCTTCCGTGTATTCGATATGTTGCGCGGCGGGCAACGTCTTTGCGGGTGCAGTGTATGGCATCCGGCCGACTTGTGTATCTCAACACAAGGAAGCTCAACAAATAAAAGAAAGGCAAAGAACTAGCACAAGGTGTGCTTGATGGGTTCAATGCGTATGCAATGGAATTCTGATTCAGGTCTGAGGTTAGCTATGGCGTTCCTTTAATCAATCAAGGCTGTGGCGAGAGGCGAAGACGAGAGGGTAGCGCTGAGACACCGACAGGCAAGCAAAGACGGCATCACCATGCATTAGACAGAGCACACTGACTGGACCAAGGTCATCGAGGTGAAACTTCTTTTGGCTCTGAGGAGGATAGATGCAGATGGTGGCACCTCAAAGATGGCGAAGGGGGAGGTAGGTTGGAGGAGAGTAGGTAGTAGAGCGCGCAACCGGTATCACAGCACGAGTGACACGGAGAGAGAGGATGAGGAAGAAAACCAGTCCAGAAGACAATTGAGGTAACAGTTGAGTGTAGCAGTGGGATTGAAAACTGCCAAAGTGGAGAGAGTTGGTTGATTGGGAGGTGGGTGGAGGTTTAAAGCTGTGGGAAGGTAGAGAAGGAAAGAAAAAGAGAGCTTATCAAGCCTACCGTTGAAGGGACATCCAGCAGTTGCGGGTGGGGTGTGGCAATGATTCTGGGCGCGATGGCGGAGATGGCGATTGCTATCAACGGTGGGCCGGTTGCCAGTCGGGTAACATCCAACGCCGAACGTGCCGACCAAAATGGGCGTGTACGAGAGTTCTTCCGGAAAGGAAAAAAAGTTTTTTTTTGGCGGTTTTTTTCGAGGCCAATCCCAACAAACCCCCAAAGGGCTGATCAAATGCAAAGCAAAGAATCGACAAAGGATCCTTCAATGTACTCAAGGTACAAAGAGTAAATAAAATGGAGCCACGCAGAGGCGCCGAGTGCGACGGAAGAGAGCGAGAATAAAAGCGGGAAATATAAAAAAAAAAGGACGAAGGAAAAACGAAAAAGTCTAATACAAGGTCCGGGATAACCGCCGGGACAGGTAAATGGGACACTAGGATGGGATGATTCCGATCGAGGATCACCTCACTTTGTACCTCCCAGGTACCTCCGAAGTCGTGCAGTGGGGAGGCAAACCGAATGGTCAAGACTGCGCCCGCTTGGACCTTTGGTGTACCAGTGGCACAGGTTGGTTGAGGAATTCGCCCTAAGGGGAAAGATCAATGGGTTCGAGTTCTTGATCTCCTGGATGATCTGTTCAAAGGGAGGAGAGGCGCGAGGAAGAATAGAGAGGATGAGAGAGGTGAAGAGACGAGGTACCAGGAAGAGGAAGAGGAGGGGGAGGAGGAGAGACAGTCGGGAGGAAAAGGGTAAGATTTCGACCTCAGATAGCGCACGAGGCGATACGAGCCGAGAATTATAGAAACTGGATAGCTTCCCTTGGAGCAAGGAATCTAGAATGACGGGACCTGGGAACTATCATATTTTAATATTGATGACTTAATTGAGTTGCACGAAAGAACGACGAAAAGGGAGAATGGAAAAGCCCCGAAAAGCAAATGGAGAAAAATGGAAAGAGCATAGGTAGAGAAATCGAATTTCTGAAAAATCGAAACAGGAAGGGGAAAAGAATAGTGGGGCACGATAAATAAAGACGATATCGCAAGCGCTCATTGGCACAGACCCGACAGAACCAGACCTGGAGGCCCTCGACTAGACTCACTTCTCAAGTTCCCACAGCCCCAGAGGAGAGACCGTCAGTGCGTTGCCGAAGAGGGTGGGTGGGCTGTGGCTGTAAGACCCCCGGTCGGTCGCTTACTGCCTTAGGGCCACGCCCAGTGGGTCCGGTCTGGACACCGGAGTCCTGGAGTCCTGGAGTCACTGCGACATCTGGAGACTGGCGCTTGGATGCTGAATCGTACGGCGTATAGATGGTAAGGTATCGTGCCGATTCTAGCTGGAGGCTCTCGTCCCCGGTGAGTTCAATCACAGACACGCTGCTTCACAGCTTCGGGACAGTATGCCAAGCCATCCATGGTGCACTTCCGTCGCTCTCTGTCCGCGGCCATTTATTCAGTCGTTTTTCACGTCAGCAAGCGGCTTGCGAATGTCACGACTGCTAGACAGAATGACCCGCATCGTGCCAGGAGCCCTTGATGATCAGTTGATTACTGAATGGAGATACCGTACCAGACTACCAGTGTCCATTGCTTCGTTCGATGTAGAATTGTGGAGTCGTTTCGACGCGCGACGGTGTGGCTTTCGAAGTGTGTACCGAACACGTTATCAATCCGCTCAAGGAGCTCCTATTGTACGTGCTGTCCGAGTTGCAACGCTTACGACCACCCCAGGCTAGTGCCAACACTGAACACACTCACCACAGTCATCACAGTCATCTCCGGTGGCTGTACTAGATACCAGCGTGTACTTTGATCCATCCTGTATCTTGTAATCTACGCATGTTGAGGATTCAGTTCTATCTGGAGTACATCCTTCCGGTACATGCCGACGCAACCACCCCACATACAGCATCTGTCGCGAATCCCACAGGCATCGAATCTGGTCTAGAGGGGGTGGTTCTCAACCACCGGCGAAAGACAGCAGAGGGATTCGCGGCGTGCTCGACTTAGATTTTTAAACGTGCAGTGGCGCTTTTGGTACGGATGAGCAAGGAGATCTTCGGGTCTGGCGTTGAAACTGGACGACCATCCCACTGAGAATCAGGTACCAGAGTACCAAATCTCAAAGTACTATGGTCAGGTCACCAGCTACCTAGGATTAGGTACTCACCTGCTGAGTTTCTGGCAGCAGTATACTAGTAGCCACACTGGCTTAAACTTTTGCAAGGAACTCAACCTGGCATTAGGAAAAGTTGAATCGTGACGCCGGGGAGGGCCTACGATTCCTCACAGCCACCGATGCCATATAGTATATACACCCTAGGCAAGCCTCTTCACTCTCCCACATTGACATACGTCCTGAAATCATTTCCTTCGTGGCCCCGTACACTGCTGGACAGTGGTCACAGTACAGCCAACCAGCATTTGCCGCAACGACGACATCTCACGCATGATGGAGACGCCAGGTAGCTAAGTCGTTATGGTTTCCTCATCGTGGCTCCGCCCACTCGGGACGGCTACTTCCATCTACCTGGATTTCCCTGTTTTTGCTTCCATAAACTGACGTCCTGCACATGTATCGCTACTGCATATCCACTTTCTCTCCGGCAAAGGTCATCCTTTCTGCCTTTCACCCTTTCTTCTTTTGTCTGACGCCCCGGATTTTCAGTGCAAATCCAGATGTTCGTGGCCACGATCATCAATCTCATACCGCCTAGAGCACGAGGCTGGACCTTCCAACCTTTTCGGAGGCGATCGGCCGTCTAGCATGTTTCTAGTGTACCCCCACTAGTCCACTCCCAAGCAGTCGAATACTCGTAGTGTCGCACAATACTCAGTAGTACTCACCTACTACCTACTCCTTGCTACTATACTAGTCTACACTCTATCGAGCTGTACGGATGGTCCTCAACTGTTCATCTGCCCATGGTAGAAGGTCGGCGAATGCCTGTAACCCCGTGGTACCCGAAACCCAGTTTAAGTTTTTGGTACCTCATCAAGCCCATGTCGATTGTGTCTCTTATCGAGACATGTGGTGGGTTTCTACCCTCTGCTGCTCGCAGCGAGGTCCGAGTTATCTTCAGTGATCCCGCTGTCTATTGGCTCGATGTGAACTTGGCAACCAAGGCAGCATCCGCGAAAGTCTCTGGGAGCGAAGACCGCGCGATGAATTGTGAAACGGCGACCTCCCTTCCTCCCCTCGACCGATTGCAAGGCCCCTCCTCTCCTGGCCCCATGGGCGCTATTTGAAATATGCATGATTCGGGCTAGGAGTTATCCTGTACCCGGTGGATAAGTAATACTACTAACCTGCTCTTTGGCCTCTTATGCACCAGCACGCGATTGTGAAGCATAAACCTTCTCGTTTCTAGTTCCCCTTCCCCTCCTCTCCTCTTTCCCCTCCTCCCCGTGGTGTTCTCCAGATTGCATGACTGTCGGTCTGGCCCCGTTGGCAGCAGCACTGACCACATACGCGTCGTGACCGGACTTTGACCGTGTGCGCAAGGCAGACTCCACCTCTGATGCGGTGCACCTCTTCATCTCGTTGCTGACTGTGATTCTCTCCATGCCTTGACGGTGGGGAAGAGATGGAGGACATACCCTGTTGCCCTTGGTCAAAGTGCCCTTCATGAATCGTCAGATTCGTCCCTGATTCCATGTCTTACGACCATGGGTCGGTGAATTGAACACGAACTCCTTCCCTGCATCAACAATAGCCCTATTCTGCAGGCTGTTTGCGACCTAATAAGATGGAGTCTGCAAGTCTGAAGGGTACAGTAGGTACTTGCTTGACCAACCCCGCTCATCTGCTCTGGCGTAATTCAGACATTCTTGGTGTGAATCGTGCATCGACCTCTTCATGTAAGGAGGTCGGCGCCCCCAACCTCGGTGGAGGCTCCCGCCGAGTGAGATCCCCAGGTGAAGAACAACGGAGGAAGTCGATTTCCGATGTGTTTCCTCGTCGATAGCGAGTTCGACGCACATTTGCAGGACCTGTTGTGGCTATAGACGCTTCTAGTCTTCTTCTTTCAATTGCCTGCTCTTCATCTTTCATAGATTCAAATCCAACTCAAAGCCTTCCGTAAGATGCTTGTAATCAAAGCAGATGCACAAACGGACGGAGGGTCTCGGCTCTCGAGTAATTGCTGTTTGTTTCTCTCTCCCCCGAGATCGGTTTCGTATGGAGGCCTCTTCGATTCAATCGCTGTGTTCCAAATGCTTTCAGCTTCTTGTTGTGGATCGACACCTGAATCATGGTCTTTGATATGATTTGAGGTCGGTGGATGGCAACTCCAGTCCCCATACTCCATTCTCTCTTGGAGGGCTCCACCTTGAATGCCGTAGAAGCCGGAGATGGGAGTGGGTAGGGGCCGACCGGTCAACCGAACCTCCTTCGGGATGAGGACCAATTCGTTTCTCATCAAGCATGGTTCAATGAATTTCCACCAGAATGGGTGCACTCGTCTTTTAAACTTTGCATGTTGTTGTTTCCAGTGTTCCACTGGTTCTCTTATCTCTGTGTCGCCGCGAACAGTCAACTGCATCTAGCCACCTGCTCTCTTTCAATCTCTCGACCACGGGAATAAGCTTGTGGCTGAGATCGGTCAACCAAGGAAGAAGACTCGAAGAGTTCGATAAGGGCGAGCCGACGGTCAATCAATCTGGTTCCTGAGCCGTGGGTGTTTGAAGTCCGATCAATCGCTGCGAAAGTGCGCCCGTCCACTTTTTTTTTCTCGAGTCGCAAATTGCAAGCCGCAAGCCTTGGCACGTTGATAGCGCAGCCCTTCTATTGACGCGCAGAGAAGGTGGGTCTCATCATTAAAGCCACGCACCAGAGCTCCAGAAGTGGATGACGTCAAGACGCATGGACCAAGCCCCCGGAGGCGTCCACTTCCTTGGTCTGGCTTTTTTTTTCCTTTGGGGCTAGGCCTTCATGAACAACATCAAATCTTTGTTGATCTGTCACTCCGCTCCTCAACATGTCCATCTCGGCCCTCGTACTCCATCAACACATCCTCGACAGGATTTCCACGGCGAGACATATTTCTCTCACTGTTCCACTAATGATCATATAATACGGTGAATCGTGAGTAGTGATCCCAGAGGTTGGTCCTCGCTCACTGGTGAATCGCGATCCAGCAGAGCCACTGCACCATTCCCGCCCACCAGTCTCAACACCCTCCCCCCGGCTGTCGTGACTCCGCTCTCAGTGGTTATAAGAAGATCCGTGCATGCCCGAGCTGGGGATGGAGATGGATTGAGGTCGGTTTGTCTGGTGGGTTAGGTAAGTGGACTGGGCTATCTATGGAGTACGGACCACCCGGTAAGGGTTTCTGGAGACTTAGATCGTCCCCTTTTATCATGGTCGTCTCTCACGGAAGGGAGCTGGATCCTCCCCCGTCGACCAAAAGGACCTTGGGGACCCGCTTGTGCCGAATATCTTGTTTGTGGCATCACCTTTTCACGAATCACGAGTGGTACTCTCAGCCGCTGTCTAGTGTAAAGTACACGGTAGGGTCGGGATGATGAGTTCGACGCGCGAGTACATCAGACGAGGCACGATGGCGTAGTTGGTCTGTACCCTATACCCTGTCCATTCCGGACCCGTTTGGTCCCACACGTCCGGGTCCCCATGACGAAGGGTCCATTTTGATGAATGCAGTGCCCGCGCCAACCAGGCAGGGACTTCGAGACATGGCTGGGGATTGCGTACCAAGTACTTTTTCGGTACTCTACCCTGAGATTGCGATCTGTATCTGCTACACTACGTTATCACTTTCCGCCCTCTTCCCAGGCTCTCACCTCATCTCGCAAGTAGCGCGACCACGCGTTGGCGATCGACCCGCTGACAAGAGCGTTCATCTCAAATTTGAGCTCTGGAGCCTCCACACTGAAGACTTTTGGAGGAGCCTGTAGTTCTGGGGGTGCGACCCATCAAAAAGTCCAAATACGTGCGATCGCTTCGAATCCATTGATGGATGACGAGGTGACGCGGCAGAGCTCACGCGGTCATCGTCAAGACGATCCATGTGCCTATGCTGATCAAGACCAACCCTGTCCTGGTGGTCAACACTTTGGGGGCGGGCGGGATATACATTGTGCGCAGGATTCTTAGTCTTACTACACTGTGTCTCCCTGGTTGAGGGCGTTGCCCTCCCGCAGCCACGAGTTACAGCCAGTGCGATCGCGTCGGGAGTCCTCGATTACGAGGTCCAATCCCGCGTTTCACACAGTTCGAGGTTTCAATACTATACTTGTGTGACCCCCGCGGACCCCTCCCCCTTCCCACTAAGCAAGGAAAAGAATCAAAAAAAAAAAAAGCCGTTGCAGCAATCCACCGCTGTGCACGAGTCAGCCTGTTGGACTACGCAGGCCGCATGTCATTCACCGAGGACATGCGAGGAATTATGATTTTCTGTCTGCAAATGACAACCCTCTCTAGATTAATCCGACCGTTCACCGGCATCATCCATATTCAGCCGCGTGAGGGCTTGCGCTTATTTGGGTGCGCCGGTCACGGGCACTGGCAGTGAACAGTCCGGTATTTCCACTCGACTAGCGCCGCAGAGATTTTCCATTTTTCGCCACCCACGACACATGTCTTGCCTATCAGGACGACGGAGGATGCGCCTCAGACTAATGCGAATGAATAACTTTCACTTGGCATCAACCGTCCTCCTCGGAGCTTATTGCAACGAGGTGACCATTCACGACCGGGCCCGGGCCCGAGCCCGGGCATTGACCCTCTTCCGCCCTCTTTCATCCCAGATCCCACTCCTTCCACAGGTCGATATGGTCCCGAGCAACCGTTTCCCACCACACGTTGGCTAGTGCTGGATCCTGAACTTGGTCCTGAAACTGGAGCTCTCAGCCCATAGCCCAAGTCGGTTCTGGCCCGCCCTCGTTTTCCCTTTGTCGCTGGACTCTTTTTTTCCCCCCGAATGGTCTTGATGATCGTGGTCGAGACCGGAGAGCTGCACGAATTAGCCTCTGGCGCAACGCTGGTCAGAGTCGATCTACGCAAGCTGATCCGCCCAACATTCTTTTTGGCTGCTTACGAGCTGGGTTTGGTGACTTTTTCGCGGGGACGAGCTTACTTTCCTACTTCTGATCGATTCTGCCCTGGCCTAGGACCTGACTAGGTTCTTTAGCTCTGATGAGCTACTATCGGGTCTGCCATTGATTCGTAGAGTGTATATTAAGGGACAGCGCGAGAGTTCACGAGTATAGTCCGCTGACTGAGCACCTTGATGTTCCCGATCATCATCCTGTCCTGGATCTTTGGATCACTACTACATTAGTACATTAGTACATTGCGCCGATATCGAAGCCGCGCCCGGGTTCTCGTCTATACAGATTCAAGCCGTCCAACTAGTGGACCATCTTACCTTTGTATCGGAAAGCCTAGAAGTTAAGTGTTGATAATTTGATACTGATAGTACTCACTGAGTACTACTCAGTTAGTACTTACTAACTCAGCAGTTCTTAACTATAGTTACTGACCGTCGCATGGAAGCGGTTGGAACTTGCGACGGCCCAGCGTCGTCCGCGATGGATCCTCTCCATCACTTACCCCAAATGTTCCACCAACAACCTTACTGGAGCGTCTGAAATTTCTGCGATCCCACGAGCTGTCACGTAACCGTCCTTGCCCCGGGCCCGGCCCAGTGCCAACTGCCAAGTGCCCACTGCCCACTGCCCACTTTCCCAGGCTCCAAGTACCAGAATGGATCTTCTACCTATCCACCGGTCCACCCTCGGTCTCTGTCTCGCAAGAATCAAGTATTGGGGACTTCCCCAGAAGTTCTTCCAGACACTTTCGAATTTCGTCCACACCGTAAATGGTATGAAGCGGGTTCGATGTCCGGGGCGGCTTCGGAATCAGGAAGCATCGCGGGATGAATGAAATTGACGTGGTTTGACCTCACGTCAGGGAACTTGTCCGAGGTTGAAAGATGTATGCCTGATACCATGATTTCGCAGGGTTGGACAATGGACAGAGTGAGGCTGAGATGATCTTTGTGTGTGTGAGCTTTTCGGATCGCTTGGTTTCCGATCCGAGCGCGAGAGCTTTCTAGGAATCAGTCGACAGACACCACCACCACTACTACTACTACTACTACTACTACTGTACTACTCAGGAGTCAGGAGGTCAGGACTCACCTTCGGGAGTCTTTTTCCTCCCCCTTAAACACAACTCGGCTTCCATGATTATTATAAACTTCTCATGGTGAACGAACCAGATACCTACCTTGGTAGGAGACTAATGATCGCTGACTAACACTCCATGTCTCGATTCTTGAACTGCCCAGAGTCCACCGGGTCCAGTAGGGGAATATCTTCTCAGAGCAGTGCTAGAATACCTGGGCCGTCCAGTGTCACTGCGGTGTCTACTGTCTACTGTCTACTGTCTATTACCTAATAGGAGATCCCACGAGCCAGTGAGGTGGTACGGAACTCATCGAGACCGGGCTCGGGTACCCGACTGTACAATTCCACCCTACAATCAACAACATTTGCTGCAGCCACTTGTGCAGTGCCGAGCATAGCTGAGATAAGCCGCGATGAGGCGAACACCACTCGCGTTGGCTGCTCGGCTCATGCCGCCTTCACCACCGGGTCTGAGACTCTCAACCAACCACAAGCTCTGCGCAATCC